TCCTTCTGGAACAGATTACGTTCAGCTTCCGAGGTACCACTGTGTAATCTAAATCCTAAAATAATGTCCACCCTTTGATTCAAGGTATATTTTAAAATATATGAATGTTTTAATCATCTTGCAGCATTACAAAGTGTTGTCCTAACATGATAATTGATTGATAGTATCTGGTAGATACAAGATGAATTTTTCAAGAAAGCATTTTAGTAAAATGTAAATAATTTTTTCCCCATACAGAGATTTCTAGCTCTATTATTGTGTCTTCTGAGGAAGAAAGAACTGAGAGTTACACCAGCGGCCTACAATTATCTGACAGAGATAAAACACTTGAACTCATGCCTGAAGATCCAGTTTATTCTAGCAGTTTAGAGGTGAAAAGGGAGAAGAGCAATGTCCCAACCTTCCTCAAGCATGTGTCAAATGTTGAAATAAGTTTAGGAGATTTAGCTAGACTTTCTGTTGTAGTTACTGGGGATCCAAAACCACAGATACAATGGTATTTCAATAGTGTTAAGCTGACATCATCTGCAGACTATAAGTTTGTGTTTGATGATGAAAACTATAGCCTCATTATTCTCTCCACAAAATTTGACCATGAAGGGGAATATACTTGCATTGCTAGTAATATCCATGGAGAGACAGCCTGCTCTGCTTATCTGAAGGTCAATCCTAAGGGAGATGAAAGAGAACTGGAGGCAGAATTCACTGCAGAGAAGACAGGAAGTCCTCGACCTCCACATTTTGTTAGGAAGCTAGACCCTGTTCAGTGTGCACAAGGTGCTCCTGCTGTGTTTGAGTACAAAGTGGCTGGGGATCCCCCTCCAGAGATTCAGTGGTTTAGGGGAAACAACCAGATTTTCTCCGGTGCACGATACACTATCATTCATAATCGAGATGGTTCTGGGTCACTAATGGTGAATAACTGCCAGGGGCCCGATGGTGGCTTATACATCTGTAAGGGAATCAACCTCATAGGTGAAGCCTCTAGCAGTGCAGAACTTCTTGTTCTCTTAGACGTGCCTGGGGAGGCTCCATATAAGGAACAGAAGAGTAAACAGAAAACACGCACCAAGTCATATAAAGAAACTGTAAGTGACGAGGCTACCGTCTCACGGATATATGCCGTTAAACTGCCTGGTGATGATAGGCATGATGGGCAGCATGTGATGTATACAATTGGAACTGAAGATAGGCATTCACTACATAGTGAAGAGGTAGATGTTTTGCAGGTGGCTTCCTACTCAACAGCTACTGTACAGCAGGAAGCCCTTCTGACCAGGCAAGTAGCCTTGCTTGAGTCTCACAAAGTTGGAGAAATTGCAGATCCAACTTCTCAGGCCAGTGAAAAGGTGACTTCTTCAGCTTTTACCACAGGTGAGGTGAAGGAGCACCCCGGTTTTCTAGAGCAACACTCTGAACCAATTCAAAGCCCACCAATAGTCGAATTGCCGGGTTCCTGGTGCCACCAAGTTTCTGACATCTGTTTACCTGTTGTGGAGGAAATAAACCAAGAAGACAAAGAAAAGGGGCTGCAAACCAAGCTTCCAGAAATGGTCAGGCCAACGTCAGCTATCGAGCAAACATCTCAGTTTGCCTCCATTATATCTGAGGAGAAATATGTGGTAAGCCCCGGTGAGTCTGCTGTATTCTCAGTCCCAGGAGCTGAGGAAGTTATTGAAACCAGTGAGCCTAAACATGCAGTGTGTGTTCCTAGAATTGAGGGCATCCAAGAATTGTCCAAGGAAAGTTCTTTGGCAGACCACACACACAAGTGGGAGAATGTCGCACCAGCTAAAGAACGAGGCAGCTTTTTTCAGTCTGTTGTAGCAGCAGAACAATGCAAGATAAGTGAAGCTCATGCTGAGGCAATTGGTTATGCTGATTCACCTGCAGAAGTTCGTCCAACCCAAGAATCATCCAATGTATTACATGTGGCTATGATTGCCTCTGAACAGATGTTCCCCAAAGAGTCTGCTTTTGATGCAACCATTGCAGATCAGCAGAAGGGCTCGCTGGAACAGGACAGGCTTGTCCAAACAGCTCTGGTTGCTGAAGAAAAGCAGCAGCTCTCTGATGAACACACTGAGGACCTTCCCAGGTTAGACTGCACGGTGGTAGCAGAAATCCAAAGAGAGGGTGAAAAGCCACTGCATTTGCCTGTTGTACATGGACAAGGCTCACTTCCTAGAGAAGAGCATTTTAGTTCTGAGGTCCCCCTGGAAGATGAGGCACTGTCTAGGAAAAGCCCATGTTTGCTACACTGCTTAGTAACAGAAGAACAAGTCTCCACGTCTTGTGAAGATGCTAAGCAGTTTCCTCCTCTGGCAGAGGCAGTTAACATTCAGGTCACCCAGGAGCCCATTTCTGTGTTGCATCTCCAAACGAGCCAAACTGAGCAAGTGTTGCCTAAGGAAGGCATCTTGGCTGTACAAGAACCCGAACCCAAAAATGCTTTGCAGAAAGCTGAAATAATGCTCAAACGTGCTGTGGCGTCTGAGGAAAAAAACCAGATAGCTGCCGAGGCCCTAGAGGCTTTTCAGAGTGGCATTGCTGGAGAATACCCTGTGGCTATAGCAGAGCCTCAGCTTCGTAAGTGTCTGACCACTGTGGCTGAGGAGATGCTTCTGCCCAAAGAGGAAATCCTCCCCGAAGTAGGAAAAGAGCAGAAAGCTACCCTGAGGAAGGAAGACTTTCAAACAGTGATGCAGGTATCTGATGTGACTGAAGAGAGGGTCTTGGATGTAGGACATGCTGAGCCATTTGAGGCTGTTCAGGCCATGAGTTGTGAGGTGATGTCTGAGCCCAGGTTGCCTTCAGAATCCACCTGCGTTGAGGAGCAAGGTGTTCCGATAGAGAGCATCGATCTCTTGGAAGCCACAGAGCAAGAATTTGCAGCCCGCATCCAAGAAGGTCAGTCAGTCAGGCTCCCGTTGTTACTGGAGGAAAAACAGCCATTAAAGGAAGAGCACTTGGACAAGATCACAAGGCCAGATGCTGAGAACGTAAAGGCCCAGAAGCAACTGGGGCTGCTTATGGATGTGCCTGAAACATGGGAAAACAAAGTGCTTCGGAAAGAAGAAGAACTTGCAGCTGAGACTCCAGTATGTTGTAGCTTAGATACGAAGGCTCAGATCAGAAGGGCCCTGAAAGTAGCTCTGACAAATGAACAGCACTTATTTCCATTGGATGCTTTCGATGATATTGAGAGCGTTCAATTAAAAACTGTAACAGTGATCAAAGAACCTAAACATGCAACATGCACTTGCCTTATAATCTTGGAAAGTTCCAATACTGCAGAAATAACTCTCTCTCTAGATGGAATATATTCTCAGACAGCTGATTTCAAAAGCGAATTGCAAGCTGCTGTTCATTCCATTATTTATGACGAGAAACATGTTCTGACAGCAGAGGAACCCAGTGCCATAGCAGAACCTAAACACCACAAGTTGCTTGCTTCTTGTTCACCTTCCAAACTAATGCAGTATGCTACTGTAACTGAGACACCTGTTCAGCAACAATCTGTCAGTAATATTATTGGTTCACCTGAGCCACATCATGCTTACCTGAGTACTGGATCAGAAATACAGGAGGAGCAACTTGTGTCTATTCAAGAAGTCCAAACTATTGCTCTAAGTGAGCACATTAAAGATGTAGGTACAACCACACTCACCCTTGATATTCCTGTAGCAGCAGCCCCAGTTGAGAGGTTAATAGATGCTCTAAAAGTGAAAGAGAGAAAGGAAGAACTTTTTGAGGAAAATGAAGGGGAGGCACATGTAGTTAAGGCTAGCAAACGAGAAGACAGTCTGGTGAGCAGGGATTGTCCCATCATGCGCCAAAGTTTTATAGACACTGTTGTTGAAGAAGGTGACAGCGTAAGTCTTACTTCCATTATAGAAAATGTTAAAGTGGTGAATTGGTATTTTGGGGATAAGCTGGTATCTTCAGGAAATGAGTTCAAGTGCTTGCAAGACCATGACACATACACACTAGTAATCAACCAAGCATTCAAGGAAGTGCATCAAGGAGAATACATCTGTGAGGCTCTGAATGAAGGTGGAAAAACAACAGCAGCCGCGAAACTCACAGTTGTAAAAAGAGGTTGGAATATGGGGATAAAATATTGCTTTCCTATTTTCACTCATTTGCTAACTGAATAGAACACACATATACATATTTGTATCTCTAGTAGCATTTTGGATACAGATATAAGAAGTATATAAACTTCAGCTGTGCATCACCAAACTAATCACAGATCCTCCACTTTTTGTTTCCTCTTTAGAACTTTTATTTCTTTAAATATATTTCTTATTCACACCTTTTATTTGCATTTTGCACTTTTTGGTACTGAAACAAAATTAACTTTTGTTTCATGAATGATGATTGTTAAATAAAACTATTTGTAATTTCAGATTTTTTTAAAAGAGTGCATGTCTTAGGAGCACTTTCATCCCCATATCCGCAGAGCAACTTGGTTCACTTTTCCTTTTCATTGCTACAATAAAGATGTAATCCTGAACACGCTTACTAGGGAGGAAGCCCCACTGAGCACAATGAGACTTGCTTCTGAGTAGACGTGCCAAGAGATTGCACAGCACGTTGTAGAAGTCATTGCACCATTCTAGCATAATGTCACACATTTCATGTTGAAAATGTTCTGGTACAACCTGGTATAATTTCATATATCATGTTGTTTGCATGCCTTTAATAGTAAGTAGCACATCAGAGTATCTTCAGAGTTCCATTATGCACTGCAATGTATGTAGCCCTCTGGTAGACTGAGCACTGCTTTTGGTTTGCTTTCACCTCTGACAACCATTTTTCTTTACAGCCACTTTCCTTGGATAGCTCATGAAACCACACATCTCATTTCTGTTGGTCACTTTATTAACAGTGTTTTGGAATGTACACTTATAAGCACCATACATGCTATTAGTATTACCATATCCACATGAACGTGGATGGTTGTAACCACATTATTCTTTCACTTTTAACTTCAGTTGGACCCATACTGAGGAGAAGGCTGGAATCCCAAGAAGTCGCTGTGAACCACCTTGCCAAGTTCACCTGCGAGATCGAGATGGCGCCAGACGTACGGTTTCAATGGTACAGAGCCGGCCGGGAAATCTATGATGGTGACAAGTATACCATACACACTGCTAATTATACATCCACTCTTCAAATCCCGAGACCGCAAGTAGTTGACTGTGGCGAATACAGCTGCAAAGCTTCCAATAAGTATGGCAGCGTAAGCAGCAAAGCAACCTTAACGGTAACTGGTAAGTGCGAGACATGAACCCTGTGCTGCTTCCTTGTTAGGTAACTGAATGTGTTCACCATTAGTATGTAGTAAAATGCATCTAGGGCCAATAACAGACTAAGGATTTCCATTTCTGTGCATATAGATATAGAAGAAAATACCAGGTATTTGGCCCCCAGGTTCAACGTACATATCCAGGAGCAAAAAATATAATTCCATCAGAAGTTGAGTCAAAGAACAGAACTTAGGATATGGTCAAATTACCCATTTGTAATTATTGTATATTATTTCCAAACCCTTTTAAGCATGGAGGGAAACTTACGAATAATAAAGGGAATACTCTAGTTCATTTCAGATGTGCACCATTTGGTACAAGCACACACACCACAGGCACCTCTCTCTAGTGATGGAAGAACTGCAGTTGGCGAAGGAGATTGTAGGCAAGAACTTCCACACTTAAAGCATTTCGCACTGGGGTTGGGAGGAGAGAAGAATTCAGCAAGGGCATGGATTGTGCCCAGAGGCATTTGAAATGTTTTTTGATTCCGTCATATTCACCTATAAACATTCTCTCTTAAATGTCTTAAGCTTCTCAAAAAGACTATAGTATTAACTGAGTCGTCTGATCATGATTTTGCTGGGATGCAATTGATTTTATTTACTCTTTGAGATCAAATGCTTACAGACGTAGTGGGTGGTGGGAGCCATCTTGAAGTGAATAAAGGATACATAATGACATTGCTCTTTTAAAAAGATCTCCCTAGGCCTTTTTATTACTATAATAATTGCCTATACCTTTCATCTTACTGGAATCTGTATTGCTAGTTAATTCATGACATGCACTTCAAATCCTCACATGTAAACCTAATTTCATGACTAAATAACTCTTGCTAGATGGCTTTTAAAACTGCTCTTTTAGATAACAAATAACTCTTGATAGATGGCTTTTAGAACTGCTCTTTTAGATAACAAATAATTCTTGCTAGATGGCTTTTAAAACTGCTAGATCATCCTAATGATTTACTGGGTGTATTGAGTCTTGGGAATCTTTACTGCACATTATTTCTAGGCAATTTAGTGTGTGTATATGGAGACAGTGTTTCTGTCTCCTTTCTTTGGTGCTGGGGTGTGGGGGAAAGGCCGCTCTATTGGCCAAGTCCATGTCAACTTTGCCCTCTTTCTTTTGCAGAAGCGTTTCCTCCAACCTTTCTAACCAGACCCGAATCTATTACTACTTTTGTGGGTAAGAGTGCCAGGTTCCTCTGCACAGTGGCAGGCACCCCTGTAATCGACACAGTGTGGCAGAAGGATGGTGCCGCCATTTCTTCCACAGAACATTGCAAGATTTCAGCTTCTGAGAATAAGCACAGTTTAGAGATCCCACGCCTCACAGTAAATGACAGGGGGGTATATACCTGCAAAGCCTCAAACAAATTTGGAGCAGACATCTGCCAGGCAGAAATAGCTGTCATTGATAAACCACGATTCGTCAAGGAATTGCAGTCTGTTCAGTCTGCAGTCAATAAGAAGATACATCTTGAATGCCAAGTGGACGAAGACAGGAAAGTCACAGTATCCTGGAGCAAGGATGGAACCCGAATACCTCCAGGCAAAGATTACAAGATTTGCTTTGAAGACAAGATAGCATCACTTGATATCCCTCTGTCTAAACTTAAAGATTCAGGAACATATGCATGCACTGCTGTAAATGAGGCTGGAAGTAGCTCTTCTTCGGCCACTGTAACAATCAGAGGTAAGGAAATTGTCGGCCTGCTAAACTTGGTGCCATTTATGTCCTCTTATTTATAGTAGTTGCGCTTCAAAGAGGAGCTGCCAGAGTTGCACCACGGGTTTAAGTGGGCCCCGGCCATGCCCCCACAGTGCCCTGATTGGCCGTCTGGCAAATGGCGTGGCCGGGTCACTCTCAACATGACGCAGGATGCTATCCTGAACCACGCTGAGGCAGGGGTGGGGCCTGGTGGCCTGAGCGCAACCCGGTCCCACTCGTAAGTGGAACCGATTTGTTAGTTCCAAATAATGAAGAAGTGGGAGGTAGCATTAAGAAGGAAAAAGCTAATCATAGCACATTTCTCCAAGTGTGGTGTGGTGTTTCTTTGTGAAAAGAAAAGCTACAATCTTTTTCACTCGTCTTTGTGTCTTTACTAAAGCTTATTGTCTGATTTCCTTAAATGTGCAAACTTTATTCCAGTGTCGTTTATTTATTTTTCCGTCCTAGGTGATTCTTTAGAGAAGTTCTGGCTTACCATGATAAAAGGCAGAATTAAGAACATTGGCGGGAATTGGAGTTTTGTCCTGGATAGATATCTGCATGCTTCTCAAAAGCTTATCTTTGTAATCGTCCTATCAAATCGGTCTTCTTAAGGTGTTATATTTCAGGCTTCTTTCTTTCTGAACTTTTCTTCTAGAGCCACCATCGTTCCTGAAGAAAGTGGACCCCTCTTACTTGTTGACTCCTGGAGAGTCAGCGCACCTTCAGTGCAAAATCAAAGGGTCTCCTGAGATCCAGGTGACATGGTACAAAAATAACAAAGAAATTAGAGAGAGCGACACACAGAGGATGTCTTTTGCCAATAACGTGGCTGTGCTAGATATTACCAATGTGAAAGTTGATGACAGTGGAAGTTACTCGTGTGAAGCAGCTAATGATGCTGGCAGTGACAGCTGTAGTACTGAGATTGTTGTCAAAGGTTTGTTCTTAAACCCAGGGATTCTCTCTTTTCAAGGTGCTCTGTTCTGTTGCAAGTGTACTATCGGTCACTAATTCTTTATTCATGCTTTGATGGTTTTATAGAGCCTCCTACTTTCATCAAAACTCTTGAGCCGGGCGACATAGTGAGAGGAATGAATGCCACTCTTCATTGTGAGGTTTCTGGTACTGGACCATTTGAAATCAGTTGGTTTAAAGACAGGAAACAAATTCGCAGTAGTAAAAAATACAGGCTGACATCCCAAAAGTCTCTTATCTCTCTGGAGATTTCTTCATTTAATAGTGCAGATGTTGGTGAATACGAATGTTCCATAGCGAATGAAGTTGGAAAATGTGTTTGCAGTGCAACATATATACTGAAAGGTTAGTGAGCAAGTGAACAAACAAAACCTATTTTTAACATGTGCAAAAGGAGAAAATTACTCTTTCGTGGAAACCAATTTTTCTTTTTTAGTTGTCTACTTTCCTTTCCTTCTCTTTCTGTTTCTTGTTGCATCTTGGAATCTTTTCTTGTATTCCTGAACGCAGGAATAAAGGCAGAGAACAGATTTCATTGAGCTTAATTCCCAAGCAAGAGGCTGTTTTACACATGTTTAGGTGTGGGGGAGAAAGTCAATTCAGTTCTCTTTTAAAGGTGACCTTACCTTTCAAAAGAATATGTGGACCAGAACACCGCCATCCTTTAAAATTCACACTTCTCTGAATTTTGCAATGCAGTGTTCCAGCTGGGAAATGAAAAATAGTTTTGGGAAATAGTGAATATTGGGCAAAACAGCATTAAAAATGTGTGTAGTAGAAGAAATTCACACTAAAATGCTGATATACTTTCACGAGGACTTCTTTTAAAAACCACAAACTGATGTGGAAATGTGAGGACTCAATTTAAGACTTTTTAAAAAAAGGAACTGAAAGGTTTGCCCATCCCTAAACATGATATGTAAAGAGTTTATTGCTTCTGTCAGCTTGTGATACAAATGTAAAACCTACCCAAGTCAGAATTCTAATTTGCAATGCTAATGCATCTTTCATTTCCCATCCTCCACATTATCAGTACTCAAAGTTCCACCAAGTAATGAAAGAGGAGCCCAAAGGCAATATAAAAAAAATGCTCTTAGCATTCCCACACACTTACTTAAGAGTAAGCCTTGCTGAACTCAATGTGACTTACCACTGAGTAGGCACGCCTATGATTGGTCTTTTAGCCTTTCCTTTGATAAGTATAATGTCATGCAAATCAGAGGGATTCCAACATAAAGCATAGCCAAAAGGCAAAATCTCTACTCCCGACATCCTTCTGAGAAGCAAGCTTTGGTGCCCAGTAAAAGAATTCCTCTTTTACTCTTCCTAGTCCCCTCATTTACACCAGTAGTGGGGAACCTGTGGTCCTTCAAGTGTTGCTGAACTACAATTCCCATCAGCCCCAGTCAGCATGGCCAATTTGTAGTTCATCAACATCTGGAGGACCAAAGGTTCTCCACTCCTGGTTTACATCAATGATGGGGAAACTGTAGCCCTCCAGATGTTGTTGGACCCCATAATTCCTGACCATTGGCTAATGGGGTAGGAGCTGGAGTACCATATCTAGAGTGCCACAGGTTCCTCACCTCTACTTCACCTGGATTAATTTCCCTGCTGTCAAATGGAAGACATTTACTTATTGCTCAACAAATAATGGTTTCTCCATCTCCAGATTGAAATGGTAATATTTCCCTAACATTCAGAGGTAGAAATCCATAAAAGACGTTGCCATTGTATCCAGAAGGCAATTTATTTTCTTTAAAAAGCCTTAAATGCAGCACCAAGCACCATATGATGCAATGATAGATAAGGGTTTTTCTTCCTTTCTTTCTTTTTCAAATTAGAACCTCCCTCTTTCATTAAGAAAATCGAAGATGTTACTGCACTCGCTGGGGATGAAGTTTTCTTACAGGCAGCTGTGAGAGGCTCAGCTCCTATTTCTGTCACTTGGATGAAGGGGAAAGATATTATTAAAGAAGATAACAAAGTCAAAGTGACCTTTGAAAATGGCATTGCAACTTTGCAAATCACAGATGTCCAGATTAGCTCTGGTGGTAAATATACATGTCTGGCTGAGAATGATGCAGGAAGCCAAACATGTTTTGGAGAATTAGCAGTTAAAGGTCAGTGTAGGAGCACTTTAAGATCACACAATTCTTCTTATACACAGGCATATTGTTCGCATTAGGTCTATAATGACCACTGTTTAATTCTGTTATAGAGCCTGCTACCATTGTTGAGAGAGCTGAATTCATTCAGGTGACGGCAGGGGACCCAGCAACTCTGGAATACACTGTTGCAGGCACTCCAGAGCTCAAAACGAAATGGTTCAAAGACGGAAAGCCTCTGGCTTCTAACAAAAAGTATAGAATCAGTTTTAAGAACAATGTTGCTCAGTTGAAATTCTACACCGCCGAATTGCACGATACTGGTGAAATCACCTTTGAAGTTTCAAATGATGTTGGACGCAGTTCGTGCACCACCTCATTTACTGTATTAGGTTGGTAATCCAGTAGCGCTACTGCGATTTAGATGGAAGAACAATTAGAAGGTGGGAGGTGGGAGGGTGCACTCCTAAAACACTCTTTTTGATATATATTGGTTTTCTTTTCTTTGCTGTGCCTTGGAACAGATCGCACCCTTCCTCCGTTCTTTACCAAACCTCTGCGGAACGTCGATAGCGCGGTTGGTGGCTCCTGCCACTTTGACTGCAAAGTATCAGGTTCTCTTCCAATAAAAGTGTCTTGGTTTAAGCATGACAAAGAGATCACTTCCAGCGCCAAGTATGCAATACGCTACGAAGAAGGTTCAGCGTCTTTGGACATCAAACACCTGGATACCAATGACGCAGGCGTGTATTCCTGTAGAGCTACTAACTCTGCAGGGGGCAAGGAAAGCCATGGAACTTTAACGATAAAAGGTTTGACATCTTCTTTTGCGTTCTCTTCTCATTATCTCTTTTAACCGTTCTTTCCCCACCCCCTTTTTAACCTTACTACATTAAGTTGCACTACTGATTCTTTCCAACTCTTTCTTTCAAACAATGTGTAGAGCCACCTAGCTTCGTGACAGAGCCAGAGTCTCAAGAAATATCTCCCGGGTCAACAGTGCGTTTGAAGAGTACATTTAAGGGAACAGCGCCACTCTCTGTACAATGGTTTAAGGGTGATGCTGAGCTAACAACTGGTGGAGCTTGTTACATCATGACAGAAGCTTTGTCGAGTTACTTGGAGCTTTACGCTGTGAAACCTGCTGATTCTGGTGCCTATTCTTGCAAAGTCAGCAACGCGGCTGGTTCAGTCTCATGCAGTGCAAACTTGTTTGTCCAAGGTTTGCACAACTCTTTCTCTTATGATGATATGCTTGGGTGGCGATTTGAGGTTTCTTGCCTGCTGCCTCTTATTTTTTTCCTTAACCTCTTTCTGCAACTCTTCTTAATAACATTCTTTAATTCCACAGAACCCGCTACTTTCGTGGAAAGACTTGAGCCGTCGCAGTTGATTAAGAAAGGAGAATACGCCCAATTAGAATGTAAAGTTACAGGCACACCTGAAATTAAAATCTCTTGGTTCAAGGATGACAGGGAAATTAAAGACAGTGCCAAACACAAGATGACTTTGGTGGGCTCCACAGCAGTCCTCAGACTCCTGGATGTCACTCTTGAAGACTGTGGTGAATATACATGTGAGGCAAAAAATAATGCTGGGAAAGATACCTGCAGTAGTGTCGTGGTTGTAAAAGGTGTGTGCAAAAGTACCCCTCCACTCAATTTTCTCAGCAAGTCTTTCAAGCCTTTTAAAGGCCCCAGAACCAATTAACAACCCTCACTCTTTCTTTCTGTCTTGTGCTATAGAGTCACCTTACTTTGTCAAGGAATTTGAACCAAGGGAAGTGTTAAAAGACTCAGATGTGATACTGGAATGTGAGGTCTTAGGTACCCCTCCGTTTGAGGTCTATTGGTTAAAGGACAACAAACCTGTGAGGAGCAGTAGGAAGCACAGAATAAGCATTGAGAATTCCTTGATTAGCCTCCAGGTTTTCAAGTTTGACTCTTCAGATGCAGGAGAATACCAGTGCAGGGTAACAAACGATGTAGGAAGCTGTGTCTGTAGCTCTGAGTTGGCTCTGAAAGGTCAGTACCGCCTGGAAAATATAATAATTTAATTCTGATGTTTAGTTGAGGCTAATACTCACCAAGGCATCTATTCTTTCGATAGAACCCCCACAATTTGTGAAGAGGATTGAGAACATTAGCTCACTTAGAGGAGGCACAATAGTATTTCAAGCAACTATTAAAGGTTCCATGCCTATAACAGTCTCTTGGCTGAAAGATAATGATGACATTGTTGAAGACGATAACACCAAAATGACCTTTGTGAACAATGTGGCCACTCTTATGATCAGGGCCATAGAAGTGAAGCACGATGGGAAATATTTTTGCCAGGCTAAAAATGATGCTGGAATCCAAAGATGTTCTGCTTTACTAACAGTAAAAGGTTTGTAGAGCTTCCTCCCGCCTCCTTAATTTATAGCATCGTCTTTTGCTAACGTCTACACTTCAAGTCACCCAAACTCATATTTGCTCCTGTATTTATCACAGAGGCAGCCACCATCACTGATAAAGCTGTTTCAATTGATGTCACGGAAGGCGACCCAGCCACACTGCAGTGTAGATTTTCAGGAACAAAAGATATTACTGCCAAGTGGTTCAGAGATGGAAAGGAGTTGACATTGGGACACAAATATAAAATCAGTGTTACCGATACAGTCTCTATGCTAAAGATTGTTTCTACCGAAAAGAAAGATAGCGGCGAATACACATTTGAGGTTTCAAATGATGTCGGAAGCAGCAGCTGTAAAGCTAGCATTAATGTCTTAGGTTTGTATTGTGTATCCCTCTTCTCTTGGAGGTGGGTCGGTTGGTGGGTGCTGGCCACAACTGCAATTCTTATTTTCTTTTTATGCCAAAGGCCAGCAAAGTGGCAGCCTAATCTAATATCTATCTTTTTGGTTTGTCTTGGGTAGATCTGATCATACCGCCTAAATTCACCAAAAAGCTAAAGAAAATGGATAGCATTAAGGGCTCTTTTGTTCACCTTGAGTGTATAGTGTCTGGTTCACACCCAATAAGTATCCAGTGGTACAAGGATGGCCAAGAGATAACTGCTAGCGAAAAGCACAAGTATTCTTTCCATGATAACATGGCATTCTTGGAGATCAACCAGCTTGAAGGTGCAGATAGTGGATCTTATACCTGCGAGGCAACAAATAAAGCTGGAAGCAACCAATGCAGTGCTCATTTAACCGTCAAAGGTTTGGACATCTTGTATTTTTCTCCTAGGCGGCAGGCTTATTTGCCACGTTGCTTTGATTCTGGTTTTTGTTTATCGTTCCAAAATGAATGACCTCCTTCTTTTCCTGGTCTTTCTTCCCACTCTTTGTAGAACCCCCATGCTTTGTTGAAAAGCCACAGTCACAAGATGTGGTACCAGCTGCCAGAGTCCAACTCAAAGCTCTTGTGAGCGGCACGCCTCCCATACAAATAAAGTGGTTCAAAGATAGCAAAGAACTCCTTTCGGGAGCTTCTCGCTCAGTTTACAAGGATGACACTTCAAGCGTGCTGGAACTCTTTTCGGCCAAGACATCTGATTCAGGGAACTATATCTGCCAATTAAGCAATGACGTCGGGACAACAACCTGCAAGACAACTCTTTTTGTGAAAGGTCTGCACTTTTACATCCTGGGTTATCAGCTGCGATTTGCGCAGCTCAATCCTATGCATGTCTACTTGAGTGTAAGTCCCACTGTGTTAGATGGGGATTACAGTAAGTATGTGCATAGGATTGCAATCTACCTTAGTTTTTTAGTTGGTTTGTGTTTTTTAAAGCCAATTACTATTTTCTAAATAATTATTTTTAATTTTATTTTAGAGCCCCCTAGGTTTCTTCAGAAGCCTAGCCCTGTAGTAGCTTTGAGAAAAGGACAGTCTACCACTTTTGAATGCCAGGTAGCGGGTACACCGGAAATCCGTGTCCTTTGGTACCTTGATGGGAACGAAGTGCTGGACCATGCTAAATATGGAGTCTCGTTTGTAGACAACATGGCGACTTTTAAAGTTTCCAATGCTAAAGTGGAGGATAGCGGGACTTACATCTGCGAGGCTCGCAATGACGCAGGTAGTGAGAGTTGCAGCATTGAACTGAGAGTGAAAGGTTAGTTGCTAAGAATTCCTTTTCCAGTTCCTTCAGCCATGCAGTTGGGTTCCTCCCCTTATTTCTGAGGTTGCTTTGTTTTCTTCTACTACTTTAGAACCTCCCACATTTGTGAGGGAGCTAAAACCTGTGGAAGTAGTAAGAACCTACGATGCTGTGTTAGAATGTGAAGTCACAGGGACTCCTCCGTTTGAAGTGACCTGGCTGAAGAACAACAACGAGATCCGAAGTAGCAAGAAATACACCATGACTGATCAGCAATCTGTTTTTGCCCTTCATATCATGAACTGTGATGTTCAGGATGCTGGCGAATACCAGTGCATTATTTCAAATGAAGGGGGCAGCTGTTCCTGTAGCACAAAAGTCAGTCTGAAAGGTCAGTTCAGTAATCATAGTAGGGGAAAAGCCTAAGAAACATTCCGTTTGTTTTCTCACCTCCTTTAGCAAATTTTAAACCTTACCCAGGTTTCATTCCGGCTTTTTTATATTTTTAATAAACACAGAACCCCCATCCTTCATCAAGAAGTTAGAAAACGTCCACGCTGTTTTGAAGAGCTCTGCTGTATTTCAATGCACTGTGGCTGGTTCTCAGCCTTTAACCGTGTCTTGGATAAAAGACGAAAGGATCATCGAAAACGATGACAGCTTCCACATTACATTTGAAAACAATGTGGCGAGACTGAAGATCAGGCATGTTGACCTCGGTCACAGTGGGAGATACACCTGTCAGGCAAAGAATGAGTCAGGAGTTGAGAAGTGTTTTGCTTTACTTTTAGTGCAAGGTTTGTGAGTTTTGATTCCTATTCTGATTCCTCAGTAAGCACCAGTCTTCTGCCGGTTACTCATCGGAAGACTTCAATATATTTGTCTTTTTATTCTTACTCCAGAACCTGCTCAGATCATAGAAAAAGCTAAATCAATTAAAGTTACGGAGAAAGACCCAGTCACTCTAGAATGCACTGTGGCTGGAACACCAGAACTTCAAGTAAAATGGTCCAAAGATGGCAAACAACTCATGCCCAGTAGATATTACACCATGAGCTTTGACAATAATGTGGCTAGGTTCAGGATTGAGTCCATTATGAAGGAGGACAGCGGCACATACACCTTTAAGGTCGAAAATGAGTTTGGAAGCAGCACCTGTGAGGCTACTTTGTCTGTACTAGGTTTGTATTTTGTTTGGTCAAAATGGAGCATGTTCTTTTTCAATCAACATTTTAATTGCCTGTGTATTTTTCATGAAGAAGAAAGACTAAAGCAAGGAATCTGATGCTACTTACCTTCTTCCCTCCCTTCTGGGCAGATCAAGCAATCCCTCCTTCGTTTACCAAAAAATTGCCAAAAATGGATAAAATTCTGGGATCATCTATTCATATGGAGTGCAAAGTCTCTGGCTCACTCCCAATTACTGCAAAATGGTTTAAAGATGGAAAAGAGATACCCGAGAGTGCAAAATACAGGGATCTGTGCCATGAGAACACTGTATCGCTCGAGGTTAATTACCTAGAGTTGACAGATTCTGGAAATTATACTTGCAGCGTAACAAATGTTGCAGGAAGTGACTCATGTAGCGCCGTCTTAACTGTGAAAGGTTTGGATTTCTATCTTCTTTCTATACACTGTATTAAAATATAAATCTTTTTCAACTTCACATCATTAATATCTTTGAATGTAGATCTCATTTAACGTTATCTATATAGAACCTTTCTTTTCTTATTAACTTTGACACATGTTTTATTTCTCTTTATTGGTTTGCTGTGGCTTGCCAGGCCATATTTCTTGCGCCGGAACCTAATTAGTTTTCTTTTGTTTCTTAAAACCTTTAGAGCCACCAAGCTTCTTGGTAAAACCAGAAAGTCAATCAGCTATACCTGATTCAACAGTGGAATTTAAGGCATCTTTAAAGGGAACACCGCCTTTTAAAATAAAGTGGTTTAAAGAAGATTTAGAACTTGTGTCTGGACCTAACTGTTTATTTGGGATTGAAGGGTCAACTGGTTTCTTAAATCTTTATTCTGTGGATGTATCAAAAAGTGGAAACTATACTTGCCAAGTTTCCAACGATGTTGGCAGCGATTCTTGTACAACCACACTGAGCATAACAGGTGTGCTAATGTGTTCTGTGCTGCTCTTTTCTTAATTGTCTTCTGCAGTCTTTTGTGTAAATGTTTCTGGGCTACTTTTCTTCCTGCATTGCTAAAACTAGAAGTTAAGCGCCCTTTTAGATTTCTCTCCCCTCTTATTCTATATACCTTTCAACACAATCTCTCTTTTCTTCCGATTTACCTTGCTTTCATTTTTCTTCCGTTTCCCAGAACCTCCAAAGTTCATTAAGAAGCTAGACCCGTCTAAAGTTATTAAACAGGGTGACTCCACACGACTTGAATGTAAAATCAGTGGCTCTCCGGAAATCAAAGTGGTATGGTACAGAAATGACACTGAAGTCCATGCCAGCGAAAAATTCCAGATGTCATTCACAGATTCTGTGGCAGTCATTGAAATGAGGCATCTTGGTGCAGACGATAGTGGAGATTACATATGTGAAGCACAGAACCCTGCTGGCAGGGCAAGCTGCAGTACTAAACTCCTAGTCAAAGGTTAGCAAACATGCCTTGGCAGACTTCCTTCTCTTTGACTAACTATCCCTAAAAAGATTGAGATTAGCTCATTCTGATTCTTGTATGGCTAAGCTAACTGTTAGATTGCTATAGCTGCCCATTGTGGACAGGGTCCTATTTCTCATCTAATTAACCTCCAGGTTAATTTTAAACAAGTATTCTCTAACCTGTGGCTTTCACTCTTTCAAGAATTTTCAAAGGGATGTGGTGTATTTACTATTATTTATTTAGGTTATTTAATTATTGCAATATTTGTATGCCACTATTAAACCAAAAAACCAAAGTGGTCTACAACAACCACATAGTAAAAACTACATTTAAAAAAAAAAAACAACAACCCAGAGATCATCAATTAGCTATTAAGAGAAAGATGTTTTCTTAATTACCTGCATAAACTTGGTGGCAATTATAACCCACTCTTCATTAACGTCAATGAGTGGGGTACTTAAATCAAGGCTGCAACCATAAGTCATTCAAATTTGCACCACAACACTGAGAGGGTGACAAAACATCCCCTCCAGTCAACTAATCAAATGCTTGAGTAGATGTCAGGGTTGGCGTCCACTGAATCTGCAAGAGGCGGCAGTGACCATTACACCTCTCTGCCTGTTACAGAAAGGATAAGTAATTAGTCAGTAGGACTACATTCCATGTGAAAGGAGGAGAAAATGGGTGTTAAATGCATTCCTGCACTCACCCTTTTGGCTCAGCATTCTAGGATGGTTATTGCTTTTATTACTGAAATGGCCAATTACCCTATTCTGGGTGGGCAACAGTTGTGGCCTCTTGCGGGCTGGCTGCCAGCCATTCCAAGTGCTGGGACTCGCGTGCACATTGAAGATCATCCGGCCCACCGCATTGCAGGGTGGGATTGCCCGCCAAATACACTAAACTGCCCAATCATGGGCATCTTAGTGGGCGGAGCTTTGCTGGAGGACTGGAACATGCATGCTTCCATTCCAGTCAGTTGGCTACCCTTAAAAACCAGCTGTGAAAAGAAAAGGTGCTTCTTCTGCTGCATGCATGCCTTGGCACTGGAACAGATACATATATGGCAATTCTCACATTATATTCATATTAAACTAGCAACATATATATTGAGGTAACTTTCTTTAAATGATGCCTGATTCTTTCTTTCATCCTAGAACCACCCATCTTTAGCAGGAAGCCGTCTCCAGTAGATACACTCAAGGGTACTGAGGTTAGCCTTGAATGTGAGATTTCTGGGACGCCACCTTTTGATATTACGTGGTATAAGGATAAGAGGCAAATCCGTAGCAGTAAAAAGTACAAAGTCACATCCAAAAACTACCATGCAAGTGTTCACATTCTGAATATTGAAGTATCTGACATTGGTGAATACCAGTGCAAAGCTCAGAATGATGTCGGAAGCGACACTTGCGTTTGTATGGTAAAACTTAAAGGTAGGTATTATTTGAGGAAATACGATGTGCAATCATCGTTGTCTTTATAGAAATGCACAATTCTTGTTGGAACTCTTGATGCCCATTGGCTCTTTCCTCTTCAGAACCACCAAAATTCGTGACCAAAATTAACAACCTCACTGTTGTGGTGGGTGAACCAGTAGAATTGCAGGCCACCTTGGAAGGCTCTCAGCCGATTTCGGTGACATGGCTCAAGGACAAAGAAGAGGTCATCAGAGAAAGTGCTAACAGGACAATAACATACGTGGAAAATGTTGCCACTTTGCAGCTTGCCAAAGCAGAACCAGCAAGCGCTGGGAAGTATATCTGTCAAATCAGTAATGATGCCGGAACCCGAGAGTGCATAGCTACTTTAACCGTTCTAGGTTGGTAATGACACAAACTTGGCTTTTTATTTTCTTTAAAAAAGAGAGAGTTACTTTTAAAAGTTGGGAAGGCTAAATAACATTCAGAGCCTTGAGGATGAGAGAGGGAGGGGCATGCCATCAGTGTACATGGTGCATTACAGAGTATTGGAGAATGGGTTCTGAAGCAAATAGTTCAGGTAACTATTTGGGGGTTTCATACTGGTCTGCTCCTATTGGTTGGGCAGTCAGCTCCTCTTCTCTGGGAGACAGATAAGTGGCACGGTGGTGTTTACTGTGTTTCTCAATTCTACAAAAGAAGAGCCATTAATAGCTTTGTAGTGGCTCCTTTCCAAAGCAGAAAACTGTGGCTTTAGAGAAGTGATTTCTGTAATTGCAGTATTAAGCCATGTGGCTAAGGAGACACTGATATTCACAGGCAGATATTGCTTGGATCTCTTTCCAGAGCCAGCTGTTATCACTGAGAAGGCAGAACCAATGAAAGTCACCGTCGGAGACATTTGTACCCTAGAGTGCAAAGTGGGTGGAACACCAGAACTTTCAATAGGCTGGTTTAAGGATGGAAAAGAATTAACAACTAGCAACAAATACAAAATTACCTTCTACAACAAAGTGTCCACACTTAAAATTATTGATTCAGAAATGGAAGACAGTGGCTTATACACTTTTGAGGTGCAGAACAATGTTGGCAAAAGCAGCTGCACGGCTTCCGTTGATGTTCTGGGTCAGTTCTGTTGCTTCTCTTCATTGTATTCCCACCAGGAAATGGTTCTCCTTTGTGAGGTCCTCATTTTCTTTTGTTTACCTCCTCTTACACAGATCGGATTATTCCACCTTCTTTCACAAGAAAACTTAAAGAAACTCATGGTGTACTGGCTTCTTCGGTGATTCTTGAGTGCAAAGTGGCTGGATCCCTTCCCATTACAGTTGCTTGGTTCCATAATGGACATAAAATCACTAGTGGGGAAAAACATCAAATCTCATTTTCAGACAATGTTTGCAGTTTGCAGATTGGTTCACTGAACTCATCTGATACAGGAACTTATGCATGTAAAGCTGCTAATGTGGCAGGCTCTGATGAAACCAAGGCTGCTTTGATTGTACAAGGTCAGTATTCAATAAGTGGCTAACACTTTGCAGAAATCTTCCATAATCTTTATTCTTGCAAAATTGCATTCTCTTGGTGCTGTGATTTGAGGAAAGTTTTATTTTAACTTTGATTCCTTCATTATCGACTGATCTGTTGTCACTTTCGATGCTTCTTTAGAACCACCCTCTTTTGAGAAGGTACCTGAATCTGTGGATATTTTACCAGGCAAAAGTGTTACATTTTCTGCTGTTATTAGAGGAACACCACCATTTAAGGTGAGGTGGTTTAGAGGCGTCAATGAACTCGTACCAAGTGATAAATGTAACATCTACTTGGAAGATTCGGTCACAGACCTGGAGCTGTTTGATGTAGAGCCACAACAGAGTGGAGAGTATACTTGTGTTGTGACTAATGAGGCTGGCAAAGTGTCTTGTACGGCACATCTTTCTGTAAAAGGTTGGTACAGGTTGCACTTTTTCGCTTTGGAATGTTTAGGTGTTTGTGCAGCATTGATGCCAATACTTGACTTCTTATTGCTCACTAGAACCAGCCGTTTTTGTGAAGAAGCTCAGCGACCATTGTGTGGAGCCAGGCAAATCCATAATTCTAGAGAGCAGGTACACTGGTAGCCTTCCGATTTCAGTGACATGGAAGAAGAACGGCGTAACTTTAGGCCAGTCTGAAAAGTGCAGCATCACCACCACAGAGAAGTCATGCATTCTGGAAATTCTTAACAGTACAAAGGATGATCAAGGAGAATACACATGTATGGTTGAGAATGAGGCTGGAGAAGATATCTGTGAAGCACTGGTATCCACTTTAGGTCTGTCTTTAGCGCCTTCTTAATAATATTTTTTTATTTAAAAACCTCATTGTTTCTTCATTGTAGCGTTCAGGTGCCATTATCCTAATGCTGACTCTTTGTGTCCTCAGAACCTCCTTCTTTCGTCACTCACTTGGGACCTCTTGAGGTGTCAGTTGGAGACTATACCACTTTGCAATGCCAAGTTGCTGGGACCCCAGAAATTACAATATCTTGGTTCAAAGGAGATACAAAATTAAGATCTACTCCTGAGTATAAGATGTACTTCAAAGATAATGTTGCTACACTTATTTTTAACAAAGTGGATGCCAGTGACAGTGGGGAATATATTTGCAAAGCAGAAAACAGTGTCGGAACAGCCTCTTCAAAGGCTGTCTTAGCAGTTCAAGGTGATTATTTTATCTGGGATTGGTTAAAAACTCATACTTACAGATCTTTCACTCTTTAAAAAACGTTTTCACCTGTCCAGATGCCTGCATAAGCCGTATGTTTATTGCATGCTTCTTTTCTTGCAGAGCGAAAACGCCCACCTTCTTTTGTAAGGAAATTAAAGGATACAGAGCAAACCGTTGGCTTCCCAATCAAATTAGTTTGCCGTCTAAATGGGTCAGAGCCTATTAGTGTTACATGGTATAAGGATGGTGTGCCTTTAAGAGATGACTTTAATGTGCAGGCCTCTTACATAGATAACGTGGCAACTCTTCAGCTGTTGCAAACTGAGATGAGTCACACTGGGCAATATTCTTGCACAGCGACCAATCCTGTAGGAACTGCTACTTCTAGCGCTAGGCTCACAGTCTCAGGTTAGTTTCATACCAACTCTCTTGTTTTCATCTGTTACGTTCAACCACTCTTCCTAACCTCTAAAAATATTTTACAGTATTTAGCTTTGCTGCGTCCGAAAGAAATCCAATCGTTCCTCTTCATTTTATTCCCCAGAACGCAAACAAGCTCCCTCCTTTGATATCACACCCGAGTCCAAAGATCTTCCCGTTGGAGAAAGTGCTGACTTTGAGTGTCATGTTACTGGAGCCCAACCTATACATGTAACATGGGCTAAAGATGGCCGCGAGATCCGTACAGGAGGAAACTATGCCATTACCTTTGTAGCAAATACAGCCCATTTGAGAATTCTGAGAGTAGGCAAAGGAGACAGCGGACAGTATACTTGCCAAGCTAGCAATGATGTTGGGAAAGACTTTTGCTCGGCTCAGCTTAATGTGAAAGGTATTTGAATTTAAGTTGGCTGATCTTTTATGCAGAAAAGGGATTTTCTTGGGATTTCTTTTCCACAGAATTCTTTGTTTCTAACTGTTAGAAGTTAAAAAGAAAAAGGCAGACCTCTTTCAAATTAACAAAAATTCATAGGAAGCTATCTGTGAGTATTTAAGTTCTGAACTATTTTCTTCTCCTTACTGTGTCTTGAAACCCCAGTAGAGCAAAAGAATAATGTTTTGTGCTCATAGAAATGTGATGGATTCTTATGACAAATTACACGCGCCGCCGGTTGGGATTTACAGATGCCCACGTTAAATGTAGCTTTTATAGCATTCTTTGATTTTTGCTGTTGTAAAAGTCGAGGTGGATTTGATTCATTTACAGTTTATGTATAATTTACATTCTAAAAAATAGTTGCATGGGAAAATATACATAGATAGCTTGATCCATTAGCAGGGATTTACCAAGAGTTTTGCACACCTCTCCAGTAGATGTCGACAAGTTGAAAGGGGAGTAGGGAAATAGCAATTGACCTCTGCACTCATGCACCTGTCAGGGATGTCATCTTAGCATCCCACCCACAGGCTGAAATTTTGAGAGGGCTTTGAGTGCCAGTCAACAAACAGATGAGATGGAAGCAGATGGAACGCCTGGGCACAGATAGGCTCCTTCCTCCCCTCCTCCAGTTTATGGTACCTGGGAGAGGCTTATCTCATAAGTATTGCTTCTCAAAATATCCATCTGTTTTGGGGAGCACAGGTGCAGGAGAAGAGTTCTCCTATGTTGAGTCTGGGTGCTAATTTCCCGCCAATCTCCCTTCTTTGTACTGGACTGGCATTAAGGGAGGCATGAGGAAACAAAGGCTGTATTTTGCTGTGTTTGCTGTTCAGCGAATCAGTGCCATGGCTTATTTCAGCAGAAATGTCAGAATTTTTGCAGTTGTTGTTTATTTTTTATGGAGGTTTCTCATACACTTACTAATTTTTGTTGTTATCCTCCTTGATAATACCATATTATGATTTCCACTGCAAATTTTTTTTGGCTTGTTCTTAATTGTTCTTATTCCTCTCCATATTGAATGTTACTTTCCTTCCGGCTTCTCAGAACCTCCTAAATTTGTGAAGAAACTGGAACCATCAAGAATGCTGAAACAGGGCGATTCATGTCAACTTGAATGCAAGATCAGTGGTTCCCCAGAAATCAGAGTTGTGTGGTACAAGAATGACCACGAAATCCATGCTAGCGACAAGCACCGTATGGCATTCAGTGACGGCACAGCAGTGCTGATCATTGTTGATGCTACCCATGAGGACAGTGGAGATTACATTTGTGAAGCGCTTAATTCTGCTGGCACCGCAAGCTGCAGTACAACGGTCACAGTGAAAGGTTAGAAGCCAATGTCTACTCTGACTTCCTCCACTCTACCCAACCCTTAGGAGCACTGGAAGGTGTTTTGTTTTTCCCCCATACGGGGTCAGACCACTGGTCCATCTACCTCAGTGTTATCTTCACTGACTGACAGTGGCTCTCCAGGATTTCGGTCAGGACTCCCTCCCAGCCCTACCTGCAGATGCTAGGGAGTTGAATCTGAGGTCCTCTTCATTCAAAGTAGATGCTCTACCAGTGAGCTGCAGGCATTCCTCTACTTTACCCTTAAATGGTTGGATGATAATGCTATAATGCTGGGAACGCATAGTCAAAAGTACTGACAAAGGACTGAGATGTCTGAAATCCAAAGACTCCTCGACTGTAGTGAAAATGGTAGCAGGGCTGATGAGGAGGCCAGGCACACTATGCAAATAGATATAGTAAAGCAGTCTTGAAAATTTTAAGAGTGGGAGAAGCAGTCTTAGAGGATCATTGGCCCCTCCAGCCCTTACCTATCACTGGCCTCTGTCAGAAATTACAGAACTGTGAAGTAGCACAGGACAGAAAAGAGTAAAAACTATTATTATTATTATTATTATTATTATTATTATTATTATTATCATCATCATCATCATCATCAGTGCTTTTTTTCTGGGGGGATGCAGGGGTACGCATACCCCTAAACATTTTGTAAATCTAAGTTTGGCCTCATTGAGGGGCAGTATTTCAATATGAGTAGGAAAATGAGAGTACCCCTGAGCATTTTTTTTAGGAAAAAAGGCACTCATTATTATCATTATTCCCTGCCTGTTTCCTTCACTGGACTCAAGGTGGCTTACAGATAAAAATAAGAACCACTAACAACACAGAAAAACGATCATTAAAAAACAATTAAACATTGACAGAATTAAAGCTATATACATATCTAAACATCTGTTAAACCCATACCAATAATTACCATAAAAACAACACAGCACCAGCCCTTTCACTAAAAGCAGTCAGTTCCCAAAATCCTGTTGGAACAAGAAAGTCTTCACTTGCTGGCTGAAAGACAAGAAGCAGGAAGCCAGCCTAGCTTCTCTAAGGAGGGAGTTCCAAAACAAGTCTGGGAGCAGCCACCAAGAAGGCCCTCTATTCCCTGAAAATTCAGTTTACAGGCAGTGAAAGGTTTAAAGATAACCTATGCCTCAGTTAGGATATACTCCTCAAGCATCTGATTAATAGCTAGGAAGTTGACAAGAAGAGGCAACAGGTGAACGGATCAAAGAAGTGGGTGATAATGCAAGATATGAGGTTACAGGAGTAGGAGGACCAGTTTTCTCCTGTGTGTGCCAGCTACACAATCTGCCAGGTGATCGTCTGTTACTTCCTAGCAACACTCTGTAGTTAGATAAGACATAAGATGTGAATTGGGGAAAGAGTTACAGGATTTCTTCTGTTTAAAAATAAAATAAAATACAGTACTTATAGGGATAAGAAGGAGGACCATAAGAAAATAAACCTTTGGCCATGGAAGGTTTAGAGCATGTGTTTGAGGGTGTCAGTTTGAGAATAGCAGATGTGGGAGTGGAAAACGTTATGCGTAGGTACACACCCATGCTTATTAACTGCATTTATTTGGAAAACTCAGTGCCACATGCAACAGGAATTTGTGGGGGGGATGCCAAAGTTTCCAAGCAAGACTTTGCAGCTTTAGAAATAGAAATGACCTAAAACTGACCTGCTATGCACTTGGGAGAACTAGAGAGAGAATCTTCTTAGGCACCTAAATGGGGATTTACAAGCATACCTCCTGCCTTCTGTTTCTGGATGTCTTGCCCCTGTTAGCAAGAAACCCCTCCCAGGAGTCCCGTTACATGTCCTCGTCTCCTTTCTTTTATAGAACCTCCCGTTTTTAGCAAGAAACCCAGCCCCATAGACACACTCAAGGGCTCCGATGTCACCCTCCAGTGTGAAATAGCAGGCACACCGCCATTCGAAGTCGTCTGGTTCAAGGACAGAAAGCAAGTCAGGAGCAGCAAGAAGTTCAAAGTGACAACCAAGAACTTCAGTGCCAGCGTCCACATTCTCAACCTCGAAGCGGCAGACCTTGGGGAATATCAGTGCAAAGCCACAAATGAGGTCGGAAGCGACACTTGCTCTTGTGCTGTGAAGTTCAAAGGTTAGTGATGAGTGCGACCGCGGTGCAAAGTCTGCGGGTATCCTTTCCTTTGCGTTTCTTTTGCGGCTTCCTTGCCACCTTCCTCTTACCGTAAGGAATTCTCTTCCCTGCCAGAACCTCCTCGGTTTGTTAAGAAGCTGAGCGAAACCTCCACCTATGCCGGGGAACCCACAGCACTGCGGGCCGTAGTAGAAGGCTCCCAACCCATTTCCGTCGTTTGGCTTAAGGACAAAGGCGAAATAATACGGGAAAGCGAAAACCTCAAGATTTCCTTTTCGGATAACATCGCAACTCTTCAGATTGCAAGTGCCGAAGCCAACAACAGTGGGAAGTACATCTGCCAGATTAAAAATGATGCGGGAATGAGAGAATGCGCAGGGCATTTACAGGTTCTAGGTTGGTACAGGCACCCATCCCCTTCTAAAGAATTGAATCTTGGCTGCCTTGGCCATTGCAGCTAATTTGCTTCTTAAGTCTTGGTTTTCTCGAAACTCAAGTTTTCTGGATTGTCTCCCTCATTCCAGAGCCGGCTGTGATTTTAGAGAAGCCCGAGCCCATGACGGTGACCTCTGGCAATGCTTTTACTCTGGAGTGCACGGTGGGTGGCACTCCAGAGCTAATTGCCAAGTGGTTTAAGGACGGAAGAGAGCTCACCAACAGCCGCAAGCACCAAATCAGCTTTTCCAACAAGGTGGCGACACTTAAAGTTCTCTCTGCAGACATGAACGACAGGGGATTATACACTTTTGAAGTGCACAACGAAGTGGGGAAAAGCAGCTGCTCTTCCTCCGTCGACATTTCAGGTTAGCTTGGGATCCTTTTTGTTTCTCATTTGCCCTTCTCTTCTGTCGTTTCTCCTCTTAAAAGTTGGCTCTTTGTTGCCTTTTCCTACGCAGACCACGTCGTCCCTCCTTCTTTTATAAGAAGATTGAAAGAAACCTTTGGCGTGCAGGGCTCCTCAGTTGTTTTGGAGTGCAAAGTTGCCGGCTCCCTTCCTATTTCAGTCACTTGGTTTTATGGAGGAAATGAAATTTTCCCAGGGGACAAATACGAAACCGGCTTTTCGGATAATGTCTGTGCTTTGAAGGTGAATGCTCTGGACTCGTCTGATACAGGTCCCTACACCTGTGCTGCCCAGAATGTAGCCGGTTCTGACGAATGCAGTGCCTTTTTGACAGTGCAAGGTCAGTAAAGGATAGACAAGGCATCCGTTGCAAATCTTTCGCATGCGTGTTTATCTTGCTTTCTTGACAACCTGTTTTATACAGATGTTAGCTACCTGGCACATTTGCGTTAACTTTTTAAATGTTGTGTGTAATTCTAGAACCACCCTCTTTTGCAAAGACGCCAGACCCGCTGGAGGTTTTACCTGGAATGAGTGTAACGTTCAGGAGTCTGATTAGGGGAACTCCTCCATTCAAAGTGAACTGGTTTAAGGGGAGTAGAGAACTGGTGCCAGGGAAAACGTGCAACATCACCTTGGCAGATTCATCTGCGGAGCTGGAATTGTTCGAAGTGGGACCACTCCAGACTGGAGATTACACCTGCCTTGCCACGAACGATGCTGGCAGTGCTTCTTGCACCACACATCTTTTTGTAAAAGGTTTGTCCAAATGCTATTATTATGGCATGTACACTTGTTAAGTGTGCGTGCATGTCTATGTGATATACACACACACGTAGAGAGACATGTTCTTGGTTTAACCACTTCTTTCATATGACTTTATCTTAGAGCCTGCTGTGTTTGTGAAGAAGCTGAGCGATTTCAGCGTAGAACATGGGAAATCCATAATTCTAGAAAGCACATTCAGCGGAACTCCTCCACTCGCAGTAACGTGGAAGAAGAACGGCTTAAACATCACACAGTCTCCAAAATGCAATATAACCACCACAGAGAAATCAGGCATTCTGGAAATTCTTAATAGTTCTACAGAAGATGAAGGAGAATATATCTGTGAAGTGGCAAATGATGCTGGGGAGGATGTATGTCACGCCCTGGTATCAATCATAGGTGTGTTGCTGTCTTAATAGTTGGTTAACTATTCTTGTACTATGTGCCATCTTCTGATGTGCTTAGATTGACTGTGTGGGTATTGACTATGATTATTTCTGCTGCAGAACCCCCTCATTTTGTTAAGCACTTGGATCACTTGGAGGTGACCATCGGAGAGCCTGCAACTTTACAGTGCCAAGTGGCTGGAACACCCGAAATTAAAGTGTCATGGTACAAAGGCGATACCAAACTAAGATCCACACAGGCTTATAAAATGCACTTCAAGAACAATGTGGCTTCACTCGCTTTCAGCCGGGTAGAGAACGCTGACATTGGCGAATACACCTGCAAAGCAGAAAACAGCGCTGGGTTTGCTACTTCAATGACAACAATCACCATCAAAGGTGATGGCTCTTTTTAAAATAATCGACCCTTGTCATATTACACACAATGTTTGTGGGTAATATGCTGAAGTGTGTGACCCACTTGAATCACAGGCATGGGGACGAGGCTCTCAGCATGTCTACAAGCTGCTTGGCTGAGCTGCAAGGAGACTGAGATATCTCTGAGTTCTTCCTGTGTCTCCGTGCAGCCTCCCTTCCTTTCTCCAAACCCTGCAAATTACTGAACTTGCATGAGTTCGAAAGGGATGACTGGATGAGGGTATGGGAGGCACACACAGACCTCCTATTCCCTGTGTGTGCCCATATAGGTGTGGGGGGCATGAGGGGTTAGGAACAGAGAACATGGCTCTGTTTATTTTTATTGGAATTCTCCACATGTGCAGGGCATACTGGCCCAGGTATTCTTTTTAGTATTCTTGCATGGTCCGTTATCATACCCTGCAATTTATTTTTTTGCAGATGTTAAACTTCCTCCTTCATTCACGAGAAAACTGAAAGACGTGCAGGAGACTCTTGGTTCTCCTATAGCCTTTGACTGCCGCATTGTTGGCTCTGAGCCGCTTGAAGTGTCTTGGTCGAAGGATGGGGTGCAGCTGAGAGATGACGACAACATTCAAACCACCTTCTTAAGCAATATAGCGACGCTTCAGATCTTGCAAACCTCCATGGCTCACGCCGGCCAGTACACTTGCACAGCTCACAATGCTCTTGGGACTGCTTCTTCCAGTGCCAAGCTCCTACTCACAGGTTTGTAAACAACTAAGTCCGAAGTTGTTGCATGCTGGTTCAGTTTTAAAGAACGTGAACAAGTCACAGGGCCGTAACAACAGACTAAGAGTTTGAAGGGAAGGCAATACGTCCTGCCATGCCTTTTCACTTTTTGGTTTTCTTTCTTTTCCTTAGAACACCTGAAACCACCATTCTTTGATGTGAAGCCTTTGCCCCTTGACGTTGCTCTTGGGGAAAGTGGTTCTTTCAAGTGTCATGTCACAGGTTCAGTGCCAATGAAAGTTAGCTGGGCAAAAGATAACCGTGAGATCCGCCCTGGTGGCAATTACAAGATTACACTGGTAGAAAACACTGCCACACTGACCATTCTTAAAGTAGGCAAAGGTGATGGTGGACTGTATACCTGTTATGCAAGCAACAGTGCTGGGAAGGATTCTTGTGGTGCTCAGCTGAGTTTCAAAGGTAATTTGATGGAAAGTGCTGTCCTTTCTTCTTCTTCTTCTTCTTCTTCTTCTTCTTCTTCTTCTTCTTCTTCTTCTTCTTCCCCCATTTTGTAAAAATAAAGACATGTTTGAATCTTCCAGCTAAAATGGGCACAAGTGGGTGGCATTCTGTATCTAGAGTAACAGCTGATAAAAATCACCTTGAAGTTATTTTCTTGAGCATGTTAATACCACACCGGGGTTTTCGTTTATTGCTTACAAGCCTGTTTAAAATTAGCAGCCTGTGGAAATTTATTAGGCCGTAAACAGGCTGAACATAGACTCTCCTTTTAATATGTGACACTTGAGTTGTGGTATCATGTTTTCCACTGAAGTGCGATTAAGCTGGGAAATCTGTGGTCCAGAATAAGAAAAAAAGGCTTGGTGTTTATTCGTGCGATAAGAAAATACAGTGTTGTATCTAGTCTTCTCTCTCCATTGATAGAAGGCTCTTGGATCCACTGGAGGCTTCCATCAGTGGAAGAGGGAGAGAGGTGATGTCAAGCAATTCTCCCTCCCCGCAGTCCACAACCTCTCATACCACCTTTCACAATGTTTCAAAGGATCCCCCAACCCTCTGGAACACTTTTGATGGGTGCCTGGGGCTGCTGCTGGGAGGGGAAATTGCAAACATTTCCTTCTCATTCTTCCAATGGAATCTTTCACTCAATCAGTCCAGCGGAGGGACACCACTGGATTGCAACCCATGCAGCCATTGGAAGGCATGTTCAGCCAGGTCCACTGCATTTCCCTAGCCTGGTACAGTTCAGTCGTGATGGTAGATGTCAATTCCTGGCTGTCTCCATGCATTCTAGGAGGAACACAAGGATGGAAGAGGAGCAAAATGTTGCTGGGGTAGTGAGCAATATTGACAGCCTCCTTCTTAAAGCTGGAAGGGAGGCTCAAGCAAATAGATCACAGTGTGGGTTACTAACTCTGGATAAAGTATTTGCAAGGGTATGTGCACAAGAGTTCCGCTGGATCAGATCAAAAGGTTCTCTAGTCCAGCATCGTCTTTCCCACAGTGGCCAATCAGATGTCTCTGGGAATCCCATAAACAGGAGATGAGGGCAATAGCTCTCTCCCACTGTTTCCCCCCAGCCATTTCTATTTGGAGGCTTGCTGCCTCTGATCTGATCCTGGAGGTAGCCTACAGCCATCATGACTTCCATCCATTGAGGGCCTAATCCTCTGTGGTTATATTTATCAGTTGTATTTCTCCTTTTTTTGTCTTAGTGTAGTATTGCATATAATGGAAATAATTTAAATTTTACAAGGAGGGGCTGATAGAATCCCCTGTGCTTCCATGTGTGCTTCTCCAGTCTTTTTATCATACCACTATGAAATATACTTCTGAGGCAGATGTGGTTTGAACTGTTCTTGAGTGCTCTATGGCTTGACTTGTAAGGGATCAGTTTGCCTCCGTAGATTGACCGTAAACTCTTTGCCAATACACTTTGATGGCTAATATAGACGACGCACATTCCTGAGATCTTGCAAAATTAACACAAGCAATAATATGTATTCATTTCCTTTCCTTGTTGTTGTTTTTTAATAGAGCCACCAAGGTTTATTAAGAAGTTAGACTCCTCCAGAGTTGTGAAAGAGCACGATTCGACTAGATTTGAATGCAGAATAGGTGGCTCTCCAGAAATTAACATTGTGTGGTACAAGGGTGAAACTCAAATTCATCCCAGTGACAAATTCAGCATGTCATTCATCGATTCTGTGGCAGTCATTGAAATGCACAGTCTGAGTGTTGAAGACAGTGGAGACTACACTTGCGAAGCCCAAAACGCAGCGGGTAGTGCGAACAGCAGTACTTCACTGAAAGTGAAAGGTCAGAACCTGCTCTTCCTTTGCTTTCTCTACCCTTCCTGTTGTAGAAGGTTGCAAGGGCTTGCCGTCTTCTACTAAGCAAGCCAATATCTGTTTCCATTAAAGGCCACTAGTAGGCCCCTTTATTTGGAATGGGAAATTTCTCTTCTCTCCCATTTCATTGCAATCCTTCATTCTTAATGGTGTGCTCTCTGTTCTTTCAAACGTTGCTCCTTTGCATTTAACAGAAATCCAAACCTCCTCTTTTGTAGCTCCTCCTGTTTTCCGCAAGAAACCGCGGCCAGTAGAGACTCTGAAAGGTTTCGATGTTCACCTTGAATGTGAGCTTCAAGGCACTCCTCCCTTCCATGTTTCATGGTACAAAGATAAAAGAGAAATAAGAAGCAGCAAAAAGTACAAGATTTTGTCTGAGAATTACCTTGCTAGCATTCACATTCTCAACGTTGATGCGGCAGACATTGGTGAATATCACTGTAAAGCTGTCAATGATGTGGGAAGTGACACTTGCATCTGCTCTGTGATGCTGAAAGGTTTGTAAAAGACTTTCCATTGCCATGTTTCCCCTGGCTGCTCCAGGTTTTTAAAATCTTACTCTCTTTTCCATCACTTACATATTTTCCACCTCTTGATCAGGACCCCCAAGGTTTGTGAAGAAACTTAATGATACCACTGCCGTTGTTGGGGATCCAGCAGAACTGCAAGCTACGGTAGAAGGTTCTGAGCCGATTTCTGTTGTTTGGATGAAAGACAAAGGTGAAATCATCAGAGAAAGTGAAAATGTCTGGATGTCATATTCCGATAAAGTTGCCATCCTTCAGGTTGTAAATGCAGAACCAAGCAACACTGGGAAATATACCTGCCAGATTAAAAACGATGCCGGAAGTCAGGAGTGTTTTGCTACTTTATCAGTCCTAGGTTGGTATAGAGTAAAAACAACAACAATACAAAAGCATACGGAAGAATAAATATTTTAACATATTAACATCTTATTTACAAATGTGACTCGTTTTGCATCTTATTCCAGAGCCAGCATCTATAGTGGAGAAACCAGGACCAATGAAAGTCACAACTGGAGATTCTTGTACTTTGGAGTGTACAGTAGCTGGGACACCAGAGCTGACTGCTCGGTGGTTCAAGAACGGACACGAGCTCTCTTCCGACCACAAATACAAAATCACTTTCTTCAACAAAGTAGCTGGGCTTAAGATTCTGAATACAGGAGTAGAGGACAGTGGAGAATATACGTTTGAGGTGAAAAACAATGTAGGCCAAAGCAGTTGCAAAGCATCAGTCCAAGTTTCAGGTTAGTTGAATGACTTGGGAATATCCCATCTGCATCTTGATATATGGACTTGTCTAATTCAGTGATTTAATATACTGCTTAACCACTGAAATTTCCAAGTGCTGTACGATCAAACTAGACAGCGGATAAAATAAATTTAAGTGAATCATTAAAGATGGAAAGCTTCCTTAAAATGCCTACTGAAATAAGAATGTCTTCAAAAAGCGCCTGATGTTGAACAGAGAGCGGGCTGCTCTAATGTTGGCTAGGAGAGAGTTCCACATAATTGGACCCACAATACTGGATGTGGAGACACAAGGCGAAGCCATGGACATGCCTCTAAAATGAAGAGAGTGCATATGCCTGCTTTCAAGATCCATCTCAAACTTCTTATGCTAATAAATAGTTTAATTATCGTTAAGTCCTTGGGAATCTATTACTTTTTTTAACTAAATAAAGAAGCCTGTGAAGACAAGCCATAATGTTTCTATCTTTGCTTTGTGCTCCACAGATCGCATTATACCACCTTCATTCACAAAGAAGCTGAAGGAAACACATGGGCTCTTGGGTTCATCTGCTGTACTTGAGTGCAAAGTAATTGGGTCACCTCCCATTTCTGTTTTTTGGTTCCATGATGGAGAAGAGATCACTAGTGGAGAAAAGTATCAAGCAACTCTTACAGATAACACTTGTTCTTTACGAGTGAATGCTGTCCAAGAGTCAGATGCTGGAAATTACATTTGCACGGCAACTAATGTAGCTGGATCTGATGAATGTGATGCATATTTCATTGTCAGAGGTAAATACTGAAACTTAGGGAGATAATAAGAACAGGATATCAGTTTTTTTAAGAAAAACAAACCATGCTCCTTATATTCTTTATATCTTTTGTAAATACAGCTGCTTGCCTTTCAACTATGTTTCATTAACCTCTTTTTTACATATGTCTAGAACCTCCATCTTTTGTGAAGAAACCAGAACCTCTGCAAGTTTTATCTGGGGCAAATATAACTTTCACAAGTATCATTAAAGGAAGCCTTCCCCTTGATGTGAAATGGTTTAGGGGTAGCGTTGAACTGTCCCCAGGACATAGATGTAACATCTCTCTGGAAGAATCAGTGGCTGAACTGGAGCTGTTTGATGTACTTCTAGCCCAAAGTGGAGACTATACTTGCATTGTTAGTAATGAAGCTGGCAAAATCTCTTGCACAACCCAACTCTTTGTAAAAGGTTTGTTCTTTGTTTCGGCTTCCTTTGTTTACACTGGAACAAAATCCCAAATCTCAGGCAATTATCTTAAACTTTTGCTCTCGTGTTATTTCTGATAGAACCAGCGAAATTTGTGAAGAAACTGAATGACTTCAATGTTGAGAAAGGAAAGCAGTTAATCCTGGAATGTACATACACTGGGACACCTCCTATTGCAGTGTCCTGGAGGAAAAATGCTATAAATATATCACAGTCAGAAAAATACAGTATCACCACTACTGAAACATCTGCCATACTTGAGATCTCTAGTAGCAAACTGGACGATGCTGGGCTGTATTCTTGCCATATAGAAAATGACTCGGGACAAGATAATTCACAGTCTACGGTCTCAATACTAGGTTTGTAGATTGTTTTAAAAGTGACCGCCCTTTTTCATTAACTTTATGGTTGTTGTGACACATGGAAGGGTCTGGCTGGTTTTGTAACTGAGTCTGTGTGCTTCTTCTCTAGAACCACCTTATTTTGTCAGAAGCCTGGAACCTACTCAGGTGACAGTTGGGGATTCTGCATCACTGCAGTGCCAAATTGCAGGCACACCAGAAATCACTGTGTCGTGGTACAAAGGAGACACCAAACTGAGAGCAACCGCTACCTCTAAAATGCACTTTAAAAACCAAGTTGCCACGCTGGTGTTCACTCAGCTGGGTAGCAACGATGGTGGAGAGTATATTTGCAAAGCAGAAAATAGTATTGGAGAAGCTTCCTGTTCAGCACTACTCACTGTTCAAGGTGAATATGGCAATATGCTTTTGAAAGCTCCAGAGACAATGATTTATTGCTCTTTTAAAATGTGCCCGTGCGTCAGAACAGGAAATGTATTCTATGCCGTGACCCCGGACTTCCTTATTCTTGTGCCTTCACGGTGGTGTGTGCTCATGATGGTGTTGCAGCAGTGATCTGGCTTTCAAAACTGCTTGTGCCCACAAAGTTTTGACAGTGGACATGCTGCTTCTTTCCAATCCATGCACATCCCATGGGTCCTGCTAAAATCCTGTAACTTTTCATGCCACACGTTTCATGTAGCATAGGGGGTTTTGTCCCACTTTTGCAGTGCTGTGGTGCAAGAGTGTCTCTCCAGGTTATCAATGAGGGGGTAACACACTGGAGAAGCATGGCATGGCAGGTAATAATATGGAATAATGTGTGGACAGTTTAAATCCATCACTATCGCACTATTATTGCCTCGATGGCATGGTGCAGAATATATCTGCAAAAGATCCCCATGTTTCTACCTGTTCTTTATTCCTTAACAGCAAATTTCCATAGATTTAATATAAACAAGTTATGATGCTTCACTATAGAACCATCTGTGTCATGGACCTGACTAGAACTTCTCTATGACGTAACTTCGTTCCTGCCCACAGGATTCAATCTTTCTGTTCTTGCTAATAGTGAATACTCAAACATCAGCTAATCTTTAAAAATGAATTCCATCTTCTATGCCATTCACTATTTATCAGTAATGTTTGAAAAAAAGACAATGACTCCCATTCAACTTTAGCAGCCAATTAAGCTAATTCTCACTTATTTCAATGGGATTTAGTCATCACTGCCTTTAGCTAGATTGGGGACATATGTTGCTACAAATGTGCATACTATTTATCTCTATGAAAAAATCTTAAGCAGTGGAAATATAGTACAACAACTGAAACATTCGGTCAACAACACTCCAATGTACAATATTTGTTCCCTTGCAGAGCTTAAACTTCCTCCTTCATTTCCCCGGAAATTAAGAGATATTCACGAAACTGTTGGATTACCAATTACATTTGATTGTGGCATTACTGGTTCCGAACCCATTGAAGTAACCTGGTATAAAGATGGCGCACAAATAAGAGATGGCTATAATGTGCAAACGTCATACTTAAACAACGTTGCCACTCTGCAGATCTCACAAACTGACATGAGTCTTGCTGGACAATATACTTGCACAGCTTCCAATGCTATTGGAACTGCCTCTTCTAGTGCCAAACTCATCCTTACAGGTTTGTCAAGTGTCAAATGTACTTTTCTTTGATATCATCAATGGGATGTTTCTATGGCACATTCCTACTTATGTGCATATCCTAAAAGATGAATATGCTGTGACTTGGGGCTCTTCCTGCAATTACCATGTGTTTCTTTCTTAACAACGTAGCTCATCTGAATTAACATGTGCAAAGTTACACCTTATTTTTACTTCTTCCAATCTTTAGAAGGGAAGACTCCTCCGTTCTTTGACATCCCAATTGCACCTGTTGACGCCGTTGCTGGTGATGGTGCTGACTTTGAATGCCACATTTCTGGAACACGCCCAATAAAGGTTACTTGGTCAAAGGATAACCGAGAATTGCGAACTGGAGGGAACTACCAGATCAGCTATGTGGAAAATATAGCCCATTTGACAATTCTGAAAGTTGGCAAAGGGGATTCTGGAAAATATACGTGTCATGCTAGCAACGAAGTTGGAAAGGACTCTTGCACAGCTCAACTTAATATTAAAGGTACTGGGTGCTTAATCTGTACCAGCTTCCATTATATCATATTGGCTTCTCTCTAAAGAACAGTGAGCAGATTTTCACATGTGGGAAGGGTTTTGTTTTTGTTTACTTCTCCCCGCATCTTCCAAAAAGTCACATTTGAATTTCAGAGGATGACCTGTAATAGTGTGTTATGCAGTGCAGGAGGTGGCTGTAGCTGGCATTGGAATCAACAAACTCTGGAGACCCCTCGTATGAGTGCCTTCCACTCGCCTTGGAGGTCTCAGAGTTCAAGCTACAATGACAAAGTGATGCTTTGGAAAACATCACATCTGTATTTTGACAAGACATACTGGAGGAAACTGAAAATACGCATTGAAGAGTGTTTGGGTGGTAGTCCGTGGCATGTGAGCGGATTTCCATTTGTCCATTGGGACTTCCCCTTCCTCTCCTTCCCCATGCAGTCTCATGAACTCCCACAAATATGTTCTTGGGGGGCACTCAATCCTCTGGAGCAGATTTGTGGGAGCACTTGGTCTTCGGGGGAAACCGAGAAGAATGGGAATTCTCATCATGCAAGTGCAAGTTTGTTCTGCTGGATGTGAGCCACTGACAGTAAACGGGGAAATCCAGGAGAACAGAAGACAGTTGTTCGGAGGGTGACAAAGATTTTTCTTCCTTTCTGACAGAACGACAGACTCCACCTTCCTTCACCAAAAAGCTGTCAGAAACTGTAGAAGAGACAGAAGGGAACACATTTAAACTTGAGGGCCGTGTTTCTGGCTCCCAGCCTTTGACTGTTGCCTGGTACAAGAATAACCAGGAGATTTATGAAAGCCCTAATTGCGAAATATCATTCAAGAACAACACTCTTCTCCTTGAAATTAAGAATTCAGGACAAGCTGATGGAGGTTTATATACCTGCAAAGTGTCCAATGAGGCTGGGAGTGCACTCTGTACTTCTTCTGTGGTTATTAAAGGTCAGTTGACAGCCTTCATGGTATTTATCTTTCTTCTTAAGCTCATAAGCTTTTGGTGTTTTCTGATGGTCTAATTGCGCTAGAATACTCATTAATTGCTATTACTTTTCTACATTGGGTGATGAAATCCAGTCCCATGTTATTTATTCATAGGACTTGCAGGAGTTAAACTGTAAGATTAGGGAAATAGTAGGCAATTCTTCTGAAGCTGTTCATTACTTGACATTTCTCTTATTAAAAATGTCCTGCTGTTTACTAAACTCTTTAATAATGCCGCTTTATGCATGCTTGAAGAGGCAAAAATAGTTTGAAAAAGACATCTTCCAGATGTTTTTCTGTAAATGCTAAGCCTTCTGAAAAAGTTATATTATCTTTTCATCGCTTTTTTTATAAATAATTAGTGCTCATGCTTATTGTTAACAGTGCACAAAAATTTCATCCATTAAAAAAATGTTTTGCAAATAAATCCATTATAGACTGCTTCAAAAGTTAGAAAGTGTTTAATGCTTCCCAACACTTGAAGATATAGCTGCATTTGTGAGAGTCTGATCAGATAAGCAATATATTGAGAGCCTGCTTTTTCTTACATGGAACTACTATCCATGTAAGGACTCTTTGAAATGCTTTCCCCCCCCTTAACAATATCACATTAAAGACATCAAAGGTGAAGGATTGCAACCAATTGTGTAATATATTGTTCCAACCTTTCTGGCTTGTACATCTTTGGTAGCTTGGTGTGAAATCATCAAATTTTGGGCTGTTAACATAAAAGGCGATAATGCATATTTTGCAGCTAATTCAATGCTTTCATATTCCTTTCTCCTTGCAAAATAACAGCTTTATGTGCTACCTTAACGTATGCATACTTCACACCTCCATTTTTTTTGTACTACTTCTACCATATAAATACTGTACTGGGAAAATGGAATGGATTCATCAGCATCCGCTGCATAATCTTATTCAAACCCAGATCTGTATCTTGTTATGGAAGAGAAATTATTACTTAACATCTTTTCTTCTCTTGCTTCATTATTTTGTCCCTTTGAATGGCATTACAGAGCCCAAAAAACCACCAGTATTTGATCAACCTCTTAAACCGGCAACAATAGAAGAAGGTAAAATCTTGCAGCTCAGTTGCCATGTCAAGGGATCGCAACCCATCAGAATCCAGTGGCTAAAAGCTGGGAAAGAGCTAAGATCATCTGATAAATGCAGCTTGAGCTTTGCTAATGGATCCGCTGTTTTGGAAGTCCAGGCAGTTACTAAGACTGATTCTGGCGAGTATATATGCAAAGCTTCGAATGCAGCTGGAACTGACTCTTGCAAGTCAAAAGTGACAATTAAAGGTACAGTGAAACTGAATGCTTAGGTGATGAAACAGTAACTCAAAATTCCGGTACCAGTCTATTCAGTATAGTGGTACCTCAGGTTAAGTACTTAATTCATTCCGGAGGTCCGTACTTAACCTGAAACTGTTCTTAACCTGAAGCACCACTTTAGCTAATGGGGCCTCCTGCTGCCACTGCACAGCCGGAGCACGATTTCTGTTCTCATCCTGAAGCAAAGTTCTTAACCTGAGGTACTATTTCTGGGTTAGCGGAGTCTGTAACCTGAAACGTATGTAACCTGAAGCGTATGTAACTCGAAGGTACCACTGTATCTCCCTGTTACAGTAAATAGGAGCAGCTTCACCTATAAATTAGCAGGTCAAAACTGCTTATTTTTGCTGGGCAGGTGACTGCATATCACACTACGACTTGCATATTCACATGCATTATTTCATAGTATTGCCACCCAAAATGCATTTGCTTCAATACCCTGAGCTAGTTGTTCCTTGGTATCCTGTATTTTATATGGGGTATAAAATTAAATCAAATAAAAGGACCCCAATACATAAGCTGGGTAGTATTTTGTGCATTTAGTCAATGGTCTCATCTATGGCATGGGTTGTTGTTTGTTTTGGTTTTAGTATAGTCCCTTTCTGCTCCACCACTTAATACCCTCAATATTCTTTTTCAGAAAAAGCAGCAGCTGCACCAGCAGCAGCTAAGAAAGCACCAACTGATGGCAAGCTTTACTTCGTCTCGGAGCCTCAAAGCATCACTGTCATTGAAAGTAAGCCAAGCTTCAAAAAAAATAGCCATCTTTCATAATACTTGAATTTGGCATATGTTGACTGCTGTTTCCCCCTGGCCAGGGACAGATATTTTCTTTACCACATTTCATTTCTTTTCTTCTTCATCAGAGAGCGTTGCAACATTTATTGCCAAAGTAGGTGGCGATCCCATCCCCAATGTTAAATGGATGAAGGGAAAATGGAGGCAACTCAACCAAGGAGGTCGCATCAGCATCCAGCAAAGAGGAGATGAAGCCAAGCTGGAAATAAAGGATACAACAAAAACTGATTCTGGGCATTACAGATGTGTGGCTTTCAATCAGCACGGTGAAATTGACAGCAACGTCAACCTACAGGTTGAGGAGAAGAAACAAGAAGTGATAGAGGGGGATCTTAGAGCAAAACTAAAGAAGTAAGTACCAGAATTGCTCTAAGTTTTAATCTGAAGGTGAGGCAGCATCTGAACCACAAATATAACTCTTAATAGCAGCCGTGTTCCACTGGACTCAGCCGGACTTATTTCTGACTAAACGTGCCTCTTGAAGTCTATCAGTCTATACCTGACCATGACACTCAAACTTCAGTCTGGTAAACGTGTAGTAGATGTTATGCAGCCTTTTGCAGCCTTTTCAGCACTAGGGACTAACAGAATGTTGTGTTAATTAAAGTCTGAAACCACAATTTGATCCACTCTCTAATGCTGAGGACAACAGCCATGAGTTTTAGAAAATCAAACATTATGGTTTAGGTTGTGCTTAATCATGACTAACAAGTCCCGCTGATTTCAGAGAGTCTACTCTAAGCATGATTCAATCCATATCCAATTGTATATGAATGAGATATCCCACAACGTGACAGCAGACCTACAGGGATATATCAGACATGCTGTTTTAAGGGCATGAATGAAAAGTTCTTTTTCCTGGTCAGAAAAGTCATTAAGAGAAACTTGTCAAGAAGTAATTTATGATTCTCCATAGCATGTTACATAAAGGAATGTAAATTATCTGAAAAGTTAACTAAGTGCAAACCTATGCATTGTGCACACAGAGGTAAGCTTGGCTGAGTTTAAAAAGGATTCTAGATTCAGGTAGGTAGCCGTGTTGGTCTGACGCAGTCAAAATAAATAAAAAAATTAAAACATTGTCCAGTAGCACCTTAGATACCAACTAAGTTTAAGCTTTCTTGTGCATGCACACTTATTCAGATATACTGAAACAGAAGTCACCAGACCCTAATATAAGGAGGCAGGGTGCGGTGGGGATTTTCTCAGAAGGGTAGTAGGAGATGGGTGATTGACTCAATGGGTATGGTAAACCTGTTGACGACTGTTAACTACTGCAATTAGTCTTACAGGAAAAAGCAAGGGATAGTATGCAGATGACCAAAAATAGCTTTAGCAATTCAGCAATTCAGAACATTGAACCATTCAACACGGAGAGCATATTTTATTAACAACACCAAAAATTCTGCCATTTCTATAGGACCCCAACTAAAAGGAAGGAAGATGAGGAAGAAAAGGCCATTGATATAATGGAACTTCTGAAAAATGTAGATCCTAAAGAATATGAAAAATATGCACGTATGTATGGAATTACCGATTTCCGAGGTCTCCTCCAAGCCTTTGAGCTGCTGAAACAAAGCCAGGAAGAAGAAACTCATAGACTGGTAAATACCGGCATATACATTTGCTTCAGAGTAATTTTTTGAAATGTGTTGTGCCATTATTGTTTAAATAAGTGTGTTCAATATTCCAGATATACAGTTAACCAATTACAGAGATTTATATTCTATTTTGGAACTTAGCTGTTGCTTCTGATGTCATGAAGGTTCACATTTGGGGATCGTTTATTCATGGCATCTTCACAGCAAACCCTACTCAGTGTTGTTCTCCAAAAGATGTCAATCATACCTCATCACATGAGGTGTATAGACTAAGAGGCATTGTTTAGGGACAGTAGAGTAGAAAAGATGTGCTTTTAATAGTTTTTACTGGGTTCTCTTTGGGTAACCTTAAGCATTTTTGAAGGATTGGAGTTGAGCTGTCCTGCATGTAAAGGAAGTTAGATCTGCAATGAATATACAGAACTGCTTCATTTTCATAAAGTTTTGGCAAAAGGGAATAGCTAAAAGCATGAAGGTTTTCTACCATTTTAAACCATGGTTTTTGTTCCAACAGGAGATTGAAGTAACACAGAGATCTAGAAGGGAAGAACAAGAGTTTGATGAACTGGTATCATTTATTCAGCAAAGACTTACACAGACAGAGGTAGTTATTGCCATATATTGCACAATTTAATTATGTGTGCTGACAACTGTAGCTAATACATAGCATAGGCTGTGCTCTGAAACAGTCAAACATATGAAAAATGTTTTTCAGCCCGTCACTCTGATCAGAGATATTGAAGATCTGACTGTAGTAACAGATGAAGATGCCGTGTTTGAGTGTGAGATTAAAATTAACTATCCAGAAATCAAACTTTCCTGGTACAAAGGCACGGAAAAACTGGACTCTAACAACAAGTATGAAATAAGAATTGAAGGTGACCGACACATACTTAAAATCAGGAATTGTCAACTTGGAGATCAAGGAAATTACAGAGTGGTCTGTGGGCCACATATTGCCAGCGCTAAGCTTACTGTGATTGGTAAGTGCAAAATTTCTGTTTAACACAAACTTAAGCTTTGATTTTACTTGGCATTTTCTAAAATATGTACTTGAACTTGCTAACAGAACCAGCAATTGAACGGCATCTGCGTGACACTTCACTCAAGGAAGGCTTTACCTGCTCTTTCGTCTGCCAGTTTTCTGTTCCAAATGCAAAATCCCAGTGGTTCAGAAATGGAAAGGCTCTTAAGATAGGAGGTAGATATTCAGCTGAAGTCTCAGAGAAGATGCACAGGCTCATTATTAAGGATGTGCGAACAGAAGACCAGGGGCGCTATACCTGCAGGTTTGACCATCTAGAAACAACTGCTGACCTAACCATTGAAGGTTTGTATATATCTTTATGTAAGAATAAGCAAGTTTGCGGGTAATCTTGACAAATAAGACAGAAAAGACAATGCTTTTGGGAAATCCTCTGTTTGAAGAAAATTCTGCTATACGTCTTCCCTCACCGCCCAAGATATCAGTCATGCTGTCATTGTACTCATTCTTATCTTAGCTTATTTCTCTTTGAACATTCTTATAGCTTGACTTTACAATGGGAGGGATTTTTCTACTCCATTTCATATTTGGCACTTTTATGCTGAGGTTTTTACAATGATCGCAGCCCTTTCCATTGTTACCTGGCTTGGCTTCTCTTGCTTCTGACACAACACTGTGCCAACAATCTTAAGTTTCGGATCTACTTCCGGTATACGAACTCGCTGTCATGGAATGCCGAATGCTCAGTTCTTTGTATAACTTTCTTTGTTTTTTGGTGGAGTCGTGTATGTAGGCGAAGCTTCATGTAAAGGAATAATGGTTACATTTTCAAAAAAATGTTTCCCAAAACAGCTGAACCCATCCAGTTTACAAAGACCATTCAGAACATAGTGGTGAGCGAATACCAGTCTGCAACCTTTGAGTGCGAGGTATCCTTTGATGATGCAGTCGTCACATGGTATAAAGGCAAAGTTGAACTCAGGGAGAGTCAAAAGTACAGTTTCAGAAGTGAAGGCCGTTGCCATTACATGACTATCCACAACGTTACTGCAGATGATGAAGGTAATGTTACACTATTTGCTTCCTTCCCTTGCTGTCACCCCCCGTTGCTGACAAAAATAATGTCACATAACAAATTGCCTTTGTGATTTCAGGGGTGTATTCTGTCATTGCTCGTCTTGAGCCAAGAGGTGAAGCAAGAAGCACTGCTGAACTTTATCTGACTACTAAAGGTTAGTAAATGCTTTCTTCAACTTAAAAAACAACAACACAGGACGTAAGATGGAAGGGTGGAAATGATGTCCGCGAAGTGGAAATAATTTCAAATGCAAATCTACTTTCTTCTCTTGCAGAAATTAAACTGGAAGTGAAGCCCCCAGGTAAAGAAAAAAAGCATGGGTGCATTTGTCTCAAATTTTATTTTTGTATTTGAAACACCAGAGTGCCCACACATGATGAGGTTCTCTGCCTGTACATTTCTCCTGAAGCCCCTACCCCTCTGGGTTGGATGCCAGTGTGGAGCCTCCCCAGATTTTCAGCAATGGCCTCTGGGTGTTTCTAGATGGGGGGTGGGGCTAAAAATCCCCTGGTCCATGCACAAAAGCCTGCAGCCTTCATACTAAAGTTAATTTCAGTGAGCATAGGCTATTTGTTCTTGTGTGTTCCAAGTAGGACAATTAAAGGGTTGGAGCCAAACTTAGTTGCTTGCAAATGAAAGCCACCCTTTTATCCTGAAAATAACTCATCCTTTATGCCATTTTTGAAGGCCTCCTAAACCCCTGGAACAGATTTTCAGAGGGTGCAAAGGACTGCAGAGGGAAGGCGGAATTGGCAAAAGTCATCCTCTTTCCTTCCGCCGGAGTTCTGCTCCCACTAGCAGGATGCTCCTGTCAGTGGGTGAAACATCTGGATCTAAGCCAAATGGAATATTTAGAATGGCTTTTTCATAAGGGCAAATGACTTAAGAGTCATCTTCTAACTGAACCAGGACAGTCCAGTCCATTCCATTCCAGGACACACTATTCTTTTCCTCCTGGTTTTTAATTTCTTCCCCCCTCCAGAAAAGTCAGCTAGCATGCTGTGGCCTCATTTCATTCCTTATTGTGCTGTGCTTGGTTCCCGTGCTTTGGAAATAAGTTTTTGCACTTCTGCAAACTTCATGACAGATGGGAACCTTTGGCCCTCCAGAAGTTGCTCAACAAGCATGGCCAGTGGCCAGGGCTGATGGGAGTTGTTGTTAAGCAACATCAGGAGGGCCAAAGTTTCCCCATACCTGCCTTAAGAGCTTTCCAAAGCTTTGGGTACCTCGTGTGTGTGTGTGGTGTGTGTCTGTGTGGTGTCACTTAAGCTGCCTAAGAATCCACACTTCTAGAATGAGTTTCTTATTCGTATACGGGATGCAGCCAGATTAATCTGATGGTCCCTTTCCTTGCACGTTTGGTTCTCCAGATATCCCAGATGCTAGAGTTGCAGTTCCTGTTGAAGTTCCAGCTGAAGGTAAGCCTTATATACAAAAGAGTCCGCTGTTAAGGGTGGGAGAGCAAGTGGTTTAGAACTTGTGTGCCGTATGAGTGTTCATTGATTGAATTTTCCCTTGCGTTTATCAGAAACTCCTGCTCTTCCTCTCTTCCTTCTTATGCCAGAAGAGAAGAAAAAGGAAAAAGGTATTACAGTTCTGTTGCATACATGCTCAGAAATGCAGATCTTTACATGCACTTTCACTTGCTGCTGGGTTCATTTTGGGTGGCTAATGGCTTTATCTATTTTGTACTTGTTTTAGTCGTTAAAAAGACAACCGTGCAGAAAGTCACCAAAAAGGTGGTTCCAAAAGCTCCAGAAGAAGTTGCCCCTCCTAAAGGTACTATTATAGTAGAAGTGTTGATTCAAATACTATAAAATTGATTTATAAGGGACATATGTTAACCAGTGTAGATTAAGGCATAATCACAGCAAAGGAAGGGGGGGAACCATGTTACTCTCATTCTAAAAACTTTAGGAGTTTTCACATGTTACTACAAATGCATAAGTTCTATATCAGCAAGCATGTGTAGGCTCTGTTCATGCAATGGGGTCCAGTACTATTTGGTTATTAAGACACAGCTCCAGCTTATGTCCCAGAGCAGCCATATGCATGTCTACTCAGATGTCTATTCAGCCAATGGGACTTACAGTCTACAATCTGCCCTCACTTATCTGGGAGTAAGAATTCAATAGGGCTTACATTGGAGTGGACCTGGTTAGGACTGCATTGTAAGGGCAGGATCCCACTCATGAGTCCTGTCAGTGGAAGACCTGCACGGGGACTTCCACTTGCACAATGGGGCTTCCCCTCTCCCTGTGCCCCCCTTCCCCATGAAACTGGTTCGGGAGGAGGGGGGAATCAAGACAACCCTCAGAACAGCACACAGTGGGAAGAGAGGGGGGTCGTTCTGTCTGGCAAGTCAAAATGTTTCCCCTGGTGGAACAGTTGTCCTAGCATGACATTGAATTCCTCCCTAGCTGTGGATGGCTTTAAAAGAGTATTAGGCAAATTAATGGAGGGGAAGACTGCCAGTGGCTACTAGCCATGTGGAGAGCCAGTGTGGTGTAGTGGTTAAGAGCGGTAGTCTCGTAATCTGGGGAACCGGGTTCGCGTCTCCGCTCCTCCACATGCAGCTGCTGGGTGACCTTGGGCCAGTCACCCTTCTCTGAAGTCTCTCAGCCCCACTCACCTCACAGAGTGTTTGTTGTGGGGGAGGAAGGGAAAGGAGAATGTTAGCCGCTTTGAGACTCCTTAAAGGGAGTGAAAGGTGGGATATCAAATCCAAACTCTTCTTCTTCTTCTTCTTCTTCTCTACTCCACTTCTACCACAGTTGGAGGAAGCAATGCTTCCGAAAACTAGTTGCTGGGAGCCACAGGAGAGGAGAATTGCTCTTGTGCTAATGTTCTGCTCCCTGGTTTCCCACAGGCATCTGGTTGGCCACTGTGAGAACAGGATTTTGGATTAGATGGGCCATTGGCCTGGTTCAGGAAGCTATTATTAGGTCTTGTGTGTATGTGGTTGCAGCCTCAGTTGGGTTGTCGCTGCTGAATTTGACAGAAGACTCAATTAGCAATATTTGTTCCCGAGATTTGTTCCTCTGCCATGTGTCTTTAAATGTTAACGAGAATGTCGTACGTCTTAACAATACAAGCGAAGATCTCAGTCCAGTTTCATCTGACTGATGTTAATGAGACCAGATGAAATTAAATCCAAAGGCTAGTTCATGATGCTCAATCAAGCCGCTTAGCAGACATATCTGTAAATGTTTCAGAAGTGGTAAAGGAACCAGAACTCCCATCTTCGGCCCTAGTCCCAGTTCCAAAAGTACAGGAAATTATTCCAGCAGAAGGTAAAGAATCAAATACTGAAATGCGCATACTAAGAAAATAATCTTTTATGGGGAGAATGGCATCCACTCCCTCTGTTTTATTGCTTTGGCCATTTAAAATGTGGCGCTGTCATTCTTCATTTTCCCTTCAGTCACCCTAACATCATTATTCATGCAAAGGTCATCCTATGAGTCCCTTTACAGGATTTCCAGATAATACTAATTTGAACTCTTTCTTCAATGTTTACTTCAGGAGCTTGCTACAGATAAGCCAGGGGATTTAACTATCAGTTGACTAGAATCCGCACTGAAATACTGATAGTTTATTAAAAGGACTTTGAAAAGACAGTGGGTGGAATTAAAGCAGAATAGCTTTTGATCTAGTGGAGGTGTGTACTAGCACAAGAGATTAGGAGGCAGTTTTTTCATTAGTTTTTTCTCCTTGCAGCCCCCTTTGCCACCTGCCACACTGTTCCAGAGTGAAACCTCTTGAACTGGTTTTCTGGGGACACAAGGGGCTGCAGCAGAAAATGGAGGAGAGGGTTCAGCAAAAAAAATCTCCTCTCCTTCTCTTCTATCAGTGGACACTTCCATGCAGAATTGTATTTCATAGGGATGGAGGAGACATTCAATTTTGTTTCCGTTTTAATGACAAACTAACTAGTTCACACTTTTTGATCCAATAGCCAAACTGAAATGCAGTTCTCCTTTGAAATTCACACTCCTTCAAATTTTGTGAGGTAGTTCTCCAACCAAAAATTTGTATACTAGGGGCAAGTGCACATAAAAATGCATAAAATCGTCAAAACACTTCATTATACTAGGGGGAATTACTTGCAAAAATATGTACATTAGTCAAAACTGCATGGGAAAATGTTGGTGGATTTTCATGAGGAATTTTTAAAATAAATAAATAAAATGTTGCATAAAGATAGGGAACTGAATTTAAGATTGGGAAAAACAAGAAGCTGAGAGAAACAGTCATTGACAGATTCATCTATCCCTAGATTTCACCCAGGAATTTCAAACTTTTCCACTGAGCAGAAAGCTTTCATTTAATTCATCTATCCATTCATAAGCTCTAATAAATCCATCTGCCTTAGGACAACCATGCTGCTGTTGCTTTGAGAATGACATGGCATTGAAACTACACGACGAAAAACTTCATTAGTACAATTTCAAAGCACAATAACGCATGTATGGAATGATTATTCTGAAAACTGCAAATACCCATATCAACCTTATTGGGCTATCTATCTATCTATCATCTATCTATCTATCTATCTATCTATCTATCTATCTATCTATTTATTTATTAGCTCCTGCAAAGAAACCTCAGGAAGTCAAAGTAACCACTGTAGCTAAGAAGAAAGAAGCAGTTTATGAGAAGAAGGAAGAAGTATATGAGGTTCACAAAGAAGAATATGAAGAATGGGAAGAGGATTATGGAGAGAAGCATGAATATTATGAACGAGAAGAAGGATACGATGAAGGAGAAGAGGAATGGGCATATGGAGAAAGACAAGTAACTTATGAGGAAAAGCAAATTCGCAAAGAAGGTATGTTTCATTTTTTAAACTTTCTCCTTTTTGTTTTCTCTGTGTTTTTGTTTGTTTGCTGCCTTTCCGCCTATATCACAGTTGAGGAATCTGTGGTTCTCCAGATGTTGATGTATTCCATATCCTATCAGCCCCAGTCAGCATAGCCATTTGGCAAGGATGATATCTGGAGGGTCACAGCTTCCCCACCACTGCACTATATGATTAATTTCCAATACCTCTCATTACACTGTTCTTTGGAGGGGGAAGAGAGCTCAAATGTGGTTGGAAAAGCTGCTGTTCCTTTTTTTCTATCAAATTTTGCTTTTTTTGCAGCAATATACTTGCAGAAAATATTTCAGTTTTTTAAAAATAATAATTTTTATTTGATTTTACAAGTGTAAAGGTAAAGGGTAAAGGGGACCCCTGACCATTAGGTCCAGTCGTGACTGACTTTGGGGTTGCAGTGCTCATCTCGCTTTATTGGCCAAGGGAGCTGGCATACAGCTTCCAGATCATGTGAGCAGCATGAATAAGCCGCTTCTGGCTTAAACCAGAGCAGAGCACAGAAACACCGTTTACCTTCCCACCGGAGTGGTACCTATTTATCTACTTGCACTTTGATGTGCTTCCGAACTGCTAGGTTGGCAGGAGCAGGGACCGAGCAACGGGAGCTCACCCCGTCACGGGGTTTCGAACCGCCGACCTTCTGATCGGCAAGTCCTAGGCTCTGTGGTTTAACCCACAGTGCCACCCGCGTCCCTTTACAAGTGTAGAATTATAATAATACAAAATACATATGCATATTTAGAGATTTTTCCGAATCTTTCCACCTTTCCCTCCATGGGTCCTATTATCAGCCTTTTCAACTACATATTATTTCATCGTCCAAATTTTATGTCTCTCCATTTTGTCCATAATATTTTTAACATTACAAGTGTTATTGCAATCCTGCTAAAGTTTGCATCTGCTTACAGTGGTCTCTCAAGTAAATTACTTTTCCCCCCTCATTCTTTATTAAAGTTTTGGTCCTCTTGGTTCTGAGCTTTCTGGTCAGTTTTGCCATTTCGGCATAATCCAACAGCAGAAAATATTTCAAAGGGATGTTCATCCAATCTAAATCTGCCTATATCTTGCCTTACAGATCATATTAAAAAAATAAGCATATTCTTTTGCATATGGAACAATGCTGCACTGCTTAAGCAAATGGTGGCCAGTTTTGATTTCCATTTGGGCCAAGAATACACAACTGTTAATATTCCCTGCACTCTTTTTCTTTCTCAATTATACAATCCTTGATGTTTATGGCATGAAGCAGGTGTAAAGTAATGTTCCCTAATATAAATGTAATGTATGTTACAGTTGTCCAGGTCCCAGGAAAGCCAGAACCACCTACGCGGAAACCACCAGAGATTTCAGCCAAGAAAGTAGAGAAGAAAGTTGTGGTAGAAAAAGGTATGGCCTTTAGAATTTTAGTATCAAAACATTTCCCACTGCAGCAAGCCCTATTCAGATTCTCACAGTCCTATTTTCTTTCCTTTTCTTTCCTTTTTAAAAAGTGCATATTCCCATTATATTCTTAAGATAACTTCTGCGTAAAATGAACCAATTTCCAGCTAATGTGAAATTATTTAAATTCCCTGTAGTTACACGGAAACCTGTAACCGAAGAGGTGGAAAGAAAGGCTAAAGTGATGGAGGAAGAACATCTCAAACGGGCCAGAGGTATTACTGAAGATGATATAAATTGCATGTGCTATTAATACATTTGCATCAATTTCATATCCATGAAATACATGAAACTGCCTTAACAGGTCAGCCTGTTTTGTTCATCTGATCCAGTGTACTGTTTCCTCTGGCTGGCACTGGTCTCCATGGCAGATGCCTTTCGTGTTATCTGCACCCTGTCCCTTTTAACTGGAGAGGCCAGGGACTTCACCTTGGACCTCCTTCTTGCAAACTAGGTGCCCAGCTACTAGCAGAGGGAAGGAAGTAGTGATGGGGAAGCAAATGGAGATGAGTTGTCCATTAAAAGCAAGAGGTTATAGTTAAGAGTTATGGGGTTTTCCCCAACCCCCTGGAGCAGATTTGGGGGAGGAACATGGAAAAGCATGAGACAAGAGGACTTCTGCTATGCATATTGAAGTCCTTGCACGAACAGAAAGACTTATTTGGATACAACCCTTTGCTATGTATTAATTTGGTCTTTTGTAAATTGTATCTCACGAGTGACACAAAAATGCAAGCGCATATGCAGTGTGAGGTTACATTTTCTGCATGTAATCTTAGCCTAGATGATGACCAAAAAGGTTTGGGACTAACTATTTATATCCTTTAAGCTCCAGAAGCTCCACCACCAAAACCTGCACGAAAGGTGGTCCATGAAGAAGTGGTAGAGAGAAAAGGTACAAAACACATTTTTATTTTTTTGGCGTTTATATGTAATCCCTGATCCGAATATTTCCATAATGTATGCATGCATTCCTACATCTGCACTCTGTGCTGACCTGCAGTGATTACTGGTTTTTATTAACCCATTGTGTTGTTCCCACTTCACAGTCACACATGACATTCTCTTTCTCTATGCAGGAATGGTGACCATGCCTTGAGAAATCCCCAGATCCCCATACACTTACCACAATTCTGTTTTATTACTTCCCATATCACGACACTCCAAAACACACCAACTTCCAAGCATGCTAGTGCCTCTTTTGTTTCTCCTTAAGGCTCCTTAAAGCCTGTTTTGACTCCAGTCCTGTTGTTGTTCTTGATCTGAGTTTGCCATTAGAGGAAGAAATGGTAGTTCTCATCACTATAGGGTGTGTGTTCTTTAAATGAATGTGGGGGAACAGGGTTCTTTTAAGTCCTGTGGGGTTTCCACAACACCTAGGCACCGAGTCTTGGTGCAGAATTCTTGCTTTTTGGTTTCTTTGTTTAATATCTTCTATATTCATCTAATTTACACTATATGTTACCATTTAATACAACTTCTCCTGTATACTCACAAAAGTATGTGTCCACTCTCTTGGTCTACTTATGTCTGCTTTTCTTTGGAAACAGGGATTTTGTACGTTCTCTTTGCACACAAAAATGCTTGAAAATGCTTTTTATGCTTTATGGTCTCAATTGTTACCTGTTTATAATTTTTGTTTCTCTTTATTGCTGTGACACATCCACCCTAATGGTGTAATTTTGAGCTGTGGTGCTGAGTTCACTAAATGTAGTATGTGGTGTTATGCGACTTCTGTAAGGATAGATTCATTGTCTACCAAATCTTTAATTTAAAAAACACTAAAGTGAATTCTTGCTTTTTAAAGTACCAACAGAACAACAATGGACCATTTCAGAAGAAAAGGTGTCTGTTTCATATCACAGAGAAGAAGAATATACATATGGTTCAGGTAACTATAAATATCTTTCCGCACTTCTTTTTTCTCCTTGCTGTCTTGTCTCGTGTGAAAATGGTGCCTTTTAAATTTGTCCCGATACAATGGTATCTTATGGATGTGGGACCTCTTTGCATTTATGGAATTCTCCTACTCAGAATTCTTACATTCTTTTTTACTTGATGGTAGAGTAACAAGTGAGGATCTGCTCCCTATACTGAACTGCATGGGGCAATACTCATGCACAAGTTTTGTGAGCACATGGGAGTGCAAAGATTGCTTAGGCTTGGTGGAATAGACAAAGTCTGTTTGCTGTTGCATTTCTTAGTTGTCATTTTATGTACCAATCCAGTATTATCTAAAACAGAGTGAAAGTACAGTTTTTACATCTTACAATTTTCTTTAAAGAACCAGAAGAGTATGAAGAGGACAGCTTCTATGTGGAATATCCAGCTGAAGGTAGATTTGCTCTTTTTCCAAATCAGTTATATCGTGTTTTGTACCATGCGAGTTCATCTAAATTGTTAACTGTTGAAATGTGTAGCTGTCATTGTACACCGTCGTTGATACTTCCTTGGGGTTGGGCATGTCTTTATCACTATTCAGATGACCGATATGTTGGGTGGTGGGACTTAAGATCATGCCTGGAATTGTTGCTCCCAGATTTGCAAACACTGTGTGGAAAGAGCCTAAGCACATACAATTTGTACACACCTAGACGCCATACGAAAAATCAGATGGACACTTAGAGGTGTGGATAGCAGGAGCAATTTTTTCTTCCACCAATTCATCCATCATCTTAATAGGTCTACATGTAGCATTTCAGTATTATCTAAACTGGAGGGTAAATGTAACTTTTTAATCTCATAATTCTCTTTAAAGAACCAGATGAGTACGATGAGGAAAGGTTCTATGTGGAAGCACCTGAAGTTCCACCTCCCAAAGGTAGATTATATTATTATTAATATTATTATTATTACTACTACTACAATTTTAGTATGTGAGTTTATTTAAACCAGGGTTTCGCAAACTTAGGTCTTCAGCTGTTTTGGGACTACAATTCCCATCAGCCATGACCACTGGTCCTGCTAGCTAGGGATTATGGGAGTTGTAGTCCAAAAACAGCTGGAGACCCAAGTTTTGGGAAACCCTGGTTTAAACTCTTATCCATTAAGAACTTGATATCTGCAGTTATTTATATCCTTGTTGATCAGATTTGGGTGTTTATGTATTTTTACATGTGTCACAAAAGCCTGTAAGTTTTAAAAAATATAATGTGAGGGTGGCTCTGATGACCACTATCATCTGATTAACCCAAAATTAATATCTTTAAAGTTCCTGAGGTGAGGAAGAGAGCAGAAGAAAAAGTTCCCAAGGAAGTGGAGGCCCCGCCGGCTAAAGGTGAATAATATATGTGCAATAATCACAATATCTCAGACAGGTCTCTAGCCTGCGTATCTTCTAGAGGATTGATAAACACACAGCCAAAAATGTGGCTGTGCTACTGCATCAGAAAGACACCTTTACAACTAAAATCCTACATATTAAACATTATACGCGGGTTTAATCTTCAATAGCCATAACTGTCTTTGTTAAATAGATACATGGTTTTAAATCCACGCTGGCATTTCAAACATTTTCTTCACTGCTATGAACAACTGTAGGCCTGTAGCACTTCCCTAAACCTGTTACACCTGTGTGTCTTTAAAGTGCCTGAGGTGCCAAAGAAACCAGTCCCAGAAAAGAAAAAACCTGCTCCTCCTCCGAAAGTAGAGGCTCCGCCAGCTAAAGGTACATCCATTGTCAGAGCTGATCCCGCCATCTTGCTTATCTGAACTCTTCTCCGTGCTCTAAAATGTGTCCATTCATGTGTTACTTAGGTGGCTTCGTGGTCTTTTTCTGCAAGCAAAGTGTATATAATATACATGTACTTTAGTGATGGCCAATATTCATTTGCTAAATTTCGCTTTGTAATGTAATGGACGCTTACTCCTTTCTGAGTGGGTGCATGTTGTGGTCTCTCATGCCATCCCTGGGCAGTGAGAACAGAGTGCACATGGCCAGGCAGCCATTGGGGAAATCCCCCCTCCCTGTCTGGGCATCTGGTTTGTGTTCCTGCCGACTGCTGCATCTCAAATTGGCCAATCAGTGGCTTCTCCTGGCTGAGAGGGCATTGGCTGCACACATGCTCTTGCAACCGGCGAGGCATAAAAGCCAGCAGTGTTTTCAAGCCCCAGCGCATTTGCCAAATTTCGCTTTGTTAGCATAATATCTTCTGCATGGTATGATAACTGTTAGATTTGCATGCCACGTATAGAAGGCCCTCATATAAACAAACAATTATGGGGATCAAAATGGGATGTATGCCCAGTGCGGCTTTTTTCATGACAGATTACCCTTACCTATTAACAGATTTGGGACGCGGGTGGCGCTGTGGTCTAAACCACAGAGCCTAGGGTTTGCTGATCAGAAGGTCGGCGATTCGAATCCCCACAATGGGGTGAGCTCCCGTTGCTCAGTCCCTGCTCCTGCCCACCTAGCAGTTTGAAAGCACGTCAAAGTGCAAGTAGATAAATAGGGACTGCTCTGGCGGGAAGGTAAAGGGCATTTCCGTGCGCTGCTCTGGTTCGCCAGAAGCGCTTAGTCATGCTGGCCACATGACCCGGAAGCTGTCTGTGGACAAACGCTGGCTCCCTCAGCCTACAGAGCGAGTTGAGCGCGCAACCCCAGAGTCGTCCACGACTGAACCTAACGGTCAGGGGTACATTTACCTCTTTATTAACAGCTTTTGCTTGATGCCTTGATATGCCATTTATCTCGCGTCTGCTTCTCTCCATATATTTCTGTGCAATCTTGGATGTCGGGCCTCAAATAGGAGTTCCAAGTTCTAAAACCTCTCTTTTTTTAATGATCAAGTGCCAGAAGTGCCTAAGAAACCTACGCCAGAAGAAAGAAAGCCTGCTGCTGTTCCCAAGAAAGAACCGGCACCCCCAGCTAAAGGTACTTTTCTTGAAATGAAAGCCACCCAAAGAACCTTTGTCCCCTGTGCTTTGTCCCCCATATGCAACCACTGTTCGGAATGAGTTTTACAAATCCAGCGTCTTTCTGTGTTTGGTTACCAAAGCTAATGTGTTGAATATGTGGGTGTTTGGGCTGCTGCCCATAGGGAATCTTAAATGGAAGTTCTTCTGGGTTAGAGCATTCCTTTCTAAAATACCATCTCTTCCTTGTTGTGAACTGTAATCAAAAAGTGTGAGATGTCATTGATCAGTTGTTATGTGTCCGGGTGATTCTCAGAATCTGCTTTTGATATCTTTAAAGTGCCCGAAGCACCTAAAAAGCCAGTCCCAGAAGAAAAAGCACCTGTTCCCGTTCCTAAAAAAGTGGAGCCACCTGCTAAAGGTATGAGACCACTGCTCATAAGCAGCTCTTTTCATTTGTTGCTTCAAATGACGTGTCGGGAAAAGATCTGAGGTCCCTCAGCTGTGATTGTTTTCGTGTCGTAATCGTCGTCTTCCTATATTTGTTCGTTGCTCAACGGCATCTTCATTAACAAATGTTCTTCAGTTAAACACCAGAACACTAAAGGACAGTGTGCAATGTTATCATAACACATCTAAATTCAGTAAAGTGCCCAGTTCACTTGATATAGGACCCTGCTCCTCACTTTATAATAGTTAGCAATATTCGATCGCAATATTCATAACTCTGATGTTTTTTTCAAAGTGCCAGAGGTACCTAAGAAAGTAGAAGAAAAGGTTCCTGTTCCAAAGAAGAAAGTGCCTCCGCCACCCAAAGGTACAAGACTCAAATCTTAAATACTTGAAAAATATATAAAACTAAATCTTAAGACTCTTTTGTTTCTCTCTTTGCATCGTCCTCTTACTCATGTGTGTTTTCATTTCATATTTGAGTCCTATGCAGCATATGTTTGTGTATAGTTGTTGATAATAGCTGTCATGATCTCTTAGTCTCTACATATTCTTACATATTCTCATTTTAACATTATTAAAAGTACCTGAGAAAGAGGTCCCTGAAGAAAAAGTGCCGCGGCTACGCAAAAGGGAAGAAGCTCCTCCAGCTAAAGGTATGCTATCCTTCAAAACAAACAAACAAAACATAACATAACGAAGAGACCATTGCAGTCAAATGCAGACAAGGATTAAATGTAAGGTATTGGTTGAGTTTAGAATAGATTTATGAAAGATTTAGAAAACTTATTGATTAAAATATTTGTGTGAGATTGTATGGGGAAAATACGGAATAACAGATACAATCTTGCTTAAAATGTTTGTACGAAGGGCAGTGTAAGCGATGGAAGTCAATCAATGAAATTTTATTATTATTTTCATATTGAGATATTTGTAGAAGAAAATTGGAACAAATTCTTCCAACTTTTCTTCTTCTTTTGTCTTTATTTCTTCTTCTTTTTTCTTTTTTTTTTCTCTTTTGTTCCTTTTTCATGTTTATATGCTTATTTGAAGTGTATATGTGTGTATGTATTTGCAGTGTTTTGCTTAAATTTTGTAACAATTATGTTCAATAAGATTTAAATTTAATTTAAAAAACCAGAAACCAAAAGACCATTGGTCTTTTACATCGGCACCATTATTTAAATGTCCTCTATATCTTTTTAGTTGCTGCCTCTTCTTTGTAGCCGAAATCTTTACTTTTAACATCATTGTTGCCACTTCAAAAAAAATTCTAAAACTAAATGGTCTCTTTAAAGTGCCTGAGGTACCTAAGAAAGTCATACCTGAAGAAAAATTACCTGTTGCTGTTCCCAAAAAAGTAGAAGCTCCACCAGCCAGAGGTATGCATTTAAGTAGTCAATGGTCTTATTATCTAAAAGAGCTTTTACCTTTCTTTCGTATGCTGACCATCATTTTATGTTTCGTACCATGTCACATTGCTTGCAACTGTTCAACATATTTTCATAGGGCAGGAATGGGGAACCTTAGATCTGGGGACCAAATCCAGCCCTGTGGGCTTCTCCATCTGGTCTTCAAAACGCTCCTCAAGCCACATACCCTCCCAAGGTCACATACCTCATTGGCCATGCTTTGTATCCTCCTTGAGCAAAAGGACGCGGGTGGCGCTGTGGTCTAAACCACTGAGCCTCTTGGGCTTGCCAATCAGAAGGTTGGCGGTTCAAATCCCCACGCGCGATGGGGTGAGCTCCCATTGCTCTGTCCCAGCTCTTGCCAACCTAGCAGTTCGAAAGCACACCAGTGCAAGCAGATAAATAGATACCTCTGCGGTGGGAAGGTAAATGACATTTCCATGCGCTCTGATTTCTGTCACAGTGTTCCGTTGTGCTAGAAGTGGTTTAGTCATGCTGGCCACATGAGGTATTTTTGCCTGGCTGGGATGGATGCTTAGATGGATGGATAATAAAGCGGGGTTGGTGAGTGTGTGTACAAACTGACCTACTGTCAAATTCACATTAGTTCCTCTCTGCACATTTGCCTCTGGCCCTATGCACCACTGATATGTGTACCCCGGAAGGTTGCCCCAAAGAGAAGGCAGCCCTCAAGCTGAGAAAGCTTCCCCATCCCTGTCAAGAGGGGACGATTTGCTTATGTTTGTTTTGCAGTTCTGTATTAGCTTTACTTTGTATGTTGCCTAGTAAAGAACAGTATGTAGTTTACTTGTCCGTTTTGCGGTTGTTAGTTGCACAAGTGTTCAGACAAACCTCCTCAGATGTCAGTCAGGAATCTGTATATCCCCATTAAAACTCAATGCATTTAATGTCTTTTAAAGTGCCTGAGGTGTCTAAGAGAGCTGTTCTAGAAGAGAAAAGATTTGTTTCAGAAGAAAAAGTATCTGTTGCCATTACTAAAAGAGTGGAAGCTCCACCACCTGAAGGTATATGTGCAAATAATTAGAACTGTGAGGAATTTAACTGTTTTCAGGCGCTTTTTGTTGTCGCTGCTCTTCACTGCTCTTCCCTGTTAACATCTGCCATTAGAGTTTTGTGTTTGTGTGTCTCTGGACATTTGTATAACATCTGACACCCAGGCCAGATCCTCAGAGGAAATGTCTTTTCTCAGATCCAATTCCTTGGTTACCCAGAATGTCAATAGCATTTATTATTTATCCATTACATTTTATCCCACCCTTCTCCCAAGCATCTCAGGGTGATATACATGGGCCCCCCTTTCATTTTGCTTTTGCAACAACCTAGTGAGATGAGTTAAGCTGAGAGATAGTAATTGGTCCAGTCACCCAGTGAGATTCATGGCTGAGCCCCACATTCTAGTCAGACACACCTATATCATGGTGGCAGAAGTAAATCTTGCACAAAGTCTTACAGAAGCCCTTGTGAAAGTGGAGGAGCTCCTATGGATCTGGGGTATATTTTGTCATTCAACGTTCTTCCATTAAGTCAGAAGCAGTCCAACTATGCTTGGAAAAGATTTTCATCTAAATGAAGATCACCTTTGGATCTAACCCATTATCCTTTCAACTTTCCATACTCTGTGGAAAGAAGTCATGATTTAGGGACAGTGTATACATAGGACACCTGTAGTGCGACATGGGTTTTCCTACATAAAACTCCACCTGATTTTTCTTGTAAGAATCTGTCCCCTGATGGAGTCATCACATACCACAGTGCAGGATTCCATAGATCAAGAGACCTTGGCAAGTCATCTAGACCCTTGCAGTAGCTAACTTTGATGTAGATACTTTGCTATTAATTCTCTTATGTACCTGTTGTAATGGGAAAAGATCTGAGATCCCTAGAATTGCAGTTGATATGAATGTGTGTTTCTGTGTATGCAAATCAGTTCATGTCCTTTGTATATGCCTGTTTGTAGTAATTACACTGACCTGGCAAGGGTGGTTATAGGACATCTAAACCCACAGCAAAAATTAAAAATAACCCATCTTTAAAATATTAACAGTGGAAGAATGGCCTGAAGAGGTGGAGGAGGAGGAAGAAGTGGAAGAAGAAGAAATTTATGAAAGAGAGGAGGAGATTTCTTATGAAAGGGAGGAGGAAATTTCTTATGAAAGAGAGGAGATCTCTTATGAGAGAGAGGAAGAGATTTCTGAAGTAACAGGTATGCCTCAATTCAACAGCCAGCAGCAAATGTTGTTATAGTATAATATCTGCCATTATATCCTTTGGGCTGAATTGAATGTAATTATTTAATGACCTTTTGAAATTAAGCCAGTCATTTGCTGCTTATGATATGATTTACTTTGTTCGGAACCCAAACAAAGGTTTAAAAGAGTAAATTTAAGAGTGCATACACTTTTTCTTTTCTTATTTCCCTCCATCATTCTTATTTTCACATGAAAATACAGAAACGGACCCAAGTGTTCTTTTCTCAAATTTACAAATATAGGCAGAGCACTGCAAGCCAATTTGTATAAGAATAAAAGATTCCTACATTCCTACACAGATAACACATATTATTTAGAGTAGCTCAACTTTCAGAGCCTCATTACTCTCCCAAGAAAGCTGGAACCACCAGAAACAGACAGAAAAAGAGCTACATATTTGAAAGAGATAGTATTTATTTATTTATTTATTTATTTATTTATTCTTTCATTCATATGATCTATTACTTGCTTATCATTATAAAATAATTCCAAATATTAGTCACCTTCATATCAGCCACGTAGAGCTAAACAAAACAAAAGTACATGAAATCTAACTTACCTAAAGCCATTGCTCCAAGAGCTATGGAATTAAAGGATGTGATCCAATACCCCATTTCATAAGGCTCCCCCCATTTATTACAAGAACCACTGAAATAGGCCCTTTCATGGATGTGACATTTTCAAGGAAGTTGAGATATGTCATCTCTTGCTGAAGTCACTGTGGATGTTTACATTGACTTCAGTGGGACCTGGGAAGTAATCTACTCACTTTTTTCCATGAAATGGTCAGAAGAGAGAGTATGGCCTCTGTTGAGAGGAAAGCAGGAATGGGGAATCTGTGGCCCTCCAGAGCTTGCTGGACTCCGAACGACCCCAGCTAGCATGGCCAATGGTCAGGAATTATGGGAGTTGTAGTCCAGCAATATCAGGAGGTCTGTCCCTGGAGTAAAACTACCTGCACATGTACTAGGAGTAACATGAGGTGAAAGTAAATATATGTGTGTGTGTAAGAGCTGTCACTTTCTTGTTTTGTTAATTGTATCAACATGTGCATGTCAACTATTCAACTATACCTTCTTAATATCTTTACATTAACAGAAGAGGCCTACTACGCTGAGGAGACAGTGCATGAAGAAGTCCCACCAGTTAAAGGTATACCAGCAACTCTTTGGTATTAAAGTATCAACTCTTCAATATAGATGTTTGACAGCTGTCTGTCCCATGCTTGTTACTATTGTATTTGTGCTTGTTTTTTGTCGTTGTTGTAGTGCTCAAAGTATTACGAACGATCTTTTTTGACTGGCAAGGACCTGTTTGCAAATTCCTGTGCCTTTCTCAATTTTAAAAACCCTAATTGCCAGCCATTTTGCTTTCATATAACACCTTGTGTATCTTTTGATTCGGCTGTGCAGAGATGAGTATGTCTTAGTGTGTGTTTCTCTCTGTGTATATAAAACAATTAGCCTCTGAACATTTCAACTGAATTTTGCATTGAAATAGAGATTCATCTCCTTATTTTTCTATACTGTTTGAATAACATGCACGGCGAACATAACTGATACTTAAATATTCTTCCTGAAGTACCTGAGGTTCGGAAGAAACCTGAACCAGAAAAGAAAGTACCAGTTGCTGTTCCCAAGAAAGTGGAAGCTCCCCCAGCTAGAGGTATATATATAGACTGCTTTTTTCACTTAGGCAAAATTAGGGTTGCCATACGTCTCGGACATTTCAAAGGCTCAACAACTTTGGGGTTTGTCTAAAAAAGCTCAACAACTTTTGGGGTGCCCTGGTTTTGACTTTTTGAAATATGGCAACCCTAAGCAAAATGCTTTCTTCTTCTTCTTCTTCTTCTTCTTTTTCTTTTCTTTTCTCCCCCCCCCTTTTTTTTTTTTGGTCGACTGTCATCTAAACTATTTGAGTTGATATTACTCTCTTTTGCATTAAGTGTGAGCAATTGCTTGTCTCTAAGCAATCTGGCTGTGGATTTACTCAGTGAAATGTATGTGTTGTAAGTTCTTAATGTGTTTTCCTATTGATGTTCAAATCACTCCAACGTTATAAAATTTTGTAATATTTTTAAGTGGCCAAGAAAGCACCTCCTGAGGAACGGGCACCACCTAAAGCAAAAGAACCTCCAGCACCCAAAGGTAACACACACACAAAATCATGTCAGTAATGTGTTTTGTCTAGATAGCGTCATGTATATATTTTGTTGGACCATTTCACATAAGAATTATATGGGTTTCATGCACATTAATATCTTGAGGGACTGTCACCATGTATTCGCCCCTCTTTCAATCTTCTGCCAGTAATGTTGTCAGTTCCTCAGTCTCTTACTGTCTCATTCATGTTTTATATATGGTAAATAATAGATCAGTATTTTTAAATGGAACTGAATTATATTCAGAATATATTCCTGTCATTCTGAGATGGAGCCACATGCAATATTCCTACCTTTGTTTGTTGTCTTTAAGTGACCGAAGTACATAAGAAAAAGGTTGTCACTGAAGAAAAAGTAACAGTCACTAAGAAGGAGGAGGCTCCACCAAAAAGAGGTATATAAAGTTTTAAATTCTGTGGAATTTATATATATGTATCTTAAGATTTCTTGGGAACTAAAGAACTGCACAGCAAATGCGAGAAACCCAGGGGACTCCGTCCTCAAATATCTCCCTCCATGACGCAGAGCAAACCACTTTTGAAACCGAATGAGCTTTCAAAGGCTATTTGTGATATAGCATAGAAGAGAAATATAGCAGGGGGAGAAAGAATTTATTGTTCAAACCAAAAAAGTTGTTTTTAGCGTGCCTGTTTCTTTCTTTGCATCCCTTCTTTGCCCTAGCGATCTAATTATGTTAAATAGTCTGCGTTTCCTTTTCTTGTTTTATGTAAAATGTCAAGATCTCGGTACTTTGAATCGTTTTGTTACCTGGTTTATATTTGTCACATGTACGTGATTTAAGTCACCTGAAAATTAATAATATCTTTCAAGTGCCAGCTGTGCCAAAGAAAGCTGTGCCGGAGGAGAAAGTCCCCGTTCCGGTTCCCAAGAAAGCAGTGGCTCCACCAGCTAAAGGTACACCTGCTTTCTCTGACTCTGCAAGAGGGTTTTTGAATAGATCAGAAACAGGTGCCCGCTGGAGTTGTGAACCAGCTGCTTCTGATAAGGAAAAAGTAAACTTGGCTAAATTTCACAGAAATGTTCTGCTCTGTGTCAAAACAAATGCAGAATATTAGGGTTAAAGTGGGACACGTGAAACGCTGGAGTTAATGAATTCCTGTAGGCACTTTGCCTGCACAACTTCTAGCAGCTGGCTTTTGCTGATCTGCAGCAGTGCATTGTGTTGACTGTGTAGTTTGTAAGGTCTTTTGCGATATTATTTTTATGTGGGTAAAACTGCCATGTGCTTTAGACTTCTTATTACATTCTTGTTTTGTGAGGCATTTCTCTGTCACTGTTAAAAGCTGTCCTGAATCTTAACGTCCTTCTTGAAAGTTTTCTGTAGTGTACACTCTTTTGGACCTTTATTTTTTTAAAAGAAGAAAGAAAGAAAATAAATGATTTCATAAATATTATTTCTGTTTAAAAATCTGCAGTGAATATTTTACATTATGATGCCTTTGGATAAGAAATAACTATTTCTGTTCTTGAAAAAGAGCAAATTCCATAAACCAAAAGCAGGCCAGTTAATTATCTAAGTGTATCATCAAGTTTTTGCTAAATGTATGTCTGCTTAGTATTATGTTGTCATGTTGGTCTCCTGTATTAGAAAATCTTGAGATATCAAATGTCTATGAAGTTTTCTTTGTCTATAATCCTCTTACAAGACCACCAACAGCAACACTTCAGAGAGAGGGTTTTAAATTCACAACGTGGTTTTCTTACATTTCCTATCTTTCAAGTGCCAGAAGTTCCAAAGACAGTTGTCTCAGAAGAAAAAATATCTATTGCTGTCCCCAAAAGGAAAGCAGCCCCTCCAGAAAAAGGTATACAAGCTTTGAAGTAAACTAAATCAAAGTACAAGTGGTTAATGTGCTAACAACCTGCCTATTAATTCCCATAGCCAACCCTAAGTTATTAAGGAAATTCATTTTTCTGCCCCAAATACATTTGAGAGGATATTGCTTTGGGCACTTCCCTCCCCCAATTTATTTTATTTAAACCTAGAAGGCTTGCCATAAAAGTTACATTTGTTTTGTAACTGCTTAATCATTCTTATCAAAATTCCCGTTGTCTGACTCAAATAGTGTTTCCCATAAGAAATGCTAAAGTTCAATACTCTGTCTTTAATAATAGTTGTGGAAGAGCACTGGGGGTATTCGGAAGAAATGTCTGTTTCTCTTCACACAGAGGAGGAAGTTTCATATACAGGTATGAACTCAACCAGGGTAGGGGAACAGGAATCCTAACCAATTCACCGTATAGATTAATGGGCAGGGTGAAAACGTAAAATGAACCTATTAAATCAGGCCAATGGCCCATCTAGTCCAACATCCTGTTTTCACAGTGTTTCATGAGATGCCTTTGGGAAGCATGTGGCATAGTTGTCAACTTTTCCCTTTTCTTGCGAGGAATCCTATTCGGAATAAGGGAATTCCCCTTTAAAAAAGGGAAACGTTGACAGCTATGGCATGTGGGTATCACCTCAGTTTTCGCTTTTATATTAAAATGAAGTGTATCTAAAGGTGTTCTACTGATCCATTAGAGGCTTCCATCAGCCAAACGGTGAGGAAAGTGATTTTTGCCAAATCCCTCTAGTTCTTGCAGCTGCCATGCCTCTGTGCCACAAATGTGCTCTGTGGGAGGTGGCATGGAGGATGCAGAGGGGAAGGCAATTTGGTGTAAACTGATGTTTCCTTCCCTGTTCTGCTGACAGAAGCCTCCACTTTCTCAAAAAAACAACAACACCTCCCGTCGGTAGAGGTACATCTTTGGAAACAACCCAATCTGTCTTTTTCTTACATTAGCAGAATTATTAGTTCTAGAACTAAACCAGTATAAATGCTAATTCACTAAAGAAGTTCACTGATATAAAGCAGTGGTGCAGGATAGTATTCGTGTAAGAATTGCTGAGGGTGTTCAACTTCATTCATGGTGAGGTAAAAAAGAAGCAGTTTGTTGGCCTAAACCACATGTAATGTCAGTAACCTAAACAGAGACTTGGCATAATACCCACTTAATGTAACCAGACTTTCAATGACTTCCATCCCTTTGATTTACCAGACATAGCAGCTTGCAATGAAAGTCCCTATGTATTATCTTGAAAAATTACTGTAGATTACTGTCTAGAGTATTTCTAAGTAATAGCACCTGAAGAAATGGGCAGCTTTCCAGTATGTTAGACATATAGACTCCCCTGATCCTAACAACAAAATGGTGTATATGCACTACACCAGTAAGAAGACGGATGTATAAAGACTATACCTGCAACTATGCGTTAGCCACATCTTGTCCAAATGTTTGTTCATTTGTCTGGCAACATAAATGTTTGTTTCTGTCAAATTTCCTACTGCTCTTTATGGCCTTCTGTACCTTTACCATCAAAGCTCTGAAACATAAATATACTGTGTCTTTAAAGTTCCCGAAGAACCTGAGAGAATTCCCACAAAACAGAAAATGCCCATATCAATTGCCGCTAAAGTGAAGAAACCTCCAGCTAAAGGTACATTTAATATTGTGCCAATATGTGCTCTTTGTGTGCCATAAGTGTATACTGTCTGCTGCTGTATATCTGAGTGTTCTTGTCCGAGCTTGATTCTTTCATTGCAGTGAAATTTGGTTCTTAGTATGCGTTAAATATATGTTAGCTAAGACTCTTGAAAATTCGTATTTTTTAAGTGCCTGAAGTCCGTAAGACCGTTACTCGAAAAGAAGTGGTTCATGTGGAAGTTCCCCATTATGAAGAGGAGGAAGAGGCTCCCCAATATGAAGAGGAAGAAGTCACACAATATGAAGAGGAAGTCACACAATATGAGGAGGAAGTCACACAATATGAGAAGGAAGTCTCTCATTATGAGGAGGAAGTAACCCGATATGAGGAAGAAGTCACACAATATGAGGAGGAAGTACCTCAATATGAAGAGGAGGAAGTTCCTTATTATGAAGAAGTTCCTGAGTATGAGGAAGAGGAAGAAGTTCCTCCTCCACCTCCTCCAGCTAAAGGTAACATCCCAGTTTACAAGCGCATTACAAAGAAAGGATCTTTTTTTTAATGCTCTTGGTTAGGCTTTGGCTTTTGTTTGCTTGGTTATTTATTTGGTTTTTGCTTTTAGTTCATTTTGCTCTCCTTTGTTATGAGATGTGTGCGGTGCAGCTCATGTTGCAAGTAGAAATAGCTGTAGTTGAATTAGAGAATATGCCAGAAACACTGAGTTTGCTGGCGCTAGGCAGTGTCTTTAGTTCTAGCAAAACTCTCAGGAATATATTTCATTTCCACCCAGGCTTCTCCAAGCTGAATAAAATGTCAATTCAGCAAGCTAGTTGTGTGCCAAAACCCTGTGACACCACAGTTCCCAGGGAGTAAATAACCAGAGAAGACAACAGCATATAGTTTGGGGGTAAAATAGATTACAAAAATATATACAGAACATCTGATAGCATTGTCCTATGCTCTACTGAATAGTGAGATCATGAAGAAAATGTCTAGCATCTGATAGTGTCCCCATGTTCTTGCAGTGCCAACCACCCCTCTCCATGTGCCGAGCAATATATCTTAACCATAGAGGAGATGGGAAATTTCTCCTCCATGACCTTCCCTTAAATAGCTTATCTTTGAATCTTTGCTTTTGAATTACTCTCCCCTCCCAGCACCAATGCCCCCATCTGCGGAAGAACTGTGGCTTTGTGGTAAAACATCTGCTTTGAATGTAGAAGGTTCTAGTTTCAATCCCTGGCATTCCCAGGTAGGACTAAGAATGCCCCCTGTTTGTCATTATACAGTCATAACTTGGAAGTCGAATGGAATCCGTTCCGGAAGTCCGTTCAACTTCCAAAACATTTGGAAACCAAAGCGCGGCTTCTGATTGGCTGCAGGAAGTTCCTGCAGCCAATCGGAAGCTGCAGAAGCCCCACCAGACATTTGGCTTCCAAAAATAGTTGGCAAACCGGAACAGTCACTTCCGGGTTTGCGGCGTTTGGGAGCCAAAACGTCCGAGTACCATGGCGTTCGGGATCCAAGGTACGACTGTAATTGACAATGAGGAGCTAGGTGGACCAATGGTCTGGCTTGATTATAAAAAAACAGCTATGTATGCCCCATTTCACTGTATTCAGGAAGGAGCCCCAACACTCTAGAGAGGACTTTCAGGGGATGCAAGTGGCTGCAAGGGGGAAGAGGGAGCAAGCAACTTTCCTTAAGTTAACTTAGCTTGCGGGGGTCATGTCATAGTGTTGCAATACAGCTGTGTTCTTATGGTGCGTCTTGGTGCATGTCCATTCTTTTAAATACAATCTTATCCTTCAAGTGCCTGAGGTACCAAAGAAGCCCATCCCTGAGAAAAAGGCTCCTCCTGCGCCTGTCCCCAAGAAGAAGGAAGCTCCTCCAGCAAAAGGTACATCATCTCTTCATTCGGTGTCCTCAAACTCTTGCTTTCATTTCATTAAGTTTGTTGGCTCAGTGGCATTAGTGGGCTGGGGATCAACTGTAGACATGCTCTTTGTTGACTCTCTGTTCTAATGTGCTGTGTGAATGGTGTGGTGTCCTCAACAATCTCTTGCCCTATCTTTAAAGTGCCTGAGGTGCCAAAGAAACCAGTCCCGGAAGAAAAGGTTCCGGTTCCTAAACGAAAAGAAGCCCCACCAGCTAAAGGTAAATCAGTGTGAGGCTTGCCCTGTGCAAATAAACTTACCTGTTAGGCTACAACTAGGCTGTTGATTGCAATGATGTACTTAGATTTTCCTGTTGTGTTGATGTTGTGTCATGACCCACTCTGGGCACGTTTATGTGGTAAAATTGCTGTGCAAACAATAACTGTGTTAATAGTCCTTTAATCCTGTTAAATGTAACTTCTTGTTTATTTTCTTCAACAACAAAAAAATCTTCTTGTGTTTTGTGTCACCGTTCTCCATCTTCATTTGGAAACCAAATTCTGTGCTCAAAGTACTGTCTCTTTCAATTGAAGTGCCTGAAGTGCCCAAGAAAGTGGTCCCTGAAGAGAAAGTACCTGTTCCTAAAAAGGTGGAAGCTCCTCCTGCTAAAGGTATCATCCCCTTGTTCACCTGGTCATCCTTTTAAACCAGGGTTTCCCCAAACTTGGGTTTCCAGGTGGGGGTTTTTGGGACTACAATACCCATCATCCCTGGCCACTGGTTCTGCTAGCTAGGGATGATGGGCATTGTAATCCAAAAACATCTGGTGACTCAAGTTTGGAGAGCCTTGTTGTAAGCAATTGACCTGCTACGTTACATAGCAGGGCTGCAGTTTGTTGTACCTCTCCCTGGGTGGTCAATACCATGAAGGGTGGGCCTGTAAATATAAATATTAAAGAAACATTATATCAGTGAGAAAAACCTGGCAGTTTCATTAAGAGCAGATCTGCAAATCCCCTTGCCCTTGTGGTTCAGATGCAGCACATTCTTCTTTTAGTTCTTTTGCTTTGTGGTGTCTCAATACTAGAAGGAGTCAAATCAATCTGCAAATTAATCTTTTTAAAGTGCCGGCCGTGCCGAAAAAAGCCGTGCCAGAAGAGAAAGTGCCTGTTGCGGTCCCCAAAAAACCAGAGCCTGCTCCACCTAAAGGTATCTGAAATAATATTTGAAAGATATAAATTATACATACATGCGTAAGTGCTTTACCCATGGTTTAACACAGAGATATGTGCAGAATATTTCAACAAGCAATATTAACCATGCAGAATCAACAAGGATGTGTAGATTTGCATCCACAGACACACCCACCCGAGATATCAGTGGTTTTTGTATTTTGTCTTCTACTACATCTGTTCTTCCTTTTTTGTGATACAATGGGCATACAAAGTCTGTTTCTTGGTGTCTTTAAAGTGCCTGAGATACCCAAGAAAGCTGTGTCTGAAGCAAAGGTGCCTCTCACTGTGCCCAAAAAACCAGAACCTCCACCAGCTAAAGGTATATCAACCCAGTCAAAATCAGTCTTCTTGATCTCATGTGTTTCTTTAATCTTAGATGTGATGCTTGTGTATGTCAAATATAGATGTTGTCCCTTGCCTGTCAGCTCTTTCTATTTCTGTCTCTTTCTTTGTCACAACAAACCCATAAATCACATTCTTCAAATTAAATCCTTGAAGTGCCTCACATACCAAAGGAGCCTGTCCCAGAAGAAGCACCTGTTTATATACCTGAAGAAGAGGAAGCTATACCTGAAAAAGGTACATTCAGCTCATCATTATCCTTATCAAAGACCTCTTTTAAAAATAAGAACAATAATATGATCTGTGTGGTTTGCTTTATGTTCTCTAAAAGCCATGCATTCTGATCTTATGCATGTTTACTCAGGAATAAATTCTGCTAGGCTTACCAAATTCTGGGCAAGCAAGAGTTTTGCTCATTCAGTGGGACTTCCCTTTCCCCCCTTTTCCCATGCACCCCCCAAAATCTGCTCAAATAGTCCCCTGACTTCCATATGTGAATTTTGAGGGTGCACAGAGGGACACTGCAGGCGGGAGGAAACAACAGGGAAGTTCCACTGGGTAATCAGTAAAACAGCATTGGAGACAATGAACGATTACTCCCCAGTGAATGGGCATAGGACTGCAGACATACTTTTAATTGCAGTCTAAATACTTCTCTTTCTTGATCTGGTTTCATGCTGCAATTTTCTTTATAACGCCTCTGAAAATAATTTTACAAACCTGTTTCTAAAGACATAAATAATAGCACTTGAGTATTTAAAGATAACTGTTTCTACGTAAAGATATTTGCATAGCCATACTCAAGAGGTACGCCATCCAATGTTGGAGAAAAACCATGTGAACTGGTTTTGAAGAAGACATTGGGTAGGTATCTGGGATCAACTAGCCTGCCTGCTGGTTGTTGATAGTTGGGTCAAGAGGTCACGCCCTGACATGCATCAAGTGTGATGCTCCCTGCCAGGGTGCGTGGGGTGCTTTGGCCCATTGGCCTCCATGTGACCTCTGGACAGCAATATCCCTTCCCAAACCCCTTTAACAGGGTACCCAGTTGTTAAAAGCTCCAGACCCGATTCCTTAACCTTAACCTTAACTCATGATCTGATTTGGTATAACGACACTTCTTTGAACACGGTGGGATTTACTCCTAAGTAAACATGATTGCTAGGGACGCGGGTGGCGCTGTGGGTAAAAGCCTCAGCGCCTAGGGCTTGCCGATCGAAAGGTCGGCAGTTCGAATCCCCGCGGCGGGGTGCGCTCCCACTGCTCGGTCCCAGCGCCTGCCAACCTAGCAGTTCGAAAGCACTCCCGAGGGCAAGTAGATAAATAGGGACCGCTTACTAACGGGAAGGTAAACGGCGTTTCCGTGTGCGGCTCTGGCTCGCCAGAGCAGCGATGTCATGCTGGCCACGTGACCCGGAAGTGTCTCCGGACAGCGCTGGCCCCCGGCCTCTTGAGTGAGATGGGCGCACAACCCTAGAGTCTGTCAAGACTGGCCCGTACGGGCAGGGGTACCTTTACCTTTACCTTAAACATGATTGCTGTGCATTGTTTAGTTATCACGAGTAAAGGCCCACATATTGTTTCACAAATTGTTTTTGAAACTCCGCGAAATTTCAAATGTAGTGTGTGATATGGCATGGCTGCTGTTCCGAGAGGAATAGTCACAAATTCTGTTACGCAAACCCTAAAGCAGATTCATGAATTGTGGCCTATGCTGCGACCTGTGTTTGTGCTCCCCGCCCTGCCCCAACCCCAACGTGAGCTATGTTTCTCTTTCCGAAGTGGATTAAAAACAAAATTCTTAATCCGAAAATATGTGTTTAAAGTCCCAGAAGTGCCAAAGAAAGTCGTCCCAGAAAAGAGAGTCCCTGCAGCTGTTCCCAAAAAAGTGGAGCCTCCTCCAGCAAAAGGTACATTGAGTAACAAGGAATTAGTGTATGTTTTCTTCAGTTGTACTAACAACCTGACCTTCCAGAAGAGAAAAGAAACTTCTTGTTTGCCAGTGAATTCAGGGGGATTTAAACTGTGTGCAGGAAAAATTCCAAAATGTATATAGTACAACATGTTTGTCCTGTGTCACTTTTGTCTGTTTGCAATGTATGGAAAATGGCTTCCCGGCAGAATATTGTCTGTTGGGTTCTTGAATTGCTGAAGTGCTTGTTCTGCGAATTTCTTGCTTTTTGTACACATCTTCCTGTTCTTGGTGCTTCTTGGTGTTGTGGTAGAACTGAGGATTTTAAAAAAAAAAACATATTCTTAAACAAAACACTATCATTCTTTTTTTAAGTGGCTGAGGTTCCTAAACCCGTCCCTGAAGAGAAAGTGCCCGTTCCCAAAAAGGTGCCGCCTCCTCCAGCAAAAGGTATAGCCATATATCAAAACCAGAATGCTTTTGACACTTACTTTAAGTCTAGAAATTATCATTATGTCTCGGAGCATTGAAACACATAGCTAACAATGCTGTGAAGTCTTACATGTTTGCGTGTGTGGTGGCTTTAAATTAAGTCTATGTTGTCTTTAAAGTGCCTGAGGTTCCTAAGCCTGTACCGGAGGAGAAAGTTCCTGTTGCCAAAAAGGTCCCATCTCCTCCCAAAAAAGGTATATCCAATCTTTAAAACGGTGTGCAATTTTTATTTTTATTTTTGTCCATACGCTGATAACCATTTGTATTAATTAATTAGCTATTAAAGTAGGGTTGCCGTACATCATACCTGGTGTTCGCTTTTGGGAATATGGCAAAGTTGTCTGAACAGATAGCTCTTAAACGTTGCAATGTCATATGTGTTTGTCTACCTTGGCTCGAGACCAAGTTCTTAAAATAACTCAATATTCTTTAAAGTGCCTGAAGTTCCCAAACCTGTCCCAGAAGAGAAAGTCCCTGTTCCTAAAAAGGTGGCAGCTCCTCCAGAGAAAGGTATATCCATAAATCTATACCTATAGATACATAAGATGATAACATTTATGATGGCATTAACCAGTCATTTTTGTTGTTGTCCCATTACGTTTGAACTTGAACCAACTAAACAATGCCATCCTATACAATTTGACTCAGAAGTAAGTCCCATTGGGATCAGTAGGACTTACGCCCAGGAAAAGGATGGGCATAGGATTGCATCCTAAATCAGCGTAGTGATTTGTGTCATCTTGTATGTCTGTGTGTTGCTTGTGATCTTGTAGTTTGACTGACATTGTGCAATATATATAAAAAAGCTAAAGTAGCGGTGTCATGTCTTTAAAGTGCCTGAGGTACCCAAGAAAGTTGTCCCTGAAAAGAAGGTACCAACTGCTCCTCCTAAAAAAGTAGAGGCTCCACCTGCCAAAGGTACATCTCTTCTTATCTGTGCTATAACATTCTTCTTTCATATTACTAATTATATGTGTGTTTTATCACAGTCAAATATACGTTAGTAACTTCTTGCATTCGTTTTTATTCATGCTTTAGGAATTGTGTGGTTTTCTTATACTTGGTAAACAATTTAAAAATGCCTACCTAAAACAGCACTGTATTTTTTAACATCTCTGAGGAAAAAATATCTGCTGTTAAATCAAAGAAAATTCTTCCACCTAAGTTTGTTTTTGTGCATCTCTAAATATCTTGTAAATAGAATTTATTATTAATCCTTTCTAACATCTTCTAGTCTATTACTATAGGCTACTAGCATTACAGGTATCCCTTTTTTATTTTTAAAAACCCTTCTTGTAATTATTTGATAACTTTGGGTGGTTTTCTTTCTATGTTTGCTTTGCATGCTTATGCACCAGCAAGTCTTTGAAATAATGAAAAATTAATGCTATCTTTAAAGTGCCTGTGGTACGTAAGAAACCCATCCCTGAAGAACAGGTCACTGTTGAAAAATACTTCTATGAAGAATATGAGAAATATGAGACCTATGAGAAGACTGAGGAGTTTCTTCAGGTAGAAGAGGGTGAAGAACCTGAAGAATATGAGGAAGCCCCAGAACCTGAAAGATATGAAGAAGCTCCAGAAGAACCTGAAGTCGAGCAATACGAGGAAGCTCCAGAAGAATTTGAACAGTATGAAGAAGCTCCAGAACCGGAGGAACTTGAGTACTATGAAGAGGTTCGGGAGACCAAGGAGATTGAAGAATATGAGGAAGTGTATGAGGTTCCACCAGCAATAGGTATATTAATCATTTACCTGGTGTTTGTTGCTGCCCTGAAATTGAACCTTCTTTTGAATGCCCAAATTTCCCCTCCCCCAAAAATCCACCCCAGTGTTCCCTGCTTTTGTGCTTACAAGACTCCATTTGAGGGACAGGTTTCCCAGAGTGGGTCAAACCACCTATGCTTGTTACTGAAGAGTTCAAAAGCTAATGATGGGTGTGTCCTCCTTTAATAATTAGAGACTTCTTCTGTAATTGTGATTACAGTCTTCTGAATTTGGCAATTTGGTTTTGTTGTAAATAACTAAAAGCTCCTTCGTAAAATGTTTTTCAAGTGCCTGAGGTGCCTAAAAGAGCCATTGCTGAAGAAAAGTAAAAGTTGCTGTACCTAAAAAAGAGGAAGCTCCACCAGCTAAAGGTAGATAAAGCTGCTGAATCTGTTCCTTTGTGTACCCTGAAAAATCAGGTGCCCTTATGGGTGATCGTTGTCCTTACATTTCAGTTTTCACTAGCAGATAGGACATTAATTTTAATATGTCACTATGGGTTGTATCCATTGTTAGTCATAGTCATAACAGACCCAATGAAATTAAAGGTCATGACTAACATAGGCCCATTAATTTCACTGTGTCTGCTCAGAGTTGGATACAAACCTGTTAGTTGAACTGTCTAAGGGCAGGAGCTATGTATACATCTGATAGCTTTTCCTCAGTTCTGTTAAGCCAGTGCTGGCCAGCTAGCGAGGAACTCCCCCAGCTTGGGCCTCTGAGTGGTCAATGTGAACCTGGCTTCGCTGGGCAGAGAGTTGTACCCATGGCCATGACAACTGGGGGGAATTCCCCATCAGCCGGCAACCATGTGTGTTCAGCTGCCAGGGGAGGAGACCTTCCAGAGTGGCTTTTCAGAGGAAGAATGGGGCTTGAGAGAGGGTATAGTTGGATTGTGGTTCCAAACCACCTAAGTTTCATTACGTTTAGTGGAACAGTTTCCCATATATGTAAGCGACTAGATAAGAGAAGGCAGATCAGTATAGCTAACAAACTGGGATAGATAATTTTTTTCATTCTCTGTCGAACTTGACATTTAATCAATATTGCTCCTATGCATCTGTGTCGTTTTTTAAACCCCTTTCTGTCATTTCGTGTGGCATTTTAAGTCTGTTTTGTTTATTCTTGCACTTGATTCGTAATTCAAAGAATGGCAAACTCTTAAAAGAAATACATGTTTTTAAAGTGCCCGCAGCAAAAAAGAAACCAGAAGAAAAAGTACCTCTTGCTGTTCCTAAGAAAGAAGTGACTCCGCCACCTAAAGGTACATTCACTCTTCGCTATCTTGTGTATCTTTCATCTTCTCTCTGTGTATTTTGTATAAATGTGTTGTGCACCTTCAATGGTATGTTGTGTTTGTTCTGTTTATGTATGTATTCATGGTGTGTCCTTGTGTTTTGCATTCCCTTCTTTTGTAATTATGTATATAGCATTCATGTAAGATTCATAAATAACTAAACAAAAGTATTGTATCTTTAAAGTGCCTGAGATACCTAAGAAAGCTGTTCCTGAAGAAAAAGTGCCTAAGACTGTTCCCAAAAGGAAAGAGCCTTCACCAACTAAAGGTAGATTCAGTAGTAAGACAGAAAGAATGTTGACATTCCTGTGTTCTCGTCTATGGTGTTATCACTAACGCCTCAGAAGAGAACTTTCAGCAATGTGCACATTATTTTAGAAGTGTGTATTTCTCCAAATAAGCTTGAGTACATGCTCTATCTTTAAAGTGCCTGACATTCCCAAGAGAGCCGTCCCTGAAGAAAAAGTATCCATCACTACCTATGAAGCAGAAGAACCTCCCACAGTAAAAGGTAGATGAAATTTTGAATAGGCAAGAACAAAAAAAAGTATATCTCCATCAGTGTAGTTGCGTGATCAGTGTTTACTTAGATCACAGCAGTAAGGCCCTTAGATCTTCCTGGCACAAGTGTATCATAAATCCTATGAAATCTGGAGAAAACATTTTCATTTGGCTTACAAAAATCTGTTGACTATGTTGACAACAGCTGTGATCAGAAGATATCCTAAATAAAGTGATGGCATTTATTTTATAAAGGAAAAGAGGTATAGGTGACATTAGAAAATGTATTTTATCGGCCAAGCCACTTTATTAAATTTAAATTGCTCATTATCCCCTTCTTTCCTGCATAGGAAACCATTAAAATGATATTCTGCCCCTGAAGTATTTAAAATGGAAAAATAATTTGTTTAGTTATTCTTTTCTCTGTGTTATGGTTGTCTTGCGTTTAAAGATGTTATAACCATTTTTTTAAAAAAACCCAACTAAGAGAAAACTAATATCTTTAAAGCTCCCGCAGTTCATGAGAAAACATTACGGGAAGAAAAAGTTACTTATATTATCTCCAGAGAAAAGGAAGGTGCTACAGTTGAAGGTACATCAGAGTTTTATTAAATTTGCAAAATAACTAAGCTTGAAAAGCCGGTCAGTCAGTTTAACAATTTAATTGGCACTGAGAATAGTAAGAGGTGTCTGATTTTGTAGACTTTATAATATCAAACACCTTATCATGCTGTGTTTTGCTTAATCAAAATGTCATGATTTAAAATATTATCGTCCACATGTTTTGGCGTGAGGACATATTGCAGTGAGGTAGCAGGTCTTATGGTCCAATGGTAGGATTCTGGCTCCAGTGCTGAATTTCCTTTGCGAAGCTTCCTATCAATCATTTGACCTCCTCAGTCTGAAGCAAATGCACTTGGCCAAACATAGACATAAGGGAAGGAATCTGAGTTGTTAGTATGTGGAGCAGAGCCTGTTGTCACTGTGTCAAGAAGAGCATAGTAATTCATAGCCATTTCACTTTTAAAAGCCAAAGGAAACAAAATAGATGTCAGAGAGCAAATTGTAAATGAGTTGTGCTTCTTTAGTTCTAGGATTATTCTTTTTTTAACTTTGTTTTCTTGATCTGCTGGTCTTCACTGTGTGCTGTTTATTCCCCCCCCCCCAAACCTGTCCTTTGCGTGTCCTTTTGAAACGTCTCAAATATACTAATATCTTTAAAGTGCTTGAACTGGAAGAGGAAGCTGTCCCAGAAGAAACGGCTCCCATTGGTGTTCCTATAAAACAGAAAGCTCCGCCCATTAAAGGTACATACACCACCTCTTCCGCTAATTTCCCAAAGCAAGCAGCTACCATTGTATTATCCAGGCCCTTTGTTGGTCTGTTCCTTTTTGTCTTATGTGTGACATAATTGTATACATACTCAAAAATAAACTAATATCTTTAAAGTGCCTCCGGCGGCAAAGAAAGCTGTGCCAGAGAAGAAGAAACCTACACCTGTACCTAAAGAAGAAGCAACGCCTATCAAAGGTAACACACCTTTAGCTACAGCTGCAGTGAAATGAGACATTTCGAAATTTTATTTCCCCACCTGCTATTCTCTTACATAATTCAGTGTTTTGTGCAATGTAGGCGAATTTCTTGCCAAATGAATTACAAATTATTCCATGCAATTTTAGGGGGAATAATTAAATGGGATAAAATTCAGATCACCTGTACTAGAAATCTGAATAGGAATAGGAATATTGCTTTTCATCTAGAATCGCCGCTCTTGCAAAGCAGAGACGAATGCAGAAGGCTCAATTGGTCATAAGGCAATGTTTCGTCGCTGTAATTCTATCATGGAAGATACGTGTCAAATTTCTTCCAAGATCTTCGAAATATATGTGTGTGTCCTGTTGTTTTGTCTGTGGTCTGCAATAACCTCTTATTTTAAAATGCCCACGTTTCTAAAAAAAGACTAATATCTTTAAAGCACCTGAGGTTCGAGAAAAGGCTGTTTCACAAGAAATAATTCCTACTCCATCGGTCTCAAAAGAATTGGAACCTCCGGCAGCTAAAGGTACAACAGCAATTCAGTGAAAGTGATAATGAATTAGCAAATTTCAAGGCATTTAAATGTGCCACAATAGCTCATTGTCATAAATTTTGGGGTGTTGTGTGCCAACGTCAATAACTGTTTCTTTAGTTTGTCTGTTTCTATGTGTTTCACAAATTGTTTAATTTCCTGCCACAAACTAATATCTTTAAAGTGCCTGTGATACGAAAGAAAGCCATTTCGGAGGAACAAGTAACAGTTCAAGTATCTAGGAAAGAAGCTACGCACTATGAAGGTACATAACCCTTTAATTAAGTCTTCTAACTTGTCAATGCTTTATGTTACAGAGCCCAAGCCCAGGTTGCCATGTATACTAAAGGTGTTTATGGCCATTTGATCGGCCATTCACACTCCATTCACATTAATGATTGGATAGACTTTAAGTAAATTCATTTTCAAATGCAGCAATAGACACACATGGGGGATTGTTTCAAGGTTTAGATATTATTTAGGCTGCCTTTCATGTGTCTCAGATGTAGCCCAATAAAAACCATTCTCATAAAGCATTAAGGGAGAAAAATGAAAACTTGGGTGAAAAAGAAAATAGCATAAGATCCAGTTAATGATAGTTCAGTAGCAATGAAAAACTTTTTTCAGAACTTAACTGAAGATTGGAATAACTAGAAACCAGAAAGGTGGAACACTTAGATTTTAATTAGATTAGACAAACTGGTTTCAGTGGGACCAAACTTTATAACTAGCGAGGCTAACCATAAAAGCATGACTAGTGCTCAGTTGAGGGGTGAGCCTTAACTTGCCCTGGTAGACATGACCCATGAGAGCAGAAAAATATTCAGAGCTCAGGCGGGGTAAAAAGGAGTTCCAGCAAAAAACGTTTAGCGACTTATGGAGTGCAGAAGGGGCATATTTCAGAACCTTTCACTCCTCCACCCCCTTTGCTCTTAACAACAGGCACCCTACTTTATATGTGATTGTAGCAAACCTAGATTTAAGCAAATAATTCTGCTGCACTCCTATCTGGTTTCAGCCTGAGCATCTCTAATTAGCAGAGCAAAAGGTTTGAATTAGTTAACCCTGAAGAGGGCCTGCTTCTGTGACTAAATGGAAAGTATAAGTTTATTCCACAATAAATACGGCTGGGCTCTCTGTTTGTTGGTCATAGTCTTTGGTTATGTCTTTTTTGTCCTATGCTTTTTACAAGTACGATTTTGCATGTCTCAGAGAAAACTAATATCTTTAAGATACAGAAACATATGAGGAAATGCTTCTAGAAGAAATGGAAGAACAGTATCCTGCCGCCATTCCTAGGAAACGTGAGGTTGCACCTCCCAAAGGTATATTCTCTCTTCGAGGAAAACGTAAAGCTACCAAAGTCACAAAAGTGACATATTTTCATTATTTCGCTCTTGTTCAGTTTGATGCTACTGTTTGCATTTTGTGGTTTAAAAATTCTTACAAGGGAATTGATTTTATTTAAAGTGTCTGAGGTGCCCAGAAAAGGAGTGGCAGAAGAGAAGATATCCATTGCAAAGCATGAAAAAACAGAATTAGTTTCTGTACATAAAAAAGCAGAACTTACTGAAGTATCTCAGATAACGCAGCCTCAAGCACCAGAAAGGAAGACAGCTGCTCGTAAACCCACGAAACCAGAACCTATTGCTGTATCAAAGCCAGCAGAGCCTGAGGTGCCAAAACAGAAGCCACTTGTTGCCAAACCCAGAAAACCACAACCCATTGTGGAGCCTGAAGTGCAAGAAGAGGAGATAGAAATTGCTGAACCTGAGGAACCCATACCTGTTGCAGTTTATGAGGCAGTCGAACCTCATGTGCCAGAAAAGAAGAAAGTCGTTGCTAGACCTAAAAAACCAGAGCCTGTTGTGATGCTTAAAACAGTAGAGTCAAAACAGGAGATAGCTGTTGCCAAACCCAGAAAACCAGAACCTCTTGTGGAGCTTGAAACAGAAGAGCCTGGGGTGCCAGAAAAGAAGCTAATCATTGCTAAACCTAAAAAACCAAAACCTGGTGTGGTTCCTAAAACAACAGAGCCTCCAGTGCGAGAAGACCAGATGGCTGTCTCCAAACCTAAGAAACCAGAACCTGTTTGGTTTCCTCAAACAGTAGAGCCTGAAATGGAAGAAGAGGAGATAGATATTGCTGAACCTGAGGAACCCAAACCTGCTGTAGTTCTTGAGACGGTAGAACCTCATGTACCAAAAAAGAAGGCAGCTCTTGCTAAACCTAAAAAACCAGAACCTATTATGGTGTCTAAAATAGTGGAGCCTCCAGTGCCAAAACAGAAGATAGCTGTCACTGAACCCAGAAAACCAGGACCTGTTGTGGAGCCTGAAACAGCAGAGCCTAAAGGACTAGAAGAGCAGATGGTTGTCTCCAAACCCAGAAAACCGGAATCCATTGTCATGGCTCAGATGGTACAGTCTGAAGTGGAAGAAGAGGAGGTAGATATTGCTGGACTCAAGAAAGCAAAACCCACTTCGGTTCTTGAGGCAGTTGAACTTCATGTGCCAGAAAAGAAAGCAGCTGTTGCTAAACCTCAAAAAACAGAGCCTCTGGTGCCTGAGCCTCCTGCACCAAAACAGAAGATAGCTGTCACCAAACCCAGAAAACCACAACCTGCTTTGGTGCCTGACATAGAAGGGCCTGAAGAGGAAGAAAAGAAGGCAACCATTGCTAAACCTCAAAAAACAGAGCCTTACATGCCAGAAGACAAGATTGCTGTTGCCAAACCCAGAAAACAGGAATTCATTGTCATGCCTCAGGTGGCAGAGCCTGAGCTGGAAGAAGAGATAGATATTGTGGAACCTGAGAAACCGAAACCTATTGCTGTTCTTGAGTCAGCAGAACCTCGTGTGCCAGAAATGGAGGTAGCTGCTGCTAAACCTAAAAAACCAGAACTTATTGCAGTGCCTAAAACAGTAAAGCTTCCAGCGGCAAAACAGAAGATGGCTGTCACCAAACCCAGAGAACCAGAAGTTGCCGCGGTGCTTGAAACAGCAAAGCCTGAGGTGGAAGAAGAAAAGAGAGCAAAATCCAGGGAGCCAGAACCTACAGTGGTGCCTGAAACAGTTTGGTGGCAAGAGCCAGAGGAAAAGGCAGCTGTTTCCAAACCCAGAAAACCAGAGCCTGCTGTTGTGCTTGAAGAAGCAGAGGCTCAAATACCAGAAGAGACTGTGATGGTTGCTAAACCTAAAAAACAAGACCCTTATGCTGTGCCTGCAACAGAGCCTCCGCCATTAAAAGGTAGACGTCGTTCCCAAAGGGAAAAGACACTCTTGGCTTAAGAAATGTTTGTCTTGTTTGTGGGGAAAAAATTTTTTTGTTTCATGTTAGTTTAGAAATTTTGCACCGGCAACTTCTCTCGTCATATGTAAATGTGAATGTGCCTAATTAATGTCAATGTTTGGTGTCAAGTCTTTATGGTCTTGCTGTTATTTATCTTTATTGTGGCTTCTTCAGTTCGTATAATTAACACAATCTAATATCTTTATTGAAGTATCTGGTTTATCCAAGAAACCTGTTCTAGAAAAGTGCTGACAAAAAGCAAAAAAACAGAAGCTCTGCTGGGTAAGAAAGAAAGTAAAAAAAGAACTTATCTCTTCTTGTTTCCTGATAATCTTGTGTCCCAAAAAGTTCCCATGCTGATTTTTGCAGAAATAGGAATATCATTTGCAGCTATATTCTTACCTTGAGGCATAGGCATCCTTCCCTTTATAAACAAATATGATGCAATACATCATAAAACATGAGGTCAGATGCCAGGATGAAGGGGAAATGCTAATTTTGATAACAATTAATAATAATAAACATACCCAAACCACTGTCAGGAAGGTAACAGCTGTGGGAGTAATCTTACAAAACAGATATATCAGCAGGTATTTTGAAATCTTTCAAATGTTCAGTTGAGTTCAACCGTTTCCATCAGCCCATAAAAGATAACTACTTATATATATGAATGAAGGACCTGTATAGGGGGGAATTTTTATCCCAGTGCCTTCTCTTCAGTCACTTGAATGATTTGTTCAGATTTGCCACCTGGATAGCTAATATTCAGCAACAATTGAAGTTGTGGTGCTTGTTCATACGCCAACTATAGATGTTTTGAGAAAAGGTCTATGTCTATACAATGTAAAGGTGCGCCTCTTGCTTTCAATTGAATACCCACCCGTGTGATTTTAATGTCAATATTGTCCATGTCATTCCATGTCCGTGTGTCATGTTCTGTCTGTTGGGACTAAATCTGTTTCAATTCTTCATGCCGTGTTATAAACCATTTTCAGTTCTTCAAAGTAAAATGTACTAATATCTTTAAAGTTCCCGAGATGCCCAAGAAGGCAGTGCCAGAAGAGAAAATACCTGTTGCAGTGCCTAAAAAACCAGCGCCTCCACCTGCTAAAGGTATATACCTCAGTCTTGGTGCCATTCTTTCTTCCCAAAAGAAAAAGAAATGGGTTATGGGTTCGCTTCCCCCCACCCCCATTTATAATTCTGCATTCTTTTCTTCTTCCTCTTCTTCTAAAAACCGATTTCATTTCTTAATTGGAAACATTCAGATAGGTTTTGGTTACAATTCAGAGAGTTACGGATACAAAACCCCATCGATTTCAGTGGAACTTGTTCGTCCCCTGAACTGTGACTGCTTAATATTGACCACTAACCTTCCTGATATTCCTCTAAAGGCGCCTCTTTATTCCTGACACTTTTGCCTGCATTTTAACAAACTGAAACGTAACAGAAAATGATGCTATTTCTTTTCAAGTGCCTGAGGTACCCACAAAAGTTGTCCCAGAAAAGAAGGTGCCAGCTGCTGTTCCAGAAGCACCTCCAGCTAAAGGTAACATCCCATTCGACAGAAAGCAGCAGTGGGTTAGGGCTGGTCCATGAGGATAAGCATTGGCCTGGTTTGCATGACATGGTAAGAGGAAACCTCAGCTGCAGCTCGTGATTGGTGAGTAGACCACTAAACCAGGCTTCCTCAACCTCAACCCTCCAGATGTTTTGAGACTACAGTTCCCATCATCCCTGACCACTGGTCCTTCTAGCTAGGGATCATGGGAGTTGTAGGCCAAAAACATCTGGAGGGCTGAGCTTGAGGAAGCCTGCACTAAACTAAACTTTGATTGAGCTCAGCACAGTGTAATACTAAAAAAGACTATGGAGGAGCAAAATGGTTGCAAGGTGGTGATTGAAAGCCTGCACTTTTGCACAATTCGGGTAAGCCATAGCATAGCTTACTGTGTCACATGAACCAGGCCAGTGTATATCTTATTATCTTATTACTTTTTATACTACACATTATCATCTCTAAATGCCATGTGTTCTTCACTTTAGTAGACGATATCAAGTTTGGTATTTGGATACCAAAGGTGGCAGAAATGTTCTCCTTTAAGCTAATACTATTTGTTTGTTTGTTTGTAGATTCACAGTCAGACTTTAATATCAATATTTCTAGAGCAGGTCACCATAAAAATAAGAAAACAATTTTAAAAGATCAAACAGCAGATAAGACTAGCATCACTAAGACAGTCTCCTCAACAGAGAACAGGCAGGTGAAATAAATAGGGTGGCATCAAAAGATCTTATGAGAATATATAATTATTGTTTCCGTCAAATTTCAAATTATAAATTACAGTGGTGCCTCGCAAGACGAAAAGAATCCGTTCCATGATTCTCTCCGTCTAGCGGTTTTTTTTGTCTTGCAAAGCAACCCTATTAGCGGCTAAGCAGATTAGCGCTATTAGCGGCTTAGCGGCTTAGCGGCTATTAAAGGATTAGTGGCTAAGCTGCTAAAAGGCTATTAGCGGCTTAGCGGCTTTGAAAAAGGGGGGGAAGCGGGGGGGAAATCGCAAGACTCGCAAGACGTTTTCGTCTTGCGAAGCAAGCCCATAGGGAAAATCGTCTTGCGAAGCAGCACAGAAACGGAAAACCCTTTCGTCTAGCGGGTTTTCCGTCTTGCGAGGCATTCGTCTTGCGGGGCACCACTGTATACATTAAAGATAAAGGATATAAATTGAATATTATTATTTAAATATTCCCATCCCCATCTACTATAACTTTATTTCAAATTATTATATTTCCTTTTAAAATTATTATTGAAATTAATTTATTGTAGTGTCGGTTGTTAAATTGCTAACTGCTTAATTATTTACTGTTCTGTTACTGGTTTGTCAATACTATGCTTTCTTCCTTACTATTACTTTCTATTTAAATTATGTATAAAAAAATATTTTTAAAAAAAATGTTAATGATGGTGTTAATAACAATGATGGCAAAAAAGACTGCATGCTAGGTGAGCCTCCCTTGGGAAATAGTTCCACAAAAAGGCCACTACCCCAGTCACTACCCACCTTGTCTCAGAGAGATGGCACATTTCAGATGAGAGCCTTCAAAGACAAAGCCTTGTGTATTAGATGATGGCCAGTGCAGTCAAGTCTCAGAAGCGGCTGCTGCTGCATTCGATGGGATTCGAACATAACTGGACCTAGGATTACAGCTTTAAGCTGAGCAATGTTGTCACTTGTTAATATTCAGTGGGACTTACTTCCTAGTGTGCGTTGAGTTTAGACTGCAGCCTCAGATTGCATTTGTGTCTTAGAAGTTATGTGTATCGTCCTGTACCAAAGAGTAAGCAAAATCCATACCCTTCCTTTAACAGTGCCTGAAGTACCAAAGAAACCTGTTCCAGAAGAGAAAGTTGTGCCTAAAAAGCCAGAGGTGCCAGCAGCTAAAGGTGTGTGTATTTCATGTATTCAACAAATAAGATGCTCCCATCCCGTCAGTTCCTTACTTTTCTTTTGTGTCTACACTTCATTTCTTTCATACTTCCTTGTCATTATTCTTCACATAGAATACATGGCAGCAACGATAGCACTTCTTAGTCACGTTGTATATATACAGTAGTACCTTGGTTCTCAAACTTAATCCATTCCAGGAGTCCATTTGACTCCCAAAAGCATTCGAAAACCAAGACACAGCTTCCAATTGGCTGCAGGAGCTTCCTGCATGCAAGCGGAAGCCGCACCAGACATTTGCAGTGTTCGGGAGCCGATTTGTTTGACAACTAAGCTATTTGAGAACCAAGGTACCACTGTACATGTTTAAGTTCACATTACTGAAGCTAGACATAATCGATACCAGGTCGTGTCCACCTGCTACCATTCTGTGACAGGATTAACATATGCTACCTTTGGAATACATGGCATTAACATAAGCTAATCTTATTCAGTGCCTGAGGTACCAAAGAAACCTGTCCCAGAAGAAAAAGCTCCAGTGGCTGTGCCGAAGAAGCCAGAACCTCCACCTGCCAAAGGTAGGCCTCCTTTTTAAAGAAAGAATGACAAGTTAGTACTACCAGGGCTTTTTTTCAGCTGGAACTCGCCGGAACTCAGTTCTGGCACCTCTCAGGTGGGCGCCATTGCCATTCTAAGGGAACAAGGTCCAGCACCTCTTTTTCTAGAAAAATAGCACTGAGTAGTACACATTTTTCAAACTGAAGTCTGTTGGTGTTAGTAAACTGTATATCTGCAATACCTAAATGTGTTTGGGTGAGCATAAGAAGAGACCAAAAACCCATCTAATCTAGCACATGGCTGTCACAGTGCCCGACTAAAGAGATGCCAACGAGAAGTCCACAAGCAGAACATGGGCACCACAGCATTCTCCTCACTTGCGATTTCCCAGAAACTGGTTTTGAGGAGCATACTGCCCCTACTCTGGAAGTAATAAACAACCATAATGACTGGTAGCCACTGCTAGCCTTATTCCCCCATGAACCCCTTTGAAGGCCAATCAATTTGGTGGTCATCACTGCATTAAGAACAACATGTCAGAATCATGAACTCAAATGATGGATCTGTGCTGCTATTTAATGTTGGGGTTGTGTGTGTGTTTGCAACTGTGTATGTTTCTTAAATGACTTGTTGTAAAAAAAAATATTAATGTTTTCAAGTGCCTGAGGTGCCAAAGAAAGTTGTTCCAGAAAAGAAAGTACCAGCTGAAGTGCCTAAGAAACCGGAAGCTCCACCAGCTAAAGGTCTGTATTGCTTGTAACGCATGAAACAGCTTTGTTTGCTCTGGGGAGGAATATTTAACCTTTATCAAGGGGAGAGACAGGAAAATATTGATTTCCATCTGTGTGTTTCTACTGTGTGATCCGTAAAGAAAGACAGGAGGCTTACTACTGTACAGCTTAATTGTGTCATACCAGTTCTCTCCAGTTTTGTCCTTATTTTTGAAGTCCTGTGTTTTACGACTTTCATGTGTCCTTAGTATCTTCTGCGCATTCTTCGATATTCGCATTCTTAAATGAAATTCTTTTCCCTTCAAGTTCCGGAAGTACCCAAGAAAGTGGTCCCTGAGGAAAAAGTAAAGGTTCCTGAGCCTAAAAAACCAGAGCCTCCTGCTGTTAAAGGTACATGTCATAACCAGAAACGCCACAAAGAACTTCAGATTTGCTTTATAGATGTAACATTATTTTCACATAACTGAATATTTGTGAAAGTATGTTTAATAGTCTTATTTCCCCTCTGAGATGACTTCTCATAATGCAGTCATATGTAATATGTGTCCCACATGTATTTTAGAAAAAAAGATAACCCTTTATGTTGGTTCCCCTTCCCCTTGTCTGCTCTTGTTAATTACTGGCATACATCACTGAAGCCCAAGACTTAAAACAATTTACTATCTTTGAAGTTCCTGAGGTGCCAAAGAAAATCCCAGAAGAAAAAGTACCCGTGAAAAAGCCTGAACCTCCAGCACCCAAAGGTATATCTTAGCATCTTGGGAATATTTTTATTCTTATTGTTTTGCATGTCTAGTTCTTTCAAATTCGCCGCCTCCTGGGATTTCCTTCTGCTGTTTTGGTGGCAAATTCAAATCTGTTCACTTGATTCTGTGAACAGATCTAAGGATTGTAACTTGAGTTTCTTGTAGAAACTGTTTTTCCCTTGCGTTTTGCTCATATCTGATGCATGTTTAAATCTGTCTATTGTTATTTTAGCCTTTTCAAAAGTCTTAAATTACTGTTGTTAATTCTTCTTATCGATAAAGCCTTTCCTACTCCCAGGAGGGAAGGGATTGTGAGCGGGAGACGATTCCTGCGTCATGCAGGGGGCGCTCCGCCCCCTGCTTCAACTCCAGGGCTGGCGCCACGCCCCTCCCCAGTTGGGCACCCAATAGGGAAGCTCGGCGGGGGCGTGGCATGCTGCTCAAGCGCAGCTGCGCCAGCCATCCCCACTATTGCACACACATTTTATTTGAGTCACCCACCCTCCACTCCCTTTAGATTAGCTGTTCCTGAGACTTTTCTATGGACCTCTGGCTGGTTGCCCTGTTTAACCAGGGGGCCTGGTAGGAGTTTTTTCCAATTGGCTAAATTGGCCCGGCCTCTTGGTTTTTTCCCCGCCTACCTCGTAGCAACCGTCACAACTTTCGTGGTATTTGGCGGTTAGGCATTGGAATGTGTTGTTGGTGTTTCGGGGGGCAAGGTGTGGCCATCGCCTTCCCTGACAATTTTGGGTATTCCGCTAAAGGAATCCGGCGGTCGTGGATCCTGTCCGATGCCCGTGAGGCGGGGGGCCATGGCACGACCCTCGGTGACATCAGGAAGAGAGCCTATAGTTGGATTAGCATCAACAGGCTTCCCCTACTGGTGGTTAACCCCTCCTCAGACTCACCCCTCTACGAGTGGGTGAAGTCTAATGTTCCGTGTTCCAATGCCTAAGCCAATACCTTCTCACATGCTGTAATCAATAAAGTTGTGGCCTTTACCTTACCCATTAACCTTACATTCTGTGTCCACGTGTTTTTATTCCCCAAGCGGGGATCGGGTCCTCGAATCACAATTGTATTATCTTTTTTTGTAAACCCCTTTGGGGATTTGTTTTTTATTTTACTTTATTTTTACAATCAAGCAGTGTATAAAATTTCTCGTGAAATTAAATAAATAACTCGGACATTAAAACTGACCAATGTCTTTTAAAGTGCCAGAAGTTCCCAAGAAAGTCGTTCCAGAAAAGAAACCGCCTGAACCAGAAGCTCCACCAGCTAAAGGTACATGTCAATACTATTGTGGTCACATGGAAGCATCTTCTTATTCTGATGTGTTTGTTGTACTTTGTGTTCCTTGTTTTCTCTTATGATGTACAACATGTCTTCTTCATGTGAGATATCTAGAAGGCTTTCAGCCTATTTTATAAAATAATTTATTTATTAGCTTACTCTTAGCTCCTGGTGAGTGATCTGCCATCCAGTACCTACTTACTTTCAGCAAGTCTGGCAGCAGAAATTTACTGGAAAATAAACTGTGTAGTTCGTATACTTAAGGAAAATTCAAATGAGAATGTACCAGGAAGCATCTCCATCCCTTACTAATGCTATGCTCATCTTCCATTGACTGTGATAATTTAACAGAAGGACAAAGAAATAGGATGGCAATTAAACTGCCATACTTTATAGAGATCTGCATAACTTCTCCAGAAAGGGAAGGAGGACTCATTTAACAAAACAAAAACAAAAACAAACTAGGGATATAGCATGAAAATAAAGAAAATATACTGTCTGCATTTGTGGAGAGGAGGAGAAAATTGTATTTGAATATCGTTTTTGTCACTGTTTTCAAGTTTTGTGTTTATTGTTTTCAAATCTTTTATATCTGTGACAATCACACATTCAAAACTAATATCTTTTAAGTGCCTGAAGTGCCCAAGAAAATTGTCCCAGAAGAAAAAGTACAAAAGAAACCAGAACCTCCCCCTGCTAAAGGTATTTGTCAATTCTGAAATAATCATAGTTAAAATATTTGGGTACAATGCTGCTTATATAGAATCAGTGGTAAAACTCCCATGGGTTTTAAATGGAGCAGGATTCCAGCTTTTGCCTTGCTCCCATGCCTTCAGTTCCTTCATTTATTACTTCCCATTGAAATGTGGCATTTATTAGACACAATCCGGGTGAAGCTAAGCACTTTTAAGGCTACAGTTCTATGCACACATCTGAGAGAAAAGTTCATTGTACACCATGGGACTTCCTTCTGACTATACATGAGCAGGAAGTTTATGCATGTCCCATTAATTTCAATGAAGGATTAAGCACAAAGTGCTTAACTGTAACTGGATTATGCCCAAAGCAACATGTAATCCAAATGCGTATCAATAAATACATTTTTATAGTCTTTTTGATCACATTGAGCAAGAAAACCAGAGGTTTATGAGCTGCCAGTGACATTTAGGTTACATTGAGCTTGGTGGGTCGCAAAGAAGTTGGTGGTACGCCTAGGCAATGCATGTCAATAATAAATCAAAATACAAAATATCAACAGGCCAAAGAAGACATGTAAACTTCCAGTTGTGTTGTGTCATCTTCCAATAAGGTGGCAAAATTCTTGTTAAAGGCATAAACTTATTCATTTTATCCATTAAAGTCATTGGATGTTAATGTGAACATCCTATTAATATGTACTTGGATTTTACCATCAGTTTGAGTATATCATTGGGTTTTGAGAATTAAGGAGAACACCTTAGGAATATATGATGGCCCAGAAGAAAATATTTATCAAATATTTATCAGTTCATATATAGTCATCAGTAATAGAGTAAAGATAACCAAGGCTAAAACCACTCCAATCTTTTTACAGATTTACTGTTTATGAGGAGTGGGGGTGTGATGCTATCTTGTCACAGTGGGATTGTAAATGCATTTTCTTTGTTTGTATTTGATACCCTTGTTTTCTATCTGCATTGACTGAATTAGTGATTGTTTTAATGAAAGAGAAAAGTGAGAGGCTGAGATAGATCTTCAATGTTATGTAGTAGATAATGTTGTATATCGTCATGTTTTGTGTCTCGCGGTTTCTTGATCTCATAATCTTGCACATTGCATTTCGAATTAATAATAGTAAAACAAACAAATATCTTTAAAGTGCCAGAGGTGCCCAAGAAACCTGTGCCTGAAGAGAAGGTCCCTACGCTCAAAAAGAAGAACCACCAACACCTAAAGGTATATGTTATATCTGATCAAATCTTGAAGCGAAAAACATCCTTTTCTTATACTCTTGATCATTGATCATCTTTTGGATATCCTTATGAGTCTATGCCATGCATTCTTTTGAGTAGCTTTCTGTGCCTAGCATCTCCATCCTCATAGTTCTACTGGTGGTACAAGTCGATTGTACTTCATGGTAGTTTGTTGTTACAAGATTCTGGGGACAAAAGCATGCATGCCCCCTCACCTTACATCTCGAGCTTTGACATTTTCCCGTCTTTTACATTTCATTGTGCTTTCAAAATTCAATAGTAAGCATTAACTAATATCTTTAAAGTGCCAGAAGTGCCCAAGAAGGCTGTCGTCGAAGAGAAAGAACCAACTCCTGTGCTTAAAAAGCCTGTACTTAAGGAACCAGAACCTCCTCCTGTTAAAGGTACATTTCAGCATTAATGCAGTTATAAAGAATGTGGTTTTGATGCAGGTGTTTAAAGCAGATGTCTGGGAGATTCTTGTTCTGTCTGTGCTCCGTTGCTTAAAATTTCTTTTGTAAACAATACTGTTGGTTCAGTCCAGTGTGTGAGAGAAAAAGTGCTTAGCTGTGCTGAACTTCATCACGACTGCTTTCTCTGTGTCCTAGTATGCAAACACAATTGCTGATTTTGTTATAATTGTGCATTATGTTTCAATCTTCTTCTTCATATTAGCTACATATCTCTTGCCCCTTCTTAAAAGTAAAACTAATCTCTTTTAAGCACCCAAAGTACTTCGGAAAACTGTGCCAGTTTAAAAAGTAACTCTTGTTTTACCTAAAGAACCAGAATGCTTTGCTGTGTCTGAAGAAGAGACCATTAGTGTTTATGAAGAAGAAAAAGTCACTGTTGAGTATGAAGAAGTCGTCACTGTTGTTGCCGAAGAACGTGAACCTGCTATTGTGCCTAAGAAACCCAAGCCTACCATAGTCCCTAAGAAACCAGAAGCTGCAGCCGTGCCGAAACCACCAAAAGCTGTACTTAAAAAACCAGAACGGCCACCTGCTAAAGAGACCTTGGAATATGAAGAAGAACGAGAGGTGCAAACGATTGTTGGGTACAGAGAGCGAACACATGTTTCTGTCCACCAGGACATAGAGGCTATAGTTGCACTTGAAGAACCTGAGAGTGCTTCGGCTTTTGAGATCACAGAGCCTGAGCAATACTTTATTGAGGGATCAGAGGAGATTATTTCACTTGAAGGACCTGAAGCTGTCCCAGAAGAACCAGAAGCTGTTGCTGCTCCGGAAGAAACGAAACCTGCTATTGTGCCGAAAAAGCCAAAGCCTACTGCTGTAGCTAAAAAGCCAGAACCTGCGGCTGCAACCAAGAAACCAGAACCTATTGCGGTGCCTAAAAAGCCAAAACTTGCTCCTGTACCTAAAAAACCAGAGCCTCAGAAGCCAGAACCCTTGTTTAAAAAGCCAGAACGCCCACCAGCTAAAGAGGCCGAGGAGTACGAAGAGGAACGAGAGGTGCAGACTTTTATTGGAAAGAGAGAGCGACAACATGTTTCTGTCCACCTAGACATAGAGGCCATAACTCCTTTTGAGGAACCTGAGAGCGCTGCAGCTTATGAGTTGGAAGAGGAAGAACAATACGTCATTGAGGGGTCCGAGGACATCGTTTCCCTTACAGGACCTGAGCCTGTTGCAGTCCCTGAGGAACCCCAAGTCGTTGCTGCTCCTGAGGAACCTAAGCCTGCTCTTGTGCCCAAGAAGCCCAAGCCTGTTGCTGCGCCTAAGAAACCTGAACCTGAAGCTGCTCCCAAGAAACTGGAACACGTCGTGGTGACGAAAAAGCCGAAACCTGCCGCTGTGCCTAAAAAACCAGAGCTTGCGGCTCCGCCCAAGAAGCCCGAACCCTTGTTCAAAAAACCAGAACGCCCACCAGCTAAAGAGATCGAAGAGCACGAAGAGGAACGAGAGGTGCAGACCTTTATCGGAAAGAGAGAGCGACAACATGTTTCTGTCCACCAAGACATAGAGGCCATAACTGCTTTTGGGGAACCTGAGAGCGCTGCAGCTTATGAGTTGGAAGAGGAAGAACAATACGTCATTGAGGGGTCTGAGGACATTCTTGCACTTGAAGCACCTAGAGCTGCCCCTGAGGAACCAGAAGTCATTGCTGCTCCTGGAGAGCCTACGGAAGTACCTAAGAAACCAGCAAAAGGTATATGGCATAATCTTTTCCGGTACAAAGAGTATGTCTTCCTTAAAGCAGAATGTTGACAAGCGTTGCTTTGCCAACTTTCTGCTGAGCAATTCAAAAAACTGCTCTTGTAAACAAAGTTGTTGTGTGTGGACATTGGTGTGTGGGTGTGTGAAAGAGAGAAAGGTTCTTTCTGATTCTGCAAAGCAATTTGCTTAGGCCTGCAAGAATTTGAAATTTCCATTATTAATTGACATGAAAGTAAAAAAAAACTTAAATGTATGAATGGAAACAGATTCAGGAAGAATTATTCATTTGAAGCTGGATGAAGGTGATGTCTGATGTGCCTGTGGGTTGATGGATCTATTTTTCCCCTGTCTTTTAACAAACCAACTAATATCTTTAAAGTGCCTGAGGTACCCAAGAAAGCTGTTCCAGAAAAGAAAGTACCAGTTCCTGTGGCTAAAAAAGTCAAACCGCCACCAGCTAAAGGTATATGTCCACACCTAAAGAAGAAAATTTCTTTGTTCTTCTTAAAATACTCTCTTCTTCTGTACTGTCTCTCCTATAGTTTTTGCTTGACTGAAATAACCTAGTGTTCATTTTATAATATGAACTCTGTATGTATAATACGAAGTCTGTATGTCTCTAGATACGATGTACGTCTATGTATCTGTCTGTAGCATTAATCTTGCTTTTGATACGTCCTTAATTCTTCGTTCCTCTTCTTAACATCTTGGTACCTCTTACTTCAATATTTCTCAAAGTAAAAATAGAAATATTATCTTTAAAGTGCCTGAAGAGCCCAAGAAAGTTGTTCCCGAAAAGAAAAAACCAGCTGCTGCACTTAAAAAACCAGAAGCTCCTCCCGCAAAAGGTACTTTTATCATTCACGGAGAAAATCATTATCTTGCTTGCTGCGTTTGGTTCAGCTGTTGGATTTGTAAATCGTACTAATGTGTATAAATGACAGGCTGAGCCTAACTTGGGAGGGGATGGGGGTGAGGGAGTGTTTGTGTCCAAACACAATAGGTAACTTCAATACCTTCAGCAGCTCCGCTTTTGCTTTTAATGCCTTGTTTGTTTTACCTACATGAAAGTAAAACTAATTAAAATTTCTTGAAGTCCCTGAAGTCCCTAAGAAAGTGTCAGAAGACGAGGCCCCTCTTGCTGTTCCTAAAACGCCGGAACTTCTGCCTGCAGAAGGTAGCTCTACCTATTAATCACGACCTCATTCTTATCCAGACTGCTATGTCCGCTTTGTTTGGTCATACGTTTTATGTGGTCCTGTATGTATATATAAGGCAGGGTGGTGGTGGTGGTGGTGGTGGTAGAGGACTCTGTCTGTTCTTTATGATGTCTTTCTGTTTAAAGTCTACCTTTCTACCTTATTACGGATTTCAGGCCACAGCCTTCAATGGCTGCGAGCAATTCTAACCGTGGAAAACCCACGCTTAGAATCTTGATTTGCCATAAAAGACTGAAGCTAATACTTCAATTATCTCCTTTTGCACAAATTGGCTTTGGCCTTTTTGTCACCTTTCTGCTGTGTGGTGTTGTACTCCTTCTGGTTGCAATTATAGTACTGGCCTCATTTATAGGGAGAAATCAGAAGCAGTGCTTTTTCTTTCCTTTTTTGTCCAGCAGCAGCAAATCTACCTGGGGCTTTGGCACAAATTTTTATTGATCCCACGGTCCCAGAGGCACATTTGACCAATGATGTGCTGCAGTGCTTCAATTCAACATTCTGGATTGAGCCCTCAAGAGTTGGCAGGGGATTCTTAGATTTCACACCAGAACTGTAGCTGTAGTCTTTATGTTGAGGGATCTGGATTGTGAACATTTGAATGAAACGCAGCTGCATCAAATAGTTGCTTTGTACAAAATTGGGCCTTATCAGGCCATCAAAGCTGCCCCAACTTCTTTGAAGGGGAAAAACACATGTATATATATATAAAATCTGTGAATCTGATGGCAACAATCCTTTTTTAAAATATGTGTGAATATAATCTGGACACACACTTTTCAAAAGCGACATCAAATGCAGAATATATAGGCCTTTGTGCAGAGGGCTGCAGAGGGTTCCTAAAGGCCTGATGCAATTTCTGTTTACGAAAGCATCCATTTAAGGGCCCTCAATCCATTTATGTAAAAAAATACACTGTGACACTGGTGTGTTTGTCTGTGAATGTGTATGTTGTAATAATGTCCCCGCTATTTTGTGCAATATGTCTCCAATTCTTCTTGCCATTTGATCTTTTAAATGGCAATCTTATCTTCGTTGTCGATATTCTTTAAAGAGCCAGAAGTTACAGAGGAAATTGAACCGGAAGAACCAGTACCTGTTCCTATTCCAGAAACAGAGGAGATAATTCCAGATGAAGGTATATACTAAAGTGTGAATGAAATATACCACTTTCTTTTGTACCATCTCCATCTTGCTGAGTTAGAATTAGGTGTGTTTGTTCCGTGATGTGTACACTCCAGTATGTTTTGTTTTGTTATTTTTGTGTGTGTCCGTATGCGTGTATTTCCAACATTGTATTGCTTTCTGTAACTGTGTTGGTGATTCCCATTACCTTTGACCATGTAAACACCTTTCCCTCTTAATTGACTTGGAAGTTTACTAATGACTTTTTCAAAAACTTTCTTGAACCCATGGGCCATCAGATATTTTCAGCTGAGTTGTTTATTTTGGCACTTGCATTACTGGGAGTTTTACGAACAGAGTCTATAAAAGCAGTTTATTTCCTTTGATACATTAGATGGTTTTTATCTGAGGTTTATATAGTATAATTACATTTGCACTGAATCTACCGCAATATCATTTAAAGAACCAGAACCGGAGAAGAAGATACCTGAAAAACCCAAACCCCGTGTACCTTTCCCACCAAAAGAGGAGGTTAAGGAGGAAAAGGTTCAGCTTAAAGGTATCAGCAGCGACCCCAACAGTATTTAACAACTTTTACTAAGCCCCAGTTTTATAACTAATGCCTATTGACACATAATAATGTTCTTTGAAAGTGTGGTCTTTAGGCTGCCATCCTATTCCCACTTACCTGGGAGTAAGCCTGATTAAACTTACTTTTGAGTAGGTGTGTATAGGATTGCGCTGTTAATATATTAATGTAAGTCTAACTGAATGTTGTCTGAATGGTTTTCAGCCTAATGTCCCTACTCACTGATGGTTTTCATTTTTATATTGTTTCTAAATTTGTAATTAGGGTTTGCAATCCAGATAGTTAATTTTACCTGTGCTCTAAGGCCTCATGCATGGTGTAGAAAACCTCCCTTTACATTCAATCAGTCACTGTGCTTTGCAGATAGAGAGCCTCCTTCAGATACCATCTTACCAAGAGCTTTGTTCCACATAATGTAGGAATCAGGCCTTAACTGTCTTGGCGCCTACCCATTGGAATTCTGTCCTATTAAACATTAGACAAGTGATGTCTCTGTTGTCTTTTTGGTGCCTACTGAAGATCTTCCTCTTTCAACAAGCCTTTTAAATAGAGATATTTCCCAGTCTGCATCTGTATTGGAATTGTATTGGGTGTTTTTAGATGAATTAGTTGTTTTGTTTTTTGTGTGTTTGCTGCCCTGGACTCCTTCAGGAGGAAGGAAAGGTTATAAATTTAACAAATGATGATGACGATGTCACCTCACAAACTGCTTTTGAAACTCTCCTGAGTTTCAAACACCAGTCAACGTGTGGCATGTTTGTTTGCTGTCTGAGATTCAGAAGTCCAGAGTCCTACTGAGTGTGTGAAACTTGTTTTATAGTTCTTTGGATTGTATTTAGTTATTTGAAAGTGCATGTGTCAAGCATGGATGTAATATAGCTAGCATTCAGAATTAAGGATAGAGAAAATGGAACTCAAAGCGTTATAGACAGGGAGGAAGATTTATTACTTCCTAATGAAAATCAGTAGTGGATTATCAAAATAAACAACTATGTGTAGCTTTTTTTAAGGTTCCATAAAAAATATTACTCCACATCTCACATTTTGCAATATTCTGATCTTATACAGCATCATGAAAAGATCAAACATAATTTAATATTTCAAAGTTTATCACCTAAGTAATATTTGGTCCTACAAGAATTGCATTTACTTTTGAAAAATCTTTTCTTTTCCCACCATCTCAAGTCAGAGGGAAATAGATCCTCTTCCCAAAACAAGATTCCACCCCACCACCACACACACTTTTGTAATAATAGTTTCACGCAAAATTCACAGGGAAAAACTTGGTTATAGGGTCTTTATAGCTCATGTCAAGAAGGAACATTGTGGCTACACAATCTATTAAAGTTTCAACAGAAGTGGATGTCCTCTCTGCTAAGTATATATAGTTCCAGTGAAAGCAAATTATTGTATGATCAGATATGCTAGAACCAAAGTAAGCAATGTAAAGTCTTCAGGCTGCATGTATCCTAAGAAGGCCCTTCCCCAGCCCAAGCAGCCACTATGTGGTAAGTTGCCCACAGACCCTTGTGTCTTGTTCTCGTCTTAAAGAGACTGTAGTTTTTAGTATATTTCACAAAGTAGTATATTTTTCATTCCGTTTCCATGTGTGACTTACTGTGGTTGTTTTGTGTTCAACTCGATTCACTTTTTTATCTATTTTCTTTTTACTGAAGCATACTTTCATTTCGGATGGAGTATTCTGTGGCTTCTTCATCATGGCCTTACTATCATGACTAACAATATTATACAGTGGCACCTTAGTTTTTGATCTTCTCAGAAGCCAAACGTTTCAGTTTTTGACTGCCAAAAACCCTTCGGTTTAGAATGCGCCTCAGAAGTCAAATGGATTCCACTGAGCCCCCCCCCCAAGTTTCTCCATTGATTTTTCAGGCTGCCCTTTGTGCCTCGATTTCCGAATGTTTCGGAAGTCGAACAGTCTTCTGGAACGGATTATGATCGAAAACTGAGGTACCACTGTATATACTAAAGTTAAAGTCAAAAATTAAAGTTTAGCAACAAAAAATGGTGGTGGTTGTTTTAGTTTTTTAAAGAACTCCTTCTGAAATAAAGTATCTTTGGAAGAGAGGACCAAACTGAACAAAGAGAAAAGTAAAGTAAAGTAGCTAATTTCTCCATGTTTTGAGATTATTCAAATGGAACTGAAAGACATAGCTCTCTTATAATAGGAGGTTTTTCAGTTTTAAATGCTTATTGTACATCAAGCACCCAATGGAGATGATTGCATGTGCGCTTATTCTGAAATTAATATCATTTTAAGCACCTGGACTGAAGCCACGGAGACCCACACCTGAGCCTCCCGCTCCACCACCTAAAGAAGAAGTTGTTTTGAAAAAAGGTAATTTAGCCGTGTTGCTTTTTTCAAAAACCAGAGGACCCCACTGCTGAGATATTTCAGTCCTAACGCCACATTATGAGGTCTAACTGCAATAGCTAAGACACTTCAGCTTCTTCTTGCATCCAACTATAGGATCTCGAGAAGCCCATAAACAATTTCCTCAAGCAGGTTAACTCCTTTGCTTGTTCGAAGAAAATGCTAGTTCTAGACATGCCAATTCTGGGCAGAAAGCTCTACTAGCAACCATAGCTGATGCTGGAAGCTCCCAGACAGCTGGAAGTTCAAAAGTGTCTACTTTATTTGCAACATAAAGAAAGCTGTTGTTGCTTTTGCTTTTGAATATATGGTAATTGGTGCTTTGATTTCACCTGCAATTCTAAGAAGGAATTCTGAATGGAGACTTGGTTGTAGATTATCACACCATGCAGATTTTAAGCGGTGATCAGTTTATCAGCCTTGAGAAATAAGAGGTCACTATTCTCCAGATGTAAAACCAAGCCTATGTCATTTATTAATAAAGTTCCTCATCACTTCATCACACTGTTCTTGAAAGAAAATTGTTTTTCTTTTAAAGTCACAAGAGCAGTTAAGAAACCAGAGGAAGAACCTAAGCCAGAGAAGGAACCAAAAGCTCCACCCAAGCCTCTTGAAAAGATTAAGAAGCCTGAAGGTACAACGAAAATCAGATTGCCATGAGGTTAAGCAGTAGGAGACCCTTCTTAGATCCCCATATTCACACAAACTTTCCGAATCTGAAACAGTAAACCATCTGAATTTTGAATAGTTCTTCAGCATGGAAAGAAAAATCCCAACCATTTGGAATATTCAGAAATTTGGGGACACAATCTGCAATGTAACAACTTTCCCTCTCCCATCCCCTTGACACACTCTGTCTTTTCAGTCTTCACTTTGTAAGAACTCTTGTAGAAAGCTACATCTGACATATTCTATAATTGATAGTTTTGATCTGTCTTCTTAATTATCGCTATTGTGTCCCAGCTGTTCATCTTCGCCACATACAGTGTTTTGACAGGCTTTGAACTTATTTCTTATTTGTTTTAAATAAATCACACCAGCTACATGGCTCAGGATAAACTCGATTAATGCATCAGGGAAGTCAAAATATATGAACTCAGCTTCCGCATAAAACAAATTTTTTTTTTAAGTGCCGGAGGTTGAAAAGAAGAAAACTGAGATCCCAGCTTTCAAGAAAAGGGAAGAAAAAGAAAAACCTGTGCCTGAACCAGCAAAAGGTACAAACATGCAGTGCTCTTATAATCGCTTATACAACTAAAACCGCATTTGATCTTGAATATTGGTCTGTGAGCTGCACTAATCTTTAAAACAAGCCAGCTATAAATGCTCCCATCTTTGTGCTCTTCCAGCTGCTCCCTAATTCTTCATGCAGTACCTCGTCATTTCTTCTTCTTCTTCATTAAATGTTCTCTTATTTGTCTTTATATGGTTCAAGCCTGTTCTCTTCCCCTGAAGTAGTATATGAATGTCTTTAAGGCTTCTGTTAACTGTGCTGTTTGTCTCTCCACAACTATTTTTATGCATTTTTTTTTTTTTGGTTTTGCAATGTTCTGTTAAAAAAAAACCTGATTGACCTACTTGTTATTTTTTTTGTTCAAAGTTCCAGAGCCTAAACCAGCCACAATTCCTGAACCAAAGCCTGCTACAGGTAGGACATTTTGAAACCACTGATTATAGACCGTTTTCCTCCAATCTAGTTAACTCTGGCGTTAGCATAAAATCAATGGAGCACCAGTATAACATGAGCTTTTTTGAATCCCACCCTATGCCCTTATGTGCTGGTGCAACTCCTTGTTTTATCAGACTGTGGGCTTACATTTTAGCATTTGTAAATTATGCAATCACATTTGAGAATTCTGTAGTGTTCTGCTTATGTTTTGCTTGTTAAAGATTCATTCCAACAAGTTTGCTTGTTAAAGATTCATCCCAGCTAATACCACTGTCTGTTTCTGTGACAAACTAAGGCTAGTGAAAATCTATTTCATGGTTCTAAGAAGTACTAGCAGTGCAAGCCTATGTATGTCTATTCAGAAGTAAGCCCCATTGCCTTCAATGGGACTTACTCCCAGGTAAATATGTGTAGGATTGCAGACTAAAAGGATTTTTAAAAATGTGTATTGTATAATGTTAATCATTGTTGTGCAGAAGTAGGTCCACTTAACTCAGTGTGGCTTTCCTAGTATGTGTGTTGAGAATTGCAACCTCAGTAAATATATATAACTTTTTCTACAGCTCTAAAATCTCCTAAGCCTCCCGCAGAACCCAAACCTGAAGCAGCTCCTTTAACAACACCAGTGGTTGGAAAGAAAGCAGGTATGACTATTACGTCAGTAATATATTCAAGGGCGGGACTGTATTACTGTTCTGTAATATATTCAAGAGCAGGGTTGTGTCACAATTCTGTGAACTTTTGTAGGAGTAGTCATGAGCACAACAATCATGAGAGAGTTTAAATGTTCTTACTAACAAAAATATTTACAATACACAGCTCACTAAAGAACCTTTAAGGATCACATCTTGTTGTGCTATCAGTGTTCTTCAACGTCAAGTCTTCAGATGTGGTTAGACTACAACTCCCAGCCTCCTTAATCAATGGTGAAGGGAGTTGTAGTGCAACAACATTTTGGGCCCAAACCTTGAATGGACACTGTCCTAAATAACATGCACATGTATAACCCCAATACAGTCTCTGCCACACACCTTTCACCCAGGACTCAATGATAGCAGATGGGGAAATGGGTACACTTAGCGGGAGGGCTTGAGGGTCCAAGAGGATGAAACGACCATTACCACGAGGGAGGGAAATGAGGCTGAATTAAACCATTCATTCATTCATTCATTTGAATATGCACAACTTCTCAGAAGTAATATGAATGCAAGAAGAAGCAACACTTTGAGGAAATAATAGCTGGTAGATAGATAGATAGATAGATAGATAGATAGATAGATAGATAGATAATAGTTTAAACTGGACTTTATTATCTAATACTGCTGTTGCTGTTTTATGTCAGAGCCTAAAACTACACCAAAGGAGGAAGCTGGCAAGGCTAAACTTCCTATTAAAGGTAAGAGAGATTTAAAAAATGGAAAACTGCCCCCCGCAGCCTCTTTAAATATATAGTAACTGTGATCAACAGTCCCAGTATTTATGCTATAAACTACCAAATAACTGACTATCTAGAATAAACCTGTGAGTCATTTGATAAATTAACAGCAAAGACACTCACACACGCTTTGTAGTCAACATTTTTACAATGAGTAGTGTCTCTTCTTTCAGAGAACCTAGGTGGTAGTAAGCTAAATTTTACTCAAAGTAGAGACCTATTGAAATTAATACAGTCAAACCTCGGTTGTTAAACATAATCTGTTCCAGAAGACCATTTGACTTGCGAAATGTTCGGCAACTGAAAACTGAAATCGGAAGCCTAAATACAATACGGAAACTCAAAACAGAAGCCACATACCATGGTCAGATTCTGAAAATCGTTCAAAAACCAGAACAGTTACTTCCGGGTTTTCAGTGTTCAGGAGCCGAAACATTCTAAACGGAGGCGTTCGGGAACCGAGGTTTGACTGTAGACCTAACTTAGTCATGTCCATTAATTTTACTGGGTCTATGCAGAGGAAAAGGTAGCTGAACGCCACCCCATATTTTCATGTAACCATTTTCCCAAAGTGCAAATGGTACTTAAAACAAGAGATTGGCTTTAGCATGCCTAAATTAACAGGATCACATAAAAATCTAGAATAATTGTTTCTGTTTTTTATGTAATATTCCTGGACTTCAATAAATAGACAGGAGTGGGGTGGGTGGAGGGGTGGGGGGGAGGACGAATATTGCAATCAAATTAAAGAAAGGAGGTTTGAAGGGTTTTGCTCTTTGGACAGAACAATACTTTGTCTGCAGGAACCACAAAGGAGCAAGATGGTCTTCTACATGCCACAGCCATGCCTTGCATTTTGTGTCTTGGTCATGCTAGAATGGGATTGGAATGTCAAAAGGACAGAACTGACTGGCTTGTATATAGAATAGATTTAAATGTTCTAGGGGTAAACAAATTGCCACTTGAACAGAAAGAACGGCATGCTTTTCCTGCTGTGTTTAAGACTTGTCATCTTTCATCACACCTCTGCTGACTTGAACTGTGAGATTCATACAAATATCCCTTTGAAATATATTACTTGTAGCCAAAAAGACACCTTCGCCAGCGGATGCCGAGAGGAGGAAATTAAGACCAGGAAGTGGTGGCGAGAAACCTCCAGACGAGCCTCCTTTCACATACCAGCTGAAAGCTGTGCCCCTCAAGTTTGTTACAGAAATTAAAGACATAGTGCTGACAGAAGCAGAGTCGGTAGGCTCTTCCGCCATCTTTGAGTGCCTCATCTCTCCCTCCACTGCCATCACCTCTTGGATGAAAGATGGCAGCAACATCCGCGAGAGTCCTAAGCACAGGTTCCTCTCTGATGGGAAAGACAGAAAGCTCCACATTATTGATGTCCAGCTTTCAGACGCTGGGGAATACACTTGTGTACTGAAACTGGGAAATAAAGAAAAGACCTCTACAGCGAAACTAATTGTTGAAGGTATTTTACGGCATCTCCAGTTGGGCTTGAGTTGCTTATATAGATGTTATTTATGCCCAAAAGTTACATTTTATTTGCATTAGATGTAATTAGATGTAATTAATGCCATCCATAGCACAATATTTTACAAAACACAATGGAACAGGTCCCTGGTCCCAAGTGTGTTACAAGCAATATTTTAACACAGGGGAGACAACAGAAGTAGCTAAGGAGTGTGTGTTTACTTCATTACACAACCTTAGTTTTAGTGATAGCAGGGCACGGGGTCTTCCTTCATAAATTAAATTATACATACATGCCCCTAATTTGACAATTTATTCAGGGCATAGGTACTCTGATGCGTGCACAGAATTTCCTGGCCAAGAAGAATATTGCTTTATGCATGCATGTCACACCCCTATAATGAATGGGATCCACCTCAAATCCAAGAGATAAGCAAGTCTATATGAGCACATGTTGATCTCTGAAGTTAGGGTGATCATTCTAATGCGACAGCTTAAATTTCTATACTGTAGTTTATGGCAATGGTTCCCATTTAGCTAAGTCTTGTGGACTTCCTGTTTTTCAAAAACCAAGCCACGAATCCCCCACTTTTTTGGGGGGAGGGAATCTCTCTATGGTAGTTTTTGTTACGTGAATGGTGCCATGGACCCCCTGTGCAGGTTACGCCAAGTGTAGATTGCTCAGAGCATGAGAGTGAGACTCTTAATCTCAGGGTTGTGGGTTTGAGTCCCTGCATAGCATGGAGTTGGATTAGAAGACCTTTGTGGTCCCTTCCAATGATTCTATGATTCTGTGACCCCCTTGGAGTCCGTGGACAACCAATTGGGAACCACTGGCTTGTGGGAGTGGGGAAAAGATGCAAATAACACTTCTCCTGTTCCCTAGAATTACCAGTGCGCTTCGTGAAGACTCTGGAGGAGGAGCTTACTGTCATCAAAGGGCAACCCTTTTATCTAAGTTGTGAGCTGAACAAAGAGAGAGATGTGGTCTGGAGAAAAGATGGGAAAATCATCAAAGACAAATCTGGAAAATTTGCTCTGGGTATTATTGGTTTGCAGCGCGCCGTTACAATCATGGATGCCGATGACACTGATGGAGGTGTATACACTGTGACTGTGGATAATACTGACCTCATCTGTCAGTCAACTGTGAAAGTGGTTGGTAAGTTAAATTTCAAAACTGTGTAGTGTGTGCTTGGGATAAAACTGGGATATGAAGGAATTCTGTTGAGTAATATTAAGCCTGGTACATTATTTTTGCTCTAATATGCAAGTCCTTTTACCTTACTCTATCTTCACTGATCTATTTAAGAAGATTGGTTTTCACTTAAGTTGATTGTGTAATTAGTACTGAAATCATCTGAAGGTCTTTAGTGAAGAGCTGGTTTCACTAGAACTGGAACTCAGTATTTAATTGCCAGTTAGAAAATGATTCAGTCACAATATCACATATTGCTGTACTCCCGACAGCTTGAGGTGGAAATATATCAATCTGTGCAAAGTTTATAAAATTGCCTCTATAGAAGTGCTAACAACTATACCAATTCAGTTCACAAGACTGAAGATCTGTGGTCATCCATGACTCACCTTGGGTAATCTTATTTGAGGGCAGGGAGAGGAATATTTAGCAATAACATCAAATTCCAGCAGTTCTGAGCAAAAAGGGGCCATAAAAAAAAAATTAAAAAAAATGAAGGGAGTAAAATGAGGCCATCAAAAATATGTTTGGGTTTCTGCATATATATATATATATATATAGGCATTTCCAAGTAAGAAAAGGAATAATTAAAATTAAAATAAATTCTACTTTTCCATTTAAAAAATATATTCAAAGCAGATACACCCCAACACTTTTGTTGTATATTTTTAATTAATAACATATGTGGCAATGCCCAGGCATTTTATTCTGTGTTATCCAGGTTTTCATGGCACTTTGGCTATGTGGTAGCCCTTTAATACAATTAGAGAGAAGAGATGGGCAACCTTTCTCTCTCTCTCATAGCGCAAAGGACCCTTGTCATTCATCTCTACGTGTATTATGCTAATTCTAATGGTTATTATTTTTTTGTCATTTGTTATACAGAAGTGATAAAAGACTGGCTAGTGAAGCCTATCAGAGACCAGCATGTGAAACCAAAGGGTACTGCTACCTTTGCTTGTGATGTCGTGAAGGACACACCAAATATTAAATGGTACAAAGGTGATGAGGAGATTCCTCTTGAACCCAATGACAAAACAGAAATTGTAAAAGATGGACCTCATCTCTTCCTCAAAATTAAGAACTGCATGCCAGAAGATCTCGGAGAATATGCTGTGGAAGTTGAAGGGAAGAGATACCCAGCTAAACTGACCCTGGGTGGTAAGTGTCTTTTGATCTTGATGCAATACATTTGCCAGGGAGTAAGAAAAAAGATGAAAGCCCGCAAGACTGTTGAAGTACTGAATTGATTGCATATATGTTATTAATTTGTTCATTTCTAAATGCCAGAACGTGAAGTTGATTTGCTTAAGCCCATTGAAGATGTCACTATTTATGAAAAAGAAACAGCCAACTTTGACTGTGAGATTTCTGAAGACGATGTCCCCGGTGAATGGAAACTGAAAGGAGAAACACTCAGGCCCTCACCTGTAAGAATCTGTATTTAAGACCTCGTCAATTTGAACGTAGTATAATTATGTTGGTCAATTGTGACCTTGCCCTACCTTAAAGAAGGATTTAGAATCGTTTGGACTTATAGTTAACGTTAGTGTGGTTTTCATTGTAATTATGAAGCTTAAAATCCCAAGAGCAGGGTATCTCCACACAACATAAACATCTGATCCTAGCTCACTGTATAGCTCACCGTCAGAATTTTACTTGTGACCCTAAGAAGACTTTTGTTACCACATATGCAAGGAATTTTAGGGTGATTATTATTGAGTACTATGGACAGCCCCAAGTTTTGTTTAGCTCAGAGGAGGATGGAAGACCATGGGAATATCTTGGCCCTGGATCACTTCAATTACAGAGAGGACTTCGCCATCACATTTATGAGCTGTTGCTTTTAAATCAACACAACATGCTTTGATTAGAATTTTCTTTTGTTACCGTGTACTTTTTCATCTTTTCCTTCCAGACTTGTGAGATCAGAGCCGAAGGAGGAAAACGCTTCTTAACCTTACACAAAGTCAAACTAGACCAGGCTGGAGAGGTTCTCTACCAGGCATTGAATGCAGTGACTTCAGCTATTTTGACAGTGAAAGGTAAAGTGTTTCACTAAAAATGTGTCTCAAATTAGCCTATCATTTCTGCCATCGTAGTATGTGGGGGGAAATATTCAATATTCTCTTTATTTGCAGAAATCGAGCTGGACTTTGCTGTGCCTTTGAAAGATGTGACTGTACCAGAGAAACGGCAGGCGAGGTTTGAATGTGTGCTCACCAGGGAAGCCAATGTGATATGGACTAAAGGCACTGACATAATCAAAGTTGGAGATAAATTTGACATAATTGCAGATGGAACAAAACACATTCTGGTCATCAATGATTCTCAGTTTGATGATGAAGGAGAGTACACTGCTGTAGTCGAAGGGAAGGAAAGCACTGCAAAATTGTTTGTGGAAGGCAAGTTCATTACTGTCAAGAATTACACTGTAAAAGTCACAACAAGAATCAGTCACTGGTTATGACCGGATGGCATTAATTGTCTTTCCCTCTATTTCAGGTGTCCGGCTGAAATTTATCTCCCCACTCAAAGATCAGACAGTGAAGGAAGGAGAAACAGCCCACTTTGATTTTGAGCTTTCTCATGAAGATATGCCAGTAACCTGGTACAAAAATGATAAGAAAATCCACAATAGCAGAACGGTTCTCATTTCTGTAGAAGGGAAGAAACACAAATTAGAAATTAGAGAAGTGACACTTGATGACATCTCCGAAATCAAGGCTGAAGTGAAGGCATTGCACACTAAGGCAAACCTGAAGGTTTTAGGTAATTTATGTTGTCACATTTTGTTACTAGTTGGATCTGTATCTATTATATGTATGTATAAAATACATATCTTTATGTATTTTAGTATTTATGTTTTTCATGTACTAATTCACTCTGATTACTAACCTCTTCAAAAAAATACAACAACACTTCATACCTGACCCATATCTTGTAGAGGCCGACCCATATTTCGTTGTGAAATTGCAAGATTATACCGCTGTTGAGAAAGATGATATCATTCTGGAGTGTGAACTTAGCAAAGATGTGCCAGTGAAATGGTATAAAGATGGTGAGGAACTTGTAGCTTCCAAGAGAATCTCCATCAAGACTGATGGCAAGCGCCGCATATTAAAAATTAAAAAAGCAACCGATGCTGATAAGGGAAATTATGAATGTAACTGTGGAACTGACAAGACAATTTCTGAAGTTAAGATTGAGGGTAAGTGATTGTCCTCCTTCAGTAGAAACTCTTCGAAACATTGTACCTACTGGTCAAGGCAGGAAATCTGAGATATATACATATTTGCTTTCAGCTCGTATGATAAAAATAGAGCGTCCTCTTTATGGAGTGGAAGTATTTGTTGGTGAAACAGCACGATTTGAGGTCGAAATCTCTGAGCCTGATGTTCATGCCATTTGGAAGTTAAAGGGAGAAACTTTAACAGCTTCACCTGTAAGTCTGTTTCAAAAAAACCCAAGCAAACCACAGCACAAGTGTTGTTTTTTTAAGAGACACACACAAAAACAATTCTTAGAACGTTTTAGAGAACACATGAGTGATTAGGACAAATCTGTTATTTTTTCCCCCACCCTCATAAAAAAAAAAATCAGGATTGTGAAATGATTGAAGATGGCAAGAAACATGTCTTGATTCTTTACAACTGCAAACTGGATATGACAGGAGAAGTGTCCTTCCAAGCTGCAAATGCGAAAAGCGCTGCAAATCTGAAAGTGAAAGGTAGGCTTCAGAAGGCATCAACTCCCAACCCATCTTTCAGGGTTTTCTTAATGCCCAGCAACATCAATAAAATCCATTGCTGGAGCAGTTTATAAAAAAACAAACAAACACGTGTCTAACACTCTTAATAACCCGGTTTGATTTCAGAGCTGCCTCTCATCTTCATAACTCCTCTCAGTGACATTAAAGTCTTTGAGAAGGATCCTGCGAAGTTTGAATGTGAGGTATCAAGGGAACCAAAGACTTTCCGTTGGTTGAAAGGAACCCAAGAGCTTGAAGGGGATGAGAAATTTGAAATTATAACAGAAGGCACAAAGCACGCACTTGCCATTAAGAGTGTGGCTTTTGAGGATGAGGCTAAATATATGTTTGAGGCCGAAGACAAACGGACAAGTGCAAAGCTGATCATTGAAGGTTTGTTTGTCGCTCTGGTTCTCCCGACGGTGTGTTTGGCTTTCATATTTATGTCATTTGATTCGTCACAGTTTAACTTTAACGAGATGCTTTTGTGGTTTAGGCATTCGCCTTCAATTCATTACCCCTCTCAAGGATGTAACTGCAAAGGAGCGCGAGACTGCAGAATTTACTGTTGAGCTTTCCCATGACAATATCCCTGTTATCTGGTATAAGAATGACCAACGGCTCCATACCACCAAGGTTCTTTCAATGAAGGACGATGGCAAATTCCATACGCTCACATTCAAAGATCTCAATATTGATGACACCTCTCAGATAAAAGTGGAAGCTATGGGCAAATCGTGTGAAGCTAAACTTACTGTCCTTGGTATGTGTGGTCTGAGTTTGATTTACATTATGGCTCTTCTTTGATAGAACATCAACTAGAAGCATAACCGTGTGCTTAGAAGCTTTATTCACATGGGCTTCCCCTTCCTCAGAGCAGTTCTTTAAATCTTATGGGGAGATCCCATTCCAGATTCTTATGGTACAGCTAGATTTGCCTCCACATTAGGGCTTTCTTGGCAGCAGACCTCATACTTTTGAACATGCTTTCAAGAAGAGGTTCATATGAGCTCCTCTTTTGGGGGCCATCTGTCCTCTTTCAGAAAGCTTCTGACAACTGACTGCCACTAGTTGATTTGTTCTGTTATACTGCCATACTACCCTATTAGCAATTCTTTTGTTATTTATTTGTCCTTCGGTTCATTGTTTCATTGTAGTTGTTGCTTTGAATTTGCACCCTTTTCTAAAACATTGCATCCATTGGCTGCCTGTTTCTTTCCGGTAACACAATACAAAGTACTAGTCCTGACCTATAAAGGCCTAAGTGGTCTGGGACCAGCATATCTAAAAGAACATCCTTTTCACATACAAGTCTAATCATCAGTTAAGAATATTTCGGTGGCAAAGCACATGCCTTGCACACAAAAACTCCCAGGTTAAATCCCTTGCTTCTCCAGGTAGTATTGGAAAAGACTCCTGTCTGAAACCCTGCATAGCTACAACCAACCATTGTAGGCAGTAGTACTAAGTTAGATTGAGCCTCTGGTCTGACTGAGTGAAAGGCAGTTTCCTATGTTTTTATCTGTTGGGACCTTTTTCCAAACTCCCATGCTTGTTATTGTCATTCAGGCTTTACTTTGAAATGGTCCTATTTTCCTGTTTTTTTTATTATCAGTAATAGCTTTCAGTGTCTTTATATGGCTCTGCTGTAAGTTTTTGTGCTGCCATTTTATTTTTGTTTTAGTCTTGTTTTTTGGGAAACGTCATCCCTCCTACAAATTTTTGGATGTCGTATTGTCTAAGTTTGTTTTGAATTTGTTGTAAGCCGCCTTGTGGATCCAAATCTCTGGAAGGCGGGGTATAAATCTCTTTTAAATAACCAAAATAATGAAGAAATAAGAAACCACTTTATGGTGTACCACAGAAACACGTTTCTTTCGGGTCCGTGTAAATGGGGAAAAAATGAAAAGCAGAATCAGCTACTTTTACCTAATAACAATAATTTGCTCTATTAAAGTTTCTTAAAAACTTGCTTTTAGAAAACTTTATCCTACATAGAAAATCTAAAAAAAGCACTCTTACCTGAAAAGAGAACTGTCTTGCATAAGTTGGTACAATTTTGAATGTATGAATAATCTTAGAATGTCACATATTCACCTTGACTTGCAGAGGGGGACCCTTATTTTACTGGGAAGCTTCAAGATTACACTGCTGTGGAGAAAGATGAAGTGATTTTGCAGTGTGAAATTAGCAAAGCAAATGCTCCCGTAAAATGGTTTAAAGACGGACAAGAACTAACTCCGTCTAAGAATGTTATTATCAAGGCCGATGGCAAAAAGAGAATACTCATCCTCAAGAAGGCCTTGAAGAAAGACATTGGTCAATATACCTGTGATTGCGGCACCGATCAGACTTCTGCTAAGCTGAACATTGAAGGCAAGTTCACACTTACTGATGTATTATTATATTCTATTTTAAACCGCCCTGAGGATCATTCATTCGAAAGACAAGATATAAATCTTCTTAATAAACACATAAATAAAATCTTCCTGATCCTTCTGTCGTAGAACCCTGCTCATCAACATTGTCATGAAAGCTAATAATATTGGTGTGGTTTTCCCCCCTTCACAGATCGTGATATTAAGATTGTACGTCCCTTATATAGTGTGGAAATATTTGAGACAGAGACTGCACGTTTTGATACAGAAATCTCTGAGGAAGATATTCATGCTAACTGGAAACTGAAAGGGGAGCCCTTGACACAGACACCTGTAAGCAATGCTTTTAAATATTTCCCCACTTCTAAATGAGACTTCTATTGCCTAAAATATGCAGATGGAAGAACATAAACCTTTGGAAAATCTTTGGAAGATCTGAGAAAGTACTGTAGTGGTACTGAGAAAATAATTTCTATATCAACACAATTTAAATGGCTGGAATCGTAAATCGTGCAGTTAAGCAAAATATATAGAATGTAGTCATCCATGTTTCGTATTTACACAACAGAAAATATATAATTCAGGGGGAGCAGTTTTAACGTTAGAAATCTGAAGATTGCTTTTGTAATGAAAAGCAATTGTAAGTAATATGTAAATAATATTTGATAAAAATATGTTGGTTGCAGTTGTTAAAGCAATGTACCAGGTGCCTCTGGAAGTTAATAACTGTAATCAGTTGGTTCATTGTAGCCATATATAGGGGTGCTTTTTTTCTTAATGTTCCCATGTAAACAATTCAGAAAATCAATGTGCATGTTTAGCACATTAACATCTCATTGATCTGGACAATGCGTGGTTTAAGGCCTGTGGTCAAACTTTTGCAAAAGTTCAGTAGGTCGTAGCCATTGGTTGTGGTTCGAGGACCGATCCCCCCCAAAGTGGAATGAATACACAAGGACATGTGATATAAGGTTAATGGGCAAGGAAAGGCCACAACTTTATTGATTACAGCAAGTGAAAAGGTATTGGCTTAGGCATTGGATTACGTCAGCTGACTCCACCCCCTCAGAGGGGTGAGTCTGAAACCAGGGGGTTTATTCACCAGTAGGTGGAGCCTGTTGATGCTAATCCAACTATAGGCTCTCCCCTGATGTCACCGAGGGTGGTGCCATGGCCTCCAGCCAAGCAGGCATTGGACAGAATACACGACCACCAGATTCCTTTAACGGAATACCTAAAATTGAAGGCATAGGTGATGGCCACACCTAGCCCTTTGAAACCATGACACATTATTCCAATGCCTAACCTACCCACCAATACCATGAAAGTTGTGATGATTGCTACAAGGTAGGCGAAAAAACCAAAAAGCCTAATGCCAAATGGAAAAATTCCTACCAGGCCCCCTGAACAACCAGGGCGACCAACCTAAGGTCCATAGCAAGGCCAAGGAAAACTAAGACCCTGAGCTCAAAGGGAGTGGCGGGTGGGTGAATCGTGACGGGACGACGAGAGTGAGGCCGAGGAGGGGCTGGCGCCGCCGTATTAAGGCTGCTGTACACGCCCCCTCGGAGGCACCTGGTTGGGTGCCTGCCGATGGGGGTGGGCGCCAGCCAGGTGAGTGGGAGGCAGGAGGCTAACGCCCCCTGCTAGAGGCGGGGCTCGGGCTCCCGCCCACAACCACTCCCCTCCCTTCAGGAGGAGAGCCCTTGTGTGAGCAGATGGAAGGGTTGCGCACAGTGCCCTGACCAACTTTAACTCTTTAGCAGCTGGCTGCAACACAGCCAAAGCTGTTCAGGAGGGCCTCTGACCCTCCAAAGAGGCTTTTCATGAGGCTCAGTGGGCTGTAGTGGGGAGGGGAAAGATTGGTTGCACAAGCTCCCTTCTGCTCCCATAGACATTATATACAAAACAATGGGGTCCAAGTACAGTGGTACCTCGGGTTACATACGCTTCAGGTTACAGACTCCACTAACCCAGAAATATTACCTGGGGTTAAGAACTTTGCTTCAGGATGAGAACAGAAATCGTGCAGCAGCGGCACAGTGGCACCGGGAGGCCCCATTAGCTAAAGTGGTGCTTCAGGTTAAGAACAGTTTCAGGTTAAGAACAGACCTCCAGAACAAATTAAGTTCTTAACCCGAGGTACCACTGTACATTGTCAATATACATGCCAGAGAATGTGTTGTTCTGGTATTTGTACTCCAAGACAGGATGTTGAGAATCATGTTTGCAAAACAGCTGCAGCCAGTACAATGTTTTGTCCCCAAAGGGGAATAAAAGGTTGCTACCATTTTGAATATCCAAATACCAGAAATATGGACCTGATAAAAGGAAGTGAAAGCTATTAAGCATTGTACAAACCTTTGCATTTGTTTGCTCTTGGAAGGACTGTGAAATTAAGGAGGAAGGCAAAAGGCACTGTCTTACACTCTACAACGTGCGCTTGGACCAGGCCGGTAGCGTAGACTTCCAAGCAGCCAATGCCAAATCATCTGCCAATCTTCGAGTAAAACGTAAGTGTCTTGCAAGTGTATCTGTAAGATCGCTTGTCTTTTACATCAGTAACTGAGCTAAACTCAAACAAGTTGGGAGTCAGAATGGGGCATGTGATCTGTTGTTAATGGAACAGTAAATGAAAAGGAGAGACAGTCGGGTGAGCTTAAGTTGAGGAGTAGTTATTTGATATAGTTGTGTCACTTATTATTTCATTATAAAAACGTTTTATAAGTTAATGCTGATACTTTTAATTTAGTTATTTAGTTTGTTTGTTTTTAGATCGTGGGATAGCTATTATATAAAGATTTTCAATTAGTTAATAAGAACAGGTTGTTAGACCACTGGAATCGCCCCTCCTTATTCCAGGATGATTGGCAAGGTAGCATAATGAGTTGTTACGAAATCTAAAATATTACAAACAGACTCTCTGCTGTGCTTGGCATTTGGGGTATAAGATCTGAGAGATCACACCATGCTGACATTTGTGGAAAGTGCCAGTAGCTTGATGGACAGGAACACCTTACACAGTTGGTGACCACTTGTCCCTCTATCCAATTGTAGACCTTGCTATTTTGGAAGGCGCATGCCTTATCTAGCAAGAGGCACGCAGGGCTTGGCAAAGGAGACAGATGCAACGTAGCTTTCTTGCTGATCTTTTCATTTAAAAGGAACAGGCTCCGCAAATAGGGAATCTCCAGTGACCAGCCCTCCCCCTGAAAACCCCAAGGGCCCAGATCTAGCCAGGGAATTTAAATAGCCTCTGTACATCATACTCCCTCTCTCTTGGGGAAAGGCACTATGGCCGTTAGTAAAAGGTGCAGGTGGCTAATCTGAAGATGTTTTCTTCGTTCCGTCAAGCACGTGTCATTGGCCTGCTGAGGCCTCTGAAGGATGTAACTGTAACAGCTGGGGAAACAGCAAACTTTGAATGTGAACTCTCCTATGAGGGAATTGCAGTGGACTGGTTCTTAAAAGGACAGAAATTGGAGCCCAGTGACAAGGTACAGAAGACATTATTTCTCTTCTCCCCTTTTCCCGTGTCAAACCCTATTTCTTTCCCTCTTTCTCTCCTACCCCTCCCTTTTGTGAGACTGGCAGTGCAATCCTATACATACTTACCTGGAAGTAAGCCCCACTGAGCTCAATGGGGCTTGCTTCCGAGTAGAGATCCATAGGATTGCACTGTAAGGCGCTATTCTAAAATATCATTCAGAAAAATCAGTTCCTTCCACATGGTGGAAAATAAAAGTTTCAAAGGGAGGTGAAAGGGGTTGGGGAGGTTTTGTATCAGTGCTAACATAAAGGGATATGTAATATTTTGATATTAGTGGGGAAGTTTATGATTGTTTGCACCTCCTGATTCTTTTCTTTCTCTGAATGTAGAGCTGGCATCCAGTTCTGCATATAAGGGGATTAAGGAGATTGAAATTCCATTTCAGGCATTTGAGCAGGCTTCCAGATAACTTTCTCGGTAGATCTGCTCGCAGAGCATTTCTCACCAGCTATTTTTAACCCTTCATCAAGTGTGCTGTTAGCGCTGAGATGTGAACAGCCTGGAATGCAGTTCATTCAATATTTAAAATGTTTTAGCAGCAAGCCATATAGTAGTATAAGTAATCACATGCAGAAGTTGCATTCAATGAAATATTATTTGGTGCATGCTTTTTTAGATCCTCTGTTTAAGTCGTTAGAGTGTCTGTTAATGATAGGCTTACGCAGAGAATATTTGCAAAGGAAAACAGAAATATACCTGCTAAAATAAGGCCTAGTTAGTGCAAGTTTGAAATTACCATAGCCAATTCAGCCTAATCAAAACATTAAATTTAAACTAGCATAGCGAGATTTAACTAAATGGATAGATTAATCCTTACTGTTCCCATGAAAAGTATTTTAATGGTGAAGCATTATTAGATGCATCATAAATATTTCAACTTTTATTTCAACTTTCATATTAATAGCAAGATTTTATGTTTTGCTTCTGATTAACCCATCTACATCAGTTTAAATGGGCCTATGATAACACAAACAATGGTGTTTAGGGCACTCCTACCCCAGTCCAGTAAGGGACTATAATCCATGCAGAACCAGGTCTCTCCTGACTTCTTCCCAGCTGGACAGGGGACCTGTGATGAAAAGCTTCTTATGCAAGTACTGTAGTTCTCCTTTTTGATTGATTTGGATTATATCAACCCTTTGAAGAAGTTTACAGTTCCAGCTGGTGGATTCAGTCTGCTGACTCCCACAAAACTCTAGAGGCCTTTGGGGCTTGGCGGCTGATGCAGTACGAAGAGCTGAAATTGCAACAAGAAATCAGAGAAGCCCCAATGCATGCCCAGAAGTGCATGGGTGTATAACTGGGAGTCTTTGTTTACCAGCCTATTTAGACAGACACAAATGTTTGATATAAGGTTGCAACATGTTTCCTTACCAAATCTATTCTCCTGAACATTGCTTCTTCTTTTTTTAAGATTGTGCCCCGTGCTGAAGGCAGAGTTCACACCCTTGTTCTAAGAGATGTGAAACTAACAGATGCTGGAGAAGTCAAACTGACTGCAAAGGATTTCAGAACTCAAGCAAATCTTTTTGTAAAAGGTAGGCTTCCTAAAGTAACAATTTATTCCCTTAGTAGTATGCTAGAGACGACTGATCTGTGTTAGGCAAACTGCATAATTGGGCCGATCCTTTTCTGCAGTACTTTTTACACATAAAATGCTGAAAAGAATTCTGGCCATAACTCAGTCTTTTAAAAAGATCAGAATGATAGCTAGCTTTTCAATCTCTTGGGAGGGAAAAATGATGCATGTAGCACCAACATGATTTGTGGGGTTTTTTTCCTCCCTGTCCTCAGAACCACCTGTTGAGTTTACTAAGCCTCTTGAGGACCAGACTGTAGAGGAGGAAGCTACTGCAGTTCTGGAGTGTGAAGTATCCAGAGAAAATGCACCAGTGAAATGGTTCAAGAATGGCCAAGAAATCCACAAGACAAAGAAATATGATATAATTGCTGATGGCAGAGTCAGAAAACTTATCATTCATGGTTGCACACTGGACGATGCTAAAACGTACACATGCGATTCTAAAGATTTCAAGACGTCTTGTTTCTTGAACGTTGAACGTAAGTTTTACTCATAATTTCCTTATAAAGACATAGATACTTGTTTGCATGATTCCAAAGGTAGGCATGTTGCAGGATATATGGGTGGGTCAAACTGATGGTGCTGTAAAACAAGCAGACCTTTGACTTAAGTGGGTTGGGCTTTTTCTTTCATCCACAAAAGTGGGAATCTCTACTTTATCATAACTCTATTAGAATAAATTATTATAACTAAGGCCATTGCTATGAATTGAGATTCACAGATAAGAAAAAAAAGAGATCGTTTTCAAACTGGAATTTTTTTTTTTCTTATAGCACCTCATGTTGAGTTCACAAAGCCCCTTACGGATATTGAAGTTAAAGAAAAAGAAGTTGCTCGGTTTGAATGTGAAATTTCCCGACCAAATGTTCAGGTTTGTAATGTTTGTGTCTCTTCATATTTGCCCTTGTCAATAGCTTTTGCACAGAATCTCACAACATTTATTGCAGCCACATTTTCTATTTTTCTAGTCACTAGGGCAGCCCAAAGCATTTAGAAGGTGGAAATTGTGCCTACTAATAGCTCAAACCAAAAGATGATCTAGGTTGTCTGCATCATTCAGTCCCACCTTCACTAGCTCCTTACTATAGATCTCCAGTTGCCAGCGTGGTACCTGAGCAGCTTCATCTTTTTCACCCCTAAAGATTTCCTTAGGTGCCCTCAAAGCCTCTGAGCACCCTTCCCACCCATTTGCTTTTCAAGGATCAGATTGGCACCTGAGCAGCTTTCTTAGGGCTGCCACGACATGGAAATATGGACCTGAGGCATGGGTCCTTAAGAATTCTTATAGCCTGATTGTTCCCTCATGCCCACCCCCAGGGAGCCCAAGCCTCCATAAGGTAAAGGTAAAGGGACCCCTGACTATAAGGTCCAGTCGTGGCCGACTCTGGGGATGTGGCGCTCATCTCGTTTTATTGGCCGAGGGAGTCAGCATACAGCTTCCGGATCATGTGGCCAGCATGACTAAGCTGCTTCTGGCGAACCAGAGCAGTGCACGGAAACTCCGTTTACCTTCCCACCGGAGCGGTACCTATTTATCTACTTGCACTTTGACGTGCTTTTGAACTGCTAGGTTGGCAGGAGCAGGGACCGAGCAACGGGAGCTCACCCCGTCGCAGGGATTCGAACCGCCGACCTCTGATTGGCAAGTCCTAGGCTCTGTGGTTGAACCCACAGCGCCACCCATGTCCCTACACTCCATACCAGCCTGCCATTGGCCAATTCAGCAGGCTGACATGGAACAGGATTTCAAGTTGTGAGAGTGAGCTGAAGCTCTCGCTCCGGCTGCGATCAACCCACCACACCCAGTCCTGAATCATCAGCAGGTGAGGGGGGCAGTGCTGGTCGTCCCACAAAGCTGCCGCCCTCCTAAAAGGGCGTAAGCAGACTTCCAGAACCTTAATAACAAAATCCAGTACTGCCAATGAAAATAAGATACACCTATCTGAATGTAGATTCTGTCTACATATTTTACTTTGGTTATAGAGCCAAATACTATACCCTTTCCAATAGGTGATTGGCACCATTGTCAATTTTCTAATTCATCTCCACATGTGCAACTTCCAAATGGCCTGAATTGGAACAAACAATGCACCCAATTCTCTCATGCTTACAGCTGATTTATGGGTTTAGATGAAAAATAATTGCAATAAAATGTGCACCATTTGACATGTTCATAGGGAATGCATCTATATTCACTGTGGAATATTGGTTTATGGTTTAGCTTAAAATATCATCCAGGCATGCTTTAATCTAATACAGTCAGTAATTATATATTTCAATTTCTCAGTTACTGCTTCAGTTGATATTGCAGTATCTCTTCTTTGCATTCTGTTCAACTTGATTTTTATCACTATTTTAAATATAGGCACGGTGGTTTAGGGATGGTGTTGAAATCAGAAAAGGCAAGAAGTTTGACATCATTGCTAAAGGTGCCCAGAGAATACTTGTTATCAACAAATGTCTGCTTGATGATGAGGCAGAATACGCATGTGAAGCAAAAGGAGCCAGAACCTCTGGCATGCTGACAGTGATAGGTAAAGCTAAAATCAAGTTTGTTGCATTTACATGAAAGAGCAATGGCTTGATCGCTGTTGTGATCAAATACAACCATTGTTATTCTTTTTCATTTTACAGAAGAGGAAGCTGTCTTTACCAAAAAACTTCCCAATGTGGAAGCAAGTGAAACAGACACTGTCAAATTGATTTGTGAAGTTTCCAAGCCCGATGCAGAAGTAACTTGGTTCAAAGGCGATGAGGAGTTGCCTGAAGGTGGTAGATATGAACAGATTGCTGATGGCCGGAAGAGAATTTTGGTCATCCACAATGCTAGTCTTGACGATGCAGCAGCATACACCTGCAAACTTCCTAGCAGTCAGACAACTGGCAAGCTGAAAGTTCATGGTAAGAAAACTACTTTGGAATTTTTCACAGGTGTTGCCAGGTGACATGTAGGGCTGGGCGCTATATTGATATATCGCCCCAAACCGGTTTCTAGACCACATCGTGATAACCATTTCAAATTAAAGGACCCAGCAATATATCGCAACTTGTGTGTGCGCGCTATGCAAAAATTCACAATACAGTCGTACCTTGGAACTCAAACAGAATCCGTTCTGGAAGTCCGTTCGACTTCCAAAATGTTTGGAAACCAAAGTGTGGCTTCTGACTGTCTGTGGAAGCCGCAGCGGATGTTCAAGTTCCAAAAATAGTTTGCAAACCGGAACACTCACTTCCGGGTTTACGGCGTTTAGAGCTAAGCTGTTTGAAAACCAAGGTACGACTGTATTTGAAAAACCAGAAAGTCAGCCGGTGCTTCTGTGTCTCCTTGAGGTGAATGAACAGACACTCTTTCCTTCCTTCCTTCCTTCCTTCCTTCCTTCCTTCCTTCCTTCCTTCCTTCTGTGTGTTTGTGTGCGCATGTTCACCTCAGCTGAGCAGTTTAAGGAAGCTCACCCCACATCCACCCCTCCAGCATGAGCTGGAGCAGAATGGGAGCTTGCTCAGTTGTAGGGCTGGACGATGCATCTCAGCTGCTTCTTCCTCTTATTTACTCCTCCCTCCTTATTTCAGACATTGCGATATATCAACATATTGTGGTATATAGCTGGTGATACATCACGATGCTGAAAACCACATATCACCCAGCCCTAGTGACATGTGTGCAGCTGAGTAGGGTTTTTGACCCACTTCTTATTGACCGAATATGCATGGTTGTGTCATCTGTGCTAGGACACAGCCATGTCAAGTCAGTCTGAGACTTCTTTTGCTGACTGAAAATATTTTCGGTTATCAATTAGATGGGGGGGCGATCTACTTATCCCCATATCAAAAACTAAAAAAACAATATGCCCAACGTCTTTTTCAGAACTTGCAGCAGAATTTATAAGCAGGCCACAGAACGTTGAAGTACTTGAAGGAGAAAAAGCAGAATTTGTCTGCTCAGTATCCAAAGAAGCCTTTGACGTACAGTGGATAAGGGATGATACTGTTCTTGAAGCCAATGATAAGTATGACATAATTTCCGACGGCAAAAAGAGAGTCCTGGTCATTAAAGAGTCTGTTCTGGATGACGATGGAACTTATTCTGTCATGGTCGGTGCAGCCAAAGCAACAGCCCGCTTGACAGTGATTGGTAAGCTTTATGGGGCTTTCTCATACATTTGTGGGCATGCTTTTATTTCCTTTGTGAGGATGTAATTCGCATCATCATCATAATATGCAAATTCAAATTGCAGAAAAACTCAGGATTGTCATCCCACTGAAGGACCAACAAGTAAGAGAGGGAGAAGAACTTGTATTTAACTGTGAGGTTAATACAGAAGGGGCCAAGGCAAAGTGGTACAAAGATGAAGAAGCAATATTCGACAGCGCAAAATACATCATGGTCCATAAGGATTTAGTTTACACGCTAAGAATTAGAGACGCCCATCTGAATGACCAAGCAACCTACAACATAGTCCTGGCAAACAAGAGAGGAGAACAAGTAAAGAGCTCTGCTACTTTGACTGTGCTTGGTAAGTTTCTTCCCAGGGCTATTATTCTAGAAAAAGAGTTTCCATGAATGCCTCCCTTGTTCTCTTATAATGGCAATGGTGCCCACTTGAGAGGTGTGCCATTCCAGAGAGGAATGGCAGACTAAGATGTTGGGCAATGCCGAAATGGCAAAACTGACCGGAAAGCTGAGGAACCAAGAAGACCAAAACTTCAATAAAGAATGGGGGGGGGAATTATAATTTATTTAGGAGACCACTGTAAGCAGATGAAAACATTAGCAGGACAGCAATAACACTTGTAAGGTAGCAAATATTATGGATAAAATATGGACTATGAGAAAATATGCAGTTGAAAAGGATAACAATAGGACCCATGGAAGGGATGGTGGGAGAGAGAGAGGTTCTGGAACTGAGTTCTGGCTGGGGAAAAAGCCCTGGTGTTTTCTTTTTCTAAGTGGCACAGGCTTCCACTCTTGTCAAATTACTGTTTGGAAGAGGCTGTAAATTAACAATACTTTTCAAACCACTTCTCTCTTAAACAGAGGAAGACCTCAGAATTATTGAGCCTCTTCAAGACATTGAAACCATGGAGAAGAAGTCTGTCACGTTCTGGTGTAAGGTTAACCGCCTCAACGTAACCCTCCAGTGGACAAAGAATGGTGAAGAAGTCACCTTCGACCGCCGCATTTTGTACAAAGTGGATAAATACAAGCATTCACTTATCATTAAAAACTGTGGCTTTATAGATGAAGGGGAGTACGTTGTTACCGCTGGCCAAGACAAGTCGGCTGCAGAGCTTATTATCACGGAGGCACCTGCAGATTTCATTGAGCACTTGCAGGACCAGACAGTCACTGAATTTGATGATGCAGTCTTCAGTTGCCAGCTTTCCAAAGAGAAAGCAATGGTGAAGTGGTACAGAAACGGACGAGAAATTAAAGAGGGCAAAAAGTAAGTACAGGTGCTTTTAACTGGTTGGTGATATACTATGGTTGCTGTCTGGATTCTTGCCTCTGAATTTAACACATAATCCTTTTTTTCTGTCTGCAATAAAGGTATCAGTTTGAAAAGGATGGAAATTTACACAGGTTAATCATAAAAGACTGCAGGCCAGAGGATGAATGCGAGTATTCCTGTGGTGTGGATGACAGGAGATCCAGAGCAAGACTTTTTGTGGAGGGTATGTTTACAATTTCTATTTATCTTTCACCTTTCAATATTTTTTTTGTAAAAGAAAAGAAAAGTATGTCAACGCAATCTAAATTTTATTCTTATTTTGACCAGAAATTCCTGTGGAGATTATCCGACCACCGCAAGATATTTACGAAGCCCCTGGCTCTGATGTCCTTTTCTTTGCTGAACTGAATAAAGATAAGGTGGAAGTCAAATGGTTGAGAAATAACATGATAATAGTCCAGGGAGATAAGCACCAAATGATGAGTGAAGGAAAAGTCCATAGGCTGCAAGTCTGTGAGATTAGGCCTCGCGATCAAGGAGAATATAGATTTATTGCCAAAGATAAAGAAGCTCGAGCTAAGCTAGAACTGGCAGGTAAGCCTCTGAAATTTTTTAACAATAGAATAATATTTATATGAGTAATGCAACACTTTTTCTGGGTGTTAATTTCAGTGATTAACACATTACTAGTGGTAATAAAAAATCTCTGTAACTGAGAACCTACATTCACGTTGGATGATTCTTGCGTGTTTCTGTAGCCTTTATTATGCAGCTTTGTAATGTAGCTTCTGTGCATTTAGGAGTCAGAATGACCCAGCACAGATTAATTATCTGTGTATGTTGGAGGCAACAATAGTGCCCCCACTGACCAGAACGGGACAAGATGGTGTCTATACAACATTACTAATGGTTATGATTTTGGTTTTCCCTTCGCACCAAAGTTGCTTAAAAATCACAAAACAGCTCACTGCGCTGTTGTTTTCTGTTTCAGATTTTCTGTAACGTATTTCATTGCTTGTTTGTTTTACTAGCTGCTCCAAGAATAAAGATAGCTGATCAGAATCTTGTGGTAGATGTTGGGCAGCCATTGACTATGGTGGTTCCATATGATGCCTACCCACGAGCAGAAGCTGAGTGGCTGAAGGGAGAAGAAGCCTTGCCCACTCTTACTGTTGATACAACACCTGAGAGTACCACCTTCAGAATTCACGAAGCAAAGACGACTGACAGAGGGAGTTACAAAATCATCCTTAAAAATAAGCATGGCCAAGCTGAAGCACACATCAATGTTCAAGTTATTGGTAAGCTCATCATTTCCTATGGCCAAGGGTTGTTGCTTTTCTGATGTAGAAGATGAAAGCATTGGTATATAAGGATGAGAGAAATAAGAAACTGCATCCACGAACCTCACTAAGTTGTTATTGTTTTATGAAACTCAAAGCAAATCCCAAATTCTTTTAAGTAAGCATACTTTTGCTTTATTCCCAGATGTCCCTGGCCCAGTTAGAAACCTGGAAGTAACTGAGACGTTTGATGGTGAAGTTAGCCTTGCCTGGGAGGAACCAGAAAGTGATGGTGGTAGTAAAATCACAGGGTATGTTGTTGAAAGGCGCGATGTCAAACGAAAGACCTGGATTTTGGCAACAGATCGTGCCGACAGTTGTGAATACACAGTGACTGGCCTTCAAAGGGGAGGCGTGGAGTATCTCTTCCGCGTGAGTGCGAAAAACAGAGTGGGCACCGGTGAGCCAGTCGAAACAGACAAACCTGTGGAAGCCAAGAGTAGATTTGGTAAGAAAATTGTTATTTGGAGACTATAATTTGTTGAAGTCCTGTTGAATAGGAAAGTAACGTTTTTTTAAAAAATATCTCTTACGACCTTGCAGATGTCCCAGGACCTCCTCTCAATGTACAAGTTGTTGATGTGAACAGATTTGGTGCGTCTCTTACTTGGGAACCCCCAGATTATGATGGAGGCTCTCCAATTACGGGCTATATCATTGAATTACGTGACAGAGCTTCGATCAAGTGGGAACCAGCCATGACCACAGGAGCACATGACTTAGCTGGAACATTAACTGATGTGGTGGAAAACAAAGAATACTTTTTCAGAGTCAGAGCTCAAAACCAGATTGGAATTGGCAAACCTAGTGCTTCTACACATGCGGTGAAGATAATGGATCCAATTGGTTAGTATGCAGGCGATAAGAAAATATTTCTAGATAGTTATAATATCATTTGCTTATAAAATATGAAAACAGGAAAGATTTGAGGTGAATCAATTGATATATCTCAAACAAACGTCCAGTGTTTATTATTCAGTTTCATAGAAACCATTATATATGTTGTTTTGGGAAATTAGCAGTGTCAGAAAATGAAAATAATAGAAGCTCCACATAAGCTGTAAAAGAAGGACCACCGTTGATGTTCAGTGAGGAAGGATCTATGGTAATAATACTGTAATCTGTTTAGTAGAAGACTATGACAAGAATCTAGCAAGCTACCTTTGACATACTCTAAGGCTTGCACATATGCTCTACTGCAAGGGTAGGCAAACTAAGGCCCAGGGGCCGGATCTGGCCCAATCGTCTTCTAAATCTGGCCCGCGGACAGTCCGGGAATCAGTGTGTTTTTACCTGAGTAGAATGTGCCCTTTCATTTAAAATGCATATCTGGGTTATTTGTGGGGCATAGGAATTCATTCATATATTTTTTTCCAAAATATAGTCCATCTCCCCACAAGGTCCGAGGGACAGTGGACCGGCCCCCTGCTGAAAAAGTTTGCTGACCCCTGCGCTAATGCCTATTGTTTCTATACACAACATGCCCCTATGTCACATCTCATGTACTTTGGACATTCCTGCTAGTTTCAAAACAGCAGTTTGGCATGGGCTTAGGATACTGTTGTTTGAGGAACTCAAGAGTAGCCCTTCCAGACTTGTGGGACTAGTTGCATAGTTCTTCTGATTTTGGCCATCTGTTATATTGTGCAAATCATTGTGTTTTGCAGAAAAACCAAGTCCTCCCATTAACCTCGATCATTCTGACCAAACTATGTCATCTGTGAAACTTACATGGGAACCTCCTTTGAAAGATGGAGGTAGCCCAGTACTGGGCTACATTATTGAAAGGCGCGAAGAGGACACAGACAACTGGATCCGTTGCAACGCAAAACTTGTGCCTAGTCTTAATTATAAGGTAGCATATTCCTTTCCGAAGTAAAATGCCTTTTAAGGTTTTTTTTAAAAATAGTGATTATTAATTATGACATTTTCCTCTGTCTTCATAGGTAACTGGGTTGAAACCTCTAGCCAGGTATTATTATAGAGTATCTGCAGAAAATGCTGCTGGTGTGTCAGATCCTGCTGAAGCTATTGGACCACTGACTGCTGATGATCCTCACAGTAAGTTGAATTCTCGTTTCTTGCCATAGTCAACAGCTTGAAAGGAAAGGTTGTATTCATCTGAGACTATTCATGCTTGTTCATAAAAACAATACTTTAATATTGCTCTCATACTTTGGATACCAAAACCAGCCCCCCTCTCAGCAGTAACAGTCTAAAACAGGAGTGGGAAGGCCATGTGGCCCTCTTGATGTTGTTGGACCCCAATCAGCTCCAGCCAGTATGGCCAAAGGCCAGGGATTATTAGGGCCACAGGGTCTCTAGGCCTCATCTAAGCTATACTAAAATGGAAGGAAACCCTTAACATTCACTAGGTAGCACTGCTCTACATTTACAATTTGTCCTCTAAGGCTACATTGCTAAACAAGTCAGATTTTTTTAAAGAAATGTATTAAATTGAACATCTAGGTGTCTTTAAATTGGAATAAGCTTTCTCTATTGCTAATTTCATCAGATTATGAAACAGTTTTATGATGTGTTCTCAACAGATAGAACGCCATGTGAAGGCATCTATAATAATGCTTTCCATGCGAACAGATTCCAAAGGCAATTACCCTTTAATGGTGTTGTGGAGAAAAAAAGAAAGTTTGTAACTTTAATCGGCATAATTTGTGTTTGTATTTCAGCTGGACCTACAATGGACTTAAGCGGATTTAAAGATGGACTGGAGGTTATTGTTCCAGATCCCGTCAAAATACGTGTTCCTATTACTGGCTATCCAGTACCAACTGCAACATGGTCTGTCGGCGACAAAGTTTTAGAACAGGGTGACCGGGTGAAAATTGACACGTCTGCAGCCTTTGCAGAGCTTGTTATTACCCCAAGTGAACGGCCAGACAAAGGCATCTATACCTTGAAATTAGAAAACCCTGTGTCATCTGTATCCGGAGAAATCAATGTTAATGTCATTGGTGAGCAATCCAGTATATATTCTGAAGAATTGTATATAACCTGTTTTGTAAATAACCATGTGTGTAAAATCCAAAAGTTTCATCAAGCCAAATTTGTTATGAATAGCACCATAGGAGCCAACTCCTAGGGCCCAAGGTCTTTTCGCCGCCGCCCCCAAAAAAATATATGAGGGGGATGACCTTCCCAAAGTTGATGGGTGTGTGCCATGTCATGTGATCAATTGTGTGTGGCAGGGCTTATCTGGGCCTCCCCAATATTTTATTAAAGTTGGCACCCCTGAATAGTACTAAACAACAGCAGCATGTTTATTTGTTAAATTTATGTGCTGGCTTTCCTCCCAAGAGAGCCTAGGTTGGCAACTTCTATTGTACCATTTTGTTATGAAATGCTCTAATACAAGGGAGATCATAAACTTAGCTATTAACAGTTAACAGTCTGTCCTAAGAATGCTTACTCAGAAGTAACAATCCTCTTTCTTTCTTTTTTTAAAAAAATAGAAGCATGAATTAAAAACTAGTAGGTGTAACCAAACAGCCAAAGTCTTCCATCAAAGAAAGAATAAGTAATATATATTTATAATAATTGGTTTATAATATGATGGATATTTATTTTTAGCTCGCCCAAGCGCACCAAGAGAACTACAGATTGGAGAGATAACTAGGAACTCAGTCCAATTAAATTGGGAAGCTCCTGAAGATGATGGAGGAAGCCCACTGACTGGCTATCTTATTGAAAAGCGTGAAGTGAGCCGCAAAACATGGGTCAAGGTACGCAGTTTCTTTAAAAAACCAAAACACCTATATTTCTAATATGTATTGCTGAAGATGGTATGAAATATTCTGGTGCTTGCTATGGAAAAAAAAGTTCTGGAATTACTTGGAACCTCTCTTGTTTTAAGGTGATCGACAACGTCCTTGACCAAGAGTTCACAGTACCAGATCTGGTTCAAGGAAAAGAATATTTGTTCAGGGTCTCAGCATGTAACAAATGTGGACCAGGAGAGCCTGCTTACATTGATGAGCCTGTCAACATGTCAGCACCTGCTAGTGAGTTTTCTTAATTAACTATTCCTATTGATTTTGTATATTTGCATTTTACATAGTAACTTGTGCTAAGCAACATAAGTATTGAAAGAAAGCAAAGGAGCAGAGTTTGAATTAATAAGGATTTGGTATGACTTACCTGTGGTATTAGAAAAACTGAGGCTTGGATCCAAAGAGGCATAATTGGAACTATGTGCAAAAAAAAATCCACACACACCCTCTTCTGCCTACAGCCCTCTGTACCCACTGAAGAGCTGCTACTTAGTATTAAAATAAAAGGTAAAGGGACCCCTGACCATTAGGTCCAGTCGTAACCGACTCTGGGGTTGCAGCGCTCATCTTGCTTTATTGGCCGAGGGAGCCGGCGTACAGCTTCCGGGTCATGTGACCAGCATGACTAAGCCGCTTCTGGCAAACCCAGAGCAGCGCACAGAAACGCCGTTTACCTTCCTGCTGGAGCGGTACCTATTTATCTACTTGCACTTTGACGTGCTTTCGAACTGCTAGGTTGGCAGGAGCAGGGACCGAGCAACGGGAGCTCACCCCATCGCGGGGATTCGAACCACCAACCTTCTGAACGGCAAGCACTAGGTTCTGTGGTTTAACCCACAGCGCCACCTGCGTCCCTTGCTTAGTATTAGTGGACCCTCAATTGACAGAAAGCAGGGAGCTACCTTGCACAAATGGGTCTTTCCTGTTGTGCAGGGTACTTGTTGGATACCAACCAATGTGAGAAGAGCACCCCAGAGACAGTAAAGAATTAAAAATGCTAAGACACACTATAAGGCACACACTATATGCAAGACAATTATACATGTTCTTTCCTCCCCACTCCTTGCAGCGGTGCCTGATCCACCAGAGAATGTGAAATGGAGGGATCCAACATCTAAGTCCATTTTCCTCACATGGGATCCACCTAAGTATGATGGCGGTTCTCATATCAAAGGCTACCTGGTTGAAAAATGCCAGCGTGGCACTGACAAATGGGAGCCCTGTGGCGAGCCAGTCATTGAGACAAAGTAAGAGCTTGCAGTATGAAGGAAAATGTTTCACAAAATTGGATGGTTACGTTTAAACACGCAGTACGCTGAACTTGTTTTCTGATTAACAGAATGGAAGTGACAAAACTTAAGGAAGGAGAATGGTATGCTTACCGCGTGAAGGCTCTGAACAGGCAAGGGGCAAGTAAACCAAGCAAGCCAACAGATGAAATCCAGGCTGTGGATGCAATGGGTAATTTTTGATTTCCCACTCATACTTAATCTATACTCTTGAAAACACTGGTGAATGTGTTTCTGCTGTTGACGCTTCTGTGTGCGGTTGCGTGTTCTTTTTTAACAATATGTCGATTCTTCTCTCAAATCAGAGGCCCCTGAGATTTTCCTAGATGTGAAACTGCTTGCTGGAATCACTGTCAAAGCTGGAACTAAGATAGAGCTGCCGGCAAGGGTAAATGGAAAGCCCGAGCCACGGATTAGCTGGACAAAAGCTGAACAGACCCTGAAACCAGATAAAAGAATAACCATTGAATCCAAACCTAACCATTCCACAGTCATAATAACAGAGAGCAAGAGAAGTGATAGCGGCACCTATATTATTGAAGCCGTAAATGCCAGCGGTCGGGCAACAGCTACAGTTGAAGTTAATGTCCTAGGTATGTTTTGTTTCCATAGAAATAACTTTCAATGTTTTCCTTATGAAATATTTGAATAGAAGAGGTTCAAACTACTGTTATGCTTTCACAGATAAGCCTGGCCCACCAGCTGCATTTGATATCTCCGACATTACAAACGTATCTTGTGCTTTGACTTGGAATCCTCCTAGAGACGACGGCGGCTCCAGAATCACAAACTACGTTCTGGAACAAAGAGCTTCAGACAGTGAAGTGTGGCACAAACTATCATCCACTATCAAAGAAACAAAATTCAAAGTAACAAACCTAACACCACTTAAGGAGTACATCTTCAGAGTCAGCGCAGAAAACATGTATGGAGTTGGAGAACCAGCCCAGTCCGTTCCTGTCGTTGCTAAATATCCATTTGGTAAGTCTATTCGCTTGACAGAAAGGGCTGCTTAGGTCACAAGATGGCTGCCAAGGGAGCCTGCTAGAGACTATAATGTGGTAGCCGCTCCACATGGCGTGTCATTGATAGGTACCACTTCTCCATGTGGGTCAGTCCCCACCATAATGTTTGTCTCCACACTATCATTGGTGACATGGAGATAAGCCTCTGGGTAAGGGTCAGTATTCATGGCAAGCTGGTACACATAAACTGCTTGTCATGTGGAACAGGCAGCAGCCACAAACAGATTCAAGCAGCCTCTATATGGCAACTGTTTTATTTGATGAAATGGCATTTATTGTTACAGGTGCTTCCTATTACATTTGCACACAAGGAATTGCAAGTATGTCAATGTTCCCCTTTCTACTTCTTTGTACAGATCCGCCAGGTCCTCCGACACGGGTTCAGCCTGTTGAGATCACTAAAGATTCTGTAACCTTGACTTGGGTAGAACCAGATGAAGATGGTGGCAGCCCGATCACTGGTTATTGGGTTGAACGGTTGGACCCTGATCAAGATAAATGGGTCCGTTGCAATAAAATCCCAGTTAAAGATACGACATTCAAGTAAGATCTTTATATGTTTTATTTTTAAAAAATATAGTAAGATAACTGAGAAGATTGCTATTTGTTTTTAGGTAAACAGTTGACTTTTATATACTCTTGAACTTGACTCCTTGTCATACATTAGAATAAAATATTAACTGGTGCTCTGTAATAGCATCGAATAATTGTATTGCTGTCTATACTTTGGGTCTACAATAGCCATTGAAAATATCCTTACCTAAATCATGTTCATAACCATCCACCAGTGCCACTGAATAGGACAACTGTACTATGGGTGTTATCAGTAGCACCAATTTCTGCTATGGAAACAGTAGTGGGATTGTGACTTCTGATGTGATTCTACATCACTGCAGCTGCTCATAAGATTAGTGCTGATATCAGAACTTCTTAGAGATGAATATAGTCTTCTGCTTTTTGAACTCCCAGTACAGTCGTACCTTGGAAGTCAAATGGAATCCATTCCGGAAGTCCGTTCAACTTCCAAAACGTTCGGAAACCAAAGTGTAGCTTCTGATTGGCTTCAGGAAGCTCCTGCAGCCAATCGGAAGCCGTGGAAGCCCTGTCAGGGTTCCAAAAAATGTCCGCAAACCGGAACACTCACTTCCGGGTTTGCAGCGTTCGGGAGCCAAAATGTCCGAGTACCAAGGCATTCAGGATCCAAGGTACGACTGTAATATGAATTTCTAATACAAGCTAGGGATATTTATTACACCCAAGCATTATTTATCCTTAGAGTTTTAGTAAAGGTATAGGTACCCCTTCCCGTACGGGCCAGTCTTGACAGACTCTAGGGTTGTGCACCCATCTCACTCAAGAGGCCGGGGGCCAGCGCTGTCCGCAGACACTTCCGGGTTACGTGGCCAGCGTGACATCGCTGCTCTGGCGAGCCAGAGCCGCACACGGAAACGCCGTTTACCTTCCCGCTAGTAAGCGGTCCCTATTTATCTACTTGCACCCGGGAGTGCTTTCGAACTGCTAGGTTGGCAGGCGCTGGGACCGAACAACGGGAGCGCACCCCGCCACGGGGATTCGAACCGCCGACCTTTCGATCGGCAAGCCCTAGGTGCTGAGGCTTTTACCCACAGCGCCACCCGCGTCCCCCCTTAGAGTTTTAAGTAGTACCAATATATATTGTCTACTAATGAATAGTACAGAAATGCAGGTTATATTACATCTGACCAGTGTCTGAGGCTTTCTAGTGATACAGTAATAGGAAATTCCTTCCTCCATGTACACAGGGAGTCTCTGGTTTGGTGTGATAGTATACATTTGCTCTGAACAGTTCAAAGGTATTGATTTTTTTAATGCACGAGGTACACTTGTGATGATGCACAGTATTTAATTATAGCATTAACTAGTAATAAGTATTACAAATTTTACATTCGGAGCATTATCATCATTACTATTAGGGTTAAAGGTCTCACGTTCCATAAGAAGTACAAGTTCCGTGTCGTGGCAGAGAATCTTGCTGGGCCCGGAAAGCCAAGCAGAGCAACAGAACCAGTCTTAGTGAAGGATCCTATTGGTATGAAAGCATTTTTCTTAGATTAATTTTATAACTTACTCCAAGTCATAACTCTGGGATTTCTAAACCAAGTTATCTATTCACGTCTAGATCCCCCATGGCCACCCGGCAAGCCAGTTGTGAAAGACGTTGCCAAGACCTCGTGTTTCTTGAACTGGACGAAGCCAGAACACGACGGCGGTGCCAAGATTGAATCGTATGTCATTGAATTGTTAAAGACTGGCACAGACGAGTGGGTGAGAGTGGCTGAAGGAATCCCCACACCAGAACACTTCCTCAAAGGGCTTATGGAGAAGCAAGAATATTCCTTCCGAGTCAGAGCTGTGAACAAAGCTGGAGAGAGTGAGCCTAGCGAGCCCAGCGATCCTGTGCTATGCAAGGAGAGACTGAGTAAGTTGGCCATTGCATTCTGCAGGAGAGTTCTCCTTCAAGTCTCAAAAGTATCAGAAGCCTGCTCCACAGTAACTCAGAGTGGGGCTTTCAGCGGGGCTGCCACTGTCTGTACTTGCAAAAAACAATTGAATATATTTTTGTTTCATCCTCAGCTATTCTTTGTATTGTTTTTCAATAATAATAATAATAATAATAATAATAATAATAATAATAATAATAATAAATGTATTACTTATACCCAGCCCATCTGGCCGGGCCTCCCCAGCCACTCTGGGCGGCTCCTAACAGAATATTAAAGACACGATAAAACATCAAACATTAAAAACCTCCCTAAACAGGGCTGCCTTCAAATGACTTCTAAAAGTCAGATAGTTGTTTATTTCCTTGACATCTGAAGGGAGGGAATTCCACAGGGCGGGCACCACTACCAAGAAGGCCCTCTGCCTGGTTCCCTGTAACCTCACTTCTTGCAGTGAGGGAACCGCTAGAAGGCCTTCAGCACGGGACCTCAGTGTCCAGGCTGAATGATGGGGGTGGAGACGCTCCTTCAGGTATACTGTTTTTAGCTGCTTTTGTGATGTGATTGTAAATTGATGGGTTACACATGTAAAAAATGATACATCAATTAATTCATCATCACTAATTCATTAGAACTATGGTTTGTGTTAAGGGTGCAATGGAAACATTAAAACATATTCAAATTAATAATATTTTGCTTTAATATTGTTACAGATCCTCCTTCACCACCTCGATGGCTTGAGGTCATTAATATCACTAAAAACACTGCAGACCTTAAATGGACAGTACCAGAACGCGACGGAGGTTCTCCTATTACAAATTACATTGTTGAAAAGAGAGACGTACGGCGGAAAGGCTGGCAGACGGTTGATACTACAGTTAAGGACACCAAATATACAGTGACACCACTAACAGAAGGCTCTCTGTATGTATTCCGTGTGGCTGCAGAAAATGCAGTGGGGCAGAGTGACTACTGTGAAATTGAGGACTCTGTTCTTGCAAAAGATACCTTCAGTAAGTTTTCAAGTGCACACACGCAGAATTCAGCTTCAACAAACTATGTCATCGTTTTTAAATTTCTGTTTTCCTAATTATCAATATTATTTTAATTTAGCTACCCCTGGAGCACCATATGCACTTACACCAGTCGAAGTGACAAAGAGGCATGTCGACCTAAAATGGGAACCGCCTAAGAATGATGGTGGCAGACCAATTCTACGGTAAAAGAGAATTGTTTTTATATATTTTTTTTGTAAACCACTTAGAGGTTCAGTTTACAATCAAGCAGCATATACATTTTTAGATAGATAGAAAAGATAGATACAGACAGACAGAATATGTTGGGAAAGAGTATAAAATCTGGGGCAGGGAGAGATGATTAATAGAGAAAATTTATTTTTAAAGGTTCCAAAGTTTATTGTGTTCATTATACACATTTATTATCTATTAGATGAGCAATGTTTCAAATCTAAATTAATGATTCGTCCTTGATTAAATCTTTCTACTTGGCCTGATCTTTTATTCCCCTTCCTTCCCTTCCCCTCCCCTTTTTATGAAGATTACCCGTTCTGGATCCCACAGCTAATTCTCCCCTGGTCTCCTCGCTGGACCAAATAGGACTAATTTAGCCAGCTAGCCCTGGTGATCATCTAATGTTTATTGGATGGATTCCCCCCCTAAATTGATTTTTGAATTCTGAATTTATGGTTATTCACGTTTTATACTGTATTTTATGCTGTTTTTTGTTGCATCAATGAAGTGTTTTAAATTTGTTGTTAGCCGCCCTGAGCCCAGTTTTCGGGAAGGGCACAGTATAAATAAAAAAAATATTATTATTATTATTAGTTGAATTGTATGAATTCATGCACCTTATAAACATCTGTTCTTCACACAGATACGTTATTGAAAAGAAAGAGAAGCTTGGCACGCGCTGGGTGAAAGCTGGCAGAACATCAGGCCCTGACTGCAATTTCAGAGTAACGGATGTGATAGAAGGTACAGAGGTGCAGTTCCAGGTCCGTGCTGAAAATGAAGCTGGCTGTGGTCACCCTAGCGAACCGACTGACATCCTGGCAATTGAAGATCCAACAAGTGAGTTACGAACATTGGAAATTATAATCAATGAAATATGTGTTGTACCAAATAGAACGGCAGAAAATAACATTACTTATGTATTCCTGCAGGCCCTCCTTCACCTCCTCTGGACTTACACGTGACAGACGCAGGAAGAAAACACATTTCGATTGCGTGGAAACCCCCAGAGAAAAATGGTGGTAGTCCTATAATCGGATACAATATAGAACTCTGTGAAGCAGGAACTGAAAAATGGATGAGAATAAATTCTCGACCCATCAAAGATTTGAAATACAAAGCAGAAGAAGGCGTTGTCCCTGACAAGGAATATATTCTCAGGGTCAGAGCTGTCAACGCTATAGGGGCTAGTGAGCCATCAGACATATCAGAAAACGTTGTCGCCAAAGATCCAGATTGTAAGTATAGTTGTTTTCAAAACAGTCATGAAATAAATTATAAATTGTGAAATTGCTTTGGAACACTAATTGAAATTATTTTTCTGTGTGTTTTCTTTTTAAAAACAACAACAGGTAATCCAACTGTTGATATAAAGACTACAGACCTCGTTGTGGTTGAAGGTGAAAAGTTAAGTATCCCTGTGCCCTTCAGAGCTGTTCCAACTCCAACTATTGCTTGGCATAAGAGTGGGAAGGAGTTGAAAGCCGGTGACAGAACAACAATGAAGAGTGACCACATCTCTGCCTTGCTGGAAGTAACAAATGCAGTCCATGCTGATGCTGGCGTTTACACTATTACCTTGGAGAATAAATTGGGTTCAACAACCGGTACAATCAATGTCAAAGTAATAGGTAATTTATTTTTCTTATACTGGCAATTATGTGAATTAGACCCATAAAGTTGAACGGGTGACAAGATGCTCAGCTCTTAGTGTCAGGGACCATGCTGAGGAGGGGTGCACTGAGGAGGAAGGTTGGGAGCCTCCCCCTTCCCTTCCCCTCCCCTGCTCTGCATCCAGATCCTGAATCTTCCCAGGAGCAGGAGGAAAGTATAGATTTGGAACAGTGGTTTGCAGAGGGGCACAGTTCAGAAGGCAGAAGCTGAGAAATACTGGATGGGGAACAGCTAGGAGAAGAAACACTGGAAGAGAGAGAGTTAACAGATTCACAGCCGTTGGACAGCATTCCCCCACTGCCCTCCCCAAGCGGCAGAACAGAAAGCACACAAAGCACAGAGAGTACAAACTCAGATTACAAGACGTAGAAATGATGTAGATTAATAGGGACATAAGGGGGTGGAATCCTTAATTGGGAGCACCACCATTCCTTGGAGATGGGTTCTTTGTTCTCTCGCTGTGATTATTAGTTTCTAACTGGTAAGGCAACTCCTTTTCTTTTGTTTTGCTTATCTACTGCCACGGGGGAAGAAGCTGATTCCCTGAAGCCTGACACTTAGCTGCTTAATTGATACATGTAATGTGAGCCAACGCTGATATCTCCATGTGTCTAAATAGGGAGATAGGTCAACCTGAGGAATTGTAAATTATATATATAAATGTTTATCATCCATATGATTAGTGCGCACGAGTATATATATTCTTTTAATACAGTTTTCAAACCAATTTACTTTATTAAATGCTACATGTGTACCTATTGTTCTTCAATTAGGTGTGCCTGGACCATGCAATAGTATTAAGGCAAGTGAAGTAACTAAAAATTCATGTAAAGTGACCTGGGAACCTCCAGAATTTGATGGCAACACTCCAATTTTACATTATGTGCTGGAGCGAAGAGAAGCTGGTAGGAGAACCTACATACCAGTGATGTCTGGTGAGAACAAATTGGCATGGAATGTGAAGGATCTCATACAAAATGGTGAATACTACTTCCGCGTTAAAGCTGTTAATAAAATCGGAGGAGGTGAATACATTGAACTGAGAAATCCAGTGATTGCAGAAGATCCAAAGCGTAAGTTTTTTTTTTATTATCATCAAGACTGAAAAAGGAAAATGGTTTCTCTGTGCCTTCTATTTATTCATTTTCTTTTAAATTTTCAATATGCAGAGCGTCCAGATCCACCTATTGACCTTGAGGTTCACAATCCAACATCAAAGTCAGTAACACTCACATGGAAACCACCATTGTATGATGGAGGAACCAAGATTATGGGCTACATTTTGGAAAAGTTAGTTAAAGGAGGAGAGAAGTGGGAAAGATGCAATGACTTTTTGGTTCCTCTTTTGACTTCTCCTGTGAAAGGTCTTGAGGAAGGCAAAGAATATCAGTTCCGTGTCCGTGCAGAGAATGCTGCCGGTGTCAGTGGACCTTCTAATGTCACTCCTCTGGTGAAAGCAGTGGATCCCGTTGGTATGTTTTGCAAACTACCTATTCATTTTTAGCAAGTATTCAAATTCTGCTGTATGCTACAGTATCAAATATAAACTAAAACAATATTTTTATGGTTACAGAGGCTCCAAAGGTTTTCCTCGGTGCTAATCTGCAGGCTGGCCTTGAGGTGAAGCAAGGTTCTGAGATTGCACTTGAAGCACACATTTCAGGGTCACCTTACCCAACTATTGATTGGTTATGGAATGATGAAGTTGTTAAGCCAACAGAAATTAAGAAGAGAGTTACCAAGGTTACTAGGAAGAAGAAAGGTGAAGTTGAAGAAGATGAGCCTTTCCACTTGTCCCTGCCCGAGCGTTTGAGCATTGACAACCACAGACAAGGAGATTCTGTACTGGTCGTTCGGGATTCAATCAGACCAGACCATGGCACATATACTATTCGAGTTGAAAACGATCACGGGGTTGCAAAAGCTTCATGTGAAGTCAATGTGTTAGGTATGCCCTTATACATAATGGTGTGTGATACATTTTCTTCAAAATGTTTGAAGTGATATGTGCAAAGTCATGCTCATTATTTTTGTTTTCAAAACAGATACACCTGGACCACCAGTCAACTTTGTTTTTGAGGAGGTTCGTAAAAATAGCATCACTTGTAAGTGGGAGCCTCCTCTTGATGATGGCGGAAGTGAAATATTGAACTACGTCCTTGAAAAGAAAGACAACACAAAATCCGACATTGGCTGGGTTACCGTTACTTCAACGCTTAGGCATTGCAAATATAATGTGCCTAAACTTATTGAAGGAAAGGAATACATATTCCGTGTGAAAGCTGAGAACAGAGTAGGAGCTGGACCTCCATGTCTTTCAAAACCTGTTGTAGCTCAAGATCCATTCAGTAAGTCTTGTACTCTATCTAAATATGTACTTCATTCATTTTTCCCAAAAGGCCCTGCCATCATCATCATTATTACCTTACACTCATATCGTACTTTAACATTAAAACTTTAATTCTATAGTAACCCAGCAGAAAAACCTTGCAGAAGGAAATGGCTAAATTACATTTGCTGATCGTTGCATCTGAGTGCAACATCCTAAAAAGAAAAAGGAAAAGCTAGGACAATCCATGCTAGTTGATTGTAAAACTTGCCATATCAGACTTTTCTATTCTGTTCTCTCCTTGTGTCTTAAAGTATGTGAAGTGGGTGGTAATTACAAATAATAAATCCTTGAGATATATGGGTACACTGAGCTGGTAAGATCATCATTGACAAAAGCAAATGCTTAAATAATCCACCAGTAAAATAAATTGCAGATGAATTCGTACATACAAAGTGGAAAAAGAAGAACTGTGAAAAACACACATTTTCTTTCCATATACACAAAACCCACCCGCACTCTCTCCAAGTTTCAAGCATGCAAATCTACACATTTAGGGTATAACACAGAGATAATATTTACATATCATGAAGGCACTTCATTTCAAGTAACTGTGAATAAGATCAGGCTGCATATTGCAACTGAAGCCTCCAAGTAAAGATATGGTGGAGGAGAAAATTAGAGGCATTAAACAAATTAAATTTCTGTATGATTTGGTAAGCTCCACTAACATTTGCATATCCTCTTTTTATAGGTCCTCCTGATGCACCTGATAAACCTCTAGTAGAGGATCCAACCAGCAGTAGTCTGTTGGTTAAGTGGAATGAGCCTAAAGACAATGGTAGCCCCATTTTGGGATACTGGATTGAAAAGCGTGAAATCAATGGAACCCACTGGGCTCGTGTGAACAAAGAGCGTGTGAATGCCCTGGAAACTAGAGTTGAAGGACTTTTAGAAGGTCTAACTTACGTTTTTAGAGTTTGTGCTGAAAATGCAGCTGGCCTTGGCAAATTCAGTCCCCCTTCAGATCCTAAAACTGCACAAGACCCAATATGTAAGTTGTTAGATAGATAATATTATCCCTTAGTTTGAAAAGGGAAGTTTTCAGTCTATTAATCCCTCTCTATATGTTTATTTTCTTTTAGTGCCTCCTGGCCCACCTGTTCCAAGAATTGTTGATACAAGCTCAACATCTATTGACGTTGAATGGGACGCTCCACTATACAATGGGGGTAGTGAAATCACTGGCTACCATGTTTACAAGAATTTTGTCGGCTCAAATGAATGGTCTCGCTGCACAGAAAGACCTATTAAGGTTCGGAGCTATATAGTTAAAGGAATTAGAGAAGGTGCAGATTACAAACTTCGTATTACCGCTCTTAATGTTGCTGGGGAAGGACCTCCTGGAGAGACAGAACCTGTAACAGTTGCAGAGCCTCAAGGTACTGTGATTATGTAATTTAAAATGAAATCTAATGTGAAATAGTTTGTGGGATTGTAAATTAATTAATTGTCTCTCTTTTTCCTTATACAGAGCCTCCCACTGTTGAATTTGATATTTCTGTCAGGGCAGGAGTTCAGATATTGGCAGGTCAAGCTCTTAAACTCCCTGCTGTTGTTACTGGACGACCTACCCCTACAATTGTGTGGACTTTAGAGGATGCAGATGTTGACAAAGAGCGAGTTGTGATTGAAAATGTTGGCACTTCATCTGAGCTATTTATCAAAAATGCACTCAGAAAAGACCACGGAAGATACGTGATTACTGCCACTAACGAAAGTGGTTCTAAATTTGCTGCAACCAGAGCAGAAATATTTGGTAAGAAATGCTACATAGAGTGAAACAATGAATATATTAAGTATTTGGCCTTCCTTAATTACATCTCATGTCTTCTTTTCCAGATGTTCCTGGACCGGTTACTGACTTGCATCCTGTGGTGGTAAATAGAAAGATGTGTCTACTTAACTGGGATGATCCCAAAGATGACGGAGGAAGTGAGATCATAGGTTTCATTGTAGAGAGGAAAGATGCCAAAATGCATACATGGAGACTAGCCGTAGATACAGACAGATCTAAGTGTGATATAACAGGTCTTGTTGAAGGACAAGAATATAAGTTCCGTGTCTTCGCCAAGAACAAGTTTGGCTGTGGACCACCTGTTGAACTGGGACCTCTCCTTGCTGTTGACCCCAAAGGTAAAACTTCTTGTATTGATAAAAACACTTGGGAACAGAGGATCCCCCTCCTGTAATTTCAACTTTTAACACCATTCAAAATATATATTTATATCCTTTATAATCACAACACTCCTTCGTGTGTGTGCGCACGCATTCTTGCAGTTGAACCCAGAACATGTCAGTTTCTTGAAAGAGAACTTTTCTAGAGTCAGGATAACTGAAAACCTAGTGCTTCCCATGTTCATTTCTGTGTGGAAATACTTTTTTTTTAAAAAAAAAGAAAATAATCCTACAAGGGCAAAATGTTGCATGCGAAGATGCTCTGATGTAAAACTTTTCTGTAGCTGCTCTAGATTTACAAAATCCAATTTCCCCACGCACCTCTTTCCCACTTCCAGCAATTCACTGGAGTCGCACCAATGCATTTTGGAGTTAGTATAGCATTGTCCCATTTAATTTAGTATTTAATGACTGTTTTAAACTGAGGATGGAGAGGTGGGTTTCAGTATACATCTGCAGAGCTTCCCTCCTCTTTAAATAACATGTTGCATGTCCCTAGCCTTGGAGGCAGGGGAATATAAACCGAAATAAATAAAACGATGTATTTTTACCTTGTTCACTGGTGAAACTGCTGCACAGTAAACATGACGCGAAAAAACAAGGGTTTGTTTTTCAAATTTAACTTACCATTTTTCATTCTTGCCACAACAGGTCCTCCAACTGCTCCTGAGAGGTTCATGTACACAGAGAGAACAAAGAACTCTGTTACACTTGACTGGAAGCCTCCCCGTAATGATGGTGGAAGCCCCATCATCGGCTACATTGTTGACAAAAGAAGACATGACTCAAATGAATTTGAAAGAGTCAATAAGAGACTCTGTCCAACTACATCGCTTCTTGTGGACAATCTTGCTGAGCTGCATATGTATGAGTTCCGAGTCAAGGCTGTCAACGAGATTGGAGAAAGTGAACCATCACTGCCCCTTAATGTAGTCGTACAGGATGATGAAGGTGAGGCTCTTTAATATAAATGTGTACACTTTACCTATAGATGTGAACATTTGGTGTCTGCTAGAGGCCTCACTATATTTTTGAGAATTACATGGTTAATCACTTTTGCATTCATTTTCTTTTTTCAGAACCTCCCACGGTGACATTGCGTCTGTCTGTTAGAGGAGATACTATCAAAGTTATGGCAGGGCAACCAGTCAACATTCCAGCAGACGTGACAGGTCTTCCAATGCCAAAGATTGAATGGTCTAAAGATGACGTTGTTATTGATAAAACATCAGATGCCCTTAAGATCACCAAAAAGGAAACAAGTAGAACAGAGGCGAAAACTGAACTCAGCATGCCTGCAGCAGTTAGAAATGATAAAGGCACTTACACAGTTTCAGCTTCTAATCGTCTTGGCACCGCATACCGCAATGTTCACGTTGAAGTATTTGGTATGTATCTAGCTTCTTGCTTAAACGGCCAAAGTTTTCTTCCTTTATTTCTACCATAACACAATACTAAATTGGTTTTATTTAGATCGTCCTTCTCCACCAAGAAATCTCACCGTATCGGATATTAAAGCTGAATCTTGCTGTTTGACTTGGGATGCCCCACTCGATAATGGTGGCAGTGAGATTACGCACTACATTATTGAGAAGCGGGATGCGAGCAAGAAGAAGTCTGACTGGGAGGAAGTATCCAGCACTGTTGTGGATAGACGATTTGGGGTAATGCTTCAATCTTGGTTTCATAGACAAAAGGGATAGTCTTTAAATGAAAAATGATCATTTATAAAATTGTTGAGGTGAATGTTAACACTGTTCACCTTCCGGATTTCCTGTTTTTACGTCTCCCTTCCATTTAATGCCAAAATAGGTATTCCTATACTCTGTATTTAATGGTATTTCACTCCCTTCAGAGTTGGGTTAGTAGCCAGTTGGTGCAGATATGCCAATGATGTGTAGAGTTGTTAAGCATCACAGCAACATGCAGGTGGTTTTTTCAAGAACTGTTTTAAGATGTCCATATGATGGCATCTAACTGCATGGAAAAAATCCAAAATACACTAAAACCAGTTCTGAGAATTGGTTTTACACATATCATAGGATCAAACAGTTGGATGGGTCCTTTTTGAGTTTGAGGGGTCTGCCTAGTCAAATCCCTTGCTCAGTGCAGGAAAATGAGAACTTGGGCACTCCCAACAGATGGCTGTTTAAATTCTGCTTAAGACCTCCAGCGAAGAAGAACCCAATGTTCATTGACTCCATTGTCAAACTTTTAAGAGGTTTCTCCTAATGTTCAGCTGAAACGTGCCCTCCTTTAGCTTATGAGATCTAGATGTTTATGCCTTCTGTATGACATCTTCTCAGGTATTTGTAATACGTTAACTTGCCCCCCTTCAGACATCACCCCACCAAGTTAAACAAACCTAATTCCTTCATCCTTTATTTTTAAGTCTTGTTTTCCATACCACTGACTACCTTTGTTGTCCTCCTTTGTGAGGTGACCTTTGGCTATTCTTTGTTTAAAGTCCTGGAAACAACACAGGCAATTGATATGAAACTGATTTTTAAAAATAATAATGTATCATGTTTCTTTTACTTTTCAGGTCTATAAACTGGCAACAAATGGACAATATCAATTTAGAGTGAGGGCCGTTAACAGGTTTGGGACAAGTGACGAATGCCTTTCCGAAAAGGTAGTTATCAAGGATCCTTATGGTCTTCCTGGACCCCCTGGAAAACCAAAGGTTACAGAACACACCAGGTCATCAATGCTGGTAACATGGACGCCTCCACTAGACAATGGTGGAGCTCCAATTACTGGCTATTGGCTGGAAAAGAAAGAAGAAGGAGGTGTCTACTGGTCTCGTGTCAACAGAGCTCCAGTGACAAAACCAGCAGTGAAAGGACTGGAATACAATGTACTGCGTTTGATTGAAGGTGTAAAATACCAGTTCCGAGCTATGGCTGTGAATATTGCTGGAATTGGCCCTCCCAGTGAACCATCAGATCTTTATGAAGCTGCAGATCCAATCTGTAAGTATAAAGACAAAGAAGCAATAAGTAACACACAATGCCAACTTTGTAATTTTTGTTCAATTTGTCCTGAACCTGATTTGATAGAGGTTCTGTGATTTCAGTGCATGAGCTCTGGATTTGAAGTCAAATATTTAATGAGTTAGGCTTCATTTTATAAGTGCATATTATCATGGTAAATAGCAAATGTTCCTAATTTTGTGCAATGAAATACTGTATAGTTGATAGACTTTCCATTCACTTCATTGGAGGGGTGTTGTGCAATGGAACAAGGGAGGCATAGTCCTCATGGCAGTACATTTTGCATTTCTCAATAGATCCTCCTGGAGCGCCATCATGCCCAGATGTCAAAGACAGAACCAACTCAACTATATCTCTTGCATGGAAACCTCCACAAAAAGATGGTGGCAGTCCTATTAAAGGATATATCGTCGAAATGCAAGAAGAAGGTAGTTTAGATTGGAAGAGTGTGAACGAACCAGACAAGCTGTTCCCTACCTGCGATTGTGTTGTACCCAATCTGAAAGAGCTCAGAAAGTACAGATTCAGAGTAAAGGCTGTAAATGCTGCAGGGGAATCCGAGCCAAGTCTTTGCACTGCAGAAATACCATGCAAGGAAGTTCAAGGTAAGGATTGTTGGAAATAATTCTTTCCACTCGAACATGTAGACATAGAAAAATCAAAAGATTTGAAAAGTGAAATGCAGGAATGGCTGTCCATTCCTTGAAACATTAGAGTTTTCAAGAGTAAAACAAATTTATTGGGGGGTGTTATGGGTACAAGGGAAATCCCAACATCAATCTGATAGCAATATAAGCTGGAGCTAGATTATTCTGCATACATTTGAGAAGAAACTCTTCTCAAAGTATCCCTGCCATATGAGTTAAGGCAGATAGTGATCAAAGAGAGATCCTTCTCAGTGGTGGCACCAGTTCATAGAATTCTGTCCTCGGGAAGCCCACCTGACACCAACATTGTTATGGATTTGGGGCCAGCAAAGGTTTTGTTTTTGTTTTTTTACTAGGCTGTTTCATGCATTGTTCTAATTTATTATATTTTGGTGTTATATGTTATCATGTTTTTCTAAAGCTTTGCTAAATGGCAGTATATATTTCAAATAAGTATATATCTTGATATCTTTGTTTATCATCAAGAGAATAAAACACAACTGAGGCTGCAAGCCTACCCATTTATCCGAAAGAAAGACCCATCAATGTCAGAAGGACTTACTACTGAGTATACTGTACATGCATAAGTTTACTCTATTAGAGAACTTATGTGACAGGTAGATGAATTCTGACTATATTATTTATATGATATATTATTTGTATTTTGCAGAGGAGCCAGAAATATTTATTGATGTTGGAGCACAAGACTTACTCTCTTGCCGTACTGGTACAACAATCAGAATTCCAGCAGTTATTAAGGGACGTCCTGTTCCCAAAGTAACTTGGGAATTTGAAGGAGATGCAAAGAAAGCTGTAAAGGTCAGTGACAAAACAAAGTAAACTGTTAAAAACTTCATGCTAAAGTATTTTGTGTGTGTATTTACTATTTCTTCTTTATTTAAAGGATGGACATAACATACCTGAAGATGCTACGGTAAAAAATAGCTTATATTTGAATACACTTATTTTGCTTCTAATATTTGCATTTTTCAAGTCCTTTTTTAATTATTATTGCTAAGTAAGTTTGTTTTGGTTTGTGCAGGTGGAATCAACTGATACCACATCAGTGATTACTATCCCTACATGTAACAGAGGTCATTCTGGAAAATACAGTATTACAGCAAAGAATAAAGCAGGACAGAAAACTGTAAATGTCAGGGTGAATGTCCTAGGTAAGACTAATCAATCTGAATATTGCACCATTTCACTAATTTTGTGATACAAAAGTTCATATACTGTAAAACCCCATATAATGATTTTTCCAATCTGTTTTCATGATGAAATAGATGTTCCAGGGCCACCAAAAGACCTGAAAGTAAGTGACATAACAAGATGCAGCTGTAAACTTTCGTGGAAAATGCCGGACAATGATGGTGGAGACAGAATCAGAAACTATATTATTGAGAAAAGAACTGTTGAAGGGAAAGCCTGGACAAAAGTTAATCCCAACTGTGCTGGCACATCATTGGTTATTCCTGATCTCATAGCTGGGCAACAATACTTCTTCAGAGTACGTGCAGAAAACCGCTTTGGTGTTGGACCCCCAGCAGATACAATTCAAAGGACCACAGCAAGGGATCCAATCCGTAAGTTAAATCAAAATGGGACATTCATTCATGCATTCATTCAGCCTTTATTGGCAAAATTTAGACAGAGTAAGAAAACCTTCCATAAAACATTGGCAACCCGGACATATTAAACACATAAAACATATGAAAGACTCAGTAGCCACCGTTAAGAAAATTAAATAGTTTTAAATTTGACTTTTAAAATCTCAACTAAATATCCTGAAACAATCTCAGTAGTTTGGGGAGTATCATCCCTTAGCAGATATTGGATTGCAGGTTCTTTGAAAATAAATACATAAATACTTTAAGGGTGTGGCAAAGTGGGACATTTGTTTTTACTAATGATACTTTATTGTAGGGCAGTACTTACATTTTACTTTGCTCCTTTTTTAACAAAAACAACACACAGATCCTCCTGATCCACCTATCAAGCTCAAGATTGGTCTTATAACAAAGAACACGGTAAACTTGACATGGAAACCTCCAAAGAATGACGGTGGTGCTCCCGTAACACATTATAATGTGGAGTGCCTTCGCTGGGACCGTACTGGTGAAGGGAAGGAAGCCTGGCGACAGTGCAATAGACGGGATGTGGAAGAAACAAAGTTTACTGTTGAAGACCTTAAAGAAGGCGATGAATATGAATTCAGAGTGAAAGCAGTGAATGAAGCAGGTCCAAGCAGACCGTCAGCTACTGTTGGGCCAGTCGTCGTCAAAGATCAGACATGTAAGCGCTGCAAAGCATTAGTAGTTATTGCACTTCAAATATCCGCTCACCTGGGGCTCTGGGGGAGCAGTGTTTTTGTTACACAGCACGGCCGTGGGCCAGTCCCAGGAGATCTGCTATCTTCCCACACAGCCAGGCAAAGGGATGGTCACATGGCAATGCCCTCCTCACATTGGGCTGAATCCTACATTGAACAGGTACCCCGCTAAAGGGGTCCAGGAGGGGTGACTCTGTCTGAGAGCCCACATGATAGGCCAATATGCCTCTTGCAATAATGGCCTGTCGTGGCACCCAGTCCATGTTGGGGGCAACTCCCCAGCACAGGGTCATCCCCCATTGGGTCTCTTATCAGCCAGCACGTAGGTTGACTGATGATGGATACATGCCCATTGCCTTAGCCAAACCTACTCGTATCTGTATTGAAGGAAGTTATGGCCTAATTCAACCCAATATCAATCTCTTGCGTTCATTTCCACGGTCTACCCCGCACAGGGCTGCAGACATCATGTGCCTGCAGTGCAAAGCATTTTGACTTCAGCATTCATAGTGGCTCAATAATTTTTGCTTGCTTTTGTTTGTAGGCCCTCCGTCTATTGAACTCAAAGAATTTATGGAGGCAGAAGAAGGGACAGATATCAAGATTGTAGCCAAAATAAAGGGCGTCCCCTTCCCGACACTGACTTGGGTCAAAGCTCATCCTAAGAAACCTGATGACAAATTGCCAGTGCTATATGACCAACATGTCAACAAGATTGTGGATGAAAATTCCTGTACTTTGCTGATACAGCAATCTCGCAGAAAAGACACAGGCTTGTACACTATAACTGCTGTCAATAACTTTGGAACAGATTCAAAGGAGATGAGGCTGAATGTGCTAGGTAAATATCAATGTATTTTGGCATTGGCAACCTAATTTACTGTTTGTTATATAATGTTCAAAACATGTCTCTCCTGTTATCAGTCTCTGCAGCCACAGCAGGCGCCGTAACTCTCCAATAGTTTGGCTTCATCCCTGAAGGCAAACTCTTCCATTTCCTCCCGAGATAGCTGGATGCCAACCACAACAATATAACACTCAACTTTGACAACAATTAATGCTTTATAAAATGTATTTTTCAGGTCGCCCTGGACCACCAGAAGGACCCATTAAATTTGAATCTATTTCCGCCGATCAGATGACAATTTCTTGGCTTCCTCCTAAAGATGATGGTGGATCTAAGATAACTAACTATGTTATTGAAAAAAGGGAAGCAAACAGAAGGACCTGGGTCCATGTTACCAATGAACCTAAAGAATGCATCTTCACAGTACCCAAACTACTAGAAGGGCATGAATACATCTTCCGCATCATGGCACAGAATAAATATGGCGTTGGGGAACCTCTTGATAGTGAACCTGAAACTGCCAGAAATCTATTCAGTAAGCATACAGTTATCTAAAATATCACCTGCGCTTATATTTATTGGCAAAGCAGAACATAAGTAATCTGATTAGATAGTATGAGAGCCCCAAGTTAAAATTGTTATTTTTTTAAATCTTCTGTATGGCTAAATGTCTATAATAGTTTTTAAAGGCTTTTCAGAAATAGATCTTTTATGGCTATTTTTTCTGTTTCATCTTAAAACCTTACCTGTTTTAAATGTTAAATATTGAATCTGTACTTATATCATTTTAGATTTTATTTAGCACAGTATAGACCGTTTCTTTGCCTTTCTTCACCATAATATAATAAAACGTTCAATTATCAGTGCTATCTTGTGCTCTGCTATACACAATGAAGCACAGTGCTGTGGCAAAGGAACCCTTCATCAGCTCCGCTATTCCAAGAAATACAAAATGCTGGCATTTGGTGCAGAGCTACTGTAAAAAGGGCTTTTCAGGGTGAAGATGCTGAGCCATGGCTCTAGCACAGGATTCTAGGACTTGACAGTTATGTATAACAAAGAAAAGGAGGACTTTGTATAGCCCTGCCCTACTTACTTCACAAAGGTTGTCTCTGTAGGGGCTAATGGAAAGGACTGGAAAAGGAAACGTCAGATGAAGGCTATAGCATAAATACCATATATAAGTGGTCTATGTGGCCCCCGGAGCTTTGCTTTACTCTTGGTGTACTTTATTCCCTAGGTGTTCCTGGAATTTGTGACAAACCAACAGTCAGCAGTGTCACACATGACTCAATGACCGTCAACTGGGAGGAGCCAGAATATGATGGAGGCTCCCCTGTGACAGGTTATTGGCTGGAGCGTAAAGAGACCACTGGAAAGAGATGGACACGGGTTAACCGTGATCCTATTAAACCTATGACATTGGGAGTTTCTTACAAAGTACCTGGCCTTATTGAAGGTTCAGATTACCAGTTCCGTGTCTATGCTATTAATGCTGCTGGTGTTGGACCGCCAAGCATGCCGTCAGATCCAATAACTGCAAGAGACCCAATCTGTAAGTAATCAAGATCTATTTATTTATTTGGTGTGAAAGGGGGAAATATACTAAAAGATGGTATAGATGGTATATGTTTGAGAAATAATAAATACACAGTCTTGTGACAGAATGATGCAATAATTTTCCCCCCAGCTCCACCTGGTCCTCCATTTCCAAAAGTTACTGATTGGACAAAATCTTCCGTTGACCTTGAATGGACTCCTCCATTAAAAGATGGCGGTTCTAAAGTCACTGGTTACCTTGTTGAATTTAAAGAAGAAGGGAAAGAAGAATGGGAAAAGGTAGGTGAAATTCTGCCATTGAAAATTTATTTGAAACATTATGTCGATTCCATAATTGAACATACTGAGGAACATACCGAATCACTGAAAGGGCTACCAACTCATCTGTGTGGCCTAGAAGCAGCAAAAACCCATTGTTCCCTGTCTCCGTAGGTGGCTTTTAATGGTAGCACGAGTGAAAGATAAGGGAGGGAGGTAAGTGATGTGGTGTGGGGAGAGGCATGAAGTAAGGAGGTTGAGGAGGAAGGAATGAAAGGACTCAGGTACACAGCTGCAAATAAAATGTTTTGTGTTGTAAAGTGCAATATACAAGTGTGACACTAGATGGTGCCAGTGAGCTATGCAAAATCCAATGTATTTTTTGAAACGTTTTTTAGAAAAGCATTTCCATAGCGTCTTTAACATGTGTGTAGATTCCACCAAAGACACAAAATTTCTTTTTGTTTTCAGGCAAAAGATAAAGAAATAAGAGGGACCAAGTTTGTTTTGGCAGGATTGAAAGAAGGAGGTTTCTACAGATTTAGAGTCAGAGCAATAAATGCTGCTGGTATTGGAGAGCCTGGAGATGTCACTGAAGTCATTGAAATAAAGGACAGAATAGGTATGTCTTAGGATAAAAACAGCCTCTCTTTGTTCTTGTGTGGGTAAAAGAATAGAAACTAAATATAAAATATATTGTTTGTTTCTACAGTTGCTCCTGATCTCATGCTTGATGCTCATGTGAAGGACAGAATCGTTGTCCATGCTGGTGGAGTGATCCGCATTATAGCTTATGTCTCGGGAAAGCCACCTCCAACAATTACCTGGAAGAGGGATGAGAGAGCTCTCCCAGAGGAGGCTAAAATCGAGGAAACTGCAATTAGTTCCTCTATGGTCATAAAGAACTGCAAGAGAAGCCATCAGGGCTTATACACTCTTCTCGCTAAAAATGCCGGTGGAGAAAGAAAGAAGACTATTATTGTTGATGTGCTAGGTAAGCACTGAAAGCTGACTTGCTGATGGCTAGACTGCTGATGCGGGCAGATGGCTGATAGATGAATGACAGAAAGTGACTTTTGTTGATGCATTTGCACTGGCTACCCATATGTTACTGGATCAGGATGAAAGTTCATGTACAAAGCCCTGAACAACTTGAGTCCAAGATACCACAAGAAGTGTCTGCTTCCTTTTGGCCCATTTTGATGACTTAGATCATCTGAAGGAGGGCTGTTAGTTGTTCCCAATGTCTCAGAACCCTTAGTGTGTCATCAGTCCCATACTGCAGAAAACTCTTCCAACGGAGAATCAGTGGACATCCTCACCGTTAACCTTCAGACGTCTCTTGGAAGATGTTCTTATGCAGACAGGCCTATTCAGTTGTTTAATTTCCTTTATTTAGACGAGCCAGTCATTCTTGTGATTACTTTGTATTGTTTTATAGTATTTTCTTTTGTGCACTGCCTTGGTATATTATATGAGTGGGTGGGGTTATAGAAATATATAAATATGTTTTTATAAATATGTTATTGCATCTATGTTATTATTTGGGTTCCAATTACAGAAATGTTAAATGTTCGTCTTAAAACCATTCTACTGTATTTCTTTCCTTCACAGATGTTCCAGGTCCAGTCGGCATTCCATTCCTTACTGAGAACCTAACCAACGACTCATGCAAACTTACGTGGTTTTCTCCTGAAGATGACGGTGGCTCAGCTATCACCAACTACGTAATTGAAAAACGTGAAGCAGACCACAGGGCTTGGACCCCAGTGACATATACGGTCACCAGGCAGAATGCAACAGTTCAGGGGCTGATTGAGGGCAAAGCATACTTCTTCCGAATTGCACCTGAGAATATTATTGGCATGGGCCCATTTGTGGAGACAACAAAAGAGATTTTAATCAGAGACCCAATAAGTAAGACTTTATTGTCTATTTTTTTTCCAGTACTGATGAGGACAATTTGCCTTGAAAAAAGTACCTAACGTGGTGCATGTGTTTATTTCTAGCTGTGCCAGAAAGGCCTGAGGATCTGGAAGTCAAAGCAGTAACGAAGGATTCTGTTACACTGACCTGGAACCCACCTAAGTACAACGGTGGCTCTGATATAACCATGTATGTTTTGGAAAGCCGCCTTATTGGGAAAGAGAAATTTACCAGAGTTACAAAAGAGAAAATGCTTGACAGAAAATACACAGTTGAAGATTTGAAAGAAGGTGACACTTATGAGTATCGCGTGAGCGCTTGCAATATTGTGGGACAAGGCAAACCATCATTTGTTACGAAACCCATCACATGCAAAGATGAAATTGGTAAGTTTCCCTTCTGGAGCAAACCAACCAACCAAATGTGCATTAGGTGATCTGTGAGTTTTTATAGATATCACTGATTCTTCTTTTCTTTAACAATACTTCTAGCTCCTCCACAACTTGAACTTGATATCCGAGAGAAGCTCACTGTCCGTGTAGGAGAAGCTTTCAGTCTGACCGGCCGTTACTCAGGCAAACCAGCACCAAAGATTACCTGGCTCAAAGATGAAATTTCTGTGAAAGAAGACAAACGGACAAAGATCCAGACGACGCCAGCTACTCTTTGTTTGGGGATATTGAAATCTGTCCGTGAAGATTCAGGCAAATATTGTGTCATTGTAGAAAACAGTTCGGGAACAAGAAAAGGTTTCTGTCAAGTTACTGTAGTTGGTAAGTATTGCTATAGTGCTAAAATAAGTTATTTCCACATGTGGTATGAATTAGAGCTGATCAAATGAGGGTGGGATGGCATATCACATGATAACATTTAACCTAATGCACATTGTGAAGAACTTTTCTGATAAATATATTTCTTTTACTTTTAAACAGATCGTCCTCAACCACCAGTGGGGCCAGTTATTTTTGATGAAGTTACTAAAGATCATTTTGTTATCTCCTGGAAACCTCCCTTGGATGATGGTGGAAGTCCAATTACAAATTACATTATTGAGAAGAGAGATGCAAACAGAGACCTCTGGATGCCAGTCACGTCAGCCAATGTCAAGACAACGTGCAAAGTCCCTAAATTACTTGAGGGAAGAGATTATGTTGTCCGAATCTATGCTGAGAACTTGTATGGCATGAGTGATCCTTTAATATCTGATGAAATGAAGGCCAAGGATCGTTTCAGTATGTAGTTTATTTGCTAATTCATTTTACTTAAGTCTCCGCCATATTTCTACTTCACTTGTATTTTCATATTATATTTTTGTATGAAATGGATTTTAAACTTGAAAACGCTATTTCTTCAGGTGTTCCTGCTGCACCAGAGCAACCTATCATTAAAGGCGTCACCAAAAATTCTGCTTTAGTTACCTGGAAGAAGCCATATGATGGAGGAAAACCAATAACCAATTACATACTTGAAAAGAAGGAAACTATGTCTACTCGATGGGGAAGAGCCACCAAAGATCATATTTACCCAGATACTCAGTTCAGGGTAACAGATCTTCTTGAAGGCTGTGAATATGAATTCCGAGTTTCAGCAGAAAATGAAATTGGCATTGGTGATCCTAGCCCACCCTCAAAACCATTCTTCGCTAAGGATCCAATCGGTATATTATAAAACATTTTCTCATGTATTATATTTGTGATATTACTTGGTACCAATTAATCTCTTTTTCAGATTCATGATTCCAATGTAATGGGGTGTTGTTGTTTTTTCGTTTTTACAGTAAAACCAAGTCCACCAATTAATCCTGAAGCAGTGGATAAAACTAAAAGTTCAGTGCAATTGTCCTGGCAACCACCACGTCATGATGGAGGAGGCAAGATCATAGGCTATCTCATTGAGTACCAAAAGGATGGAGATGAGGAGTGGAAAAAAGCCAACCATACAGCAGATTCTTGCCCTGAGACAAAATACAATGTCACCGGCCTCACTGAGGGTACCAAATATAGATTCAGAGTCTTTGCAGTCAATGGGGCAGGAGAATCCGAGCCAGCTAATGTTCGTGATCCAGTTGAAGTCAAGGACAGACTTGGTAAGCAGAACATGATGTTTTAATTGGTTTTAAAGGGCCAAAGTGGATATATTTTCTGAACACGAAGTCCTTTTTTTTTTACAGAGGCTCCTGATTTAATCCTGGATGCTAATATGACACGAGAACAACATGTAAAAGTTGGAGATACATTGAGGCTAAGTGCTGTAATTAAAGGAATTCCATTCCCAAAAGTGACTTGGAAGAAAGAAGATAAGGAAGTTCCTACAAAGGCAGATATTGAGGTTACAGGAGTTGGCAGTAAGCTTGAAATTCGACACGCAGTCCATGAAGACGGAGGGAATTATTCCCTGACCGTGGAGAATCCGGTTGGATCAAAGACTGTTTCAGTAAAAGTTATTGTTCTAGGTAATGAATGAAATGATGTTAACACTTCTACTGGGAGATAAAACATGACAGAGGTGAATGATAGGAACATACCTATGTACAACAGAAAAGCAGGAATGAAAAATTATATTTTTCATCATCTGTTAGCAACCTTGTTCCCCAACTTTGGAAGGGAATTTTCTAAATGTTATGAAGCATTATCAGAATCCTTGCGGTGTTAAAACACACACATACCAAATATGGGTGGGTGCATAGTGGGTGCAAAGCCCATAGTCTTTGGAAAATATTAATTGTTCTCTGAGGTTCATAGTCACTGAAATTAACAATACTAGTAATTTTATTATTTGTACCCTGCCCATCTGACTGGGCCCAGCCACAACACAAACATACATACAGCGAAGCTACTGTAAATTTGTTGAAGAAATCGGGGTGAGGGGCGTTGTACACAAACTAGTTTGATTTTACACCCTGTACTTTGTGTCAGGTTTAATTATCCAGGTTCAGATGAAAAATGTTTAGAAATTAAAAATGGTTAGAGGCTGTCCATCCTCATTTTCTACAAATAAGAAGTATACAATCATAAGGAAAAGACTCTTTCTTGCAAATAATATACAGTGGTACCTCGGTTTACGAACTTAATCCATTCCGGAAGTCTATTCTTAAACCGAAACCATTCTTAAACCGAGGCACGCTTTCCCTAATGAGACCTCCTGCCGCCGGTGCCCTTCCACCGTTTGGCTTCCATTCGTAGACCAAGGTAAAGTTTGCAAACTGGGACACTACTTCCGGTCTTGCGGAGTTCTTAAACCGAATCGTTCGTAAACAGGACTGTTCTTAAACCGAGGCACCACTGTATTTAACACAATATTTTTATACATAGACTACATCGAACATTTATTTCAATTTTTTTTCCAGATAAGCCTGGGCCTCCCAGGAATCTACAGGTCAGTGAAGTGAGAAGAGATTCTTGCTATCTGACTTGGAAGGAACCCGAGGACAATGGTGGCTCTGTCATTACGAATTACGTTGTGGAAAGGAAAGATGTTGCTGCTGCTCAGTGGCTACCAATATCATCATCTTCTAAGAAACACAGTCTGTTGGCTAAATACCTCATGGAAGGCACTCAATATCTCTTCCGTGTTGCTGCTGAGAACCAGTATGGAAGAGGTCCTTACGTTGAAACCCACAAGCCGATTAAGGCTATAGATCCACTTCGTAAGCACAGTTCACTTACTATTTTGTGTTCTTTAAAAAAACAACAACACCTTTGTCAACTGTGTTGATCTATACAATGTGTATCAGCATTTGGAAATGTTTGTGTATAAAAATAGAAATGCTAATCCTGTTTTCATCTCATTTTAAAAGATCCTCCTGGCCCACCAAAGAACTTGCATCATGTAGATGTTGACAGGACACAAGTGTCTCTTGTTTGGAATTGGCCTGATCGGGACGGTGGTGCTGAAATAACTGGATTTTTGGTGGAGTACCAAGAAGAAGGGAAAGAAGACTGGACAAAATTCAAAACAGTCCCTGTGCCAGAATGTGTTGTTACTGGTCTACAACAAGGGAAGATTTACAAATTCCGCGTAAAAGCCCAAAATATTGTGGGTCTTAGTCTTCCAGACACAACCATACCAATAGAGTGCCAAGAAAAAATAGGTAACCACTGAATTTGTATGACTGTTCACAGATTTCATATTCACTGCTGAAATGTAACTCTTGTAATGGGGAAATACCTATAATATAATCTGCGTGTTGTTGTTTTTTTATTTCAGTCCCACCATCAGTTGATCTAGATGTGAAATTAATAGAAGGCCTTGTTGTTAAAGCTGGCAGCACAGTGCGGTTCCCTGCAATCATGAGAGGCGTACCTGTTCCCACTGCAAAATGGGTCACTGATAATGTTGAAATCAAATCAGAAGGCAATTACAAGATTGATACTGATAATTACTCTACAGTTCTCACTATTCAAAGCTGCACAAGAAAAGACACTGGAGAATATCTGCTCACAGTATCCAATATAGCTGGAAGCAGAACTGTTCCTGTTCATCTAACAGTTTTGGATGTTCCTGGTCCTCCAACTGGCCCAATTGATATTCTGGAAGTCACTCCCGATCATATGGTTATTGCTTGGCGACCTCCTAAAGATGATGGTGGAAGCGCTGTAATTAATTACATTGTTGAGAAACGAGAGACAAGGAAAGAAACCTGGGGAGTGGTCTCTTCAGGGACTAATCAAACTAGAATTAAAATTCCACGTCTACAGAAGGGCTGTGAATATATTTTCCGAGTTTGTGCAGAGAATAAGATAGGCGTTGGTCCACCTCTTGATTCAAAACCAACAGTTGCCAAGGCTCTGCATGATCCACCATCTCCACCTGGTAAACCAGTAGTTAATGATATTACAGAAAATGGTGCAACTGTATGTTGGACTGTGCCAAAATCTGATGGTGGAAGTCCAATAACTGGATACATACTTGAACGCCGTGAAATCTCAGGGAAATGGATACGTGTCAACAAATCTCCAGTGCTTGATCTGAAATTTAGAGCTACCGGCCTCTTTGAGGGCAGCACATATGAATTCCGTGTTTTTGCAGAAAACAGTGCTGGCATAAGCAAGCCATCTCCACCTTCCGATCCAATCAAAGCATCACGTCCTATGTCACCTCCTGGACCTCCCATTAATCCAAAACTCAAGGATAAGACCAAGGAAACAGCTGAGCTAGTATGGACTAAGCCACTCAAAGATGGTGGTAGCCCCATCCTGGGATATGTTGTGGAATGCCAGAAAAGCGGAACTACTCAGTGGAATAGAATTAACAAAGATGAACTCATCAGACATTGTGCCTTTACAGTACCTGGGTTAATTGAAGGAAATGAATATAGATTCCGCATTAAAGCTGCTAATATTGTAGGAGAGGGAGAACCCAGAGAATTGCCAGAAACAGTTCTTGCCAAAGACATTCTCATGCCTCCAGAGGTAGAACTGGATGTGACCTGCCGAGATGTAATTACTGTCAGAGTAGGCCAAACAATAAGGATTATAGGCAAAGTGAGGGGCAGACCAGATCCTGACATAACATGGTCTAGAGATGGCAAAAATATAACGAAAGATAAGCGTACTGACATAATTCATGAATTCCCTCATATAGAGCTTCAAATAAAACCTGCTGTAAGAGCAGACCATGGAAAATACCTAATTACAGCTAAGAATAGCAGCGGACACGCCCAAGCATCAGCTATTGTTAATGTGCTTGATAGGCCAGGACCTTGCCAGAACCTGAAAGTAACCTATGTCACCAAAGATTCTTGCATGGTCTCTTGGGAGAATCCTGAAGATAACGGTGGCTCAGAAATTACAAACTATATAGTAGAGTATCGTCAACCAAACCAGAGAGGCTGGTCAATAGTTTCTTCTGATCTTACTAAGAGGATAGTGAAAGCACATCTCGTTGAAAATCACGAATACTTCTTCCGTGTTTGTGCAGAAAACAAAGTAGGTCCAGGTCCAGTTGTCGAGACCAAAACTCCAATCCTTGCTATTAACCCTATTGACAGGCCAGGTGAGCCTGAAAACCTTCACATTGCAGAAACAGGAAAGACATTTGTATATCTGAAATGGAGGAGACCAGACTACGATGGTGGCAGCCCCAACTTAACATACCATGTTGAAAGAAAACTGAAGGATTCGGATGAGTGGGAAAGAGTGCACAAAGGTAGCATTAAGGAAACACACTATATGGTTGACAAATGCGTTGAAAATAAAATTTATCAGTTCAGAGTTCAGACAAAGAATGAAGGTGGTGAAAGTGACTGGGTGAAGACAAGTGAAGTTGTTGTTAAAGAAGAAATTCAGAAACCTGTACTTGATCTGAAGCTGTCTGGAGTACTGACTGTGAAAGCTGGCGAACCAATAAAAATTGTAGCAGGACTTAGAGGCAAGCCCCAACCAGAAGTATCTTGGGCAAAGGATTCTGCCGATCTATCCCAATCTCCAAGGGCCAAAATTGAAACAACTTCAGACTCATCTAAGTTCCTTCTCTCCAAAGCAAGGCGCACAGATGGTGGTAAATACGTTATTACTGCCACTAATCCAGCTGGTAGCTTTGTAGCATATGCTACTGTAAATGTTTTGGACAAACCAGGACCTGTCAGAAATTTGAAGGTGGCTGATGTTTCAGTTGACCGATGCACAGTCAGCTGGGATGTACCTGAAGATGATGGTGGTTGTGAAATACAGAACTACATTGTAGAGAAATGTGAAAGCAGACGAATGGTTTGGACTACGTATTCCTCCTCTGTGCTAATGACCCATGTAAATGTAACACATCTCATTGAAGGCAATGAATATATATTCAGGGTCCGTGCAGAGAATAAAATGGGCACTGGTCCCCCAACAGAGACTAAGCCAATTATAGCAAAAACAAAGTATAATAGACCTGGTCGTCCAGATCCTCCAGAAGTCACAAAGGTCAGCAAAGAAGAGATGACCGTAGTTTGGAATCCACCAGAATATGATGGTGGTAAATCAATCACAGGATATATATTAGAGAAGAAAGAGAAAAGGTCATTAAGGTGGGTTCCTGTTACCAAAAGTGCAATTCCAGAGAGACGCAAGAAAGTTACAAATCTCATTCCAGGATATGAATATCAGTTCCGTGTCAGGGCAGAAAATGAAATTGGAATTGGTGAACCAAGCTACCCATCAAAACCAACAATAGCGAAGGATCCAATAGGTACTGATCTTTCCAATATATTTTTGTTAGTAATACTTCAATTTAAATTATGTTTCTCTGATTCACTGATATGCTTACTTCTGTACTTTTCTGTCATCTTACAGAACCACCTGGTCCTCCCATTAATCTTAAGGTTGTTGATAGCACGAAGACCTCTATTACTCTTGGATGGGGAAAGCCAGTCTATGATGGTGGTGCTCCTATTATTGGCTATGTGGTAGAAATGAGACCCAAAACTGAAAAAGCAGGTCCTGATGAAGGATGGAAAAGATGCAATGTTGCTACACAAGTTATTCATACAGAATTTACAGTGACAAGCTTGGAGGAGAAAGAACTATATGAGTTCCGGGTTTCTGCCCAAAATCAAGTAGGCATTGGCCGGCCAGCTGATTTGAAAGAAGCTGTTTCTCCCAAAGAAATTCTTGGTAATTTTGCCAACAGGCCATTCAATTATTTGCTATCTTACAAATTGCTTTCAAAATCTAAACTTTTAATGTTCCTTTTCAGAACCTCCTGAAATTGATTTGGATGCAAGCCTGAGAAAGTTAGTCATAGTCAGAGCAGGGTGCCCCATAAGACTTTTTGCCATTATTCGAGGGCGACCAGCACCTAAAGTTACCTGGAGGAAGGTGGGAATTGATAATGTGATCAGAAGGGGCCAGGTTGACCTGGTTGACACAATGGCCTTCTGCGTCATCCCCGATTCTACACGGGATGATTCAGGCAAATACACTTTGACAGTTGTTAACCCTGCTGGAGAAAAGGCAGTCTTCGTGAATGTCCGTGTCCTTGGTGAGTAATGTCAATAATTTTAATATCTATTAATTTTTGTTCTGTGATTTATGAATGTATTATTCATTGTAGTTTCTTTTCCATGGGACTCTGCCACTTACTTTGAATAATTGCGGCCTAATATTGGTTGTTTATTGTTTCCTTTCCTCCAATAGATACTCCTGGACCTGTAGCAGAGCTTAGTGTCAAGGATGTCACAAAAACGTCCTGTCAGGTTTCATGGGCTCCACCTGAAAATGACGGTGGTAGTCCTGTCACACATTACATCGTGGAAAAACGTGAGGCTGAGAGAAAGACCTGGGCAAAACTTACCGATGATGTAAAGAAGACCAGTTTCAAGGTTTCTAATCTTATGCCAGGAACTGAGTATTTCTTCAGAGTCATTGCTGTCAATGAATATGGCCCTGGTGTTCCAAGGGACACGCCCAAACCAATCCTGGCAACAGATCCACTAAGTAAGTATTTATTGATGTAGCTTCTGTATTATTTCATTCAGGAGATTCAGATTTTGTATGATAGTTCAGATAGTCAAAATCAGTTGTCACTGCGCATAATAATAAATAATAATAACAAATAAATAATTTCATTATTTATACCCTGCCCTTCTGGCTGGGTTGCCCCGGCCACTCTGGGCAGCTTCCAACACATATAAAAACACAATTAAAAACATCAAACACTAAAATATTCCTAATACAACACTGCCTTCAGATGCCTTTAATTTCAGGTTGGGGGAACTCAGGCATTAACACTCAGAAATATCCCTGTGGCTTGGGGGTATTTTGGGGTGAGTGCTTTGACAATGTGTCTTGAGGCACATATTCGACTCACAAACCCAGGGCTCACCTGACAAGGAAGGAAATTTATCCCAATCCTTGACTGGGGAGCAACAGAATGTAGACAGACACGTGCGCAAGGAACATGAGGAATGCTTCTCACATATTTATGAGATAACTTCACTTCCCTGCACTTATTTAACGGACTTGTTGTTTGGCAGATCTTCTATTTGCTATATTTCAAAGACTATAACCTGTCCACAAATACATTGCCAGCTGAGTCTTCTTCCAGGGTGTGGAGGCAATGTGTGGATCACAAAAAACAATCAAACCAGAATAGAAGTACCGTATTGGCCTGAATATAAGCCTCACATTTTCTCCCAAATTCTGACTGTGAAAAGTTAAAGTGTGGCTTAAATTCGCAACCTTACAAAAATTGGCTTTTACGATATTGCTGCTAAAACAGATACATGGTAAAAAGGAACGGTTGTGAGTGCCTGTGGAATTTTAAAGGTGCAGCTTATAGTTGGGTGAGGCTTATATTCGGGCCAATACGGTACTACAAAGTTCAAAGAAACCACTGGTCTCATGATTTATGTATTCAAATGAAAAAATAAAATAGTACAATATATTCTGTGTTTCCCCCCCCCCACTAATAAATCGTGAGAAGATGTAATGATCTTAGAAATTATGTAAACTAAGCATTTACCTGCCTGTTTTATTTTTAAGGTGAACCTGATCCTCCAAGGAAACTTGAAGTGACTGAAATCACAAAGAACAGTGCTACTTTAGGGTGGTTGCCACCGTTGCGTGACGGTGGTTCCAAAATTGATGGCTACATCATTGCATATCAAGAAGAGGGTCATGCTGAGGATCACTGGACACAGTACTCCGTTGTCAAAGATCTTCATATTGTTGTTGCTGGCCTAAAGGAAGGAAAGAAATACAAATTTAGAGTGGCTGCAAGGAATGCTGTAGGAGTAAGCCAGCCAAAACAAACTGAAGGCATCTATGAAGTTAAAGAGCAACTGAGTAAGTACCTAACTATGACCACTTGTACAACTGAAATATAATTCAATTATTTTGATTTTGTATCTAAATTTAGATGTCACCTCTTAAAGATATTTAAAATTAGGTCCTGTCACATAATCTGATGTCTTTAGTGACATTCCTTTTTTAATGGGTTTATTGTTTTTTTCCCAAAACAGCAACATACAAACAAGACATTCAAAAGGGTCTACAAAAAAACTTCACAAATAGGCTCCTTGGCTCTGCGACCTTCTATAGCAAAGTATTAGGTGTTAATTCTGGCCTGAAGAGTACTGAATGTGGGTCCCAGGCCCAGCAGGCAGTTTCTTAATAGTTCGCTTCATTTATGCACAAGTTTACCTTAAAAATTTGTGCATCTCCCCATTATAAGATGTTGTGAAGCTTTCTGCATCTGAAGAATAGGACAGCTATACAGTTAATTAAATAAGATAGCACACTGCTCAGACCTTAGAATAAATCTACAAAAGAAGCTAGGAGGAAATGAATCAGGGATATTATATTTCAAGGATATTAGGGGGAATACAATTTATCGGGGCTAGTTCCTTGGTGACTATTTGAAAACAAAGTTTTTGGTTGGTTTGGGGACGTAATATCAGACCTTTTGCCTTACTTCTGCAGAATATAGATCAGAAGTGGCTAGTCTGGGGCCTAGCCACACCTCCAGACACTGTTGGACTGCAACTCTCATTTGCTGCAGCCAGCTTGGCCAGTGGCCATGGGTGTTGGAAGTTGTCGTCCAACAACATTTGGAGAGTTGCAGGCTACCCCCAGTCAAGAGCATGAAAGCTGTCAGGAGACTGACATTTGTTTTCAGGGGGAAATGCATGGTTGTTTCAAGTAAGAATGATATCAGCTTAAGATTGTGAGAACTAATTCAAAATACAAATACATAAGTTATTAATTTTTGTGTGTGACCTATGTGTCTGTTTCCTATCGTTTGATTTTTAATTTCAGTGCCACCTAAGATTCTGATGCCAGATCATGTCAATATAAAGGCTGGGCAGAAACTCAGGATTGAAGCACATGTTTATGGGAAACCCCACCCGACTTGTAAATGGATGAAAGGAGACAAAGATGTGGCAATATCCAGCCGCCTGGCTGTGCATAAAGCAGACAGCACTTCGGTTCTCATCATTAAAGATGTAATTAGGAAAGACAGTGATTATTACAGTCTAACAGCTGAAAACAGCTCGGGAGTAGCTACTCAGAAAATCAAAGTGGTCGTCATGGGTACATTGAATCTTCTTTTCCATGCTTACTTCTCAACATTCTTAACATGATTCATCAATGAGCATGACCTTATTTATACCTGTATGTTTATCTCTTTCTGTAGATATCCCTGGTCCACCACAGCCACCATTCGAAATTTCTGACATAGATGCTGATGCTTGCTCTTTGTCATGGCATACTCCTCTTGAAGACGGTGGTAGCAACATCACCAACTACGTGGTTGAGAAGTGTGATACCAGTCGAGGAGACTGGATAACAGTGGTAGCTTCTGTTACAAAGACGAATTGCAGAGTTGGAAAACTCACCCCTGGAGAAGAATACATGTTCCGTGTTCGTGCTGAAAACCGATTTGGAATTTCTGAACCACTTCCATCCGATAAGATGATTGCAAGGTTTCCATTTGGTATGTCCACCTCAGACAATGGTGCAGTCTTTATTAGAATACTTCTAAGGGTGAAATGATTTAAAAAAAAAAAAAAAATCTCATCTCTTTCTCTACAGATGTTCCTAGTGAACCAAAGAATGCACGTGTTACCAAGGTGAACAAGGACTGTGTTTTTGTGGCATGGGACAGGCCAGACAGCGATGGAGGCAGCCCAATAACTGGTTATCTCATTGAACGTAAAGAAAGGAACAGTTTGCTTTGGGTGAAGGCCAATGATACACTTGTGCGATCCACAGAATACCCATGTGCAAATTTAATTGAAGGCCTTGAGTACACATTTAGAATCTATGCTCTGAATAAAGCTGGTGCAAGCAAGCCTAGCAAACCAACAGATTTTATTACAGCAAGAACACCAGTTGGTAAGCAAAACATTTGCATACATTGCATTATGTGTAACTATTATTGTTAATACTGAGCTGACCTAAGTACCGTAACATTAGGATAATATGGCCAAAGCTAAACTTTCTTAAACTGCACTGATTTCAACAAGGAAGGTAAGCATTTGCTTATTGAATTCCAATGAAAAGCCTTGCTTTTGGCTAGATTGTGCCCAAAGTTTAATTTCTCTGGATTTAAAAAGAAAGAAAGAAATATACCATGGTTGTTCAGTGATATGCATCTTTTGTGTTGTGACATTTTCTATCAAATGCCATAGAATAAACCTGACCTCATTTGTTTTTAGATCCCCCTGGCAAACCCGAGGTTATTGATGTCACTAAGAGTACTGTGTCGCTTGTCTGGGCAAGACCAAAACATGATGGTGGTAGCAAGATACTTGGCTACTTTGTTGAATCCTGTAAACTGCCTGGAGAAAGATGGGTACGATGCAATACCACTCCCCATCAAATACCCCTGGAAGAGTACACTGCAACTGGTTTGGAAGAAGGTGCACAGTATCAATTTAGAGCCATAGCAAAAACAGCAGTGAACATTAGCTGGCCTTCTGAACCTTCTGATCCAATAACCGTTCAGTCAGAAAATGGTAAGGAACGCATTTGAGTACCATTAGAATTCAGCCATACTTTCATCCTTCTCATTGTTATGTGCTCATTGGAATATATTTCTCCCCCCCCCCTCCTTCTACATGTTTTTTTACACTGCAGTACCACCAAAAATAGAACTCGGTGTAGCTATGAAATCCTTGCTTGTAGTAAAAGCTGGAACCAATGTTTGTCTTGAGGCTAATGTGTTTGGCAAGCCTATGCCAACTATTAGTTGGAAGAAAGAAGGGGAGATCCTGAAACCAGTTGAAGGAGTCAAGATAACCACCAAGAGAAATTTATCTACTGTGGAGCTCTTCAGCGTAAATAGAAAGCAAACAGGAGATTATACTATCACAGCTGAAAATGCAAGTGGTTCCAAATCAGCAACTATTAAACTTAAAGTACTAGGTAGGTTAAAAGTTCATTTGAATCAGTGTATTTAAACTTCAGGAAATGTAGCAGTTGTAAGACTTCACTCACCGCCTAATTTTTCTTTCCCAGACAAGCCTGGTCCTCCAGCTTCAGTTAAGATTGTAAACATGTACACAGACCGAGCAATGCTTTCTTGGGAACCTCCTCTTGAAGATGGAGGCTCAGACATTACTAATTACATTGTCGACAAACGGGAAACAAGCAGACCCAACTGGGCTCAAGTCTCCGCCAATGTCCCCATCACTAGCTGCAGCGTTGAGAAACTAATTGAAGGACATGAGTACCAATTCCGCATTTGTGCTGAAAACAAATATGGAGTAGGTGACCCAATTTTGACTGACTCAGCAGTGGCTAAGAATCCATATGGTAAGCTTCTCTCACTGGATTTTTCTATCCATTTAGTGTCAATCTATGTTTTAACATTTGCTTAAGAACATTTCAAATTATTATTTATAGATGTGCCTGGACCATGTGAACCACCTATAATTAGTAACATAACAAAAGATTTCATGTCGGTAAGCTGGAAAGCACCTGCTGATGATGGCGGCTCCCCTGTGACTGGATATATTGTTGAAAAACGTGAAACGAGGGCAGTTAACTGGACAAAAGTGAATAGAAAGCCTGTCATTGAAAGAACCATAAAGGCCACTGGACTCCAGGAAGGAACAGAATATGAGTATAGGGTAACTGCACTGAATAAAGCTGGACCCGGCAAACCTAGTGGAGTATCTAAAGCAGTATATGCACGTGATCCTCAGTGTAAGTTGAACACATGCACATTTCCCGGTCTTCTGTGACTTTGTGAGTGTGTGCAAATGGGTTTGCCAGATCATAATTGTGTAATTTCTTGGTGCTTTCATTCTCAGATCCCCCTGGCCCACCAGCATTCCCAAAAGTGATTGACACCACCCGTAGCTCTATAACCCTGTCTTGGACCAAACCAGCATATGATGGTGGAAGCCCCATTATTGGCTACCTTGTCGAAGTAAAACGAGCAGATACAGATAACTGGGTGCGGTGCAATTTGCCAAGGAATTTGCCAGATACCCGTTACGTTGTGACTGGACTCACGGAGAACACAGAATACCAGTTCCGCATTTATGCTGTCAATAAGGTTGGATATAGTGACCCAAGCGATGTGCCAGACAAGCACATGGCCAAGGACATTTTAAGTAAGTTGTCCTGAAAAGAAACTGACTTGTTGACTTTTGTGCATATTGTGGGTATTGGTATAGAAGGTTTAGTGGAGGGCCTATGAGAAACTAGGGGCTCTGTGCTGAACTGTTTCATGAACTCACATATGTCTAGTCTTTAAACCACTATTCACTCAGCTGTTAAAAACCACACAATCTAGCCACATGCTCCTCATTCTGCTCTGTTTCTAAAATTTTATTGAGAATGGAATCCTCAGCTATTCTTTCCAGCTGCCCTATCATTGTTGTACATTTTCCTCTACCCAGAAACACACTTGCTCCTTCTCTGTCTTGTGTGAAAGAAAACAATGTCTTCTGAATAATAATGCAAAGTTATTGTGTTTTGAGTGCAAGGCAAGCACACTTTCCCAATGGGAAGCTCCTAGATAGTTGTAGAAAAGTAGGGACTGCAATTTGACTGAAAGTGTAGAGTGGATTCTTCTCAAAACAAAGGGAGAGAAGAATATGAGAAACCACTGGTGTCTGGCTGGGTGGCATAAAAACTGGCAATTAGGGAAGGAAGGTTAGAGTAACGTTTAGAGAGATTTCCTCTCTTTTACTCATCCACTTGCTTTTTCTAAAAAAGAAAAAAGAAAGCCTGAGCTTTATTCCCCCTAACATAATTGCTTTGTATTTTCTCTCTCTTTCCTTTCCATTCCCATCCTGCCTCAGCCACTGACACTGATTTTATTATATTTTAAATTATTACCATCAGCAATTTATTTGACATCTACTTTTATTTACAATGCAGTTCCACCTGAGGGAGAGCTTGATGCTGAATTGAGGAAAGTTCTGGTATTACGTGCTGGAGTCACAATGAGGATTTATGTGCCAGTGAGAGGCCGTCCACCTCCCAAGATTTCTTGGTCTAAAGTGGATGCCAACATAAGAGACAGGCAAGGACTAGATATCAAATCAACTGACTTTGACACTTTCCTGCGCTGTGAAAATGTAAATAAATACGATTCTGGAAAATATGTCCTGAGTCTGGAGAACGTCTGTGGCAAAAAAGCATACACAATGGTTGTAAAAGTACTTGGTAAGTGCTACGTGATTGCCTATTATTGTCTTAACTATCCATACGCGTTTTATTTTATATATTTTAGTCATTAACTGAAATGTTTTATTTGCATCTGTACAGATACTCCTGGGCCACCTATTAATCTGATTGTAAAAGAAGCATCTAAAGATTCTGCCTTTATTTCATGGGAACCTCCTATAATTGATGGCGGGAGTCCAGTGAAGAACTATGTAGTTGAAAAACGTGATGCAGAGAGAAAGTCGTGGTCTACAGTAGCCACAGAGTGTCCGAAAACAAGCTTCAGGATCTCTAACTTGGAGGAAGGCAAATCTTACTTCTTCAGGGTTTTTGCTGAAAATGAATATGGCATTGGCGACCCCTGTGAAACTCGTGATGCAGTTAAAGCTTCTGGTGAGAATATTCACATAATTACCCTATCAGGCTATTGTTAAAAGGCTCTTGTGCATCTAACTTTATATTAGCGATTTGTTCATCATTATATTCTTTTCTCCCTGCTAGAAACACCTGGACCTGTTGTGGACTTAAAGGCTTTGGCTGTGACAAAGTCATCCTGCAATGTATCGTGGAAAAAGCCCATTAGCGATGGTGGAAGCCGCATTAATGCATATATCGTTGAACTTATGACTGGTGAAAATCAGTGGCAGGAAGTTATGAGGTCAAAGAATCTCCAGTATTCAACAAGAGACTTAACAGAAGGCAAAGAATATACCTTCAGAGTGAGAGCACAAAATGAAGCTGGGTATGGAACACCTAATGAAATTACAGTGCTGGCAAGGGACGATATAGGTGAGTAGATTCATACATTTTCTCGTTCACAGAGCACACTGCATATGTCAGTATAGTGAACAATAGAACTACCCCATGAGATAGCCACGCCAGTCTAATAAAGCAAAAATAGCAGAGGTGTCACAAAACCTTTCGTTCTTTTTCAGAACAGAAGTTACTGAAATGAAGCAACTGTATTCACTGCACTGAACATACAGTAATAATAATATAATAATAATAATAATAATTTATTATTTATACCCCGCCCATCTGGGTCCCCCCAGCCACTCCGGGCGGCTTCCAACAAAACACTAAAATACAATAACCTATTAAACATTAAAAGCTTCCCTAAACAGGGCTGCCTTTAGATGTCTTCTAAAAGTTTGGTAGTTATTTTTCTCTTTGACATCTGGTGGGAGGGCGTTCCACAGGGTGGGCGCCACTACTGAGAAGGCCCTCTGCCTGGTTCCATGTAACTTGGCTTCCCACAGCAAGGGAACCGCCAGAAGGCCCTCGGCGCTGGACCTCAGTGTCCGGGCTGAACGATGGAGGTGGAGACACTCCTTCAGGTATACTGAACCGAGGCCGTTTAGGGCTTTAAAGGTCAGCACCAACACTTTGAATTGTGCTCGGAAACGTACATACAATCATTCAATACCTTTTTGTCTTCCAGTGGCACCTGATCTTGATTTAAAAGACCTGCCAGGCTTGTGCTATTTAGCTAGAGAAGGAAGCAGTTTCCGCCTGAAAATCCCTATTAAAGGCAAACCAGCACCAACGGTGACATGGAAAAAAGGGGAAGACCTGGCTCTTACTGAGACAGGAAGAGTTGCATTTGAAGCTACAGCAGTTAATACCTCACTCCTTGTACGTGATTGTCATAAAGATGATGCTGGGAAATATACAATCAAACTGAAGAACGTTGCTGGCAGTAAAGAAGCGACTATTTCTGTGAAGGTTGTTGGCAAACCTGGAATCCCAACAGGACCTGTGAAATTTGATGAAGTCACAGCTGATGCCATGACATTAAAATGGGCTCCTCCCAAAGATGATGGTGGTTCAGAAATCACTAACTACATTATTGAGAAGAGAGACAATGTGAATAATAAATGGGTCACATGTGTGTCTGCTGTGCAGAAAACTACCTTCAGAGTCACAAGACTTCATGAAGGCAGTGAATATACTTTCAGAATCAGTGCTGAAAATAAATATGGAGTCGGCGAAGGTCTTAAATCTGACCCAATAATCGCAAGGCATCCATTTGGTAAGCACAAAAAATACGTTTGTTGTGAAGCATTCTGTCATTTAAGGTTCAGTCTAATTCTCTCTTACATTTATTATATTTCTAGATGTTCCCGATGCTCCACCACCACCCAAAATTGTTGAGATTAGGCGTGATTCTGCCTATTTAACATGGACAGACCCCAAAAAGACAGGTGGCTCACCTATCACAGGTATTTCTTTTGACATTTAATTTTGCATAAGATTCCCCAAGGTGTTAAATCTTAGGATCACAAATGCCAATCATGATGTAACACACGTTCCTACCCTCCACCAGCTTTTGCAATGTCCAGACCCAACTAACGTCAAGGCTCTGGTGTCTGTAAGGCCCGAGGGGGGCATGTTGAGAAGCAGCTTAGATTCAAAGCCTTCCAGTGCCACAAATCAGGGTGATATTGAGCCACATTTCCAACATGAAGGGGAAATACAAGTGACAAAAGAGTGTAGAGTGTTCCTCTGCCCTACTGGCTTAAGCCTGGCATGGCAATAGATAAGGCAGTGGAACTGTCTTCATATTTCACTACCACCACCTCAGGATTGTACTTCAAAGCTTGTTAAGTAGCCAGTTGCCTGATGTCCTGCGATGGTGACAGAAACTGCTCAGAGATATCAGACAAGGATGCTTTTGCAAAATAAAAAAGTTGGTTCCTATCCACCCCCATTTTTGTTTACCTTTTGAAATACTAAGCATGTGTTTCCTTTGTTTGTATGCTTCTGTAGGTTACCACCTTGAATATAAAGAAAGAAATAGTATTTTGTGGAAGCGAGCAAACAAGACCCCACTAAAGATGAGAGACTTCAGAGTGACAGGGTTAACGGAAGGTTTGGAATATGAATTCAGAGTGATGGCAATCAATCTTGCTGGAGTTGGTAAACCAAGTCTGCCTTCTGAGCCAATTGTAGCCCTTGATCCAATTGGTAAGCTTCCCAAAGTAAAGAGATAAGTCTTCATGTGTTAGAAAACAGTGATATACACTTTTTCTACTTCTGTATTCTGTTGTTTTCAGATCCTCCTGGGAAGCCTGAAGTTATCAGTGTGACTAGAAACTCAGTGACTCTGATCTGGACAGAACCAAAATATGATGGCGGACATAAATTAATTGGCTACATAGTGGAGAAACGTGATCTACCTTCAAAGACTTGGATGAAGGCAAACCATGTGAATGTTCAGGAATGTGCATATACAGTAACTGACCTTTTTGAAGGATCTAAATATGAATTCAGAATTAGAGCTAAGAATACCGCTGGTGCTATTAGTCCTCCATCAGAATCTACCGGAGCCATTATATGCAAGGATGAGTATGGTACGTATTCCCTGTAAAGGCACACACGAGTTTTTAATATTTTAGGTATCTTCTTTCCTAACATATTAATTCTCTTTTACAGAGGCACCAACTATTGTTATTGATCCTACTGTCAAAGAAGGCCTGACTGTTAAGGCAGGAGACACCATCTCAATGTCTGCTATTAGCATCCGTGGCAAGCCACTTCCAACTTCAGTGTGGTCTAAAGGAGGCAAAGATTTCAAGCTTTCAGAGACTGTTCATATTGAATCAACTCCAACTTCTTCAACGCTTTCTGTCAAGTATGCCGCTAGAAAAGATTCTGGTGAATATACGATCACTGCAACCAATCCTTTTGGTACTAAAGAAGAACACGTACATGTAAAAGTTTTAGATGTACCAGGCCCACCTGGACCAGTTGAAGTGAGCAATGTTTCAGCTGAAAAGGCTACTCTCACATGGACACCCCCAACAGAAGATGGCGGGTCACCAATCAAGTCTTATGTACTTGAAAAGAGAGAAACTAGCCGCCTTCTATGGACTCAAGTTGCTGAAGACATTCAGTCTTGTAGGCATGTTGTGACTAAGCTTATTCAAGGAAATGAGTACCTTTTCCGTGTTTCTGCTGTGAATCAGTATGGCAAAGGAGAACCATCTCAATCAGAGCCAGTTAAAATGGTGGATAGATTTGGTAAGCAAAACTAGTCAAAAGGTATATGAATTTACTGCTGTAAAAATAGAAAAACATTTATGTGTTTATCAAAATCTGTTTTCCTCCTTTTAGGGCCTCCTGGTCCACCTGGTAAACCAGAAGTATCAAATATTACGAAAAACACTGTTACTGTAACCTGGAAAAGGCCAACTGATGACGGTGGCAGCGAAATCACAGGCTACCATGTGGAAAGAAGAGAAAGAAAAGGCGTGAGATGGGTCAGAGTTACAAAGAAACCAGTATCAGACCTTCGATGCAAAGTGACTGGACTCCTAGAAGGAAATGAATATGAATTCCGTGTCAGTGCAGAAAACAGGGCAGGAATTGGGCCACCAAGTGATATTTCTCAACCAGTATTAACCAAGGATGCTGCATGTTAGTATGATTTCTATACTTTGGGGGGGGATCCCTTTATAGCATGATTATCTATAAGGATTCCAATCAAATAAAATGTGTTGCCTTTTTTCATTATTTATAGATCCACCGGGACCTCCTTCCAACCCACGAGTAACTGATACAACAAAGACAACTGCTAGCCTAGCATGGGGTAAACCTCACTATGATGGCGGACTTGATATAATCGGCTATATTGTGGAGCACCAAAAAGAAGGAGAAGACACATGGGTGAAAGATACCACGGGGACTGCTCTAAGAATCACAGAATTTGTGGTTGCTAATCTCCAGCCAGGAGCCAAATACAATTTTAGAATTATTGCCCTCAATGCTGCTGGCGCTGGTGAACCAGCAACGATAAAAGATGTTGAAATCAGGGAACGTGAAGTAGCTCCTGATTTTGAATTAGACGCCGAGCTGAGGAAAACTCTTGTTGTTAGAGCTGGACTGACCATTCGGGTATTTGTTCCAATTAAAGGGCGCCCAGTTCCTGAAATCACATGGACCAAGGATGATATTTCACTTAAAGGACGTGCCAGTATTGAAAATACAGACTCTTTCACACTTCTCATTGTCACAGAATGCACTAGATATGATGCAGGGAAGTATGTCATGACCCTTGAAAATGCTGCTGGCAAGAAGACTGGTTTTGTAAATGTAAAAGTCTTGGATACACCAGGGCCACCAATAAATCTCAAGCCCAGAGACATATCTAAAGATACCATCACCCTACAATGGGATATGCCTCTAATTGATGGTGGTTCACGCATAACAAATTATATAGTTGAAAAACGTGAGTCAACACGAAAGGCATATTCAACCATCACAACAAAGTGCCCAAAATGTTCACTTAGGATTCCTAATTTGGCTGAAGGGTGTGAATATTACTTCAGAGTATTTGCTGAAAACGAATTTGGAATTGGTGAACCAGCCGAAACTGCTGAACCTGTAAGAGCGTCAGAGGCACCGTCACCACCAGAGAGCCTTAATATCATGGATATCACAAGGAAGACAGTCAGCCTTGCTTGGCCAAAGCCCGAACATGATGGTGGTAGCAAGATTACTGGCTATGTTATTGAAGCCCAGAAAAAAGGTTCAACTCAGTGGACACATATCACAACTGTGAAAACATTAGAATGTGTGGTAAAGAATCTGACTGAAAATGAAGAATATACTTTCCAGGTTATGGCAGTTAATAGTGCTGGAAGAAGTGATCCAAGAGAAAGCAGACCAGTTGTCGTTAAAGAGCAAATGATGCTTCCAGAATTTGATTTGCGTGGCATTTACCAGAAAACAGTAATTGCCAGAGCTGGTGACAATATCAAAGTTGAAATACCTGTGCTTGGTCGCCCAAGGCCAACTATTACTTGGAAAAAAGAAGACCAGTTAATTAAACAAACTCAAAGAGTAAACTTTGAACATACTGCTTCTGCAGCCATCTTGACCATTAATGAATGCACTAGAAACGATAGCGGCAGATACCCAATCTCAGCTAAAAATATTGTTGGTGAAGTTAGCGATGTTATAACTATACAGGTGCATGATGTTCCTGGACCTCCCACAGGGCCAATCAAATTTGAAGAAGTTTCATCCGACTATGTCACCTTCTCATGGGAACCTCCACTGAATGATGGAGGGGTGCCAATAAGTAACTATGTTGTAGAAATGCGTAAAACCGACAGTACTGCATGGGCTGAGTTAGCAACTACTGTTATACGTACTACTTTTAAAGCTGCTCGCCTCACTACTGGGACAGAGTACCAATTCCGTGTTAAAGCTCAGAACAGATACGGTTCAGGACCATCTATCAGTTCAGAGAATGTAATTGCTAACTATCCTTTTAAAGTTCCTGGTCCTCCAGGCACTCCTCAAGTGATTGCAGTCACGAAAGATGCAATTAGCATTAGCTGGCATGAGCCTTTGACAGATGGAGGAAGCCCCATTTTGGGATATCACGTTGAGCAAAAAGAACGAAATAGCATTCTTTGGCAGACCGTAAGTAAAGCTTTGATATCAGTAAATACCTTCAAATCAAGTGGTCTTACATCTGGCCTTGCCTATGAATTCCGAGTCATAGCAGAAAATATGGCAGGCAAGAGTAAACCCAGCAAACCATCTGAGCCAGCATTGGCCCTGGACCCTATTGATCCTCCTGGGAAGCCAGTTCCTCTCAATATTACAAGACATGCAGTAGCACTTAAATGGAAAAAACCTGAATATAATGGAGGTTTTAAGATAACTGGCTATACTGTTGAAAAAAGAGATCTTCCTAATGGCCGATGGCTAAAGGCTAACTTCGGCAATATACTAGAAACTGAGTTCACTGTTAGTGGTCTCACAGAAGATGCTGCTTATGAATTCCGTGTGATTGCTAGAAATGCGGCTGGTGCTGTTAGCCACCCATCCGAACCATCAGATGCAATAACGTGCAGAGATGAGATTGAAGCACCAAGGATCATGGTTGATGCTAAATACAAAGACATTTTGATATTAAAAGCAGGTGAAATTTTCAAACTTGAAGCTGACGTTTCAGGTCGCCCTCCACCAACTCTGACATGGACGAAAGAAGGAAAGGAGCTTGAAGACACGGCAAAATTAGAAATTAAAATAGCTGATTTCTCAACTGTTCTTCATAATAAGGACTCTATAAGAAGAGATGGAGGTGCCTACACACTTACAGCCTCCAATCCAGGTGGCTTTGCAAAACATATTTTCAATGTCAAAGTACTAGACAGACCTGGTCCTCCAGAAGGGCCTTTGGCTGTGTCTGATGTTACCATAGAAAAATGTGTCCTCTCATGGTTACCACCTTTGGATGACGGAGGCGCAAGTATTGACCATTATGTTGTTGAGAAGCGTGAGACTAGCAGATTGGCATGGACAACTGTAGCCACAGAAGTTCCAGTAACAAAATTAAAGGTCACAAAGCTATTGAAAGGCAATGAATATATCTTCCGTGTTATGGCTGTTAACAAATATGGCCTTGGCGAAGCCCTGGAATCAGAGCCTGTTCTTGCAGTAAATCCTTATGTAGTACCTGATCCACCGAAGACACCTGAAGTTACAGCTGCAACCAAAGATTCTATGATTGTGTGCTGGGGACACCCTGATTCTGATGGTGGAAGCCCTATAATCAATTATATTGTAGAACGTCGTGACAGGGCTGGACTACGCTGGGTGAAATGTAACAAGCGGGTTGTCACAGATTTGCGCTATAAAGTATCTGGACTCACAGAAGGTCATGAATATGAATACCGAGTGAAAGCTGAAAACGCTGCTGGTGTAAGTGAACCAAGTCTAAGCAGTCAATTCTACAAAGCTGCTGATACTGTATTTAAGCCAGGTCCACCAGGTAACCCACGTGTATTAGACACAAGCAAGTCCTCAATTACAATTGCTTGGAATAAGCCAATATATGATGGTGGCTCAGAAATCACAGGCTACATGGTTGAAACAGCATTACCTGACGAAGATGAGTGGAAAATTGTAACTCCACCAGCAGGGCTGAAGGCGACTTCCTTTACCATCACTAATCTAAAAGAAAACCAGGAATATAAAATCAGAATATATGCTATGAACTCTGAAGGCATTGGAGAACCTGCTCTTGTTCCTGGGACACCAAAAGCTGAAGAAAGGGTACTGCCTCCTGAGATTGAACTTGATGCAGACCTACGTAAAGTTGTGACCCTCAGAGCTTGCTGTACTTTAAGACTCTTCGTCCCAATTAAAGGAAGACCAGCGCCTGAAGTGAAATGGTCAAGAGAACATGGAGAGTCTTTAGACAAAGCCACTATTGAATCCACAAGCTCTTATACACTGCTTACAGTTGGAAATGTGAATAGATTTGACAGTGGCAAATATATACTGACTGTAGAAAACAGCTCAGGCAGTAAATCAGCATTTGTAATTGTAAGGGTTCTTGATACACCTGGCGCCCCACAGAATCTGAAGATAAAAGAGGTTACAAAGTCATCTGTGACTCTCACATGGGACCCTCCCCTCATAGATGGTGGCTCTAAAATTAAAAATTATATTATTGAAAAACGTGAGGCAACAAGAAAAGCATATTCAACAGTTATGGCCAATTGCCATAAGACCAGCTGGAAAGTGGACAATCTACAGGAAGGTTGCAACTATTATTTCAGAGTTCTAGCTGAAAATGAATATGGAATAGGGCTTCCTGTTGAAACATCAGACTCTATTAAGGCATCTGAAAGGCCTCTTCCTCCAGGAAAAATAACTATATTAGATGTGACACGAAAGAGTGTATCTTTGTCTTGGGAGAAACCTGAACATGATGGAGGAAGCAGAATTTTGGGCTACATTGTAGAAATGCAAAGCAAAGGCAGTGAGAAATGGGCCACATGCACTACTGTAAAAGTTACTGAAGCTGTTATAACTGGACTGATCCAGGGTGAAGAATATTCTTTCCGTGTTTCAGCTCAGAATGAAAAAGGAATCAGTGATCCTCGACAATTGAGTGTACCAGTTATTGCGAAAGATCTTGTGATACCACCAGCCTTCAAACTGTTATTCACTACCTTCAGTGTACTAGCAGGTGAAGACTTAAAGGTTGATGTTCCATTTGTTGGTCGACCCAAGCCATCTGTAACGTGGCTCAAAGATGATGTGCCACTAAGACAAACTACTAGAGTAAACGAAGAAAATACAGACAACAACACTTTGCTAACAATAAAAGAAGCATGTAGAGAAGATGTTGGACAATATTTAGTAAAACTTTCTAACTCTGCTGGGGAAGCTACTGAAATTCTTAACATTGTTGTCCTTGACAAGCCAGGACCTCCAACTGGACCAGTGAAGATTGAAGATGTAACTGCAGACAATATTACCATTTCCTGGGGACCACCCAAATATGATGGTGGCAGTTCTATCAACAATTATATTGTGGAAAAACGAGACACCTCCACTACTGCTTGGCAGATTGTTTCAGCTACCGTTGCCCGGACAACTCTAAAAGCAGCTAGATTAAAGACTGGAAGTGAATATCAATTCAGAATTGCTGCTGAAAACAGATATGGAAAGAGTACATATCTCACATCAGAGTCTGTGGTAGCCCAGTATCCATACAAACTACCTGGGCCTCCTGGAACTCCTTTTGTACCAAAAGTCTCCAGGGATAGTATGGTTGTACACTGGAATGAACCAGTCAATGATGGTGGCAGCAAGATTATTGGTTATCATTTGGAGCGCAAGGAAAGAAACAGCATACTCTGGGTTAAATTGAACAAAGCGGCAATTCCTGACACTAACTTTAAAACAACTGGACTTGAGGAAGGCCTTGAATATGAATTCAGAGTTTATGCAGAAAATATAGTTGGTATCGGAAAAGCAAGTAAAGGTTCAGAATGCTACAAAGCTTATGATCCTTGTGATCCTCCTGGTCGTCCAGAGCCTATCATCGTCACAAGGAACTCTGTTACTCTTCAGTGGAAGAAACCAGCATATGATGGCGGAAGCAAGATCACTGGCTACATAGTTGAGAAGAAGGAGCTACCTGAAGGCCGTTGGATGAAAGCAAGCTTTACGAATGTTATTGAGACCCAGTTTGCAGTAACTGGCCTAGTTGAAGACCAAAGGTATGAGTTCCGTGTCATTGCGCGCAATGCTGCAGGCGTTTTCAGTGAGCCATCTGAAAGCTCGGGGGCAGTCACAGCAAGAGATGAAGTAGAGCCACCTCGCATAAGTATGGACCCCAAATTTAAAGAAACCCTTGTACTGCATGCTGGCGAATCGTTCAAGATTGACGCAGACGTTCACGGTAAGCCGCTGCCTTCTATTCAGTGGCTAAAAGGCGACAAGGAACTAGTGAATACTGCACGCTTGGATATAAAAACCACAGACTTTGCCACAAGCCTAAGCGTCAAAGAAGCCACTCGCGTTGACAGTGGGCATTATGTATTGCTGGCCAAGAATGCTGCAGGTGAAAAGACAGCTTCCGTTCATGTTAAGGTTCTGGACAAACCTGGCCCACCTGAAGGTCCGGTTGTTGTAACAGGAGTTACTGCTGAAAAGTGTTACCTGGCATGGAAACCCCCATTGCAAGATGGTGGTAGTGACATTTTACATTATGTAATTGAAAGAAGAGAAACAAGCCGCTTAGTCTGGACTTTAGTTGATGGCAATGTACAAACCCTTAGTTACAAAGTTACTAAACTTTTGGAAGGCAACGAATATATCTTCCGCATCATGGCTGTAAACAAATATGGGGTTGGGGAGCCTCTTGAATCTGAGCCTGTAATGGCTAAAAATCCATTTGTAGTGCCACTTCCACCAAAAGCCCCAGAGGTCTCGGCTGTTACCAAGGATTCTATGATTGTCGTATGGGAAAGACCACCCTCTGATGGCGGCAGTGAAATTTTGGGTTATGTACTAGAAAAACGTGATAAAGAAGGCATTCGGTGGACAAGATGTAACAAGCGTTTGATAAGTGAACTTCGATACAGAGTTACTGGACTTATAGAAAATCATAATTATGAATACAGAGTCTCGGCTGAAAATGCAGCTGGCCTCAGTGAGCCAAGCCTACCTTCTGTTTATCATAAGGCTTGTGACCCTATATACAAACCAGGTCCTCCCAACAATCCTAAAGCAATAGATGTTACAAGATCTTCGGTTTTCCTCTCCTGGAGTAAGCCAATCTATGATGGTGGCTCAGAAATCCAAGGATACATTGTTGAAAAATGTGATGTGAGTGTTGGGGACTGGGCAATTTGTACACCACCAACTGGAATTAAGAAAACAAATATGGAAGTAGAAAAATTGCAGGAGAAGCATGAATATAAATTCCGCATTTGTGCTGTTAACAAAGCAGGAGTAGGAGAGCATGCCGATGTTCCTGGAACTATTGTGGTCGAAGAAAAGCTGGAAGCTCCAGACCTTGATCTTGACTTGGAACTGAGGAAGGTTATCAACGTAAGAGCTGGTGGCTCCTTAAGATTATTTGTTCCAATCAGAGGACGCCCAACACCCGAAGTAAAATGGAGCAAGGTGGATGGTGACATCAGAGAGGCAGCTGTTATTGACAGCACTAGCAGCTTCACCTCGCTGGTTCTCGACAACGTTAACAGATTTGATTCTGGAAAATACACTCTTACTTTAGAAAACAGTGGTGGAACTAAGTCTGCCTTCGTCAGTGTAAGAGTCCTAGATACCCCAGGCCCCCCAGTGAACCTGAAAATTAAGGAAATCACCAAAGACTCAGTGTCACTTGCCTGGGAACCTCCTTCGATAGACGGTGGAGCTAAAATTAAAAATTATATAATAGAAAAACGTGAAGCCACAAGGAAAGCCTATGCTGCTGTTGTAACAAACTGCCACAAGACATCGTGGAAAGTGGCTCAACTTCAGGAGGGCTGCTATTATTACTTCAGAGTTTGCGCAGAGAATGAATTTGGAATTGGCCTGCCTGCAGAAACGAGTGACCCAGTTAAAGTTGCTGAAGTTCCTCAACCTCCAGGAAAGATAACAGTGGACGATGTGACAAGAAACAGCGTTTCATTAAGCTGGGCGAAGCCTGAACATGATGGCGGAAGCAAAATTTTGCAATACATAGTGGAAATGCAAGTTAAGGGCAGCGAAAAATGGTCAGAATGTACGCGTGTGAAAGTTCTTGAAGCACTTGTTACTAACTTATCTCAAGGACAAGATTATCTCTTCAGGGTAATGGCTGTAAATGAAAAGGGTAGGAGTGATCCACGGTCCCTTGCTGTTCCAATAACAGCCAAAGATTTAGTTATTGAACCAGATGTACGACCAGCATTCCACAGTTACAGTATACAAGTGGGACAAGACCTAAAGGTGGAAATACCAATATCTGGTCGACCTATACCTACTATTACTTGGACCAAAGATGGCATGCCATTAAAACAGACAACTAGAGTTAATGTCATCGATTCACCTAAACTTACTGTGCTGAGTATTAAAGAGGTCACCAAAGAAGACAGCGGGGCGTATGAAATTGCAGTTGCTAATGTTGTTGGACAGAAATCTGCAGCTGTTGAAATTATAACGCTAGACAAGCCTGATCCTCCAAAAGGCCCTGTTAAATTTGATGAAATTAGTGCTGAAAGTATTACATTATCATGGAACCCTCCAGTATATACAGGTGGCTGCCAAATCACTAACTACATTGTTCATAAGAGAGATACAACCACCACTGTATGGGAAACAGTTTCAGCTACCGTTGCAAGAACCACTCTCAAGGTGATGAAGCTCAAAACTGGATCAGAATATCAGTTTAGAATATTTGCTGAAAATAGATACGGGCAGAGCTTTGCCCTGGAGTCTGACACGGTTGTTGCTCAGTATCCCTATAAAGAACCAGGTCCTCCTGGCACACCTTTTGTGACAACAGTTACAAAGGACTCTATGGTTGTGCAATGGCATGAACCAGTAAATGATGGTGGAAGTAAAATTTTAGGTTATCATCTTGAAAGAAAGGAAAGAAACAGCATTTTGTGGACAAAGGTAAACAAGACAGTTATTCAAGACACACATTACAAAACATCTAACCTTGAAGAAGGCATTGAATATGAATTTAGAGTAGCTGCAGAAAATATTGTTGGTGTTGGCAAAGCAAGCAAAGCTTCTGAGTGTTACGTGGCGCGTGACCCTTGTGATCCTCCAGGATGCCCTGAAGCTATTATTGTTAAAAGAAGTTCAATTACTCTGCAATGGACAAAGCCAGAATATGATGGTGGCAGCAAAATTACAGGCTACGTAGTAGAGAAACGTGATTTGCCTGAAGGTCGTTGGATGAAGGCAAGTTTCACCAATATAACTGAAACTCAGTTTACCGTAACAGGCCTTACTGAAGACCAACGATATGAATTTAGAGTCATTGCAAGGAACGCCGCTGGAGCAGTAAGCAAGCCCTCTGATAGTACAGGACCGATAACAGCAAAAGATGAAGTTGAGCTTCCAAGAATATCCATGGATCCCAAATACAAAGATGCAATTGTTGTAAACGCTGGAGAAACATTCAGACTTGAGGCTGATGTCCATGGGAAGCCAATTCCCACTATTCTGTGGTTGAAAGGAGATAAAGTACTTGAAGATACTGCCCGATGTGAAGTAAGGAATACAGACTTTAAGGCCTTGATTACTGTTAAAGATGCCATACGTGTTGATGGTGGGCAATATATTTTGCAGGCCTCTAATGTTGCAGGAACAAAATCAGTACCAATAACAGTAAAAGTACTGGACAGACCAGGACCTCCAGAGAGTATTCAAGTTTCTGGAGTTACTGCTGACAAGTGTTCCTTAACATGGGCGCAACCGATCCATGATGGTGGCAGTGACATTTCTCACTACATAATTGAGAAGAGAGAAACAAGTCGCCTTGCATGGACAGTTGTTGCTTCAGATGCTGTAGCCACAATGCTGAAAGTAACAAAACTTCTGGAAGGAAATGAGTATATCTTCCGCATAATGGCAGTTAATAAATATGGAGTTGGGGAGCCTCTGGAGTCTGCACCAGTGTTAATGAAAAATCCATTTGTTGTTCCTGGTCCACCAAAATCCATTGAAGTAACCAACGTTACAAAGGATTCCATGACCGTCTGCTGGCATCGTCCAGATAGTGATGGTGGCAGTGAAATAGTTAACTACATTGTCGAAAAAAGGGACAGAGCTGGTATCAGATGGGTGAAATGTAACAAACGCCGAATTACAGACCTGCGATTAAGAGTCACAGGATTAGCAGAAGATCATGAGTATGAATTTAGAGTATCCGCTGAAAATGCTGCTGGAGTTGGTGAGCCAAGCCAAATCACTCCCTTTTGGAAAGCATGTGACCCTATGTTCAAACCTGGCCCACCCACTAATGCCCATGCTGTGGATACTACCAAGAATTCAATTACAGTAGCATGGGGTAAGCCTATTTATGATGGCGGCAGTGAAATCCTGGGATATATTGTAGAAATCTGCAAAGCGGATGAAGAAGAATGGACAATAGTTACCCCACAGACTGGTCTGAGAGTCAATCGCTTTGAGATCAAGAAACTCATTGAACATCAAGAATACAAACTTAGAGTTTGTGCTCTTAACAAAATTGGAGTAGGTGAAGCTGCAGCAGTTCCTGGCACAGTTAAACCAGAAGATAAACTTGAGCCACCTGAACTTGATATTGACTCAGAATTAAGGAAGGGAATTGTGGTTAGAGCTGGTGGATCTGTCAGGATAAACATACCTTTCAAAGGACGCCCAACTCCTGAAATCATGTGGTCTCGAGAAGAAGGAGAATTTACAGATAAGGTTCAAATTGAAAAGGGCCTGAATTACACACAGTTATCCATTGATTACTGTGATAGAAATGATGCTGGAAAATATATCCTTAAACTGGAGAACAGCAGTGGCTCTAAGTCTGCATTTGTCACAGTTAAAGTACTTGACACACCGGGACCACCACAAAATTTAGTAGTCAAAGAAATAAGGAAAAATTATGCTGTACTGACGTGGGAGCCTCCAGCTAATGATGGTGGGGCAAAGATAAAGAACTATGTGATTGATAAACGCGAATCAACCAGAAAAGCATATGCAAATGTGAGCACAAAGTGCAGCAAAACAAGTTTTAGAGTTGACAACCTTATTGAAGGGGCAATTTATTATTTCAGAGTAATGGCTGAAAATGAATATGGAATTGGTGTTCCAGTTGAAACTGCAGATGCCTCAAAAGCTTCAGAACCACCTTTGCCTCCTGGAAAAGTGACTCTCACTGATGTGACTCAGAGAAGTGCATCATTTATGTGGGAAAAGCCTGAACATGATGGAGGTAGCAGAATTGTGGGGTACGTTGTTGAAATGCAGCCAAAAGGAACTGATAAATGGAGTGTTGTTACTGAAACCAAAGTCTGTAATGCAGTTGTGTCTGGTTTGAGTTCTGGACATGAATATCAATTCCGTGTCATGGCATACAATGAAAAAGGCAAAAGTGACCCTAGACCACTGGCAGTTCCTGTGATTGCCAAAGATCTGACCATTCAGCCAAATATCAAACTGATGTTCAATACATACACTGTACAAGCTGGAGAAGACCTTAAAGTTGAAATACCCTTTATAGCTCGACCAAAGCCTACTATCACTTGGGAAAAAGATGGTCAGCCTCTAAGACAGACAACCAGGTTACACGTTGAAGATACACCTACATCAACTACTTTGTATATTAAAGAAAGCAACAAGGATGATTTCGGTAAATATACTGTGACAGTAACCAACACTGCAGGCACAGCAGCAGAACATCTTAATATCATTGTGCTAGAGAAGCCTGGCCCACCACAAGGACCTGTCCGCTTTGATGAAGTTAGCTCGAATTTTGTTGTTCTGTCATGGGAACCACCAGCATACACAGGTGGCTGTCAAATATCCAATTACATTGTAGAGAAGCGTGACACTACTACCACTACCTGGCAGATGGTCTCAGCGACTGTTGCAAGAACAACTATTAAAGTAACAAACCTTAAAACGGGTAGTGAATATCAGTTTAGAATTAGTGCTGAAAACCGATACGGGAAGAGCACCGCACTGGATTCTAAACCAGTTCTTGTTCAATATCCCTACAAAGAACCAGGTCCACCAGGAACACCATTTGTCAGCATAGCTACCAAAGATCATATGATAGTACAATGGAATGAACCAGTTAATGATGGAGGAAGCAAAGTTCTTGGTTATCATCTAGAACGTAAAGATAAAAACAGCATTCTTTGGACAAAATTGAATAAGGCCCTCATTCAGGACACAAAATATAAATCAGATGGCCTTGAGGAAGGTCTTGAATATGAGTTCAGAGTTGCTGCTGAAAACATTGTTGGCATAGGTAAGGTTAGCAAATCATCTGAACTGTATGTTGCTCGAGATGCTTGTGATCCACCTGGCCGTCCAGATGCCATTGTTATCACAAGAAATTATATAACACTAAAATGGAAAAAACCTGAATATGATGGTGGCAGCAGAATAACTGGATATGTTGTGGAAAAGAGAGAACTTCCTGAAGGCCGTTGGATGAAAGCCAGTTTTACAAATGTAACAGAAACAGAGTTCACAGTAACTGGTCTTGTGGAAGACCAACGATACGAATTCAGAGTAATTGCAAGAAATGCAGCTGGTAGCATAAGTGAACCATCTGAAAGCACAGGACCAATTATTGCCAGAGATGAAATTGAAGCTCCAAGAGCTTCACTGGATCCAAAATACAAAGATGTCATTGTTGTTCATGCTGGAGAAACATTTGCTCTTGAGGCTGACATCCATGGCAAACCCATTCCTGATATTATATGGTCGAAAGATGGAAAGAATTTGAAGGAGCAACTGCAAGAATGGAAATTAAGTCTACCATTGAGAGAACAACCCTCACAGTCAAAGATTGCATCAGAGTGGATGGAGGCATTTATACACTTAAACTGAGCAATGTTGGTGGCACAAAGTCTATACCAATCACTGTAAAAGTACTTGACAGACCTGGACCTCCAGAAGGTCCTTTGAAAGTTACAGGTGTGACTGCAGAAAAGTGTTATCTGGCATGGGGACCACCTTTGCATGATGGTGGCTCTAACATTTCACATTATATTATAGAAAAGAGAGAGACAAGTCGACTTTCATGGACACAAGTGGCATCTGATGTGCAAGCTCTGAACCACAAAGTAACCAGGCTTCTTCCAAACAATGAGTACATTTTCCGTGTAATGGCTGTCAACAAATATGGAATTGGTGAACCACTGGAATCCGAGCCTGTGTTGGCATGTAATCCATACAAACCTCCCGGCCCTCCTTCAATACCTGAAGTTTCTGCAATCACAAAAGATTCTATGATTGTAACCTGGGGTCGTCCAGAGGATAATGGTGGTGCTGAAATTGAAGGGTACATACTAGAAAAGCGAGACAAAGATGGTATTCGGTGGACCAAGTGCAATAAGAAGAGACTAACAGACTTAAGACTCAGAGTAACTGGACTTACAGATGGCCATTTCTATGAATTTAGGGTTTCTGCTGAAAATGCTGCTGGTGTTGGTGAACCCAGTGAACCATCAGTTTTCTATCGAGCCTGTGATGCAGTGTATCCACCAGGCCCTCCAAGCAATCCAAAGGTGACAGATACCTCCAGATCATCTGTATCCCTTGCATGGAACAAGCCCATTTACGATGGTGGTGCACCTGTTAAAGGATACATTGTGGAATTTAAAGAAGCTACTGCTGATGAATGGACAACTTGCACACCTCCATCAGGGTTACAAGGAAAGCAATTCACAGTAGAAAAACTTAAAGAGAATAGTGAGTATAATTTCCGCATCTGTGCTATGAACTCTGAAGGAGTTGGAGAACCAGCAACTATACCTGGTAGTGTTGTTGCTGCTGAAAAAATTGAACCTCCTGAAATTGAACTTGATGCAGATCTCAGAAAAGTTGTCACCGTACGTGCTAGTGGCACATTGCGATTGTTTGTCACTATCAAAGGGAGGCCAGAGCCAGAAGTAAAGTGGGAGAAAGCAGAAGGCACTCTGAGCGACAGAGCCCAGATTGAGGCTACCAGTTCATATACAATGTTGGTCATTGATAATGTAAACAGATTTGACAGTGGTAGATATAACCTGACCTTAGAAAACAATAGTGGCAAAAAATCTGCTTTTGTTAACGTGAGAGTTCTTGATACACCAAGTGCACCTGTGAACTTGAACATCAGAGAAGTGAAGAAAGATTCAGTGACATTAGCTTGGGAGCCCCCACTTATTGATGGTGGTGCTAAAATTACAAATTACATCATTGAAAAACGAGAAACCACAAGAAAGGCATATGCCACTATTACAAATAACTGTGCCAAGAATGTCTTCAGAATTGATCAGCTACAGGAAGGATGTAGTTACTACTTCCGTGTCTTGGCGGCAAATGAATATGGAGTTGGTTTGCCAGCAGAAACAACTGAACCAGTTAAGGCTTCTGAACCACCCTATCCACCTGGAAAAGTTACCCTTGTTGATGTTACACGCCACACTGCTACTATTAAATGGGAGAAACCTGAGAGTGATGGTGGCAGTAAAATAACTGGCTATGTAGTAGAAATGCAAACTAAAGGAAGTGAAAAATGGAGCACCTGCACACAAGTTAAAACATTAGAAGCAACAGTATCAGGATTAAGTATGGGAGAAGAATACACTTTCCGTGTATGTGCTGTCAACGAAAAAGGGAAGAGTGATCCAAGACAGCTTGGGGTTCCAGTAGTTGCGAAGGATATTGAAATCCAGCCTTCAGTTGAGCTCCTTTTCAATACTTTCAGTGTTAAAGCTGGTGAAGATCTTAAGATTGATGTGCCCATCAGAGGAAGGCCAGTTCCATCAGTTGGCTGGAAGAAGGATGGAGTGCCTTTAAGAGAGACAACAAGGGTAAATGTCCACACATCAAAGACATCAACCTCACTAACAATCAAGGAAGCATTGAAAGAAGATGTAGGGAGTTATGAATTAAATGTTTCAAACAGTGCTGGCTCTACAACAGCTTCCATTACTGTAATTGTACTGGACAAGCCAGGACCTCCAACAGCATTGCATATTGACAATGTCAGCAATGATAATGTAACCATATCTTGGAAACCCCCGGAGTATGATGGTGGATGTCAAATTAATAATTATATTGTGGAGAAGAGAGAAACAACTACTACAACATGGAGTATAGTGTCTGCGGCAGTTGCACGAACTTCGATAAAAATAATTCGCTTAACCACAGGATCAGAATATCAATTCCGTGTTTCTGCAGAAAATCGCTATGGCAGGAGCACCTTCGTTGAAACTGCACCTGTTGTTGCAGAGTATCCATTTAGTCTTCCTGGACCACCTGGTACTCCCCGAGTAACACACGCAACTAAAGCCTTCATGGTTGTAACCTGGCAAGAGCCAGTTAATGACGGAGGTAGCAGAGTACTTGGTTATCACCTTGAGCGTAAAGAAAGAAGCAGCATCCTTTGGACTAAAGTAAATAAAACCCTTATAAGTGACACACAGATGAAGGTCACAGGCCTTGATGAAGGACTAATGTATGAATATCGTGTGTATGCAGAAAACATTGTAGGAATAGGTAAATGTAGCAAATCATGTGAGCCTGTTGCTGCAAGGGACCCATGTGATCCTCCTGGCCAACCAGAAGTGACTAACATTACAAGAACATGTGTCTCACTCAAATGGACCAAACCAGAATATGATGGTGGTGCTAAGATCACAGGCTATATTATAGAGCGGAAAGAGTTACCAGATGGTCGTTGGCTGAAGTGCAACTTCACCAATGTGCAAGAAACTTTCTTTGATGTAACAGGACTTACTGAAGACCAGCGATACGAATTCCATGTAATTGCAAGGAATGCTGCTGGACTATTTAGTGAGCCATCTGAATCAACTGGGCCAGTGACTGTAAAGGATGATGTTGAAGCTCCAAGAATTATGATGGATGTCAAATTCAGGGATGTTGTTGTTGTTAAAGCTGGAGAGATCTTGAAAATCAATGCCGATATTGCAGGGCGACCCTTACCAGTAGTTTCATGGACAAAGGATGGCAAAGACATTGAAGAGAAAGCAAGAGTTGAAATTGTTTCAACTGATAACACTACTGCAATAACTGTCAAAGACTGCATTCGACGTGATTCAGGGCAATATGTGCTAACATTACAAAATGTTGCTGGAGTTAGATCATTAGCTGTCAATTGCAAAGTACTTGATAGACCTGGTCCACCAGCAGCCCCACTAGAAATCAAAGGACTTACTGCTGAAAAATGTCATCTGTCATGGGGACCGCCTCAAGAAAATGGAGGTGCAGAGATTGACTATTATATTGTGGAAAAGCGTGAGACCAGTAGAATTGCATGGACTCTTTGTGAAGCAGAGCATCCAACAACATCCTGCAAAGTGACAAAACTACTTAGAGGAAATGAATACATCTTCAGAGTCATGGGGGTTAACAAGTATGGTGTTGGTGAACCTTTGGAAAGTGAAGCTGTCAAGGCCCTTGATCCTTTTACTGTTCCAAGCCCACCTACATCTTTAGAGATTACTAGTGTGACAAAGGAGTCCATGACTATTTGCTGGGCAAGACCTGACAGTGATGGAGGTAATGAAATTTCTGGATATGTGATTGAAAGGCGTGAGAAAAACAGCCTGAGGTGGATACGTGTGAACAAAAAGCCCGTTTATGATCTAAGGGTAAAATCTTCAGGCCTTCGGCAAGGATGTGAATATGAATATCGGGTATTTGCAGAAAATGCTGCAGGTCTTAGTCTTCCTAGTGATACTTCACCACTCATTAAAGCAGAAGATCCTGTTTTCCTTCCATCACCTCCATCTAGACCTAAGATTGTGGACTCTACAAGGTCACATATAACAATTGGATGGACAAAGCCATTATTTGATGGCGGTGCTCCTGTTACTGGATACACAGTTGAATACAAGCTAACCAGTGAAACTGATTGGTCAACTGCTATTCAAAGCTTAAGAGGTACAGAATACACTGTAATCGGTCTTACATCAGGAGCTGAATATGTTTTCAGAGTAAGGTCTATCAACAAGGTTGGCACTAGTGATCCAAGTGATGTTTCAGAACCTCAGGTGGCAAAAGAAAGGGAAGAAGAGCCTGCATTTGATATTGACAATGAAATGAGAAAGACTTTAGTCGTGAAAGCTGGTGGCTCATTTACAATGACTGTACCTTTCAGAGGAAAGCCTATCCCTAATGTAATGTGGAGCAAGCCAGATACTGACCTTCGTACTCGAGCAAGTATTGATACTTCAGATAACCGCACCTCAATTACTGTTGAAAAAGCAACCAGGAATGACTCTGGAAAGTATACACTAACATTACAAAATATTGTAAGCACAGCTACTTTGACATTAGTTGTCAAAGTACTTGACTCACCAGGACCTCCATCTAATATCGTTGTAAAAGATGTCACAAAAGAATCAGCAGTGTTATCTTGGGAAGCTCCTGAGAACGATGGAGGTGCTCCTGTGAAGAACTATTATATTGAAAAACGAGAAGCAAGCAAGAAAGCTTGGGTCACTGTAACCAACAATTGCCATCGTCTTTCCTACAAAGTTACCAATCTGCAAGAAGGTGGAATTTATTACTTCAGAGTCTCTGGAGAAAATGAGTTTGGTGTTGGAGTCCCAACTGAAACAAAGGATGGAGTGAAAATAACAGGTTTGTTCTTTAAAATATGTTAATTATATATGCATGTGAGTGCATGACTATCTACCCATGCATACACATACACACTAATTGTTTACAGGACTTTAGTCTTAATGTGTAATGTTTATATTACTGTTATTAATTTATTGTAAGGCAGTAATCAAATTTTTAGGTGTCTTGAAAACACCTAATAACTCTAATAATATTTTAATACAGTGGTGCCTCGCAAGACGAAATTAATTCATTCCGCGAGTTTTGTCGTCTTGCTATTTTTTTCGTCTTGCGAAGCACAGTGTCGGGAAAGTTTTGGAAAAGCTTCAAAAATCACCAAAGTCTTTAAAAACCTCAAAAAAGGCTACCACACCGCGTTCTATGAGTTGCTCCTCGAAGTCAAGTCGCAACTGTATTAACGGTGTTAAGAAAAAGGAAACAAACTTGCAAGACGTTTCCGTCTTGCGAAGCAAGCCCATAGGGAAAATCGTCTTGCGAAGCAGCTCAAAAAACAAAAAACCCTTTCGTCTAGCGAGTTTTTTGTCTTGCGAGGCATTCGTCTTGCGAGGTACCACTGTATAGGCATGCAAGATAAAACTTCCCTATTTAGGGAAGTTTTTAATGTTTAATGCTGTGTTGTGTTTTTAATATCTGATTGGGAGCCGCACAGAGTGGCTGCGGAAACCCAGCCAGATGGGCGGGGTATAAATTATTATTAGTATTAGTATTATTAAAATGTACAGCTTTCCTGTGGAAAATAAGTGCTTGCTGAATACATTAAAATTAAGTGGAATGCATATGACACATTTGCTCTCGATTCATCTTCTATTTATTCATTTCTTGATCATCTTCTCTTTATTTTTCAGAAAAACCAAGCCCACCCGAAAAACTGGGAGTATCAAACGTTACTAAAGATAGTGTATCTCTTGTGTGGCTAAAGCCAGAACATGATGGAGGAAGCAGAGTTGTCAGCTACCTTGTTGAAGCCCTAGAGAAAGGGCAGCAGAAATGGGTCAGATGTGCTGTAGTCAAGACAACTCATCATATTGTCCAGGGTCTCAAGGAGAATGCGGAGTACTTCTTTAGAGTATTTGCTGAAAACCAAGCTGGTCTAAGTGACCCCAAAGAGCTTCTTCATGCCGTTACAGTTAAAGAACAACTAGGTATGTGGAAGTGGTACATTCTTCTTGGAATCACCTCGGTGACACTGATGGCAATTTGGCATCTGCTAAAAACAGATCATAATAACATGTCTATTTTGATCTAAAGTTGACTGGTATTTTACTTATTCTTTAAGTTTTGATGTAATTTTAATGTGTATGTGTATACTGCCTTGTGATGTTTACATGAAAGGTGGTATAAAAATAGTTTTAATTAATAAATAATAAATAGTTAGCATAGAGCTGATACAAATTCAGATGAAAATGCATTTGAAAACCATTGTTTTTAACATTTTGCAAATGTATTTTTTCAGAATCTCCTGAAGTCGACATGAAAGGTTTCCCAAACCACACCGTTTATGTAAGAGCAGGTTCAAACCTAAAGGTAGAGATTCCAGTTTCTGGAAGACCATTGCCGAAGGTGACTTTATCCAGGGACGGCATTCCTCTCAAACCAACGATGAGGTTTAACACTGAAACCACAGCTGAAAGTGTCATCGTTAATCTCAAAGAAAGTGTGGCTACTGATTCTGGTAGATATGACATCACAGCTTCCAACTCCAGTGGAACTACTAAATCTTTCCTTAAGATTGTTGTCCTAGACAGACCAGGCCCTCCAGTTGGTCCTGTTGTTGTAAGTGATATCACTGAACAAGGTCTTACCCTTAAGTGGGAGCCACCTCGTTATGATGGCGGAAGTCAAGTTACCAACTACATTGTACTGAAAAGAGAAACAAGCACTGCTGTGTGGTCTGAAGTGTCTGCAACTGTTGCTAGAAACATGATTAAGATCACGAAACTAACAACAGGAGAAGAATATCAATTCCGTATTAAAGCAGAAAATCGCTTTGGCATAAGTGACCATATTGACTCAGCATGTACAACTGTTAAGCTTCCTTACAGTAAGTGACTTTTTGTTTGCTCGTTTTCTGAGTTTTTCAGGCATGTATTTATGATTTATTAACCTGTACTTAATATTCATTTAGCACCCCCTGGACCACCTTCCACACCATGGATCACCAACGTGACTCGAGAAAGCATCGTTGTTGGATGGCATGAACCTGTTTCCAATGGAGGCAGTGCAGTCATTGGCTACCATTTGGAAATGAAGGACAGGAACAGTATTTTATGGAAGAAAGCTAACAAAACGATTATACGCACAACTCACTTCAAGGCCTCCAATATCACCGCCGGTCTCATTTATGAGTTCAGAGTGTATGCAGAAAATGCAGCTGGTATTGGAAAAGCAAGCCATCCATCTGATGCAGTTCTTGCTATAGATGCCTGTGGTATGTAGTCTGTAGTAAAGGATAAGAATCATATTTCAAGTAATGAATTTAATAGAAAATATTTATTTGGTGAGTCATTGTTGAATGAACACATTAATTCCAAATGTTGTTGCTGTTTCATACTGCAGAGCCGCCAAGAACCCTTCGTGTCAAAGATATTTCCAAAACATTTGTCAATCTTTCTTGGACACAGCCAGCTTTTGATGGTGGCAGCAAAATTACTGGATATATTGTTGAGAAACGTGATCTTCCAAATGGAAGATGGACAAAAGCAAGCTTCACCAATGTCATTGAGACTAATTTCACTGTATCAGGATTGACTCAAAACTCCCAATATGAATTCCGTGTTTTTGCTAAGAATGCTGCTGGTTCAATTAGCAATCCATCTGATGTTTTAGGCCCTATAACCTGCGTGGATACATATGGTAAGAAATTAATAACGCATAACCACTGATATCCAGTTATATGTTTGAGTTTAAGGTAAATACTGTTAACAGAAATTCTAATTTGAATTCAGGGGCCTTAGCTGGGCAGCACAGTACAGTTTCAAGCTTGCCTTTCACTATCAGAGGATACTAGGAAATTATTATTTGGCACTGAATGCTGCTTTGTTATCAATCTTTCTGAGAATTTCAAAAATGTTAATATATTTTCTATTCCGCTTCTTTTTCATTAAGGTGCACCTGAAATTGATGTACCCCCAGAATATACAGAAGTAGTGAAATACAAAGCAGACACAGCAATTAAACTGAAACTTGGCATCTCAGGAAAGCCTGTGCCTACAATTGAGTGGTTCCACAATGGTAAAGAAATACATACCAGTGCCCAGGTATCTATTGAAAACACCACAGAATTTTCAGCTATACTGATCAAAGAAGCAACTCGTATTAACAGTGGAAGTTACGAACTGAAATTAAAGAATGCCATGGGTTCTGCATCTGCCACCATTAGGGTACAGATACTTGGTATGTTTGGAGCATTTTCATATTGTTTTCTTCTGTCAATTCAACTAGCTGTGTCCATTATTGCCTATTTAAAATATATAATTTTCTTGCATATTAAACAGATAAACCAGGACCGCCAGGTGGACCTATACATTTCAAAACTGTCACCGCAGAAAAGATTACCCTTATGTGGCAACCGCCAGCAGATGATGGAGGTGCTGCTGTAACACATTACATTGTTGAGAAACGTGAGACAAGCCGTGTGGTATGGTCTGTGGTTTCAGAAAAACTTGAAGAATGCATTGTCACTACCACAAAAGTCATAAAAGGAAATGAATATATATTCCGTGTACGAGGCGTAAACAAATTTGGTGTTGGTGACCCACTGGAATCTGACACTGTCATAGCTAAAAATGCATTTGGTAAGTTAAAGCAGATGGCCATTAATACCTTTTTTATTATCTCTAGGTGATTACCTATTAGTTTATATTGACCTAATGTTATTTTTGTTTCAATAAAAATGCAGTTACACCTGGACAACCTGGTATACCAGAGGCCTCCATGATAACTAAACATTCTATGACCATAGTCTGGAGCAGGCCAACTGTAGATGGTGGTAGCGAGATAAATGGATATTATCTTGAGAAACGGGATAAGAAAAGTCTAAGCTGGTTCAAGGTGTCTAAAGAAACCATTCGTGACACCAGGCAGAAAGTGACGGGACTAACAGAAAACAGTGAATATCAGTTCAGAGTTTCTGCTGTGAATGCAGCTGGGCAAGGTCCCTTCTCTGATGCATCGGACTTCTACAAAGCTGAAGATCCTATAGGTAAGAAACCTTTCATTTGATTGTGCAAAAATGCAAAGGTCAAATTATACACATTCTTGAAACTGTGTAAGGGCATATATTGCTCTAAGTTATTGCTATTAGTTGTCAAGTCTCATTTTTGTTACTTGCATTTTGCAGAAAAACCTGGGCCACCTCTTAAGCTAAAAGTTGTGGATACTACAAAGACATCTGTCACACTCAGCTGGACTAAACCAGCCTATGATGGAGGAAGTGCAATTACCAGCTATGCTATTGAAAAGAGAGAAGGGGAAGAAGAAGAATGGACTCTGGTCAGTGCAAGAGGAGAAGTGCGAACCACAGAGTATGTTGTTTCTCACCTTCAGCCAGGAATCAATTACTACTTCCGTGTAGCTGCTATAAATTATGCTGGACAAGGTGAACCCATTGAAATGACAGAAGCTGTACAAGCTAAAGACATACTTGGTATGTAAATTCTATTATTATATTTAATATTCAGTATTTTAATCTTTTCCCCAAATACGAATTATTTTTCTTTTAACTTAATTTTATTCTTATTTTATTTTTTGCAGAGGAGGCACAGATTGATCTAGATGTTGCTCTCAGAACCTCCATTGTGGCTAAAGCAGGTGAAGATGTACAGATAATGATTCCATTCAAAGGAAGACCACCTCCAACTGTGACATGGAGAAAGGGTGAAAAAAATCTAGGTGTTGATGAAAGATACAGCATTCAGAACACAGAATCGTCCACACTCCTTACTATTCCTCAAGTCACTCGCAATGACACAGGAAAATATGTCCTCACAATTGAGAATGGAGTTGGAAAACCCAAAACTTCATTTGTGAACGTTAAAGTCCTTGACACTCCATCTGCATGCCAGAGACTGCATCTTAAACATGTTTCTCGTGGAACTGTGACATTGGTATGGGACCCACCACTCATCAATGGTGGTTCTGAAGTAACAAATTATGTCATTGACAAAAGAGATGCCACCAAGAGAGCATGGTCCTCTGTTACAGCCAAGTGCTCTAATACATCATTTAAGATAACTGACTTGTCAGAGAAGATCCCATACTTCTTCCGTGTTCTTGCAGAAAATGAAAATGGATTGGGCGAACCATGTGAAACTTCAGAGCCAGTGAAAGCAGCAGAAGTCCCTGGACCTGTACGGGATCTGGCCATGAAAGATTCAACAAAGACATCTGTCACTTTACAGTGGAGTAAACCTGAATTTGATGGTGGTAGTATCATAACTGATTACGTGATTGAGAAGAAACTGAAGGATGAACATGAATGGTCATATGCAGGGGCAAGTAAAGCTTGCGAATTTGAAGTTGAAAAACTTAAGGAGCTTTCTGTTATGGAGTTCAGAGTTTCTGCAAAGAATGAAAAAGGAAGAAGTGATTTTTCTGTAATTGGACCCATTACAGTGAAAGACTATGTAATAACACCTGAAGCAGACCTTTCTGATATACCTGGAGGACAAGTAACAGTGAGAATAGGTTATAATGTACATGTTGAAATACCATATAAGGGAAAGCCCAAGCCAACTATGAGCTGGCTGAAAGACAACATTCCTCTTAAAGAAAGTGAACAGGTTCGCTTCAAGAAAACTGAAAACAAAATAACTTTAAGCGTTAAGAATGTGAAAAAAGAAAATGGTGGCAAATATACCTTAATTCTTGATAATGGTGTTCACAGGAAGTCATTCCCAATCACAGTTATAACACTTGGCCCACCATCTAAGCCCAAGGGACCCATTAAACTAGACGAAATCAGAGCAGATAGTATGGTTCTTTCATGGGGTGTTCCTGAAGATGATGGGGGAGGAGAAATCACTGGCTACAGCGTTGAGAAGCGTGAAACCTCACAGACCAACTGGAAAATGATCTGTTCTAGTGTGTCAAAGACAACCTTCAAAGTTTCCAACCTTGTTAAAGATGCAGAGTATCAGTTCAGAGTCCGTGCAGAAAACAGATACGGAGTGAGCCCACCACTAAACTCCATTGAGGTCATAGCAAAACACCAGTTCAAACCACCAGGTTCACCAGGGAAGCCTGTTGTTTACAATGTGACAGCTGATGGAATGACCATATCTTGGGATGCTCCAGTCTATGACGGAGGAGCAGAAATTACTGGATACCATGTGGAAAAGAAAGAACGAAATAGCATATTGTGGCAGAAAGTCAATTTGTCACCAATATCTAATAGAGAATACAGAATTACTGGATTAATGGACGGTTTGGACTACCAGTTCCGTGTATATGCAGAAAACTCTGCTGGATTAAGCTCTGCTAGTGACCCAAGCAAATTTGCCTTGGCCGTTTCCCCAGTAGGTAAGTGACTGATCACTGAATACAATGCACCTGTCTCAACACACTGTTGGAATTTATGCAGATTTATATTACTATTAATGCACCTGTGTTTCTTTCAGATCCACCTGGCACCCCTGATTACATTGATGTGACTAGGGAGACTATTACTCTGAAATGGACAGCACCTCTGCGTGATGGAGGCAGCAAGATTGTGGGCTACAGTATTGAGAAACGTCAAGGAAGTGGTGATCGCTGGGTCAGATGCAATTTTATTGATGTCAGTGAATGCCAGTATACAGCTACAGGGCTTAGCCCCGGCGATCGGTATGAATTCAGAATACTTGCAAGAAACGCTGTTGGAACTATCAGCCCTCCTTCTCAGTCTTCGGGCTATATCATGACCAGAGATGAAGCCGGTAAGCCTTATTTATAAGCATGTTATGTGTAGGCTCTCCTAAAGTTTATGGGCCACAGCACTTTATTTACAGCCAATGGCTGTATTACTGAATGGCTATGAACTCTGGTGACTATCTCACTATCTGCTAAGCAACTGATTAATACTGTCCATTCCTACTAACACTGTAAATCAGGAGTAGGCAACCTTTTACATCCAAAGCACACAGTCCCTCATGGATAATCTTCATGGGGACACATGCTTGGTGTAGAGGGCAGAGGCAAAAATGGACAGAGCAGTGGATGTGGCTTTTAGTTTTGTTCAGTAGGCTACATTCCAGACATGCAAAAATAAGAGGCTTTTACTTTTCTCTCTCTCCCTCTCTCATGTCTCTCAGAAGGAAAATGACTCTCTCTCTCTCTCTGTGTGTGTGTGTGTGTGTGTGTGTGTGTCTTTGTATTAATGTAACATTTTCATATACAGCTGTGTATTTTTGTAATATTTTGTTTAAGTTGTCTGTTTTTGCTTTAGTTTTCTGTACAGCACTTTGAGCTATTTTTAATATAGTAAGTGATGTACAAATTAGCTAATCAATCCTCAATGTAGCCAAGCAAGAGGTATTATCACTCTTCAGAGAGACATTCCAGTCATGCAAAAGCACTTGAGCAGGCTTCCTCATCCTCGGCCCTCCAGATGTTTTGAGACTACAATTCCCATCATCCCTGACCACTGGTCCTGCTAGCTAGGGATCATGGGAGTTGTAGGCCAAAAACATCTGGAGGGCTGAGGTTGAGGAAGCCTGCACTTGAGGAATGTGTGAAGCTGCCTCAGAGAGGGTATGACTTGAGGAGAGTGGGAATGACTGACTAGGGAGAATCCTGAGGGCCTAACTGGAAAGCTTGGGCTTCCTCATCCCTGATGCAAAAGATCACAAACATGAACTGAGTGACTCAATTTAAAAAAACACACACAAACTGATATTATGCGGAAGACTGGCTTATAAATACTGATAGTTTTGTATTTAATATTAAGTGATACTCTGACATAAAAATAGTATAGCTCTTTATATTGTTTTGTAAGAAAATACATTGCTGACCATTAAGTGAACATTATTTTACTTCTTTTTATTCTTTAGTTGCGCCAAATATTGAGTTCGGTGCCGAACATTTCGAAGGCCTTACAGTGAAAGCTGGGGAAAGCATAAGGTTTAAAGTTTTCATCACAGGCCGGCCAGTTCCTCAGGTGATGTGGTATAAAGATGGAGCTGAGATTGACAAGAGGCTGAATATGGAAATAAACAATGCAATTGGCTATAGCACCTTGTTTGTTAGAGATGCTTCCCGGGAACATCGTGGAGTATACAGAATAGAAGCCAAGAATGCATCGGGCACCAGACAGGCAGACATAACCATAAGAGTACACGGTAACTTTCCTTATATGAAATTGAGCAACTTTTATTTAGCATTCTGTTCATTCTATATTAAAATAAGAACAGATAAAAATAACTGATAATTGACTGTTACAGATACCCCAGGAAAAGTCGGTGGGCCGATACGATTCACCAATGTCACTGAAGAGAAGGCGTCATTATGGTGGGAGGCTCCCGCTAATGATGGCTGTGCAGCCATTACTCATTACGTGATTGAAAAGCGTGAGACCAGCCGAGTATCCTGGGCATTGATTGAAGACCACTGTGAAACATGCAGCTACACGGCACACAAATTAATAAAGGGCAATGAATACCAGTTCCGTATCTCAGCAGCCAACAAGTTTGGTGTCGGCAGGCCACTGGAATCTGATCCAATCGTAGCACAGGCACATTATAGTAAGTTTACATTAAATTGAGAAATCTGAAATTACAGTGTTGGCAACCTTGTTGAGGATGTTATCTGATTGGCTTCTTTTATTTTACAGCTGTCCCCGAGGCTCCTGGCACTCCAGAACCAAGCAACGTAACAGGAAACAGCATTACACTTACATGGACAAGGCCAGCATCAGATGGTGGAAGTGACATTAACCAATATATCTTGGAGAGGAGAGAAAAGAAAAGTATTCTCTGGGTTAAAGTGTCCAGCAAGAGGCCCATTTCTGAGACACGGTTCAGAGTCACAGGCCTAACCGAAGGCAATGAATATGAGTTCCATGTCATGGCGGAAAACAACGCAGGAGTTGGGCCGCCGAGTGGTGTCTCAAGGCTGATTAAATGCAGAGAGGCAGTTCATCCACCAAGTGCTCCTACTGTTGTCAAAGTGACCGACACATCAAAGACAAGTGTCAGCTTGGAATGGACCAGGCCTGTTTTCGATGGAGGCCTGGAAATAATTGGCTACATCATCGAAATGTGCAAAGCAGATTTAGGAGAATGGCATAAAGTCAATGCTGAGACTTGCATTGCTACCAAGTACACTGTGGTTGATCTAGAACCAAACGAAAACTACAAATTCCGAGTCAGTGCTGTAAATGGTGCAGGCAAAGGAGAAAGCTGTGAAGTTTCTGCTTCGGTGCAAACAATAGATAGACTCTCTTCACCAGAACTTGATATTGATGCTAGCTTCAAGCAGACACATATTGTCAGAGCAGGTGCAACTATCCGTCTGTTTATTGCCTTCAAGGGCAGACCTGTTCCTACTGCTGTATGGTCCAAAGCAGATTCATCTCTTAGCCTGCGTGCTGACATACATACAACAGACTCATTCAGTACATTAACTGTGGAGAACTGTAACAGAACAGATGCTGGCAAATACATATTGACTGTAGAAAACAACAGTGGTAAGAAATCTGTTGCTTTCACTGTTAAAGTACTAGACACTCCAGGGCCACCAGGCCCCATTACATTTAAGGATGTGACCAGAGGCTCTATCACTTTAATGTGGGATGCTCCTATTTTGGATGGAGGTGCTCGCATCCATCATTATGTCGTGGAGAAGCGAGAAGCAAGCCGTCGCAGCTGGCAGGTTGTCAATGAAAAATGTACTCGTCAAATTGCTAAGGTCACAGATCTTGCAGAAGGTGTGCCCTATTTTTACCGTGTTTCAGCAGAAAATGAATATGGAATAGGTGAACCTTGTGAATTAACAGAGCCAGTTGTAGCCACAGAAGAGCCTGCTCCACCTAAGAGATTAGATATTGTTGATACTACCAAGTCATCTGCAATACTAGCATGGCTGAAACCTGATCATGATGGTGGTAGTCGCATCACTGGATACCTCCTAGAGATGAAACAAAAGGGATCTGACTATTGGCTTGAAGCCGGTCAAACTAAACAGCTGACTTTTACAGTTGAAGGTCTTATAGAGAACAATGAATATGAGTTCCGTGTCAAAGCAAGGAATAATGCTGGCTACAGTCAACCAAGAGAAGCCTTTTCTTCTGTTATTATTAAAGAGCCACAGATTGAGCCAACTGCAGATCTCAGTGGAATAACTAAACAACTTATAACTTGCAAAGCTGGTAGCTCTTTCACTATTGACATACCAATTAGTGGACGTCCTGTTCCAAAGGTAACATGGAAACTTGAAGAAATGAGACTCAAGGAAACAGACAGAGTGACTATAAAGACAACAAAGGAAAGAACCACACTGACTGTTAAGGAGAGCATGAGAGGTGACTCTGGTAAATATTATTTGACACTCGAGAACACAGCTGGCGTGAAAACTTTCACTGTCACAGTCGTTGTTATTGGAAGACCTGGTCCAGTTACACGCCCCATAGAAGTATCATCTGTGACAGCTGAATCCTGTGTGTTGTCATGGAAGGAGCCTGAAGATGATGGTGGCACTGGTATTACAAACTATATTGTTGAAAAACGTGAATCTGGTACAACAGCATGGCAACTGGTAAATTCCAGCGTCAAACGTACACAGATCAAAGTAACTCACCTCACTAAATATATGGAATACACGTTCCGTGTAAGCTCAGAAAACAGATTTGGTGTCAGCAAGCCAGTAGAATCAGTACCGATAGTGGCTGAGCATCCATTTGGTAAGTAATAATTGTTTTAACAGATGTGCATAAATTAATTCCTTTTTTGTAAAAAAAACCAAAACCAAACAAACACAGCAGTATTTAACAGTATTTCCCTTTATTTTCTTTCATCAGTCCCACCAAGCCCACCCACTAGACCTGAAGTCTATTTTGTTTCTGCCAATGCCATGTCCATTCGGTGGGAAGAACCGTATCATGATGGTGGCAGCAAAGTTGTTGGATACTGGATTGAAAAGAAAGAACGCAACACAATCCTTTGGGTGAAGGAAAACAAATCTCCATGTATTGAATGTAACTACAAAGCTACAGGGCTCGTGGAAGGTCTGGAGTATCAATTCAGAATATATGCATTAAACGCTGCTGGGCTGAGCAAAGCCAGTGAAGCTTCAAGATCTGTCTTGGCCCAAAATCCTGTTGGTAAGTATAACTGGTAGAGAGAAAATGTGTGTCCTATGACTATTTAAAGGAACAATGGAGTGATATTTTTGCATTATGTTCTCTTACAGATCCACCGGGCAGGCCAGAGGTCACAGATGTAACAAGGTCTTCAGTGTCATTAACCTGGTCTCCCCCACTTTATGATGGTGGAAGCAAAATTGTTGGCTATATTGTAGAACGCAAACCATACAATGAAGCTGGAGATGGACGCTGGCTGAAATGCAACTATACCATTGTCTCTGAAAACTCCTTTACCGTGACAGCTCTTAGTGAAGGAGAGGAATACGAATTCCGTGTTTTGGCAAAGAATGCTGCTGGTGTAATTAGCAAGGGTTCTGAATCTACTGGCCCTGTTGCCTGTAAAGATGAATACTGTAAGAGATGTTCATGTGGGTTTTAAAATTAGGTCATGAATTGTCCATATTTTAAGCGATCAAAATACACATTTATTTATTTTGCTTTTTTTTTCATAGCACCGCCTAAAGCTGAACTGGATGCCAAATTGCAAGGAGACGTTGTAACAGTTCGGGCTGGATCTGACCTGGTTCTTGAGGCATCGATTGGAGGAAAACCAGAACCGAAAGTATTTTGGTCTAAAGGTGACAGAGAACTGGACCCAAGCGAAAAGGTCGCTTTGCAATACACAAGCAAGCATGCTGTTGCAATCATCAAGTTCTGTGACCGAAGTGATACTGGAAAATACACATTAACTGTTAAAAATGCCAGTGGGACAAAGCAAGTTGCTGTCCTTGTCAAAGTGCTTGGTGAGTATTTCATATCTGCTAGTTTTCTGTGGCTATTTAACTTCTTTCCTTTAAAGTTTCATTTTGAGATTAAAGAATTTCTTTCACTGCAGTAATTATCCTTTTACTCTTTGTCAATAGATTCGCCTGGTCCATGCGCTGGCAAAATCACCATAAGCAGAGTTACAGAAGAGAAGTGTACCTTGGCTTGGCGGATGCCTCAAGAAGATGGAGGGGCAGAAATTACTCATTACATTGTAGAGAGACGTGAGACAAGCAGGCTGAACTGGGTTATTGTGGAACCCGAATGTCCAACACTGTCATGTGTAGTAACCAGACTTATAAAGAATAATGAATATATATTCCGTGTAAGAGCTGTCAACAAATATGGACCAGGTGTTCCACTAGAAACAGAACCCATTATTGCTAGAAATTCATTCAGTAAGTACTTCTCTAGCCTTGTGAAGTCTTCCCCCTTTGTGGGGAGGCACAAAGTAAGTTGTGTTACACACAATAAATGTGAAATACCTAATTTTTCCCCTGCCTTTAATAAATATTTACAGCTATCCCATCACCACCTGGTGTTCCTGAATCAGTGGGTGCTGGCAAAGAGCACGTCATTATTCAGTGGCTGAAGCCAGAGTCGGATGGGGGTAACGAGATCAGGACCTATCTTGTAGACAAACGAGAAAAGAAAAGCTTACGCTGGACCCGCGTTAACAAAGACTACATCATTTATGACACAAGACTGAAAATTACTGGTCTGATGGAAGGCAGCGAATATCAGTTCCGTGTCACTGCGGTAAATGCTGCTGGCAACAGCGAGCCTAGCGATGCTTCGCAGTACGTTTTGTGCAAAGACCCATCATGTAAGTTCATTCATTTATACTCATTAATATTGTAGGTTAAACAATATGAAGACCGCATAGGCCTTGGATCTAGAAGGTCCAGTGGTGCTGTTTGGACCATTCACCACAGCTCCAAAGAGGATATATTTATTTATTTTTAAGCCACTTTTATGCCGCCAGGATGGATGCCTTAGAATGATAGAATCATAGAACTGTATAGTTGGAAGTGACCCCAAGGGTCATCTAGTCCCATCAGCCTGCAATGCAGGAATCTCAACTAAAGCATACATGAACGTTGGCCACCCAACCTCTGCCTAAAAACCTCCAGTGAAAGAGAGTCCACCACCTCCCAAGGGAGTCTGTTCCACTACTGAACAGCTCTTACCATCAGAAAGTTATTGCTGTTGTTTAGTCAGGACAAATTATTCCAATTGGTTTGGTTCCTAGCCTCCAGAGTAGGAGAAAATGAGCTTGCTCCATCTTCCCAGTGACAGTCCTTTAGATATTTGAAAATGGCTATCATATCTCCTGTCAACCTGCCCTTGAACAGCCTAAACATATGCAACTTTGTCTGCAGCAAGGAAGGTGAGGGCTGAATTTTAAGGGACAAGCTACAAGAGGGAGAAAAAGGAGATAACATGTGAAAGTTCCTTCAATAATAATAATAATAATAATAATAATAATAATAATAATAATAATTTATTTCTACCCCGCCCATCTGGCTGGGTTTCCCCAGGCACACTGGGCGGCTTCCAACAGAAGGTTAAAAATACATTAAAACATCAGTCATTAAAAACTTCCCTAAACAGGACTGCCTTCAGATGTCTTATAGTTGTTTATTTCTTTGACATCTGATGGGAGGGCATTCCACTCCAAAGTGTTTCGTGTACTCCTGAACCTTCTAAGCTCTATTATTCTATTGTATCACTTTCTTGCATAGCGCTAGCTAAAGAAACAGCAGCACCTTAAACACATCTGTTCCTTGGGAGCAGGCTGTACTGAAACAGATAGCCAGTGTTAAAATTATATCCCGATCCGAGTACAGGAGCAGTTCAAAATATATAATCATAGCTACTACAGAAGTGTTTAAATGATTATTCATTCAGGTTTTAAGGATCCACTGTAGTAACATGAAGTGTGTATTTTTTCCTTTCCAAAGATACTCCTGCTCCACCTTCACCGCCAAGAGTTGTGGATACTACTAGAACTAGCATAAGCTTGGCTTGGACAAAGCCCATGTATGACGGTGGCGTTGATTTATTAGGCTATGTCCTTGAAATGAAAGAAGAAGGAACTGAACAATGGTATCGGGCCCATAGCACTGCCACCATAAGAAACACCGAATTCACTGTGACTGGTCTGAAAATAAGCCAGAAGTACCGCTTTAGAGTGGCTGCCACAAATGTAAACGGTATGAGCGAATACAGCGAGACCCCTGCTGAAATAGAACCTGTGGAAAGGCTAGGTAATGTCAAGATCGAGTCTTTGTAAATTATTCACAAACTTACAAATTGAGAATTTGTTCAGAAATATTCAAATGCAACCTAATCTTTTATTTCTATCCCCACCTATAGAAATACCAGAACTTGAGCTTGCTGAAGACCTCAAGAAGACTATTACGGTCAGAGCAGGTGGCTCTTTACGTCTAATGGTGTCAGTATCTGGCAGACCAACACCAATGGTTACATGGAGCAAGAAGGGTGTTGACCTAGCAAGTCGAGGTATCATTGACACCACAGACAGCTACACACTGTTGGTTGTGGATAAAGTGAACCGGTACGATGCTGGAAATACGTCCTTGAGGCTGAAAATCAATCAGGAAAGAAATCTGCCACAATTATGGTTAAAGTCTATGGTAAGTGCAAATACTGTTGTTTATTGTTAGAGCAATACCTTTGCCCATTCCATCACAAATTTAAAGAAATTTGCTAAAAAAGAAAAGAAAAAAAAGAGGGATTTAGTTTGCAGAGTAACGGTAGTCTCCAACTTTAATTTGCTTATGCAGAAAAAATACTATACAGAGTGTAATGCAGATAAAATATGACAAAGGTCTATTTTGCCGTTTGTTCCACAGATACCCCTGGACCACCAGGAGCAGTGAAAGTTAAAGAGGTTACAAAAGAGTCTGTGACAATTACTTGGGATATTCCAATTATTGATGGAGGAGCTCCAGTCAACAACTATATAATAGAGAAACGGGAGGCTGCCATGCGAGCATTCAAGACAGTAACTACTAAATGCAACAAAACCTTTTACAGAATTTCCGGGCTCATTGAAGGAGCGCTATACTACTTCCGAGTACTGCCAGAAAATATCTATGGCATTGGTGAACCCTGTGAGACAGCAGATGCAGTGCTGGTGTCAGAAGTTCCAAGTGCGCCTCAGAAACTGGAGGTGGTTGATATAACTAAATCTACTGTATCACTTGCATGGGAAAAACCACAGCATGATGGTGGCAGCAGATTAACTGGCTATGTAATTGAGGCCAGTAAAGCTGGAACAGAAAGGTGGATGAAAGTTGTAACACTGAAACCTACAGTCCTTGAGCACACAATAATTTCATTAAATGAAGGTGAACAGTACCTGTTTAGAGTAAGAGCGCAAAATCAAAAGGGTGTGTCTGAACCAAGAGAGATAGTCACAGCAGTGACAGTACAAGAACAAAAAGGTAAGAGTCATAATTACAATGGGGGGGGGAATGGAATATTATTCAAAGTGCTGAGACATGTTTTAACAAATATTAATAATGTTGGGTTTACTATTATTATTATTTTAGTTCTACCTGCAATTGACCTTACTGGAATACCTCAAAAGACCATTCATGTACCAGCTGGCAGACCTATAGAGCTAGCTATCCCAATTTCTGGACGACCACCTCCAGCTGTTTCTTGGTTCTTTGCTGGCTCTAAACTACGAGAATCAGACCGGGTCAAAGTTGAAACAGTTGCTAAGGTAGCTAAATTAACCATACGTGAAACCACAATACATGACACTGGAGAGTACACACTTGAACTGAAGAACACAACTGGAACAGCTACTGAAAGAATAAAAGTTATTATTCTGGGTAAGAATTTGCTTTGAAAATATAATTGTCCATAATTTTTTCTTGCATAATTTCCCCAAATTCAGGTATTTCCTTGTTTAACTATTTCTTTGTTTATATCTCATTTATTTCATTTTCACAGACAAACCTGGACCACCTACTGGACCTATTAAAATTGTTGATATTGATTCAACTTTTGTAACCATTTCATGGGAACCACCTGAGATGGATGGGGGCGCAGCACTAAGTGGATATGTGGTGGAGCAACGAGATGCGCATCGTCCAGGATGGTTACCAGTGTCTGAATCTGTAACCCGGACAACATATAAGTTTTCTAAACTTACTGAGGGTGCTGAATATGTGTTCCGCGTGGCTGCCACAAACCGCTTTGGAATTGGATCATACTTGCAGTCTGAAATTGTAGAATGCAAGAGCAGAATTAGTAAGCAAATATTCTTTTTTCTAGTCCTCTGCATTTAAAAAATCCAGATCAGTTTACATGGACACATATAGAAGAAACAAGTCTTGATACTATATACCTTCTATTTTCATTTTCCTGAAATAAGAATGAAAGAACTAGTCTACAATACCCTGCTTATTCAGACCAAAATATGATTATAAATGGAATTTTCATCTCATTTAAAAAATCTATTTATTGTAGGTGTTCCTGGTCTTCCTGGTACCCCAGAAGTGTTTGATATCTCCCGTGATGGAATGACACTTACTTGGTATCCACCAGAAGAAGATGGTGGTTCACAGATCACTGGTTATATTGTGGAACGCAAAGAAGTTAAATCAGAGAGATGGGTCCGTGTAAACAAAGTTGCAGTCACTATGACACGCTATCGTTCCACTGGGTTGATTGAAGGACTGGAGTATGAACATCGTGTCACAGCTATCAATGCTAGGGGTGCTGGCAAACCAAGCCGAATTTCCAAGCCTGCAGTTGCTAGAGATCCAATTGGTAAATAATTTGCAAAATTCATAACATATACTAGTGACTTCTGTTCAGTCATTTTATTTGTAAAATAGTTGATACTAATATTTTGGACTGCCTTTTAAACATGAAAACTATACCTTTAATATATCTAACACGCTCTAATAATATATTTCAGCTCCTCCGGGTAAACCTCAGAATCCAAGAGTGACAGATACTACAAGAACATCTATTTCCTTGGCTTGGAGTCCACCAGAAGATGAAGGCGGGTCTAAAGTCACTGGCTACTTGATTGAAATGCAAAAGGTTGATCAGTTTGAATGGACCAAATGCAATACCACCCCCACCAAGATCCGTGAATACACTCTAACACATCTTCCACAAGGTGCAGAGTATAGATTCCGTGTTATAGCATGCAATCTCGGTGGCCCTGGCGAACCTGCTGATGTTCCCGGAACAGCCAAAGTGACTGAAATGCTTGGTAAGATGCTTTAATGAAATACAAATTTTAAAGAACATAGCGCTATTTAGCTTTCTGCATACATAACATGATCTCTTTTTCCTCCTCCCAGAACTCCCCGATTATGAACTTGATGAAAAATACCTGGAAGGTGTATTTGTAAGGCAAGGTGGAGTAGTTAAGCTTACAGTGCCAATTAAAGGTAAACCCATTCCAATATGCAAATGGACTAAAGAGGGACATGATGTCACCAAGAGAGCCATGATTGCGACTTCTGAATCAGATACTGAACTTGTGATAAAAGATGCAGAACGAGAAGATTCTGGTACCTATGATTTGACGCTTGAAAACAAATGTGGCAAGAAGGTTGTCTACATCAAGGTCAGAGTGATTGGTATTCCAAATCCACCAGAAGGGCCACTTGAATATGATGACATACAAGCACGCTCTGTTAGAGTCAGCTGGAAGCCTCCAAGTGATGATGGTGGCGCAGATATAATAGGATACAATATTGAGAGACGTGAAGTACCAAAGACTGCCTGGTACACCGTGGGCTCCAGAGTAAGGGGTACATCACTGGTAGTGAAAGGACTCAAAGAAAATGTGGAATACCACTTCCGTGTTTATGCTGAAAACCAGTTTGGTGTAAGCAAGTCCCTGAAATCTGAAGAGCCAGTTGTGCCAAAGACACCTTTGAGTAAGTATACGGGTTCAGAAAATGCATGTATGTGTGTGCATCTCTCACATACTTTATTTTATTTTCCAAGGTGCTCGGGGGAGTGTACATTGTCTGCCCCCTTTTTATCCTGATAATAAACCTGTGAGGTAGGTTAGGTTGAGAGAGAATGACTGCCCAAAAGTAACTGAGGTTGCAGTCCTATACAGGCTTATCTGGGGGTAAGTCCTATTAAAGTTAGGATCACTTAGTTCTGAGTTAACATGTTTAGTGAGTTCATGACTGAACAGACATGTGACCCCAGCTTTCCATGGTTGTGGTCCAATACTCTTAACTGCTATGCCAGAATGACCAAATGGTTATTGTTACATTCTTTTCAACAGATCCTCCGGAGCCTCCAAGTTATCCACCAGAAATCCTTGATGTCACAAAGAGTTCCATTAGCTTATCTTGGTCCAGACCTAGAGATGACGGTGGCTCTCGCGTCACTGGCTACTATATTGAACGTAAAGAAACAACTACTGAGAAATGGGTCAGGCACAACAAGACTCACATCACAACTACAATGTATACAGTCACAGGGCTGGTTCCAGATGCTGAATATCAGTTCCGTATTGTAGCCCAAAATGACATCGGTGAGGGTGAACCCAGCCCTGCTTCTGAACCAGTTGTGTGCAAGGATCCATTTGGTACGTAAATGTAACTTCTGTGTTAGAGGGTAACAGTATGGCGGGGGTTTTTTGGAAAATACACTTTTTTTAATGAAAATACTTTGAAATTTGCAGACAAACCAAGCCAGCCTGGAGAAATTGAGATCACGTCCATATCTAAGGATAGCATTACTTTAGAATGGGAGCGCCCTGAATGCGATGGTGGTAAAGAAATCATCGGATACTGGATTGAATATCGCCAGTCTGGAGAGTCTACCTGGAAAAAGTGCAATAAAGAACGTAACAAAGACAGGCAGTTTATCATGGGAGGCTTACTGGAAGCTACAGAATATGAATTCAGAGTTTTTGCAGAAAATGAGACTGGACTCAGCAGACCTCGTAGAACAGCTATGGCAGTAAAGACAAAACTGACATGTACGTTTAACTATTCCATTATATTCACTGTGCTTTATGTAGCTGTTGAAAAGATATGACATGTCACAGTAAACTGTGCTATGGTATAAAGTGGTTTTGAAGTAATTTGGCAATTCCATTATGTAACTAGGACACTCTGCTTTCATATATTTACTTTTCTGAATGGACCTCGAGGAAGGAAATAAGCTATTTCCTACTCCAGGGCTAATAAAATTAATGATTCATTAAATAGGCAGCATAAAAATTATGCTTGGTACCATAGCATGATGGTTTGGGAGGGAATGTGGAATAAAAGACAATTGGAAAAGCTTTCAATACATTTTTTCTCCCTTTATAAATATAGCTGGAGAGGCACCAGGAGTAAGACAAGAAATGAAGGATGTTACTACTAATCTGGGTGAATCGGCTCAGTTATCATGCCAGATCCTTGGGAGACCTCTCCCTGATATTAAATGGTATCGTTTCGGCAAAGAATTGGTACAGAGCAGAAAATACAAGATGTCATCAGATGGGCGCACTCACACACTGACGGTGCTCACAGAAGAGCAGGAAGACGAAGGAGTTTATACTTGCAAGGCTATCAATGAAGTTGGAGAGGTTGAAAGTAGTGGCAAGCTACTCTTACAAGCTCCTCCACAATTTCACCCAGGCTTTCCATTGAAAGAGAAATATTGTGCAGGTGTAGGATCCACACTTCGCCTCCATGTTGTATACATTGGTCGTCCAGTGCCTGCTATCACTTGGTTCCATGGCAAGAAACTATTGAAGAGCTCAGAAAACATTACTATTGAGAACACAGAGCATTATACTCACCTTTCCATTAAAAACGTACAGCATAAAGCCCACGCAGGACACTACAAAGTACAACTCAGTAACACGTTTGGAACTGTTGATACTGTACTAAACGTGGAAATACAAGGTATGTCTTGGCATTAAATTTTCTTGAAATCATGGGAAATACTTCTTCTACTTAACTTTAAACACTGCCTTTTCTTTTTGTAGATAAACCAGATATGCCAGCAGGGCCAATTGTTATAGAAGCTTTGCTGAAGAACTCTGCGGTCATCAGCTGGAAGCCACCTGAAGATGATGGAGGTGCTCTAGTAACAAATTATGTTGTAGAGAAAAGAGAAGCAAAAGAAGGCACAGAGTGGCAGCTGGTTTCTTCAAGCATTTCTGGCACAACCTGCAGAATTGTTAACCTAACTGAAAACGCAGGCTATTATTTCCGTGTCTTTGCTCAGAATGCATTCGGCATCAGCGAAGCATTAGAAGTTTCATCTGTTGTTATTATCAAGACTCCATTTGGTAAGTGTGTTCCGTAAGCCACCTTTCTGTTTACCTGCAGTTCAACAAAGCAAACTGGCTTCATGTCCTGAAAATCATTATTTCTTCTTTACAGAAAAGCCAGGCCAACCAAGTCAGCCAGTTGTATCTGCTGTGACAAGTGAATCCTGTGTTGTTTCTTGGAGGCCACCTGCTAGCGATGGAGGCTCAAAGATCAGAAATTACTTCCTGGAGAAACGTGAAAAGAAACAAAACAAATGGATTGCTGTAACCACAGAAGAAATACGCGAAACCGTCTATTCTGTCACAGGTCTTATTGAAGGCCTGGAGTATGAATTCCGTGTAAAATGTGAAAATCTTGGCGGTGAAAGCGAATGGAGCGAAATTTCACAACCAATCACTCCCAAATCTGATGTAGCAATTCAGGCACCGCATTTCAAGGAAGAAATCAGAAACCTAAATGTGAAATTCAGAGGTCATGCCACATTTGTTTGCAAAGTCACTGGTCACCCGAAGCCTGTTGTAAAATGGTTCAAACAGGGCAAAGAGATTTTGCCAGATGGTGAAAAGGTGAAGGTACAAGAATTTAAGGGCGGCTATTACCAACTGGTAATTACAGATGTAACAGATGATGATGCCACTGTATATCAAGTGAGGGCAACCAACCAGGGAGGATCCGTTTCTGGAACTGCTTCCTTGGATGTTGAAGGTAAGTAATGTGCTTTGCTCTTAAATTTAGTTTTTATTTAATTTTTCATACAAAGTAAGCTTATGGGCTACAGGGAGGGGGTGGAAACTCTGAGTTTGGAATAGTATTTTCTTAATAGGCTTAAAGTAAGTCAGATTGTGGCATGGTCATCTAGATATTTATGGTGTAGTCCACTCTGACTAGGGAATGAAGAAGAGATGTTTTTCTCCTTTTTTGTTCTCATGTTCCCTTTTGGAACATCCCCCCCCCAAGTAATGGGAGGAAATAACTACAGCAGCTCCAAACTGGCATGGTTGATGAGCCTGATCCAGGGCCCTCCAAAAAGAATGAAGGGCTTGTACCCCAGCAGATCCAATGCGGTTTCTGATTTGCCCTCAAAATGCCCTCTTTCAGTGCTTAGCCTGGCTACTGCTGGTGAAAACACCACCAGCTAAGTCTAAACCAACAGAGTTTTTTGTGGGCATCAGAAGGGCCTCCATGATGGGCATGTCCCCCTACTGATGGAGAGGAAGGACCACCCAAACTTAGCCGTGTCCAGCCAGTGGATTTGGGGGTCAGGATTGTTCTGTTAGTCATAATAGACAGAATTTTCATTTGAACAATGAAAGTATAATAGGATACATATGGATAAACAGTATATGAAACAAACGTTAAATACAAAACATCCACATTTATAACTATGTGTGCTTTGGTAGCATTGGTCTGGTGATCAATTTTGTTGAATATGTTATCAGACTATAAAATGATAAAAGGCTCTTGCACACACTTGTCTGGTAAAGAGCTTCTAACTTTATTGGGAAGGAGCACTGTGACTAGATTAACGATCCCCTGATGTTGTAATCTGAACAGCTGTTGTTGCTCAGCTGGCAGAGTATAGCTAAGGGAAGTGTCTGTCTGTCTTGTTTGTTTCTATTATTTACATTCCACCTTTCAGGAAGCAAATCCTTCCACAATAAACAATATTAATATATTAAAAAGTCATCAGAATCCTTCCCATAGTATAGTTTCTGGTATAAAGGCCCTGTGAGAGAGGCCCTGTAGTCTTCACCTGCTCCCCTCTCTCCTGGAATCCTTCCTATTTAACCGTTTAAGGTAGCTAGACCAGTGAGGGTAGAAAGTCTAGCTGGAGCAGGCTCTATGAAGGTCTTTGCCTGCACTCCTCTTTCTTGAAATCCTTTCCAAAGGCAGAGTTGATGGTAGACAGAACTGTGGAGGGTCCAGCTGGAGTAGGGTCCAGGTTTCCTTTGCCTGCATCCCTCTGTCTCAGTTTATGACAAAGGGTTTATTGCAAATATTAGCCACTATGCCTGAGACCTTCTGAATCAGTCTCTGTTTAAAGCAGTGTTTCGGTTTATTTTAAAGCAATGGTTTACACTCGTTTTGTTTCTTCCCTTCCCTCTGTGTTTTTTGCTGCAGTTCCTGCTAAGATCCACTTGCCTAAAAATCTTGAAGGTATGGGAGCCGTTCACGCTCTCCGCGGTGAAGTCATCAGCATCAAAATCCCATTCAGTGGCAAGCCTGATCCAGTGATCACATGGCAGAAAGGGCAAGATCTTATCGATACTAATGGACACTACCAAGTTATCGTGACACGGTCATTCACATCTCTTGTTTTCCCTAATGGTGTGGACAGGAAAGATGCAGGCTTCTACATTGTCTGTGCTAAAAACAGATTTGGCATTGATCAGAAAACAGTTGAATTAGATGTTGCTGATGTTCCTGATCCCCCAAGAGGACTGAAAGCAAGCGAGGTTTCAAGGGACTCGGTCAACCTGACATGGAATGCTCCAGCAAATGATGGCGGAAGCCGAGTCACACACTATACTGTTGAGAAACGCGCTACCACATCTGAGAGATGGATTCGTGTTGGCCAGGCTCGTGACACTCGATACACTGTGATCAACCTATTTGGCAAGACAAGCTATGTATTCCGTGTTATAGCAGAGAATAAATTTGGACAAAGCCAGCCTTCTGAACCTACAGATTCTGTAATAACAAAGGAAGATAAGACCAGAACAGTCAATTATGACGAAGAAGTTGATGAGGCCAGAGAAGTCACTACAGCAAAAGCAGCTCACTCTAATACGAAAGAACTCTATGACAGATATATGATTGCTGAAGAACTTGGGCGGGGACAATTTGGAATTGCCCACAGGTGTGTTGAGATAGTTTCAAAGAAGACTTACCTGGCCAAGTTTGTCAAAGTAAAAGGTGCTGATCAAGTGCTCGTAAAGAAAGAAATCTCCATCCTCAACATTGCCAGGCATAGAAATATCTTACAGCTTCATGAATCATTTGAAAGCCTGGAAGAACTTATCATGATCTCTGAGTTCATATCTGGAGTTGACATCTTTGAAAGACTTAATACTCCTGCATTTGAACTTAATGAAAGAGAAATTATAAGCTATGTACGTCAAGTATGTGAAGCACTTGAATTCCTGCACAGTCATAGCATTGGGCACTTTGATATCAGGCCAGAGAACATCATCTATTTCACAAGAAGAAGCTCTATAGTTAAAATCATTGAATTTGGTCAGGCAAGGCAGCTGAAACCTGGTGATAATTTCAGACTCCAGTTTACTTCTCCTGAATATTATGCGCCTGAAGTCCATCAGCATGATATGGTCAACACAGCCACAGATATGTGGTCACTTGGAACCCTAGTGTATGTACTTCTAAGCGGCCTGAATCCTTTCATTGCTGAAACAAACCAACAAACAATTGAAAACATCATAAGTGCTGAATACAATTTTGATGAAGAAGCCTTCAAAGATATCAGTATTGAGGCCTTGGACTTTGTTGACCGCCTGCTAGTAAAAGAAAGGAGAGCTCGTATGACTGCTACTGAAGCCCTTGAACATGCTTGGCTGAAGCAAAGGACAGAGAAAACAAGCACCAAAGTTATCAAAACACTGAGACACAGACGTTATTATCAAACACTGGTGAAGAAGGAATGGAACACAGTTGTGTCAGCGGCCCGTGTTGCATGGGGTGGTGCAGTCAGATCTCAGAAGGCTGTTACAGTTGCTAAAGTTAAAGTGGCATCAATTGACATTGGACCCATTACTGGGCAGATAATGCATGCTGTTGGAGAAGAAGGCGGGCATGCCAAGTATGTCTGCAAGATTGAAAACTATGATTCATCCACAGAAGTAACCTGGTACTTTGGAGTCAGACAATTGGAGAACAGTGAAAAACATGAGATCAGCTACCATGAAGGAGTGGCCACAATGTATGTCAAGGACATTGCTAAATCAGATGACGGTACCTACAGGTGCAAAGTTACAAATGACTATGGTGAAGACAGTTCCTACGCAGAACTATTTGTTAAAGGTGTGAGAGAAGTTTCTGACTTTTACAGACGCAGAACTGTCAGGAGAGTGAAGCGCCGAGTAGATACATTGAGACTTTTGGAGAAGCCACCAGAATTTACACTGCCTTTGTACAACCGTACTGCCTACGTTGGTGAAAATGTCAGGTTTGGAGTAACAATAACAGTTCACCCGGAACCTCGTGTAACGTGGTTCAGATCAGGTCAGAAGATCAAGCCAGGAGATGATGACAGGAAGTATACCTTTGAAACTGATAAGGGTCTTTATCAGCTTCTTATCCATAATGTCAATGAAGATGATGATGCTGAATATACTGTGCTGGCTCGCAACAAATATGGCGAGGACAGCTGCAAAGCTAAGTTAACCGTTGTTCAGCATGCTCCTCCAGAGGCTACCACGATGAGACCCATGTTCAAAAGACTACTGGCAAATGCAGAATGCCAAGAAGGCCAGAGTATCTGCTTTGAGATAAGAGTATCTGGAATACCAAAACCAGCTCTAAAATGGGAAAAGGATGGACAGCTCTTATCAGCTAGTCCAAATATTGAAATTGTACATGAAGGATTAGATTACTATGCTTTGCATATCAGGGATACTTTACCAGAAGACAGTGGTTATTACAGAGTTACTGCTACAAACAGTGCTGGATCAACAAGTTGCCAGGCTTACTTGAAGGTAGAGCGCTCAAAATATATCAAGCGCCAATACAAGAGTGAAGAAGAGCGGCAAAAGCACGTACAGAAAAGCATTGACAAGACAGTGAGAATGGCAGAAATCCTTTCTAGAACAGAATCTGTCCCACTGACAGATGTAGCACAGGAAGCTCTCAGACAAGCTGCTATCCTGTATAAACCAGCTGTAAGCACCAAGACTGTCAAAGGTGAATTTGAACTTAAAAAGGAAGAAATTAAAGAAGAAAAGAGACTCAGGATGCCTTATGAGATCCCAGAGCCTCGCAGACGTGCAGCCGCTACTCTGGAAGAAGATCAGAACATCAAACTGTTTGTGCCTATGTCAGACATGAAGTGGTACAAGAAGCTGAGAGACCAATATGAAATGCCAGGGAAACTTGATAGAATTGTTCAGAAGCGACCAAAGCGCATTCGCCTTTCCAGATGGGAACAGTTCTATGTGATGCCACTGCCACGCATTACTGATCAGTATAAACCTAAGTGGCGCATACCCAAATTGTCACAAGATGATCTCGAGACTGTCAGGCCAGCACGCCGGCGTACACCATCTCCTGATTATGAATTTTATTACCGACCAAGAAGACGATCACTCAGTGACCTGTCAGATGAAGAACTGCTGCTACCAGTTGATGATTATTTAGCCATGAAGAGAACTGAAGAAGAAAGACTGCGACTTGAAGAAGAACTGGAGTTGGGCTTTTCTGCATCACCTCCAAGCAGAAGCCCTCCACGCTTTGAACTGTCTTCTCTCCATTACACGGCAGCAGATGCTCATATTGCCACAGAGGAATCTAGGCAAAGAGAGCTGAGGTATGGCACTTATCACATACCTTCTAAAGAAGATACCGCTGCATCTTATGCACAGCTCCGGCAACGCCATGACAGAGCAATTTATAGACCACCAAAACAAAAACAGAGAATTATGTCTGAGAAAGAGGATGAAGAGCTGCTGCGACCAGTAAAAACAACCCGCCGGCTTGCTGAATACAAGAGTGAGCTTGAGTATATGTCACAAGAAGAAAAGAGCCGACTGAGAAGAAGGAGAGAGAGAGAAATAACTGAGGTCAGATCAGAAGAGGAAGAGGAAGAAATAGAAATGGTGAGGCACGTTCACAGGGAATTTTCCCCTCCCTCAAGATTACTAGGAAGAAGGCGCTCTCTTTCTCCAACTTACATTGAATTAATGCGTCCTGTGTCTGAATTAATTCGACCCCGATCACACCCTGTGGAAGAAACGGAGAGAAGATCTCCTACCCCAGAGAGAACACGGCCACGCTCACCAAGCCCAGTGTCTAGTGAGAGATCTCTCTCGCGATTTGAAAGGACAGCAAGATTTGATATATTTTCCAGGTATGAATCCATGAAAGCTGCTTTGAAAACCCAGAAAACAATGGAACGGAAATATGAAGTTCTGACTCAAGAACCTTTCACGCTGGATCATGCCCCACGCATAACTCTGAGAATGCGCTCACATCGTGTACCGTGTAACACCAACACCAGATTCATTTTGAATGTCCAGTCCAAACCGACTGCTGAAGTGAAATGGTATCACAATGGCGTTGAAATTCAGGAAAGCCATAAGATTCATTTCACTAATACTAGTGGCGTATTAACCTTGGAGATTCTTGATTGCCATATTGATGATAGTGGTACATACCGTGCTGTGTGCACAAATTATAGAGGAGAATGTTCTGACTATGCAACATTAGATGTTACAGGAGGAGACTACACTACATATACCTCCCAGCGAAGAGATGAGGAAGTACCAAGATCTATTGTACCAGACTTGACAAGGACTGCAGCATATGCAATCTCCTCATTTAAGAAAGTCTCTGAAACGGAAGCAAGTTCTTCAATAAGAGCAAGCAAATCAGAACTGACAGAAACCAGAGAATCGCTATCATCATATGAGCACCATGCTTCTGCTGAAATGAGAGTCAGTGCTTCAGAGGAGAAATCACTGGAAGAAAGAGCTGTTCATCGGAAGTTTAAGACCACTCTGCCTGCAACAATATTAACAAAGCCACGGTCAATCACTGTCTCTGAAGGGGAGACTGCAAGATTTTCTTGTGACATTGATGGTGAACCAACACCAACTGTAACATGGATCCGTGCAAGTCAAGCTATTGTTTCTTCTGGACGTTTCCAAGTAACACGTACGCAGTATAAATCTACCTTTGAAATTTCATCTGTCCAGACCTCAGATGAAGGAAGTTACACTGTTGTGGTAGAAAATTCTGAAGGAAGACAGGAAGCCCACTTTAGTTTGACTGTACAAAGGAAAAGGGTCCCAGAAAAAGCAATTACATCACCTCCAAGGGTCAAATCTCCTGAGCCTCATGTGAAGTCCCCAGACAGAGTAAAATCTCCCAAGCGAGTAAAATCCCCTGAACCATCTCCTGCACACTCTAAAGCCAAGTCAACACCTGCAGGTAAAACAACACCATCAGAGAAAGCAGACTTGCCTGTTGCTGCTCCCCCTAAGATAAAACAACAGCTGAAAGTGGAAGCTTCTGGGGACAAAGCAAAATTCTTCTGTTCAGTTGAAAGCAGTGTTTTGAGTGTCCAAGAAGTAGCCTGGTACAAAGATGGCAAGAAACTAAAAGAGGATGATCATTTCAAATTGCATTATGCAGCTGACGGAACATATGAACTTAAAATCCATAACCTCAAGGAATCTGATCAAGGTGAATATACCTGTGAGATTATTGGGGAAGGTGGCGCCTCCAAAACCAACTTTCAGTTTGTTGGCCAAGCTTTTAAAAGTATTCATTCTCAGGTGTCAAGCTTAAGCAAAACTCAAAAATCAGTTCAGAAAGAGTCTGAAATACTTGAGGTATCTGCCCAGAAAAAATCTGCAATGACTTCTCAAGAAAAGGCAGTGGTTGAAGAAGAATATGTTAAAAAGTCTCTTGTGTCTGATGAAGCTAAAACATCTTACACAGAAGTTAAATCTACTACCACTAAAATGACTGTGTCTGAAGGTCAAAAATCTACCCTTAAAGCCAGTATTGCTGGTGCTTCTAATGTAAAATGGTTACTGAATGGAATAGAGCTAACTAACTCTGAAGATTATAGATATGGTGTATCAGGAAGTGATCATACTCTAACTATCCAAAAAGTGACCCAGAAAGATGAAGGAATACTTACCTGTGAAGGAAAGACTGAACAGGGTATCATCAAATGTCACTTTGAAATGAGTCTTTCAAAAGATCAATCAAATGCCCCAGCCTTTATCATACAACCGAAATCTCAAAACATCAATGAAGGACAAGATGTGTTGCTTACCTGTGAAGTTTCTGGAGATCCTTCCCCTGAAATCCACTGGTTTAAAGATAACCAGCCAGTAAGTAATTACTTATGTCAGCCTTGAAATTAAATGATCCATTCTTAACCCTGGGTATAATTTGATCTTAACAAAGTATCTCTTTTATTATCAGATTGCTCTCTCATCCAACATCCGAGTAAATCGCTCCAAGAATGTTTATTCTCTTGCAATCCAAAATGCTGCAGTGAGTGATAGTGGAAAATACACAGTCAAAGCGAAAAACTTCCATGGGCAGTGTTCTGCAACAGCATCTCTGACCGTCCTTCGTAAGTTTTTTTAAAGTCTTGTCTTAATATGAGTAGGGCTTCTATAATATGGCAAAAGCCGTTGATTGTTTTGATTCTTTAAAAAGCTGTTAGTTTCATTACTGAACCTAAAATGCAATAAACATTATAATTACAAAATACTGAATTTAAAATATATGTACTTATATGTTTCTCGCCCGCTCAGTGTTACCAGAAGGCTTTGAACATCTTGCTATTAACCCGTTGGTTCCAGTGATCACTGTTTAATAAACTATCAGAATAATTAATGCCCAAAGGGTTAGTTCTCTGAATTTTTTTCTTACGTTTCATTAAACTTCTCAGATACAAACTTGCTGCGTTTTAAAATCATCTGGATACCAGGAGCCAACGGGTTTCTCTGTGTTTTGCTGTTGATGTATGTATGTGCTTGTGTTTAAGGAAAACAGCAGTGTTTTTTTTTTATGGTGGTGTAGTAGTTTTAATGGCAGAATACCTGCCGAGTTACGTAAAGTAAGAAGGGAAAACAAAACACCATCCAAAGGGGCTGTATCTCAACAGCATGCATATTAAAATGAAATTATTATTATTATTATTATTATTATTATTATTATTATTATTATTACTCCATGATTAGGAACATTATTACAACGAGATTCTGTTTTCCTTAAACAGCAAGCCAGTCTCTTTCTCCATCCATAAAGTATATATATTTAAGTCACATGGCTTACCAGTCAACGTGATGTCATTGGTTTTTCCGTTCTATGTTTGCTATTGTCCACAGCTCTAATTGAAGAACCTCCAAAAGAGGTAGTGTTGAGAACAAGTGGCGATGCAAGCATGCAGGAAAGTTTCTCTTCGCAGTCATTTCAAATGTCCGCTTCTAAACAAGAAGCTTCGTTCAGCAGTAGCAGCAGTAGCAGCATGAGTGAGATGAAATTTGCAAGCATGTCTGCCAAAAGCATGTCCTCCATGCAAGAATCCTTTGTAGAGATGAGTTCCAGCAGTATAATGGGGAAATCTAGTCTGACCCAACTGGAGAGTTCTTCTAGTAGAATGATTAAATCTGGTATGAGAGGTGAGCAATACTATTATACGTAGAGTTAGAAAAACACCACAATATCCTAGATATGTAGAATTAGTCATTATAGTAGAACTTCAGTTTCCGCTAAGAACTAACTTGATTTTTCCCCCTCCCATTTTGCAAAGGAATACCACCCAAAATTGAAGCTCTTCCAAACGATATCTCCATTGAGGAAGGAAAGGTTCTCACCATATCCTGTGCCTTCACTGGTGAACCTACTCCTGACATAACATGGTCCTGCAAAGGGAAAAGCATTTCTAGTCAAGGTGGTAGATTCCACGTTGAAACCAGTGAAGACTTAACCACTCTTATCATCATGGATGTTCAAAAGGACGACGGGGGACTTTATACACTGAATTTAGGAAATGATTTTGGCACTGACTCTGCCACTGTGAATATTAACATTCGATCAATTTAAAAGCTTGATCTTTTTTATTTTTTGGCACTTGACTTTTGGCAAGTGATTCATATGGACTGAAATAATTGATCTGTAAATATATATAAAAAAAATATTTTTGTACCTACCTGAACCAGACAAAGTCCAAGGATAGACGCTATGACTTATAGTCATTATTATTTGACTTTAAAACAATTTTTCATTTGACATGTACATACTGTATATAGCCGCAGATAACGGTTATGGAGCTTTGTACCATTTATTTTATGACATTTTAAAATGTAACTTTTGGAACAAACCGTTGGTAGGAGAAAGTTTCTTAGGGAACGAATACCCTGCTCAACATTTAACTAATTTTTGTGCCTCAACAAAATGTTGATGTCTAAGAATGCCTCAACAGGTAGAGAGGCTCCCTGTTGAAGACTTATTTTACCGACACCTAAGAGATGATGCTGTGCACGGTTTCATTATACGTGCACGAATTTATTTTGAATCAGAGACATAAGGCATTGGTGAGGTTTGCAAATACCCTCCTGTAAGCCACACTTTAATATCTTATGTTACATCTGATCGACGTCAAAACTATATTTTGTTCATGACTGACTCGCAATACCTTGAACAAAGTGCAAGCGGCCAGCATTTTGTTCAGCACCTATCGTATTGTTTCTGACACGCCGACTACCCAAATAGCTTTCCAATAAAGTAACATCACCTGGCCATCCCGTTAAAAAAAAAAGCCATTTGGGTACTTGAGTGCAGAAACAGTACCAACTCTTGGAGGTTCCTAGGATGCAGTGATTGTGTGGTAGCAATTAGGATTTTGGCTAGATACTGTCAACTGCAGGCAACTAAGATTTGAACCACAGTTTAAGAAAAGCTAAAACTGTTGTTATAACATCACATCTTGCCCTGAACTTAGAAAAAAAAATGAATTAGTTTTATTTTATGTAGTAGTAAGTTGTTCGGTTAGCTGTTTTGTTGAACCTCCTCGAGATAGTATTGTTCATTTGAAATAAAGCATGCTACCTGCACCTCATCAAATGTATGTTTCTGGTCTTTGTATGAGCTTTCTTTATTTTTGGATGCCTGCATTTACCACATTCAGCCACTGTCCATTTTAAGTCAGATTTCTCCCTGCTTATATTCGCTCTTCGCTACATCCAACAAAAACTACATCTCCTGAGATGTACAGTATCCATTATTGGAATACATTTGGGACAATTCCTAATTTATAATAAGAGAACAGGCCACATAGGTAGCACATTAGCAATAGAAGAAAAAGAAAAAGGGCTCGGCTTCACTAGACGATTAAGGCCTCAAAGTCAATAGGCTGAGGTAAAAATGGTCATAAAAGAGGAAGGCATTGCCCAGGGAGGGAAGTGTGGTTTACAAGCGAAATATTATAACCTAAAATGACTTCATTAATTTGTACCTTTTTTTAAAAAAAAAAACACAACTCATTAGGAGGCCCAGAAACCAAATGCCTAGGCCTGTCAGCACTTCTTGCCTTCTTCAGTCCCAGCCATGCACCAATGGAGGTGTTATGGTGTACTGAAGAGAGAATTAAATGCAGTAGTGTATAAATGCTATGCGAAGTATAGATAATGATCCTCACAGGTGTGGATGTTCAGTTGTATTGTAGTGTAGTGTTAGTTCCTGAAGTACAGTGAAATGGCAGGGCTGGGAAGGGAGACGTAGCAAGAGAGTGGGATCCCCTTTTGTCAGCTTCTACCCTACAAGCTTCAGGCTTCTATTTTCCTCAAATTCACTCCTCAGCTGATGGCTCAGCTGCTTAAACTCCCCTGGCAATAACCGTGAGTCGTTATGCAATGATACCACCACTTAAAGCTATGCAAATGAAAAAGATCCACAACAGCAAAATGCAGGAACACAAATGAACAAACCACTCCCACTCCCACTTGGACGTTTCCAAGGAAGAGAACGGCTGTTTTTACTCACTTGAATTACCAGATTATCTACAAAGAAGTCCCCTGTACCAAGTCTCATCCTTTATCTGCCAGTTTACTTTTTCACTACATTTCCAAGTACGACGGATCCATAAATCTGCCACCTACATAAAGATGGATGGGCGATGCTTTCAAAGGGTCCTTGGCAGGGAGTGCCGCCAGAAGCCAGAGATTTGGGTGGCCATTTGGCTTTCAGATGCCCCAGCAAATTTGAAAATTTAGGAACACAGGAAGCTGTGATAGCTGAGCAGGATTTGTCCATGTGGCCTGGTAGCACCTACACTAACTGGCAGCAGCTCTGCCAGATATCAGGCAGAGCTTTTTCACTTTGTCTATCTTCCCCCATTCCTTTTAGCCTGCCATACCCTTTCAGCTAGGGACGCGGGTGGCGCTGTGGTCTAAACCACTGAGCCAAGGGCTTGCTGATCGGAAGGTTGGCGGTTCGAATCCCTGCGACGGGATGAGCTCCTGTTGTTTGGTCCCAGCTCCTGCCAGCCTAGCAGTTCGAAAGCACCTCAAAGTGCAAGTAGACAAATAGGTACCGCTCCAGCGGGAAGGTAAACGGCGTTTCCGTGCACTGCTCTGGTTCACCAGAAGCGATTAGTCATGCTGGCCACATGACCCGGAAGCTGTACGCCAGCTCCCTCGGCCAATAAAGCGAGATGAGTGCCGCAACCCCAGAGTCGGCCACGACTGGACCTAATGGTCAGAGGTCCCTTTACCTTTACTCTTTCAGCCTGAACTTTGGAAATACGGTACTTTGGATCTCAGCTGGTGTTGACTGTCTACTGGGGTTTTGAGATGGATGTGGAGTAAATGGGTGGTGTGCCACTAGGATTTAATAACTCACTGGGGCAGAGGTAATGTGTCCAGTAGGTCCAAGACTCCTTCCCCTGTAGGTCCAAGTAGGTCCAAGACTCACTCATGAGAGTCTATGGGCTCTCACATATGAGACAGATAGGGCACCATTTCATATTTTGATTCAGCTGCAAAATTGTCCTGATTCCAAATTTGAATATGATGTCATTATTAGCACAGGCATTAGCTGGGTGAAGCTGAGGCCCTCTAATTCCCCACCTCCCCCAAAACATGCTAGTTTATTTTGGTATCTTTCCTTTCCTACTTATGCCTTGTTCCAAAATGCCACATCATGTAATAGGAGCTGGCATGTGACTTTCAGATTATGGCTATTTTATTCTGTTTGTTGAATTTATACACCACCCTATATCTGGAGGTCTCAGGGTGGTTTGCAGAACAAAATCAAAATATAAAACCACAAAATATATAATCAAAATAAAAACAACCACCCAATAACCCCCCCCCAAAAAAACCCACATTTTAAAAGGGCATAGGATGTAAAATCAAATCAATTAAAGGCCTGGTTAAAAAGGAATGTTTTTGCATAGCGCCAAAGGGTGTATAATGAAGGTGCCAGGCGAACTTCCCTGGGGAGAGCATTCCACAGATGGGGAGCCACTGCAGAGAAGGCCCTCTTCTCGTGTTGCCACCCTCCGTTCCTCTTGAGGAGGCGGCACATGAAGGAGGGCCTCAGAAGATGATATCAGGGTCCGGGTAGGTTCATATGGAAAGAGGCGTTCCTTGAGGAATTGCGGTCCTGAGCCGTTTAAGGCTTTATAATCAGGTCTCTGCTGCTTTTTCGCAGCTCCACAAAATGCAATCCGGAATCTGTACAAAATTGACAAGTCCTTGATGATCACTGCAGCTCAAGTAGTAGTAGCAAGACCTGGTGAACCAGAGCTGCCATGTCATGCCCTGCAAACCAGCAGCCAGAAGCTAGTGGGGGTTTTTTTGTTTTTTATTTATTTGGTACAAGACTAATTTTTTTTAAAAAAGGCCAAAGACACCATCCCTTTTAGGAGTCTGTGAAAACAGTAAACTCCAACAAACTTTATCTTATGCGTACATCAGTGGAAAAATAGTGCAGAAAAACAAAACAAAAAAGAATGTTAGAAATTTGTGGACAGGCTGTGAAGAAAAGACAAAGAAGTCCTGAAACACACACAGGTTCATACTGGAGTGAAGAGGCCAAGAATGTAGTGTATCAGTGGATCTCAGTACTTTATATTAATCACAGCACCAACAATTTATTATAAGCATGCAGAAAGGCAGACGGTCAGACAGAAAGAAACATGTGAGAGAGATCTCTGAATGGAGCAGAGCATATAATTGAATTTGGAGAAGAAAATGGAGGAAATGAAGCATTCTGAATTTTAGCTGCTATACAAAGATGGTGGGAAGCCTATCCAGACAATAATAAGCAAGGTTTCTGGCAGTAGTCAAGCTGTGAAATAGCTGTATGCAAGTTGGACTTGCAGCGAAGTTCTTGCTGCACACCCTCACCTGAAAGGTATGTTCCTGTTGGTTCCAGCCAGCCATGTCTTCCTGTGGGATACTCCATTCTACCTTCTCCCCTGTTTTCTTCTGTTCTTTCTTCCAAACTGGCACTCAATTGTGCATGCTCAATCTTCATTGGGTTGGACTGTTTTGTTGTTGTTGCTACTTGCTTCGTTAATTTTAAAAAATGTGTGTTATTTTACTTCTGCGGTTGGGAGGGACAGAAGAGTGTGATTTCTCTCACCTTGCTGTGCATTACCTTTACACACAGTGAAGCTCCTCCAAGCAAGCCCTGTGACTACCAAATGAAAGCATCCTAACAGGAACCAAATATAGCCGAAAAGATTTGACCAGAAAACAAAGTTGTGCATGCCTGCGTGTAAAAACTGTATTTATTGAACACTTACATTTTTAAAAGAAAGCTTCTTCTTTTTTTAACATTTTTATAAAAGTGCTCCATGGCCAAGACATAATATACCAAGTTTATCCCAAAGTGAATACAAAAACAAAGAATTTACATTTCAAAACACTAACAACTTTGGGCTCAATTCGTCAGAAATTTCTGTGCAAACCTTGCTGAAATTTAAGCTGCTTTCCCCCCTTTTGCTTTTTGCAAGGACAGCCTGTGCAAGAAAGGTTTCTGACAAACTGGGCCCAAAATGTATGGTAGGTGGTGGCTAAGTTACATGGTTCGTTCTCTGGTTCAGAGTGTGTTTCTCGGCTCAGTTAGAAATGAATTCGTATTTGTCATTCAAGTTAACTGAGAGGAGAATATTGCTGTACAAGTATGCTCTTCTGAAGTTATTGGGCTCACAATGATAAAAGCCACCCTCCCCCTTTGGTATAAATAGATCATAAATAAATGTTCAGCTGCAGCTATGAATACGTTACAACAGCATCTCAAGAGCATATTTTAGAAACTGGCGCTAAAATAACACTTTGGTAAAAAGACACATCAAGGATATCTTGCTGTTTAGCGAAAAGGAGGGGCAGAATCCAGCCAAAGTCAAGTATTTCTTAGTCCCATGTGCTTTACATACTCTTCAACTGAAATCAAGTGCACACTTTGGGTTGGATCATGTCCCACTATTTTTTTAAAAAAACAATGCTGTTTAGTAATGGAACACACCTCAACAACGATTAAGCACATCTCAACCCCCCAAACCACCCCAGTATTGACAAGGAGGCATTTTGTGGTGCAAAAAGGAATAAATACATCAAAACGTTAAAATACCATTACCCCATGTATAATGCCTCGGAAATCAGATAATTTATATGACTATTTAGAAAAATACTTCACATGTAACACTTTTTTTAATTGGCTAGACTTTGGGTGCAAGTCAGAGAAATGCAGGTGTTCTGAGTCCAAGAAAAGAAAAGGCACAGGAAAGGAACAGGAAAGGAAAGAGAAAAGGATGGAATTTAAGAATTTAGAGCAAGATTCTGCCAAACCTAAGCAAGCTACAATCTCATTGGTTTCATTCTCATTAAAACCAAGAGGGCTTCAGAGGGCTTAATTTTGGCTGGAACGTGCCCTGAGACTATACTCAAGTGTCACTAATTCCAACCAGACGGAAGAGATCAACGTTGCAGAGATTATGCCCTTATGTACACCATGGTTTTTAAGAAGGGGAAAATATTAAATTACCAATAAACCATGTTTTAGGAATACCATCTCAGTCTAAATGTGAGAAAAAGCATCCCCTGGCATGAA